GGGGGGGGGGGGGGGTAGGCGCGAGCTGTGCTGGGGCGGGGATCATTTGGATCAGCCAGGTTGCCCCCAACCCCCATTTGTTGCCCCACACTAGCAACTGGGCTTAGCGCGGTAGGCAGATCGGAATTTTCCAGCTAGCCGCTAGTCCGTACCTGCGATTCCGGCATTAGGGATACATCCTCGGCGGGTTTCCAGACACTTCGAGGTAGAAACTAGAGAAGGGGTGTGAGAATGGCAATAGAGTAGCCATGGTGTACTACTGATGGAGCCCTCTCGGGCCTCTGTAGATTGGGTCGTTAGACAGGCAGATTCAGAGGTAATCTTGCGTAGTCCAGGTTGTCACTGAAAAAGCAGAATTAGTCAGAATATCAGCCTCGAATCATAGTAGGAACAATATTCAAAAGCACTAGAGACGACTCTAGAAGCCATACGGAACGGCAACGCTGGGACTTCACCCCAGTGCTCTACACTCACGAATCATAAGCTATATTAAACGCATACTAGATGCCAGAACTAAACAATTGTGAATGTCCAGACACTCACAACTTCTGCTTCTCCTTGGATCTGATGGCCAAGGGAGACTGGTTGGTCAGTCTCAATCTGTATTCGGCGAACGATCTGAACGAGTTGCCGTGGGTAGGCTGCCAGCGAGGACCTGGAGCAACTCCACCTTCCGCAACCACCGATGCAGTGGACGCAGGTGTAGCAGTCTTGGAGGACTTGATGAAGTGGGAAACACTTTCCTTTTGGAATCTGAGGGTACGGACGGTGGAAAAGGATCTCATCATGGTGAAGAAGGCTATCGTTGCTCAGTTCAGGAGCGGCCTATGGGTATTTATAAGTGGCTGAAAAATCTTCACCTGATATCACCCGATATCATAGGGCTTTGTGGCACGGAAATACGAGTGAGCCATGGAGCTAGAAAAGAGGGGACCGGCGCTTGGCGGCAGTGGGATTCCTCCGGAACTGCGAGCCCGCCCCTCGCCAGAGGTTGACTGTCGGGAACATGTCCTACTTAGGCAGAGGGGTAGCTAGCTGGTAAGGTAAGTGGATCCGGGATATTCTGGGCCTGCTGGGGTAGAATATTGTCGTGGTTGTACCGAGCAAGATGTGTGGTTCCTGTGAAATTTGCTCGCTTGGGCTTTGTTCCTGTGGCTGGACTTGGAGGTGTATCACCGCGGCGTGCACCGCCAGCTGTTATCTGATCCAGTCACGATTGAGAACGCGCGCATGCGCATGCAGTGGGCACTACCGCGAACGGCGGGCCGTCGGCGTTACGCAAGTGATGCCGGTAGGGGTAGGTGTCGGCGGAACTAGCGTTTAGAGACGATTGTGGACACCTGATTCATGCACAATAATGCGAGGCTGGAGATGCCTGTGAGAGGAATTGGCCGTGTTAGCGAAGCTGGGGAGGCCAGGCAGGGCAACCAGGCGGTCAGAAAGGCCAGCAAGGCAGCAACCAGGCCGCTATCGGGCGATAAGCTAATTAATCAAGGTTTGTAAGCCACGTCGGCCCTAAAGGACCGCCCAAAATCCGAAAATTGCGATACACTCGGTGAGCCCCCACCATGCCAAGCCGCACGTGACCCCGGACCCTCTTCCTCCGTGTGATGTTGCATCCACTGGATTCTGGGCAGGTTCGGAGCTGGTGACTCAGAACTCCGAATGCCGCCCGCCAGGTTGCCAGGCAGGCAAACCTCTGCGATATCGACAATTATCGACATTTCACCACCTAATTCACCACGTAGTTTACCGTAGCCCACCACGTAGCTTACCACGACTTACACCATAGCAACACCACCACGACTCGTAGTTCATCTCGACATACTCCCATTGCCGTCCTTCCAGCCTCTTTCCCTGCATTGCCCTCCCAAATGGTCTCATCCATTCTTTTCAGCGCCCCCACCAGTTCGGCCTCGGACTACCCCCTCCTGCACACAGCCGCGCACGCCCATACGTGATGGCCAGATTACAACTATATAATCCTCCATTTGCTCCGTTCTTTTCAGTATCCGAACATGTCTTTAGGCGCAATGTCTCTTGGCGCAGGCGGCGAAACCGCCAGGATTAACCAGATGAGAAGAGACTCCACCGTGTTGGGGCCTATGAACAAGATCTTGGTGGCAAACAGAGGTGAGATCCCCATCCGTATCTTCAGAACTGCCCACGAGTTGTCGATGCAGACAGTGGCGATCTACTCGCACGAGGACAGGTTGTCGATGCACAGATTGAAGGCCGATGAGTCGTATGTGATTGGCAAGAAGGGCCAGTTTTCACCCGTCCAAGCCTACCTCCAGATCGACGAGATCATCAAGATCGCGAAGGCCCACAACGTCAACATGATCCATCCAGGCTACGGCTTCTTGTCGGAAAACTCGGAGTTCGCCAGAAAAGTCGAGGAAAACGGCATTGCCTGGATCGGACCCACCCACACCACCATCGATGCCGTGGGTGACAAAGTCAGTGCCAGAACCTTGGCCATTGAGAACAACGTGCCAGTGGTCCCAGGTACCACTGGGCCCATTGACTCCGTCGAGGAAGCAACCAAGTTCGTGGAGAAGTACGGGTACCCCGTGATCATCAAGGCTGCGTTTGGTGGAGGAGGTAGAGGTATGAGAGTGGTCCGCGAGGGCGACGACATCGCCGATGCCTTCAACAGAGCCACATCCGAGGCCAAGACGGCCTTTGGTAACGGAACCTGTTTTATCGAGCGGTTTTTGGACAAGCCAAAGCATATCGAAGTCCAATTGTTGGCTGACAGCTACGGCAACGTGATCCACTTGTTCGAAAGAGACTGCTCGGTGCAGAGAAGACACCAGAAGGTGGTGGAGATCGCTCCTGCCAAGAACTTGCCCAAGAACGTCAGAGACGCCATTTTGACAGACGCTGTCAAGTTGGCCAGATCTGCCAACTACAGAAACGCAGGAACAGCTGAATTCTTGGTCGACGAGCAGAACAGACACTACTTCATTGAAATCAACCCTAGAATCCAGGTCGAGCACACCATCACCGAGGAAATCACAGGAGTGGATATCGTGGCTGCCCAGATCCAAATCGCAGCTGGGGCTTCCCTCCAGCAGTTAGGCTTGTTGCAGGACAAGATCACCACCAGAGGTTTTGCAATCCAGTGCAGAATCACCACAGAAGACCCTGCCAAGAGCTTCCAACCCGATACCGGCAAAATCGAAGTCTACAGATCGGCTGGTGGTAACGGAGTGAGATTGGACGGTGGGAATGGGTTTGCTGGTTCGATCATTTCTCCCCACTACGACTCAATGTTGGTCAAGTGCTCTTGCTCTGGATCCACCTACGAGATCGCCAGAAGAAAGATGTTGCGTGCATTGATCGAGTTCAGAATCAGAGGAGTTAAGACCAATATTCCTTTCTTGTTGGCACTTTTGACGGACGAGACCTTCATTAATGGCAACTGCTGGACCACATTCATCGACGACACTCCCTCGCTTTTCCAGATGATCAGCTCCCAGAACAGAGCCACCAAGATGTTGAGTTACTTGGCGGATCTCGTGGTCAACGGCTCTTCTATCAAGGGCCAAGTTGGTGAACCAAAATTGACCGAGGAGGCCTTGATCCCTACCATCCACGATCCCGCAACTGGCATTCCTATCGACGTCGACACCACTCCTGCTCCAAGAGGTTGGAGACAGGTGTTGTTGGAAGAAGGCCCTGTTGAGTTCGCCAAGAAGGTCAGAGCCTTCAACGGGACGTTGCTCACTGACACCACCTGGAGAGATGCCCACCAGTCGTTGTTGGCCACCAGAGTCAGAACCATCGACTTGGTCAATATTGCTCCCACCACTGCCCACGCCTTGAACGGCCTTTTCTCGTTGGAATGTTGGGGAGGTGCTACCTTCGATGTGGCCATGAGATTCTTGTACGAAGACCCATGGGCCAGATTGAGACAGTTGAGAAAGTTGGTTCCAAATATTCCCTTCCAAATGTTGTTGAGAGGTGCCAACGGTGTGGCCTACTCATCATTGCCTGACAATGCCATTGACCAGTTCGTCAAGCAAGCCAAGGACAACGGAGTTGATATTTTCAGAGTGTTCGATGCTTTGAACGACTTGGACCAGTTGAAGGTAGGTGTGGATGCGGTCAAGAAGGCTGGCGGTGTTGTTGAAGCCACCGTCTGTTACTCGGGTGATATGTTGAGACCAGGCAAGAAGTACAACTTAGAATACTACTTGAAGGTCGTAGATGATATCGTCAACATGGGCACCCATTTCCTTGGTATCAAGGATATGGCAGGTACCTTGAAGCCCAAGGCTGCGAAGATCTTGATCAGCAGGATCAGAGCCAAGTACCCAGACTTGCCAATTCACGTCCACACACACGATTCGGCTGGTACTGGTGTGGCTTCCATGACGGAAGCTGCTAAGGCTGGTGCCGATGTGGTTGATGCCGCATCAAACTCGATGTCTGGTATGACCTCCCAGCCATCTATCAGTGCCATCTTGGCATCCTTAGAAAGCGAGATTGAAACTGGGTTGGAGGAGTCCTTGGTCAGAGAATTGGACAACTACTGGGCCCAAATGAGATTGCTTTACTCCTGTTTCGAAGCTGATCTCAAGGGTCCTGATCCAGAAGTGTACCAGCACGAGATTCCTGGTGGCCAGTTGACCAACTTGATTTTCCAAGCCCAACAATTGGGATTGGGTTCCAGATGGGTTCAAACCAAGGAGACCTACAAGATTGCTAACCAGCTTTTGGGAGACTTGGTCAAGGTTACCCCAACCTCTAAGGTTGTCGGAGACTTGGCCCAGTTCATGGTTTCCAACAACTTGACCGCAGAAGACGTCCACAAGTTGGCAGCGGAATTGGATTTCCCAGACTCCGTTTTGGATTTCATGGAGGGATTGATGGGCACTCCATACGGTGGATTCCCTGAACCTTTGAGATCCAACATGTTGGGCAACAAGAGAATCAAGTTGAACTCCAGACCTGGTTTGACCTTGCCTCCAGTTGATTTCGAGGCCATCAAGCAAGACTTGACTTCCAGATTCGGATCTAACATCGGCGAGACGGACATTGCCTCCTACATTATGTATCCAAAGGTTTACGAGGACTTCAGAAAGTTGATCGACAAATACGGTGACTTGTCCGTGTTGCCAACCAGATTCTTCCTCAAGCCATGCAAGATCGGACAAGAATTATCCGTGGACATCGAACAAGGTAAGACTTTGATCATCAAGTTATTGGCAGTGGGAGAAATCTCCCAACTGACTGGTACCAGGGAAGTGTTCTTCGAGTTGAACGGTGAAATGAGATCTGTCACTGTTGACGACAAGACTGTTTCTGTTGAGACCAAGACCAGACCAAAGGCCTCTCAACCAAACGAGGTTGGTGCTCCAATGGCTGGTGTTGTCATAGAAGTCAGATCCCAGGAGAACTCGGAGGTCAAGAAGGGTGACCCCATTGCCGTGTTGTCCGCCATGAAGATGGAAATGGTGATTAGTGCTCCAGTTTCTGGTGTGGTTGGTCCTGTTTTGATCAAGGAAGGTGATTCGGTCGATGCTAACGATTTGATTACTAGCATCCTCAAATAATTAATGTTTTAAATGCTTATTCTATTTCTTTCGTTATATATTTATTAATACGCACTATTTTTTGAGCCCATCCTGTAGCAGTTGCCCATGCCAATTATCCTGTAATTTGACAATGCATTAGTGAACGGAAGGCGGTGTTAGCACTAGTTATTTCCTGTCTGAAAAGTCCACTTCAATACTAACTATGTTATTGCCGGTTATTCTTTTCTCTTCCTACTTCTAGCTGCTCCCCCAACTGATTTTTGTGTAGATTTTTGGTGCTCTATATTCTTGGACGCTTTGTTGTCCGTAATAGTCCCAATTCCCTTCTCCTCCTCGTGGCAATCTCTTCTTGTTTTGACTCGGTTTCTTGGCGCTCTTTCTCCTTTTCATCGATTTTTCTGCGCAAAGCACCGTTCTCGTCCTCTAAACTGGCCAATTCCTCTAACAAACTTTTCTCCAATTCAGCCAGTCCTTCGACATCTGCGGTTTCTCCGTTCCAGCCGTCGTTGATTATTTCGTGGGTAAAGTTTGTCTGCGATAAGATTCTTATCCACTGGTCCAAGAGAATATGCGTGTTGTTGCTGGATTCATTCATACTGTCAATGTTTGTGTGGGTAGTTCGTATCGTGGAGATGAGTCGTGAGATTGTACTGTTTATACGCTCGAGCTGGGCGAGTTCTCTCTCCAAGGCGGTAGTATGGATGTTTGAGCTGGGTCCTGATGTCCCTCCTGGCCCCGGATTGGCGCCATTTCCGTGTTCACTAGCCATTATAAGATGCTGATGGAATCAAAACAGAGGCGCGTTTGTAGATGGCATATCGCATCACATGACCCCAGTCACGCGGACGATTTCCTCCATATCAAACATCTCATTTCATAGCCATCATCACCACTCCTCAGCTCATAATGGAAACGTTGCCCACTCGTTGGGAGATCGAATTGGAGTTTGTGCAGTCATTGTGCAATATCCAGTACCTCCAGTACTTGACTCAAAACAATTATCTCAAGGATGAGAGGTTTATTGAGTACTTGAAGTACTTGAGATATTGGCAGAAACCCGAGTATGCCAAGTACTTGGTGTATCCCAACTGCTTGCACGTGCTCCTGTTGTTGCAGAACAAGGAGTTCCGCGATGGGTTGGTACGGGTAGAAGTGGTTGAGGGCTTGATGAACGAAATGGTTGGAAGATGGGCAGGGACCAATTCCAATGGAAACGAGACCCAGACGAACGGCGAGGCCGAAGAGGTGGCGGAAAAAGAGGCAGGAAATGAGAAGAAGGAGGTCAGTTAGTTATGCTTCAGCTATAATAGTGGTTGTCAAGTTAAGACCGATAGAGCACTGAGACAGAAGAAGGAAATCTCCAGTTAGCAATGACTGAGACTGAGTTGTGTACTCAAACCATTGAATCTGGCTTTGAAACATGGATTCTCAGGGTGTCATAACCAAAATGAATAGGGTCCATCAAAAATTGTATATATAACGGATTAAATGTACTAATACAGGTAATGAACGTAGGTCAATTGGCACCAAGTCACCCAGAGATGGTCTATGCCAAGCACGGAGTACATTGAGTGATTTTTGTTCACCTGGGTCAATGATTTTGGCAATTGTGACAATTGGTGAAACTATGAGCGATATCATGTGGTTATTCTCCATATGTTATGCAGGTGTGTGGTTCACTACAAGTTGATCAATTGCCATAACTGCTACGTTTAGATATTAATTAGTTCATGGTTAAGATTGCAAGAATCCAGCATTTTTAATGTCCTTTGCTAGTGGTAAAGAAGACAGGTTCCGACTTTTGAACCGCTGGGGGCACTGTCGCCATAAATGTCTTTCATCGCACATCCATTTGTCGTTTGTATCCAAAACTTGTCAATGAAATACTTGAAACCTACAAATTCCAAAAAAAGACCTTGCAGACAACTGTTCATTTTTTTTCACAGCCCTATAGCTTACCAACCAAACTTCACTAAATGAACCCCACCCTCTAACCTTTTTCACTTTTGGGTAGTTATCTCACCTTGAGGTTCTAAAAATGGCTGGGTTAATATACTGATGGTGGTAGTCTAGTTTCTTACCAACTGCTATGAAATACTTCACTATGTTTTTGTCATGTGCTTGAAGGCATATTTTTTCTTCAACTCCACTAAAATACTTCACTCAGGCTAACACGTCTATTTCGAGATCTCATCGCAATGGCCATTTTGCCATCGCAAGGTGATTCGCAGCCATGTGAATATTTGTTGCTACCCAATTTGACAGTGCTAAAACAATAAAAACTGTCTGAAAATGAGACGGATATATCCTTCAGAGTGACCACACCATCCTGCACACCTGCCCTGTTGGTACGGTCTACCAGCCTCTGTAGAACAAGTTCCTCCTTATCGTCGAAATTTGTGGATGATCGCACGACCCGCAACGCCACGTAAATGTTCTTGCGACACACTTCCCCAGATTGAATAACATGTCTGTGTATGATCAACACTACAAAAAGGTCAGAGACTTCCTACAGCCCATAGAAATGGCTCTAAAGGTGTCTCCAGCAGAACTTCTATTTCTTGTGTCGTTTTTGGCCAACTTTGTGGTCGGAAAGATAGTCCATTACTTCTCTCCCGATGAAGAGGTCTACAGCTATTACACCAATAAGAAGAACTTCATCAACCAGCTATTCGTGAAGCGAGGATGGGGATGGACCACTCTTTTTGTGGCGGTGTTCTATGCATTGGTTTTGACCAGATCTAAGCCTGCTGGTGCCAAAAGAGAACCAATGGTGAGAGTGATTGGAGCAGCAGCAGTGAGGTATGCCCTCGTGACGTTGTGGTGGGTGTTGTTTACCCAATGGTGCTTTGGATTGCCGCTCATGGACAAGATATTTGTGTGGACAGGTGGAAAGTGTGAGGTCAACAGCGTGAAAGAAGGCTTCGAGGAATTGTTCGAGATGGCCTCGCATCCATTCAACACTGAGGCAGTCAAGAGTGACTTACAGACATTCACTTCTACCGTGGTATCGTCGTATCAGTGCAGAAGACTCAAGGGTTCATGGACAGGAGGCCACGATCCTTCAGGGCATGTATTTCTTATGATACATTCGTCCCTCTACATGTTCTTGGAAGGGTTGCCATTCTGGGCCTCGTGGACCCAGCTCTGGAACGAGACTACGAAAGTGGCCCGCCAGATTCGCCACGAGAACCGCTGGAACGGAATTGGACCCTACGTGCATTCCAACCCCCACATTTTATTTGTGGCGTTGATCGGGTTGTGGTGGTTCATGCTCTTCATGACGAACGTGTACTTCCACTCGATTGCTGAAAAGTTCGTAGGGCTATTATTCGGTTATCTGGGAATTTTTGCGGTGTATTATGCTCCTAGATGGCTTGCTACAGAAACCAAAAAGAATAGAGTGGATTAGATAGAAGTGACAGATCGCGTGGTTAAAGGTCTATAAGGCATAAGGTCCCCGGAAGGCCAACGTATATAGGAATAGATATTGCATCACTTACTTCTTATACCCTTTTTAAAAGCTAACTGTAAGAGAGGAGTGAAAAGCGACAGAAAATATAGGTAGTGCTGTTCGTTATTGATCCACAACACTTGTGAGACAAGAGTTGCCGAACGGTGTCTTAAAAACAGACAGATATTTCGGCAAGATTCACGGTATGAGGTGAAGCAAATTGTTTTAAAAAATTAATGCCTTCAAATCTTCACTGAATTGGCTCTTATTGTATTGACCACATAGTAATATTGAAAATGATGAGATTTTAAGATCCACACGGAGATCTATTTTTTTCTCGATATCCATGTAGATCTAACGAGCTTCTATATCCATTGCCCGTACCAAACAATTAACAACGAAGTACTCAGCGACGTAAATTATTGAGTAATGCTTTTTTGACTCCACCTAGCTTTAGTTCTTCAATTATCTTCCAGACAGGACAAGGATGAAATATCATGATAGTTTGGATCAACCTTGACATTTTCAAGCTAGTCCCAACCATCAAGACTAAAGTAAGTACAGTCTCACTCACTAATTGTACCCTTTTTCAAGCTTAAGTGGCATTCAATTAGCCAAAGAACCTGTGACAGAAAGGTTTGCATATTAAGAGCTCGGTTTAGATCAAGCCAAAATGGAAAATTGGGAAAGATTACTACAATTTTTGTTGGAAACAATTATTCAAGATGAAATAATAGCAGGGTAGGTTCCATAAGACTGTGATAGTCAAAGACGGAAGTTCTTGCAGCTAAACAATGGGAAATAAAATTGAAACACAGAAGTTTTTAGGACTAAATGAACAAAGTGAAATGATGGCATAGAGCGAATCAGCAGATGCATCTATTGACTACAAGTTACTACAGGTTTACTAATGTCTGGAAGTTTTGAAGCTTGTAATAATACTTCCAAATTTATACTCAAGCCGACTTCTCGCTTCGTCTCTTCTCCAAGAGTATAGATCATTTTTGAACGGAAATGAGATAAATGAAAATTTCCAAGACAAAAGTGAAAATCCTTACTATAGTTTCCTAGGTTATTTGGGTCCTGCACATGTTCTTCCCACTTGTGTTTATCTGGCTGTGTTTCAAAGCTGAGAAATGTGGCCAGTACTCTGATTGAGCGCTCACACTTGAAAATTAGGGGGTAGCTTTATGGCAATCCAATAGATATAATATAAATTGTTTGATATTAATAAAGAGGAATAAAAGCGGAGTGAACCTGGAAGGTTCCATAGACAGTCCTCGCAATAACTAAAATCCGAAGTAGATATCCTGGCTGCCATGATAATCTATCTAGCATGATAGTTTAGTTGGAAACGCATAATAATGTCTAATGATGTACCTTAAAATTTAGCAAGCGTTCAGGGGTGAAAAGAAATTAAGTTTTGTGAGTCCACCAGGTGACTGGTAATCGTGACCCTCATAATCCTAGTTGTTTGATCCGTATTTACGGTTCTAGATTTACGACGAAAAACTATAAAAGAAACCGTGTAAGTAGTAGATAAATAATTACTCTTATTCAATTCATTAGATTTAACAAATTCACCACCTCCGTAACCTCAAATATCTATCATTGTGCCAACCCACCAAGATCAATAAGAGATCAACAAGAGTCAGTAAAGGAAGAAATAGCAATAACGATGACTACGACTGATGAACAATCATTCTACTATTGCAATTTCGCACCTCGTGCTACTAACTCGTCCCCATTGGAAGAGGCCAGGAAAGTGCTTAAACAGTTGCCTAACTTCGATAAGTGTGTAATAACCCTTTTTGGGGACGGGACTGAAATTGTCGAATATTTTGATAGTGATGGCAATCAGCTTTCTAAGAGAAATGTCGACGCAGGCAAATTAGAAGAACCACCCAGCGATCCTATAATTGCTGGCAACTTGAAAAAATCACAAATTGAGGCCAGAATCAACAGGAGGTTGGGAGGATCACCTCCTTTCGAGACCCTCACGTATATGCAGCGCAAAATCGTTCTTATGCCAAACAAGAAGTTCGATAAACTTACTGATGTGGGTGCACTTATCGCATCCTCTGTGTACAGCAAAAGCTTCAAGAATCTACCTCCATTTGACTTTAGCAACATTAAATCTCTTGAAGAGTGGTACACAGCAGTGGAATATACCTTCAACACCCACAAGGGGATGAGAACATTGGTTGAGAACGAGAATAGACCTTTCAATCCTGATGAAAGAGTATTCTCGCACTATCCAGGCAAGTCAGCATTTAGGGTATATCTAGGCTTTGATCGTGCTTTTGCGACCCATCTCAAAATGAATGGGAAGATCACCGATATGAGCTTGCACCGAGGTCTGAGTGAGAGTATCTTCGCCAGGCTTAACAGCCTTCTTAGAGCCAAATTTACAGTTGCTTATCGGATTCGAACCTACTATGAATGGAAATTAAAAACTGCAGAAGCGGTAGCAGATGACGATAGCACGCCAGATCCAGAACTGCTTGAAAGTAATTCGGTCCCCAATATTGTTCCCACGAAGTTGGTAGATTTCTTGGAAGAATGTAGTCGCCATGTGAACCTTGAACGATGGTTTACAATTTGGGAGGGGCAACATATCTTGACAATTATTTCGCATACCCTCGCTTTAGCCTATGAGAAATACTGTGACGATGATACTAGTGTGGATTATGGAAAGATCTTTGACGATCAAATCATAGATTCAGATTACGAGGAAGTTCCCACCCTTGAAGAAATGAGAAGAGAAGGCTTGAGTCAAAGTATATCCAACGATCTGTATAGCCTGGCCCTGCCAAGTACGCCCAGCACGTTTATGCTGCTGGACTCTGATGGGCAACTTGATTAATTGATATCACTGATTTTTTAGTATAGTGTATCTGATAATGGAGAAATATTCAAGTAAGGCGTCTATAGAGATTTTGTAGGCAGGTCACGGACCTTTGTGGGTTAAGTACCAGCGAGTCTACAGTGTAATTAATTTTGATACAAGGATACTGGCACACTGAAAATTTGTAGGCGGAAATAATAGACGGAAGTAATAGACGGAAATAATAGACGCAAAGTCATTCGATGTTGCATATAGAAGTTACGTTGACTAGACCGGGGAATTGATACGCGTAGTATTATCTAGCACATGCTACAAGACCACAGTAGGACTGGACGCCAACAAACAGAAAAACGTTAGGCATTTCGCAGCCAAATGGCGGTTCAAGTTGATAAGCGGTATTCCACCGAGACCGACTGCAAGGAACAGTAGAGGAATAGATCATTGGAACTGGCTACGATAGTAACCCAATACACACTTGTTTTGGCTATTATTCATTATCTTCCTGTAGAACCGTCGTCAAACAGCCTGCATAGGCCTGGCCGAACCTGCGAGGTTTCATTTTTGCATTTGCCGTAAATTTATGGCCATCAGAAAAGGCTAGAATCACTAACCGACTGGCGGCTTGCAATACTCATATAATTAATATAGGTGTATAGTTGGTATTGCTGTAATTAGCATGTATTCTGTAATTAGCTATTCTGCAATTAGCATGCATTCTGTAATAAGCATAACTATCGGTTAAGTTAATATACCTGCAAATAAGTATAGAGTATCTGTGAATAAGCCCAATCTGTGGCGGAGATCTTTCGCATAATCTTGCAACCGTCTCAATTCTTGGAGTTCACAGCAAGATTTGGACAATTTCGGGGTGGTATCACAGGAGCCTAATTGGCATACTTCCTACACTGAAAAACATCCATACTCCTCGAAAGTAGAATTTACTGGGCCTTTGGAGGGATTGGTGTAGCAAATCGACGGAGCCATCCGCAGTACCAGGGGCTATTTAACGCGTATTTAATTGGAATTAACCACTTCTGTCGTGGCTAGCCGTGGCCGGCCTGATGTAGAAGATAAGAATGTTTGACGGTTGAGGCAAGCCGGTCACGTGCGTGCGTCAGACGCGCGTTGTGTTTCAGAACGGCGTGGCCGACGCGACTCGATTAGGAGATGTTAGTGGCACGGCGAGACGAGCGTGAAAGATGTGCCAGAACGGTGGGAGAGGTGGTATGTCTGGGTGTCTGGGTCTCCAGCTGTCTGGCCATGTGTTCGACTCGTTGCCTGCTGCTATCCCCCAGTGTCTGCGCTGTCTGCTGCTAGCTCAGTGTCTGCTCTGTATGCCATCATCTCTGTCTGTCCCATCTCATTCCCCCTTTCGCGTCCAAAATAAACACCATCTACAGGGGCGCCACGCGCATACTCACTTGACGCGACAGACAGCACTCCGCGGCGTGCACCCCTTGGGTCACTTTTACAGCCGATTCTTACAGCCAACACTTCCTACCAACCACTTCTTCTTACCACTCGTCACTCGTTTTCTGCTCCCAGAGCCATGCTCTTCCTACTCGTGTTTCAAGCAGCCATCCAGGCGGTGGCTGCCCAAGTCTACGTGGGGTTCCCCTTCAGTGAACAGCTTCCCAACGTCGCCAGAACCGGCCAGCCCTACTCGTTCACCGTCAGCGACAGCACCTACCGCTCGACCAACGGCCCCAACAACATCAACTACTACACCGGCGACTTGCCCTCGTGGTTGTCGTTCGACAAGCAGTCGCGTACGTTCAGTGGCACGCCAGCAGCATCCGATGTTGGCAACTTCGAGGTGGCGTTGTCTGGCTACGACACGTCTGACGGCACCTCCATGACCAACCAGGTGTCGATGGTGGTGTCCGCCGACTCGGGCTTGCACTTGAGCTCGGGCGACGCCATGTTCGTGGAAATCGCCAAGTACGGCCAGACCAACGGTAACGACGGCTTGGTGGTCAAGCAGGGCCAGCAGTTCACCCTCAAGTTCGACAAGTCGGTGTTCGAGTCCAACTCCAACGCCAGTCGTCCCATCATCGCCTACTACGGACGCTCCCAGGACAGAAGCCCATTGCCTCCCTGGATCCGCTTTGACGCCGACGACTTGAGCTTCGTGGGCACCGTGCCCCAGGCCACGTCCGAAAACGCTCCTTCCTACGAGTACGCGTTTGGCTTCATCGCCTCCGACTACTACGGGTTTGCAGGCGCCGAAGGTGTGTTCAAGCTCATTGTGGGTGGCCACCAGTTGAGCACGTCGTTGAACGAAACCATCAAGCTTAACGGCACGCTCAACGACAACTTGACCGTCACCGTGCCTATCTTCTCCAATGTCTACTTGGACGGGGCCATCATCTCCCAGCAAAACATCTCCAGAGTGTACGCAGACAACTTGCCAGACTACTTGTCGCTCAACACCAACAACTACAGTATTACTGGTAAGTTGCCTTCCTCCGAGACTTTCGACAACTTCACAGTGCAAATTGAAGATGTGTATCACAATACGGTGGAGTTGCCATACTCGGTTGATGCCATTGACTCGGTGTTTACCTTGAAAAACTTGCCCGATGTCAATGCCACCAAGGGCCAGTGGTTTTCCTATCAATTGCTCGATTCATACTTCACTGATATTAACAACACAAAGATTTCTGTTGATTACTCTTCAGCTGACTGGTTGACTTACCACCAGGAAAACAAAACCTTGGTCGGAGCCACTCCTGACTCCTTTGATAAATTATCAGTTGATGTTTCTGCAAGCTCTAGTTTTGACACAGAGCTGAAGTCTTTCCAAATCTCGGGTGTTTCGCGCTCGAGCTCCAGTTCTTCTTCGTCACCTTCCTCCTCTTCGTCCAGTGAAGCTTCTAGTTCTGCCTCCAATTCGGGTTCTGCAGCCGCAGCTCCTCACTCTAAGTCAAGCTCCGGGATTAACCACAAAGCCTTGGCAATTGGTCTTGGTGTTGGTATTCCAGCGTTTTTCTTATTGATTGGTGCATTGCTCTTATTCTGCTGTTGTGCCAGAAGAAGAAAGGACAGCAATGATGATGAATCCACTGAAGTTAGTGATGTTGCCAGTAATTTCCAAGAACTCACTGGTCCTGGATTTGGTACCACCGTTGACAAGGACGATCACAATGAGGATGCTAGACAATTGTCGACCTTGAATGTATTGAACTTGGACAAGAAGGCTTACGATAATGAAGATGTGAAGAGTACTTCTTCGTCTGTCACACATGTGGGTTCGGTTGATGACGAACGCTTCTTTGATGCTTCGGAAAAGCCAGTCAAGTCTTGGAGAGCTAAGGATGGTTCTGATGTCGCCTTGGCAGCAAAGGATCCAAAGAGAGTTTCACAAGCATCTTTAAGCACCGTTAATACCGAACAATTGTTTTCTGTCAGATTAGTGGATGATGTCTCTAGAAGAAACTCCAATCAATCCTCGTCCTTGCAATCAAAGCAATTCTTAAGTAACAATTCGTTGAATGGCTTGCTCACAAGAAGTTCTTCAGGTAACATTCAAAGATTGGATAGTGATGGAAACATCGTTGAAACATTGAATGCTACTAATCCTACTACCATTGAAAAACCCAGACTTTCTAGATCTGCCTCTACAAACTTAGATGTGTTGGTTGAAGAAAACTCCAAGGACTACAATACCAGTTCGTTAAGACACGATGATTCGACTACTTATCACAGCACTAAGTTCGCTCGTGATGATACAGAAACTAGCAGCTTCGATTTGTTGGCCAAGTTTAATGAATCACGTCATCCATCGCAGGCCAACAGTGAGAATGATTTGAGAAATCTTTCCAATTACAGTATGCCTGACCCAGATTACGATGAAGAACTTGACCAAGATGTTTTGGATGAATTTAAGGCCACCAAAGTAAGCGATGGTGAATTTAAATGGGAAGAAAATTCCGGAAACATCACCACATCAAGCATCAATGCTCCAATAAATCCACACCATAATACTAGCTTTGAGTCACCTTCTTCGGACCACTTTATCTTCAGTAGCTCCGATCAAACGCCAACTACGTTGAGGAACTCTCCCATGAAGAACAATAATTTATCTGCACTTTCCCTTGGGTCAGCTAACTCTGAGTCTTTACTAATCGGTAACAACAAACAAGCAGCCTCGTCCGACATAACCTTGAACAACCGCCACAAGGCGAAGTTGGTGGATTTCACTAGAAAGGGTAGTTTGAGAGAATCAGCTTACGAGCCAGATTATCATTACCAGGGCCAAACCGCACAAATTCACGAAGATGACTTTAGTGACTGATTGGTTCCCAATTCCCTTGCATAGTTTAATTCATCATCAACTAATAAGGTTGACGATTAAAAGTTACTGACTGATTTATTCGTTTCGTTTGTTTTTTGCATCAGTTGATACCCTTTACTTCTGTAATGTATTTTAATTTTTTTAATAGGATTTAATGAAACCAGATCATTTGATTTGAAGTGTAGCCAAGTCTAGTGGCGGAGCATTATTCGAGTAAATATTTTACTTTTGATTGCACTTTTTGGTTTGTACTGAAGAATCGCATTCTTAGTGGCCAACTATAAATTATTATCTTATTGCTGAATGTTTATTACTATTAATTACCACACAGTCGGCAAACACAATACCTTGTGGCCGCAGTTAAAGGTGATTTACATTGTTGAGATTTTATCTAGAACCAATCTAGTACTTTGGTAAGGTGCCTACGTATTGGGCAGTATCTTGAGCTCTTCTTCTTCCCTCAACGTAGTGCATCATTTCGGTGTACGTTTGAGGGATGATAGAGCAGTATCCTGGGTCTTCGTCACCATTGGAGTTCTTTGGAACGAAGAATGAATAGATGAATGTACCAGATTCAGTCTTGCCGTCCTCTTCCACATTCTGGATGGAGGTGTCAACCTTTACTTGCACAAGAGTACCAGGCTCAGACAAGAATGCGTCAGAGCTGGGAGAAATCTTGTTGGTTGCGGGAAGGGTGAAGTTGAAGGGGGAGTCAGCTTCAGTCTCGCCAACATCATGGATGTGCTCAGTGTAGGCCACAGTTGCTTCCATGGATAAAATAGCACCCACGGGAACTGGAGCCTTGAAAGTGGTAGAGTCCAAAGAGACGAATCTGGGACCAGTGCCAGCAAATGCAGCCGAGGCACAGTAGGCCAATTCAAAAGACTGTCTCAACAAGTAGCCACCGAAAATCATGTAGGAATGTCTGTTTCTGTATTGGGGCTGCATGAAAAGGGTGGACTTGAGGGTGGTGTTCTTCATGAAACTAACTCCTTTTGGCGTGGAGTCCAAGGTCTTGGAAGACTTCCACATATCGTTGATAAGTCTGTTTTCTTCGTCGCTGGGTTCGATGAAACGTTGGCTCTTTGCGGCAAGCTTCTTCTTGGCGTTGTGGGACTCGGCTCTTCTGTAGTCAATCCATTCCTTTTCGCTGATGGGGATCAATCTGTTGATTGCAAACGATTTGTGGGTGAGAGGGTTTCTGGCCACAAACGTGAAGTTGGCAGTCAAAAAGATGTTCAGTTCGGGTAAGGTGTCTTCAGTGATATTTTCAGGGAGCTGGTCTTCGAACGCATAGCCTCTGACGGTGATTTCCATCGAGGACCTTCCTGTCCAGGTGACGGCACCAGCCAACACGAAGTTGTAGTTGCTGATTTCGTCGACCTTTTTGACCATGTAAATTCTGTCAACACTGGCAGTGACGTTGACAGGTTCTGCAGGGGAACAGTGTCTGTAGGCAATGCGTCCTGCCAAAGCGTCCAAGTCTTGGAAAAGCTGCCCTGCGCGCAAACGGCCATATGCGTTGATGTAGGCGTCGCAGAGCCACTTGTCCTCCTTGAACGGCAACGTCAAGAACGAGAACGAGTCGCCACGGGTCTTTTCGCCCACCTCGGTGGTTTTGGGCGTCACGTAGCTGTAGCTGTCTAGCACCTTGCCTTCAGCCAATTGCTTCTCACGCTCGCGCAACGCATCCACCCAGGTGGCCTTGTTGGGCATCTTGTTGTCCTGCTGGTCTGCAAGGATGGTGGCGGTTGCGTCGGCTGCGTCTGCAGGGACGTGGGAGCCTGCCTGGTCTGGGCGGTGGAAGTTTGTTTTGATAGAGTTGAAACGGTACGCGAGGACGGCTCTGCGCGTGACAGTCGGCACAGCACGGGGGGCTATCAATCTGATCATGGTGTTGGTGGTAGTGGTGGTGCTGGTGGTGATACGAGCAGTAAGCAGTTGGACTAGCAATCAACAGGTACTAGTAATCAGTTGGTACTAGTAGTAAACGGTAAGTAGTTGGTAGTAGTAGGAGCAGCTGCTAACAGAAAGGTACCTGGAAGTGTTTGAAGAGATTGAAACGAAATCACCAGTCGGCTGTTGGTTCTGTGCTGGTATTTGCGCAGGATGCGTGGTATTTATATCGTGATCCTGCGCGGGTGTAGTCACTGCGATGCGAGGGTCGCAGTTTGGCAGAGGGGTACCGGATGGGGGGCAGCCGTTAGCGAGGGTGACTCAGCCGGAAATGGCTGTGGGCATGTGGGCGGAGTGGTAGCGTTGGGCAGGCGGTGGGAAGGTGGTCAAAAGGCGGTGGACAGGCGGTGTTGGGCAGAAGAGAGGGGCCAAGTGGGAGTGGAACCGTTGGGTGTAGGGAGGGGAAGGTTGCAGCCACCCGGACGGGCGAGGAGCGAATGGTCACGTGACCGTTATCACCCGGGCCCACCGGGGCTTCCCGGCGTGACCGGGCATATGGCGTTCAACTTATTCACCGGTAGACTGGAGTAGAGTAGTCTCCGTTGATTTGCTTGAATTTCCAGCGAAGTCACCGTGCTACGAGAATTTTATAGTGAATGGTTACACCAAATAGTACGTAGGGATGTATCACTCACCGACTAGTGCTATACTGAAAAGTATGTGGTGATGCTTTTTGCAGTATTAAATGGGTAGCTGAAAAGTCTCCTTTTTAGGGACTAGAAACGATTAATTTGGCTCAAATGTAATGCGTCAGTTGTATCCAGAGTACTGAAGAGCGGATCCGGGGCCGGACTACACAGTTAATTTGCGTAGATGTCGCGTGCGATACTGAATATTAGCCTGAATAATCATATGGGTAGCCGAAGAAACCAGTGATATGATTAAAGAGAGAATAAAACTTTCAACAAACACCTCTCATAGAAATAAGCCTCTACACAACACTACCAAGGTTACCAGTACGATACGATTGTCCGAGATTAAAGGTATTGATAGAGCCCGGTTGGACTATTGGTAGTTTTCTCGTGTACTGAATGAAAGGTGCAATACTAAAAAGTCCGCATAATGACTGCTATAGATAGTGTGTTGTTGCTGAATAATTTGCCGTTGCTGAAGAGCTAACTAAAGTTTGTTGTTGGAGAATAGTCTAATTAAATAAGTCCAAACAGTGCAATTCTCAATTTTGTCTGTTGCTGCAAAACTCTCATAGTATGTGCTACAGCTAAAGATTTGCAGTCGAACTTTCAGTACCCAGTTGCATACAGGACGACATAGGTCGGTTGGTCAATAAGCCTCGGAGAGACCAAATTACTTGATTATCAATTATCTACAGAATTAGGAGCTACAGAATTGATGGAGTATGATGTATACAACATTGGGAGCATTTATATCTGCAGAATTAGGAGCACATATGAAACAATTAGGAGCCCGTTTATCTCAGCATCAAGAGCAATTAAAGCTACAGAATTGGAGCAGCATATAGCTATGGAGTTGGGGCACATATTAGCCAGAACTGGGCACCCAGAATTGAAATGTAGCATACTTGTGATACTCCGCCAGTAGTTCCCAAAGGGGAGGGGAAGAAAATCCCCACGTGATGTATCACGTGACTGAACGCCCCCACCCCGGAGCGCGCATCCCACTCCGAGCCCTCAACCCGCAAATCCCACTCTACATGTTGGCACTATACCCCCGAGTCGTGTCCCTCACTGATACGGTCCTCATCCTTCCGGCAGAAATTTAACCCAACCAACTAATCTTCGAGTTTTAACTGTTCTCCAGATCATCAATTACAATGCCTAAGTTATCATCTGTGGCCAAGACTGCGCAGTTGGCTTCCCAAGCGGTCAAGTTGCAAACCGCCAGAAGCTTGCCTCAAGCTGGCCAGTACCAAGCCATGAGAATGGTGGACTCCCGTATGGCCTCCTCTGCATCTGGACTCAAGACCATCACTGTTCGTGATGCCTTGAACGCTGGTCTTGCTGAAGAATTGGACAAGGACGACGATGTGTTCTTGATGGGTGAAGAAGTCGCCCAATATAACGGTGCCTACAAGGTTTCCAAGGGATTGTTGGACCGTTTTGGTGAGCGCAGAGTGATCGACACTCCTATCACCGAGATGGGTTTCACTGGTTTGGCTGTGGGTGCTGCTTTGCACGGATTGAAGCCAGTTTTGGAGTTCATGACCTTCAACTTTGCCATGCAAGCCATTGACCAGATCGTCAACTCCGCTGCAAAGACCTTCTACATGTCTGGTGGTAAGCAGCCATGTAACATCACCTTCCGTGGTCCAAACGGTGCTGCTGCTGGTGTTGGTGCCCAACACTCTCAATGTTACGCCGCCTGGTACGGTTCCATTCCTGGTTTGAAGGTGGTTTCTCCTTACTCTGCTGAAGACTACAAGGGTTTGATCAAGGCCGCCATCAGAGACCCTAACCCAGTTGTTTTCTTGGAAAACGAAATTGCCTACGGTGAATCGTTCGAGATCTCCGAAGAAGCCTTGTCATCCGACTTCGTCTTGCCAATCGGTAAGGCCAACATCGAAAGAGAAGGTACCGACATCACCTTGGTGTCCCACTCCAGATCCGTCAAGTTCTGCATGGAGGCTGCCGAGACCTTGGAGAAGGAATACGGTGTCAAGGCTGAAGTCATCAACTTGAGATCCATCAAGCCATTGGACGTCCCAACCATTGTGGAATCCGTCAAGAAGACCAACCACTTGGTCACCGTTGAAGCCGGTTTCCCAGCCTTCGGTGTTGGTTCCGAAATCTGTGCCCAAATCATGGAGTCCGAAGCATTTGACTACTTGGACGCTCCTGTCGAAAGATGTACCGGTTGTGAAGTCCCAACCCCATACGCTAAGGAATTGGAAGACTTTGCATTCCCAGACAGGGAAATTGTTCTTAGAGCTTCAAGAAAGGTCTTGGGTTTATAGATCTAGAGTAACGCCAGTACTATAATAAAAGTAATAGTCATATCAGCGAGTAGGAATTGGCCGGACTAAAACAATAGTCCTACTTGGGAGTAGTTGGTAATATTTGTGTCAGTACTGAAGTGTAGTCATACTTGCGGGCAGACTGAGGAATCTATCACGTATTAGATTTTCATATTGCTAGTAGTCGAGAAGGAAGGGACGCTGGTATTAAAGGGTGTGGAGTTCCAGAGTACGTAAAGAACTATTTGATATATATGAGTCTAATGATACTTAGTCAATTTAGCAGTTAGCCAAGGTGATATATTCGATAAAATTTATCTAAAATAACGATACAGTTGGCGATTAAGGTGGTATTTTTGTCAAAATAACGATCTGGCTTCATGAAGGTATTTAATATATGGTCAAAATAGCTGATCCGGGCGGTGAAGAGTACTTTAGTGAACAATCTAAGGATCAACTGGTAGGTACGGTTATTAATTCACTAAATTAGTCAAAAGAACTGATCCGGCTGGAGATTAAGGTGAATAATTAGTTAAATGACTAAGAATTTACTGGTATCTGAGGTCTATTTGTATTAGTCAAATTAACTGATCTGTAGCTAGGTTATTACTTTTATCGGACTAATCTACTGGTAGCTAAGGTATATACATTAGACAAAATAAGTTTATACCTGATCCTTTAGCTAATGTGTGCCAGGAAAGTTGATCTTGTTACCAAGGTGTATATTAACAATGACTGAACTGGCACATTACCATCCATTCACTGTAATGGTTGCAAGGATGTCGCGTGTCGCCCTGTGTCGCATCTTCCAATAACAATATTCAGACACGCTAGCACCCTCCAGGTTCTCTTCGTCCACACACACCCCATTGGAAGCACGAAACCATGTCGAACAAGGTGCACAAGCGTGGCCATTCCACCGAGCCGCCGTCGCTTTCCAACGACCTCAACTACCCCACGTTCGGCCCGGAAAACGACGGGTTGTTGCCGATTTCCCGCCAGGATATTGATGAGAAATCATCGTCTACGTTCACTCCCAGGCCTACAGGAGCCACCAAGAGGTCCAACACCCTCAAGGCAATCGACCGTCCGGCGTTTGCTGTGCTCGTCGTGCTCTACTTGTTGCAGGGTGTGCCAGTGGGACTTGCTTTCGGATCCATTCCGTTCATCCTCAAGTCCAAGTTGTCTTTCTCCCAGGTGGGTATCTTCTCGTTGGCTGCGTACCCCTACTCGATGAAGTTGTTGTGGTCGCCCATTGTGGACGCCATCTACTCGCCCAAGGTAGGCAGAAGACGCTCGTGGATCATTCCCATCCAGCTTATTTCGGGAACCACATTGATCTACCTCGGCTCGATCATCGACACCTTGGTGGAGAACCCCAAGCCCCACCTTACCAAGATCACGGTGTGCTTCTTCTTGTTGGTGTTGTTCTGCGCCACCCAGGATATTGCCGTGGACGGCTGGGCTTTAACGTGTTTGTCTCCCGAGTGTCTTTCGTTTGCATCCACTGCACAGACGGTGGGAATCAACTCAGGCTACTTCTTGTCGTTCACCATCTTTTTGGCGTTGTCGTCGCCTGATTTCGCCAACAAGTACTTGCGGAGCGTGCCCTTGGAACAGGGCCTCTTCACCTTGGGACAATACTTGAACTTCTGGGGCTGGGTGTATCTTGTTGTGACTGGGCTCTTGTACTTCATTCCCGAAGATCCACCTCATTTGGCAAAGTCAAACCAGGCCAAGCTTGCCAGTGAAAAGGTGAAGGTGGAAACCGCCTACAACAGCAAGGCTTCCAAATGGAACGAGTTGAAGGCTGTGTACGAGTCCATGTACCAGGTTCTCAAGTTGCCCAACATCCAAGTGTTGATTGTGATTTTGTTGACAGCCAAATTCGGGTTCCAGGTCAACGAGGCTGCCACTAACTTGAAGCTCCTCGAGAAGGGCTTGTCCAAGGAGGATTTGTCCATCACCGTCTTGATCGACTTCCCGTTCGAAATGGTGTTTGGCTACTACGCAGGAAGATGGTCCAACGGGAAAGTGCCGTTGAGGCCGTGGCTTATTGGGTTTGCTGGCCGCTTGGTGGCTGCGTTGTTTGCACAGGTGTTGATCTACTTCTTCCCGCAAGAGGGCAAGGTCAGCTCGAAGTACTTCCTTTTGATCATCCTACAACACTTGTTAAACTCATTTATGGCCACCATCCAGTTCGTGTCCCTTTCTGCATTTTTCACCAAGATCGCCGACCCTGCCATTGGTGGAACCTACATGACGACCTTGAATACCATCTCCAACTACGGAGGCACCTGGCCCAGGTTGATCATCCTTTACTTGATCGACAAATTCACCCTCAGCGAATGCCACACCCTGGCAAATGGGTTTTCCATCACTTCGGAGTCGTTGAAGGAGAAGTGCAACGAGCTTGGGGGTACCATAAACATTCTTAGAGACGGATATTACTACACCAACATCATTTGCGTGGTAATTGGGTTTGCCATCTTGCTTTGGGTGAAGAAGAGAGCCACCCATCTACAGTCCTTGCCACCTAGTGCATGGAGAGTCAAGTAAATGAGCTAGTGGAGCTAGCGGTCTATGACTATTAAATATACATATTGTGTAGTGATTTGTAGAAATGCTCTGGCTGGCCAATTTTTGGATGCTTCGGGAAGATTGATTAGTGTGTAGAATGACTTGGATAATAATTCAGTCTGGTATGACCTGGATTATCAATTCTGCCGTCTGGTAGGATGTTTAGGATAATCATTTGTTGGAATGACAAGGATAATAATTCAGTTTGTTAGGTGACTTCTAGCACAATTCTGCTTTCTGCCTCTTGTCTGTTCTAATAGTCTTTATGAATTCTATCACGACTGCATCGAAAATTAATTATTGTAGAATCATAATCTTTCGATCACATCTAGTAACTATTAAGCTCACAGATTCAATATTGTAACACAGTTGGGAAATTATAAATTATCTCCGCCTCTAGTATTTTTATGCCGACGTGGCCGAAGTATTCGTGACTCTGCTGGGGAATAAAAAGGCATAATTTTCACTCCACCTATATTTTTATCTGTTTTGGAACTAATTTTCACAACCTCCTGAATTTCCTTCTCTCCCTATTCTCCATATGGTTCTAATTCAACGGTTTCTGCCATGATTCCGGCTCAGTCCCTGCCTGTTTGTGGATGTCACTGCTCAAGAAATCAATGGGACTGAACGGGATCTTCAGGTCGTGAGACATTTTGCGCAGCACTGAAGAATATGTACCTATGATTGATGGGATCAACGACGTGGGTAACGGTGGAGTTGCCATGGTGGGATCGAGCCTTCCACTGTTGATTATGGACGCCTGCGACATTGGCGATCTTGCTGTGTTCTCTTTGAATGAGAACGATCTAGCAAATGAAGCCATCGCATTCGAAATAATTCCAGTTGGTTGCTGAACAGGCAAAGTGTCGGTGACACTTCCTGAAATATAATGCCGAGGTGGTGGTGTGGTGATCATGTAGCTGGCATGCCTGGAGCTCATCAACGACGAGGTTTCGTTAACAGAATGGAGCAGGGGCTCGCGAGGATTGCCGAAGAGAGACCCTCTTCGTCCATTTGCGTCGTCGTCCATATAGATTCCGTCATCGTAGTAATCCTTGGCGTGATTGTTGGTGTACCAGGCAGGTTTCTGAAAGCCTATGGGTGACTCTGAGTGGTGGGAGGGCATCTGGACGTCCGTATGGACCGAGGAGTGTCGCGAAGACACCGGTTTGTAGAACCAACACTGAAACAAAATCACACAGTCAAACAAGACGGTGCCTGCACTGCCCACGATAAAAGGCAACTGGGCCATCAACACCGTCCTGAACTTGTTGTCGGAGCGGAACTCATAGTCACTGATAGACAAGAGGTACAAGTCGCTGACAATGGAGATGGTGTAAAAAAGGTTTCCCATCATGGCAAAAAGGAAAAGAAAGGTGGAAATACCCTTGGTGGACTTGGAACGAAAGTTCTTGACAATCTGGGGCGACCTCGATGCTAGGTAGAGGAATGAGCACAACCAGGCAGAGCACATGCCAATGTCGCCTGGCGAAAGGTGGGTCAAGGCTAGCATAAATGGCGAAAAGTAATGCAGAAACAGAGCAGTATTGACGGGACGCTCTGTAGGGAGGCCGTTGGCCTTCTTGAAGCTTCCTGCAAGGAACGACGTACTCAAGAGCTTCTGGAACATGCTGTTTTCGTTGGCGTGGAAGCCAGACGAGATGTCGATGGGCGAATGCGGTGCCACTTCCGGATCAAATCGGTTCCTCCGCAGTCCCAGATGGCCGTGTCTATTGGCAAGAGGGCTGCGTAGCATGTTGGGACTCTGGAGCAAGTTATGGTGTACCTTTTGGCGGGGATACACTCGGGTATAGTACCAGAACTGCAACGAGAGAATGCAGTCGATGAAGCAGTAGTACGCTGCCAAACATGTCTGGAACGGCAACGCTCGCGTCAAGATACACCCCAAGAGGTTTGTGATGTCGCCAGCGATCCAGCACATCAAGAAGGCCACCGATACTCCGTGGACACTCTGGTTGACGTAGTTTTCGATGATCTGGGGCAATTGCGCAAAAAGCCACACCGAAAGCGACAACACGCCGCAGGTCTCGGAAACCCTGCCCAATAGACGTTCGGTGGAGGTAGAGGTGTTGTTGCACACAAGCTGGGAGATGAAGGCATCGATGGACCCGGACGATGAGGCGGTGGTGTTAGCGGAGGCAGCAGCCGCGAGCGGTCCCCACGAGCGGACCACCCTGGCGAGGCTGGACGGGTCGTTAGCGAGCGGGATCATGGACGGGGACGTGGTGGTTCATTCCCTGGCCGGGTGGAGATGCTTATCAGTCAGATCTGGAGATATAATTTTTCACAATTGGTGACACAAACGGCGGTGTTCTGGAACGATCTGTGCAGGGAGAGAAGATGGTGCGCATCAGCAGGATGCGCGGAAGCTGGGAGCAGTGGGCGGTGAGGCGGCGGCGAACAGCAGCAGGAGCGGCAGTCGGTAGCGACAGTAGCAGGAGGGTGAGGGAGCGCACGATGGAGCCGTACGGGAAAAACGGCGGTAATTGAGGCCGGAGGTGTACTTAAATAGAACGAGAAGCGGAAGTGATCACGGGAGGGGTAGAACGAGAGAGCATGGTGGGGAAGGCAGGAGCTCGAGTGACACGTCAGGAATTTTGGGGCTACTTGGGCACTATACGGCACGATATGGTACCCTAGCATAAAATTGTAATAAAATCGTTCAGGTACGATCTATACTCAAAGTAGAGATTTGTATTAATACGTTACTATATATTGTCAACATATTCCGACTGCGCGTTGAGCGTCATTTCGGGAATGGTGGTGGCATATTCCACCCTGTGGGAGCATATTTCATCAGATTATAATTAACCAGATCAGGATTACTTCCTCCGATTTATTTCTTAAATTAATACATTAATGCTAATCATCTCGGTCAGGCTTACTACTCCAAGGTATCAGTTAATAATTTGACTTGTACCTCTTCCTCGTTTTCTTGCTTAATATCCAAAGTACGATAAACGTCAGTTTAGTCGTAGAAACTCCACTGAAACCTGCTATTGAAATAAAAATTAAGCACTAAGTTTTGGAAAGTCACATTATGGCTTTCCTTGTGGTGATAACGCTCCCTATTGTTCAATTAAAATACCTGAGATCACAAAATGCGTAATACATGTATATTACTGTTCCTTGAAAGACTCGGACAAATGGCCTGGGTGCCCAACGTCGCACGGTGCTACCACCCGTTGCGCTCCCCGCCATTACCGACGGTGCCCCGCCATCGGAGGCACCGCCGCACCGTACCACGCACTCCACCGCGCACCAAATCATCGCACCATCAACCACCACCAGCTAAACCAGCTAAATCATCACCGTCAAACCACCACCACCATCACCACTACCACCACTATCATTACCCCCACCTCCCCCTCCCCCGATGGTGTCGCTCTACGACTTGATGATGCTGCAGCAGCAGTTCAGCCATCTCTCCACCTCCATCCCCTCGCTCGATGCCCTCTTCCTCTCCAACATGGGTCCCCGCCACAGAGTGTACGATTTCCAGGCTGGCCCTGGCAACAGCGCCCTCTACACAGTCACGGCATCGCTCGTGGTGTCCCACTTGGCTCACAGCCCCAAAAACAGGGCCGTGGTCATCGACACCCTCGAGCACTTTCCCTGGCACTATCTCACCACCAATCCCCAGTTTGACCAAGCATGGCTCGACCATAACCTCGTCTCCTACACTGCAGACACGTTTGGCAAGCTCATGGCGTTGCTCGCGTCGCCACGGCTCGTGCCGCCAGGCGACACGGCCACCACCATCGTCGTCATCAACGGGTTCCACGAGTTGGTGGAATTCTACAAGCTCGAGCTCTCTGCGAGCTACGAAGAAGCGCTCCTCAAGAGCCACCTCGAAAGAAACGCGCTTTTCCTCTCCAACCAGCGCCAGTTCCAGCAGGCTGGCACTACCAGCCCCCTTCCCGAACTCCCACCGTCCTCGGACCTCTTGACTGATAGTCCAGCTGCCAAGTTCGATGCCCATCTTCACGCGTTGTTGAACTTAGTGTCTGGCGTGGCCTTCAAACACGATCTGGTGTGCATCTTGCTCGGACACTTGGACACCGCCTACAAGCTCGATTCAGCCTCCCAGGACACTTCTGGTGCCACTGACACCTCCCAGTACTCGTCCAAGGGCCGGGTGGTGCTAGCACCAGCTCTCGTTGGAAACAGACACCACCGGAACAAAGTCGCGCTAGAGTCGTTTATCACCACCAGGCTCGTTTTCTACAAGGACTGGTACCACAACAGCGTACACTACCGCGAGGCCCAGGAGCGCAATGACAGCTACCGCGAGAACGACCGCGAGGGCTACCGCGAGACTCACCGCGAAAAGCACCTTCCCTCCAGACGAGTGGACCCAGCAGCCTTGCGGACCGTATACGCCGTGAGGGTGGAGCATTTGCAGGCAATGGCGTCGGAAACCCCCACCGTATTCTTCGACTACGATGACATCGACTACCGTCTTCTGCCCAACACTGCCTGCTACAAGTTCGTGGACTTGTCGAGGTCGCGGGTTCCTCGAGCCCCTCTCCAGAGCCAAAGGTACTCGGTGCCAAGGAGCGACGCTACCCAGTCGTCCCCGGCACCTATGCCCGACAGTGAGCCTGTGCTACCCGACAGTGAGCCTGTGCTACCCGACAGTGAGCCTGTGCTACCCGACAGTGAGCCCATGTCAATGCCTACCGAGAGCCAGATGGCAGCATTGGTGCAGTCGACCCAGAAAATGCAGGAAGAGTCACAGAGAAGGCACCAGGAAGGGGAGCGGTCCCAATTGCTCCGGGAAGAGTCCCAAATATTTCAGGAAGAATTACAGAGAGGTCTCCAGGAAGAGTCTCGGAATGAGTCCCAATTGCTCGAGGAAGAGTCTCGGGATGGGTCCCAAATATTCCAGGAAGACTCACAATTGCACAACGAACAGTCAAAACCACGCCAGCCTCCATCGCCCCACGATGTGCCCCAATCGCCCCAGGAACATTCATCACCAGCAAACGTAGACCCTACTGATGCCTACGGCTCGGACCCCGAGCTCGACGCCAGTCAGCAGAGCTTGTCGCAACAAATTCAATGGGGGCACCAGCCGTCCAGTCCTGACGACCCACTCCGGTACGTGCAGTCTGACAATAGCCAGGAGCTGGTGGTTGAGGAGCTGGAAGACGAGATAGTAGGGACCTTGCTTCCTCGCCCTGTAGATAGATAACGCAACCGGCCCAGAAAATACGACGATTGCGGCCAAGCGATTGCTCCTCACACCACCACATATAGCATCACCGACAAGTATAGAGAGCCAGGAATCACATCACCTAATAGACGGCACAGAGAATCGGCAACCAGGTACAAGCGAAGTTAAATATTCGGTTCTTATTAACTACTAGTCATAACGTTTGTTTTTTCCACCATAATTGCAAGGTAAGTATGCCGACTGTGGATACTAATAGTTAAAATGTTCGTTAATGTTATCAACCTGACTAAAAATGCTAATTCGATGCATATTAACTAATAATTATAGTATTATCATTAGCGGTATCAATTGCTTCCGCCGCAAGCAAAACTTCACATTTTAATTCGATAACTATCGAATAGTTACTTCCACCAGTCCGACCGCCATAGTCCCCCCAAATTACCGCGACTCCACTGAAAACTCCCACTGGCCTCGCAACAATCTAGCGAGCCCTCTGAAATCTTCCGCTACGTGCACGTCACTGTTTTGTCCGCGACAATTGAAATTCACTTCCACCACTCAACAACCAATGGACCAAATTGAACAGATCAAGGCCAAGTGGCCCGTCGTTCTTGACGAGCTCAAGGGATACTTGGACCACGCCAAACAGGTGGGCCATCCCACCCGCGTTTTCGAACACGGAAAGGCCATCTTGGAAGGGGTCAAGAAACATGGAGTGATACAAGAGTACACCACCAGAGTGGAAATAACCCCGTTGGATGCCAAGTTGGCGTTGGGCGCCTACGTTGCCGCAGGAACTCTCTTGGTGTTTGGCACCTTGTACTCATTATACTCGGTGTTGTCGGGTCCTCCCACCAAGACCAAGAAGAAGGCCAAGAAGCGGTTGACCAAGGCCCAGAAGGCCAACAAGTTCATCCAGGAGATCTTGGACAACGTGGAGAGTACCTTCGTGCCGGAAATCGACGAGTACATCGAAAACTACCAGAGTTTGAAGTCTGAGGACGTGCAGTACAAGTACAACTACTTCAACGAAATGCTCTTGAAAGAAATCATGAAGTTGGACGGGGTCGAAGTTGGTGACAACGAAGTGTTGAGAACAAACAGAAAGAAGGTGATCAAGTTCATCCAGGACCACCAGAAGCGCTTGGATAAATTCAAGAAGGAAGTCAAGTTCTAGGTAGCACAATGTACATTTAACAACATAGGCTGTAGGTCACTATAGATGAGGAGGATGGAACATTATTGTACACATTTCCCTTTGGTTGCTTTTACTTGATAATAGTGTGTTTTAGTAGAGTCTACTCTAAGAAGGTGGACATGCACGAGTACTTGTGGATGACACGGGCATAGAGGTACGGGGTTTTCAGGTGTAATCAATAGCATTACTCGACTAGGAAGTTTGTTCTGTAGCTTACTTAGTGTTCACTAAATAAACTCACTACTTTTCATTTATAGCACGATATATGTTATTACAAGAATACCTGTCTCTGAACGCTGCTACACCGTGAGTTAGCAATAGGTTAAAAGTCCTAGCCATAATTCACTACTGAAAACTACTTGCGAATTGATTACTTAATTTTTCTGAAATAAACGCCTGCAGTATGCCAGAACGACAGCCCAAACCCTTGGAATGATACGGAGCTCTTGAAGCTATCTCATGTTTGTAGAGCCAGTCTCCCAGAGAGTGGTGACGACAATTTAGCCAGTATCAGTAGAGAAAATCTTTTCCTTTTCAATTGTCCACTTCAAATACACAAAATTCATGGCCAATCACGCTTCCTCGCATCCGTACTGCTTCACTTGCCCTGGGGCTGGCTGACGTGACTGTCAAACTGGTCAGGGCTAATTTTCTGGCCTCTTTTGACCCCAAACTCGGGGATCTTGCCATCGTCGGAGAAAATGTGGGTGAATACCGGCAATTGCCTTCCCAACCAAAGCGCTCGGGAGGTGTGGTCGGCTGTGTCTTCGCCGGTCTGGGGGTGGATGAGCACCGAGAGGTTGCCGTGATGCAATTGGAACCAACTGAGGAGCTTGACAAACACCTCGGGACGAAGCACGTCCACCTCCCAGAACTGGGTGGAGTGGGGCCCGATGACTTTGTCGTCGGGGAGCCTTTTGACGATCACTGAACCGGAATTGCCTTCGTGAGCAAAATCTGTCAAGAGCTTATCTAAAAGATCAAACGCTTCCTTTTTGGAGGGTGCTTGGTGTGCATAGTAGTAGACGTGGAAATCGTAGTACTGGACAGGGTAGGTGTAGGTAAGGCCATGGACGGAGGTGGTGGCGGTGCGAGGGTCTGTCAAGTGGGTGAGATATTCCATGCTTGCGTTGGACAGTGTAGCTAGCGAGAAATGGCGGCTTTAAGTAGGGTCGTGGCTCAAGCCACACTGGATCGATCGCGAGACTGGATACAAATGGTGTCAGATTAGGTAGGTAACAACGGAGACCATTGACTAGATGATAGCAGTCCCTGTTAGATGTGCTGGATTAAGTATCCAGCGAACCATGAAATGAGTAAAGCCTGAAGTTTAGACAATTATGGGCAATTTGTGGACTGGAGTCTGGGTATCTGGTCAGGTGACACATATCCAAAAAGGGTGATTTATCATTTTAAGTTTTTTGTATTGTTCGATGATTGAGATAAGAACTGTAAGAACTGATTAGTGTAGGCTGGTCGGAGTCAGGAGCTTTTCGTCGAGGAACCAGGCAGTTCCAGAATTTACTCTTAGAGCATAGATAGTCTGTTTTCTTGTTTTTTTTTGTGCTAATGGGAAGTGTTACTCTCTAAATGGTCCTTTAGGCTCCACGTAACTGGCCAGAGCTCGCGGGGCAAACTATATACCTATCACAATACAACACACCACTAATTTATTTTTGTTGATAGAGGAATTTGCGATTGCGGGGTTTGGGTAGCTGAAATGGTAGTTCAAAATCACCGTGGATCCAAGGGTACATCTTACCATCCATGACGAAGGCGCAGTTAATAGCTGTATTCTCTTGGTCTCTTGGCTGCAATTTGATATTTGGCCAAAGCCAGGATGATGGGATTCATTTGAATACCAATACGGTTAGATTTAACTTTTCGAAAAATTTCCAAAATCTTGGTGAATTTGGTTCAAATTTTGTAGATCAATTAACCTTGGAAAAATTAGCCTGGAAGCGGGAATACCCTCAGAAGTGGTTGGAGAAGCCAATAACACCTTTAGAAGACCCCCTTGAAAGAAGTAAAGACTAACTTTAGGACGACTACAACCTAGAGGTAATTAATAATACTAGAATAATACTAGTATAATACTCTAGAGGCAATAGCTAGAATAATGCCAGAATAATACCAGAATAACACCAGAACAATACCCTAGAGGCAATAGCTAGAGTAATACTAGAATATCACCGGAATATTACCCTAGACCACCCTTAAACACCACCAGCTACTATCCCTACTGCCACCCCATCTGCTCCACAATCACCACCAGCGCATACTGCTGATCACACAACAATCACATGCCCGTATATTGCTGTCACCCTGCAATTAATCTACTCCTGCCTTGTGACCTTCATATATTGGCCTGGGGCTTATCGCAGCATGGGAACCTAACCCCAGATCTAGATTATGTAAGATACTCGCCTCTGCAGGCGAAGGTGCGGCGTAATTAGTGGAAATTGGCGTAAATTAGCGTAAATTGGCCCCAACCAAATCGCCATGGGCCATGGGCGGCTGGAGCCGTTCACACGTGGACTGGCGATCTGCCAATAGTGCAACTGGGGAACATTTTACGACTGGTGTGCAGCCAGCTGGGCCCTGAAGCTGCGAAAAGGCACACCAAGTAGCCTCCACAAGCAAGCAGCTACTACGGCCCACACACCTGCCAGCAAGCACCTGCCAGCAAGCTTCCGCTACCCTCCCCTGGCCCATGACAGCTGGGCAGTAAGCGACGGCACCACGTTGGCAGTACCAAGCAAATTTGAATGGTTGATGGCTAGCCAAGAAATGTCGATGGTTCCACTGGCGTGCGCGAGTGCTACCACGGTGGGCCTAGCGGCGCGTGCGTAGTACCAGAGCCCCCAGCGACAGCTCCCGCCAGGCGCAGCGGCAGGCACATGACATGGCGGTACGGGCCAGTATGCCGGACGAGGCCTTCCTATTGCGACCACAGATCATGCATGCCCCCCGTTAGGTCTTGGCTGCACGCCACGTGGGTGCAAATCCCTGCGCAGCCACTGGAAAACCGAGTTATTGTACGACCAATTGCCGGTTTGGGACGCCTCCAAAGTGGTTCCAAGACATCCAAGAGTTTTCTGGCCACAGTCTGTGGTGGACATGTCTACGGCAGCGCCGTGGCCACGCCAGCCCCGTCGATCGCTGCCAATTGCCGCCAGCCTGGAGGGCCAATATCTCCCTTCGACCACGTTTTGAATTACGGCACTCCCAGTTTTTCTTGACCTCTTGGCGACTGCAAACGGTGCTGCACCCAGATAACAGCGACAGCCGCTGAGTCTGGCACCACTATAAAAGTGCTGGACCACCCGGTGCTAGCTCTCCAGACTCGACCAGTTCAGATCATCCTCCAGCCGCCATGATCGCTCTCCACCAGTTTGATTACATTTTTGCAATCGCCATGATCTTTGCGTTCTTGGACGCCTGGAACATCGGCGCCAACGACGTGGCAAACTCGTTTGCCTCGTCCGTGTCGTCCAGATCCTTGAAGTACTGGCAGGCCATGGTGCTTGCCGTGATCTGTGAGTTCTTGGGTGCCGTTTTGGTGGGTGCCAGAGTGTCTGACACCATCAGAAACAAGATTGTCGACGTTTCCGTGTTCCGCGACGACCCAGCCGCCTTGATGCTTACCATGGCCTGTGCCTTGGTCGGCTCGTCCACCTGGTTATCCATCGCCACCTACATGGGAATGCCTGTGTCCACCACCCACTCCATTGTCGGAGCCGTCATTGGTTCTTCCATTGCTGCGAAAGGTGCCAAAAACATCCACTGGGGCTGGAACGGTGTTGCCCAGATCATCGCCTCCTGGTTCATTGCCCCCATCATCGCCGGTCTCTTTGCCTCCATCATCTTCCTTGTCTCCAAGTACGGTGTCTTGGAAGTGGCCAATATCGACACCTCCTTGAGAAACGCGCTCTGCTTGGTTCCAACTTTGGTTTTCGCAACCTTTTCCATCTTGACCATGTTGATTGTGTGGAAGGGTTCTCCCAAGCTCCACTTGGACAAGTTGTCCAACGGAACCATCGCTGCTGCCATTGTCGGCACTGGTGCTGTTGCCTGTGGTGTCTACATGCTCTGGTTCTTCCCCTACTTCAGAAGAAAGTTGGTGCACAACGACTGGACCCTCAGATGGTACGACATCTGGAGAGGCCCAGTCTACTGGTTCAAGTCCACCGACGACATCCCACCAATGCCAGCTGGCCACCAGCTCACCATTGATTACTACGGTGGAAGACGTTACGACGAGTCTGGTGCCTTGGTCGATGAAAAGGGTGTCAAGACCGACGACTCCGACATCGAAAAGGTGCACGAAATCAACGTGGACACCAAGGATGGCCAAAACGACTCCAGCGACGAATCTACCTTCAAGGAACCTGTCCAATCCTCCAGACAATTGTACTTCTCCCTCCTCAAGACTCCTTCCAAGTGGCACATTCTCGTGTGGAAGTTGTTCACTCACGGTGTCACCAGAGATATCATTTCTTCCCAAACCACTTCTACCGGCATGTTGGCTGGTGACTTGAAGCAAATGCACCAGTCCTCGAAGTACTACGACAACAAGATCGAATTCTTGTACTCCCTTCTCCAAGCCATCACTGCTGCTACTATGTCTTTTGCTCACGGTGCCAACGATATTGCCAATGCTACCGGTCCCTTGGCCACTGTCTACTTGGTGTGGAGCACTAACACCGTTGGTTCCAAGAGTGAGGTTCCTTTGTGGGTCTTGTGTTACGCTGGTGCTGCTTTGTCGATCGGATGTTGGACTTACGGTTACAGAATCATGGCCAACTTGGGTAACAAGTTGATTTTGCAATCCCCATCCAGAGGTTTCTCCATTGAGTTGGGTGCTGCTGTCACCACTGTCATGGCTACCCAATTGGCCATTCCTGTGTCTACCACTCAATCTGCTGTCGGTGCCACTGTCTTTGTTGGTTTGTGTAACAGAGAATGGAAGGCTGTCAACTGGAGAATGGTCATCTGGTGTTACTCCGGATGGCTCATCACCTTGCCAGTCGCTGGTTTGATTGCCGGTATACTAAATGGTATTGTGTTGAACGCCCCAAGCTTGGGCCAAACCTACAAGTTGACTAACTAGTCGATTCTTTCTTTAATTAATGCTTTAATTCTTCTAAAAAACGATACTCGTATTCCAGAGGTAGATTCTGTCGGGTGGCTAGAGTATTCATCCGAGCCTTATAGATTTTATTAAACAATATAGCAACTACTTTTCAATTCGATGTGTAAAGAGAGTATCTATCCTAGCATTCTAGATTTTTATAAACGATACCTAGCAGCAGTAGTACGTCTGGGTAAAGTATTCATCCCTCTATTTCAGTTCCTAGCAACTCATTTGTAATTCAAACGTAATAGTCAGGGGTTGTTGCGAGTAGTCTTGCACTCCATTGGGTATAAGTACCAAGTGTAGTATTTTGGCTTAAGCCCTCCGAGGCTCACCAGAGGGGCCAAGACATACACTCTCCTTCATTAATCATTCCAATAGAGGATAAATTACCTGCATCACATGTAATTCCACGATACTTTAAGCTCTGGTTAATATTCCAGTTTAACCTCTTCAAACGACCCAGTAAACTCAATAACTGATAGGTGGGCGTTCGTGTGCAGTTGAACTATTAGAAACGATTAGAAAGTTAAGGTTAACTGCGCAGGAAGCAGGGGATTTTCCGGCTATACGCAACTGATGCTTCGGGGCTTTGGCGTATTAACAGCCCTGTTCGATTCGAGATTTGGGCGATTATGTAGTTAGAGATGGTGGATGGATGTATGAAATAGAGTTCCTCAAGCTTGGCGGATTTGCAGACTACGGAAGCCAATTTAAGGAGTGTTTCAACTTGAGGGAAGACCATTTCTTTGAAAAATGAAAATCTGCCCAGAAAGACAAAATGGCGAGAGTATCCCAGAGAGTCAGTAGGTGGCCTGGCCAGCAGCCTGCCGTGGGCCGTACACCACCAGCAACCAAGGCCTGGGGTAACATGCGATCACGTGATTGATAGGCACGTGACACGTCCTTATAAACACACCGTTCCCACAACCTTCTCCGCCAAAATGTCCTACGAAGACAAATTCGACGCAAGCTTGAGCTTGTTGCGGAGATTGCACCCCAAGCAGATCACCGCCAACCTCGACAACATATGCACCTTGATCCAGCAGAACAACGGCGAGGATGAATTGGTCCAGGACCTCTTATCGTCAGTGGATACTCCTTTGAAGGTGGTCAAATGTCAAGACACAGGCAAGCCGTTTTTGTGCTGTGATTACAACCGTGATGGTGACTCGTACAGGTCGCCATGTTCCAACAAGTACTTTCCTGTCCAAGCAGATGACGACGAATTGCCTCCATTTCCTTCCAACACCATCCGGCAATTGGAAATCAAGGCCAACGACGCATTTGACGTCTACAGAGACTTGTACTACGAAGGCAGCGGCATCTCGTCAGTATACTTGTGGGACACTGAAGACGACGAGACCTTGGACGGATTTGCAGGCGTGGTGTTGATCAAGAAGGACACTGAGGATGGGTCTGGAAAGTGGAACTCCATCCATGTGTTTGAGGTGATTCCCGAGTCTGCATCTACTGCATTGTACAAGTTAACCACCTCAGTGATCCTTGACTTGAAAAACAACGATGACAGCTCGTTGTCGTTGGCTGGAAGCTTGACCAGACAGCTCGAAACCATCCAGACCTTGGAGGTTGACGGAGGCTCCAACTTGGAGACCTCCCACTTGATCAACTTAGGCACGTTGGTGGAAAAGTCCGAGTACAACATCCGTAACTTGCTCCAGGAGGTCTACTTCGACAAGTTGAAGGACATCATGCTCAAGGACTTGAGGTCTGTGGGCGATCTCGGCGACCAGAAGCTCGAGAACTTGAAGCAGTCGGAGCTCATTAAGGGTCTACAGGGATTATAGTTGTACTGTCGTCGATTGTATAGAGGAGTTTGAAATTCCATGATTTACCAGGAAGAGTCTGGATGGATGTAGGCGTAGTAGAATTTCAATCGGGTGATGCTAAGGAGTGGATAGTTCATGCTGATGGATTTCCGGCGTCATTTCTTGAGAAGTCCATGAAATGTCATTGCCTAAATGTCCTGTGAAATGAGAGTCATTACTTAAATAAAGTTGCTTGAATTGGGAGTCATTGCTTGGTAATTGTCCGTGAACTCTGAGATTCGAATAGATAATGCAGAAGTATTGAGTGTAGCTGTTTGTAAATTCACAAAATAATCGATCATGCTAATTGATTCCATAGATAATCAGAATTATTGACTGTGTAGTTGATGTTAGTTCACACAAAACTCAACCATAGCAATTGATTCCAATAGATAATGCAGAGTTGTTCCTGGGTAGTTTGTTAGTTTCACAAATCTCAACCATGGTACTTGATTCAATGGATGAACAGAATTTGTGGCCATAGTTGTTTGTCAGTTCACACGATAATCGTGATTGATTCCGTAATCAAACTAATTGTCTGTGCTCGTTCATTTATGAGTTCTTTCGGATGCTTGAGTACATCGACAAATCGATCTTATCGTCAAGCTCGTCGTCTTTGGTGTCCAACAAATCTTCGTAGTCGCTGTTGTTGATTATGGCCTTATCGTCTTGAAAAACCAAGGTATTACCATTGGAATCATCTTCCTCGTTGAGATGTATAGTGGAGCCTGTGTCGAGGTTATACATTGGACTATGGTTTAATTGGGCCCCAGAGCTCGACCGCGAGACTGCTGCTCCCTTGGAGTCTTCCTCACTCAACGAAGAAAGTACGTTGGTCTTCACATCATTCACAAAAGACCAGATGGAGGACGATACTGTCTGGAGCATGTCTTCTGTATTTCGCTGGGGTGGTTTCAAGCTCGTTGCAGTGAGTGTTTCTGAAGACGAGGCTGGCTCTGGAAAGTCCTTGTCTAAATCGATGGATGAGACTGGCTTTGATTTCGACTTCAATGGGGATGGAACAGACCCGTAGCTCGAAATCGAGTCCTCGGAATTGCGGGATCTGTAGTGAGTGCTTCCGGAAGACTGATCCACGCTGAGGTGTTGCGGATGTTGGCTTTGTAGGTGTGGAGTACTGACGAGCGACTTTTCGAACTCGCTCTGGAGCATGGAATCGAATTGTTGAAGCATGTTGAGTGGTTTGGCAAGGTTGGTCCAGAGCTTGGAATTGCGCTTGTCAGCACCTCCCTGGCTGGTAGTGCTGGGAGTAGTGGCTGCTGCACTCACGTCCTTGGCCTGTTGGTAATGCAATGATGACGATAGAGTTCTTCTGCGAGACTTATTTCGGGTGCTGGCTATCGCCTCGTCTCGAGGGTTGCTGTTCTGTCTCTGGTGCCTGGTCTTGACGCCAGACGTGTTGCCCTTCAACTCGCGGTACAACGACTTCTGGATCACTTCTCGTAACTTGTGGAGCTCCTTCTCGTGGCTGTCCAACTTGAGGGTCAAGTTGGATATATTGTCCTTGATCTCCACGATGCACATTTCCTTGAGGGCCATGAGCCTGAGCTGCTCGTCAATGTCGAGTGCCACCAATTGGTCCATCTGAGGGAGAGGCAAGTCGTACTTGAGGTCTTCTACAGAACGCTCGTTGACTTTGGGCAACAATGGCAGGGTCTGCGGAGGCAAACTCGATACTGACCGCTTGTGGGTGGAGGGAAACTGCAGTAACGGCGTGGTGGTGTACGACAGCGACGGTGTGGTGGCAATTGGCGACACTGCCAAGTTCAAGCTGATTCCTTTGCTTCTGGACACTGATCTGGGGAGACTGGATCTGTCTCTGGTCTTGTAGGAGGCCAGTTTGGGCCTGGATTCGGAGTCTGAGGCCATGACGTCGTGGGTGTGCCGCGACTCGGGCGTTGTGAGAGGCTGTGGGGTGGGGTACAAGTCGGGAGACTTCATTATCTGGTTGGGTGTTGATACGGTTCAATAACAATAATGGAGGTGGGGTCACGCGAGGGGTATCACGTGATCGCGTGTGGGCTGGGTAGGTTTGGACGTCTGGGGTCCCAGAGGGCCGGGAAAGGGGCAAAAATGGTGCCTTGGCGGCAGGGGTGTTCGGGGGGCCCCGCAGCAGGCGTAGGCTGCCCGCCTCTCAGGCTGGCAAGCCATTTCTGGCCAGATCACCACATCCAATGTCGCACTTCGTGTCGCGCGACTGTAAACATTTCCACATGCTGCCAACCACACCATCATGAGAAACGTCCAGCTCCTCCTCCAAGATCCGTCGGTTTCCAAGTGGATCAAGTGGGTCCTCGTGCTCCTTGTGGCACGAGTCAAGAAGCCACTCTTCTGGTCCAGTTTTCTCGCGTTGAATCCGCTAATCAGAAGAGTCCTCCAGTCATCCGAGGTCCACCCCCACCTAGCCAGGCTAGTAGGACCCTCCAAGTCGGCTCCCGAGTCCCAGCGTGATGAGACCATTGGCAGACGTCTTTCCAAGCTCTCCAACATCGTCACATGTGCGTTCTTGTACTTGGCTACCCACAGCAACAATGGGTTCCCCAAAGACTACGTGCTGATCTACCTTTGGATGAGCTACTACGGCGAGTTGGACAAGCCGTCGGACCTGCGGGTGTTGGTGTCGCCACAGACATCACGCTACTTCAAAGTCGAGACCTACAGCCCATCCGTGGCCCTGTTGTACCAGCACAAGGAGTACGTGATCTACCCCCTCATCTTTGGCCAGCTCTTGTCCAACTACTTAACGCCCACCAAGTACAAATTCAACCAGAGGTACTTGTCCAGCTCCATCAAGTCACAGATCTTGAGTCCCATCTGGATCACCTACTCGCTCGGAGTCAGGTCCCATTCCATTGCGTGGGGACGGTTGTTCCGCAGCTACGCGTACCACAACTTGGTCATCGGGGCGTTCGTGGGCTTGATGGCGTTCAAATCGCGTGCTTTGGACCAGTACTACGAATTGAAGTACGGCATCGTCTCCGGCAAGTCCGTGGCAGATATCGTCAAGCAGTACGGCCTTTACATCTTCCACAAGGCCAACTCCTACACCAACTTCATCTACCTCCCTAACATCGTGTCTATGTTGTTGATCTCGATCTCGGCATCGACGTTGTCATCCATGAATCTCTGGAACAACAAGAATTTCTTTAAGTTATACATCAAGACAATCGGGTTTATCGCTGGTTTCGTGACCCTATACGTCAATGCGCAAGAGTTTGTGCCGGATTTTGGCTACCTTCGTGACAAGTCCGAAAAGAACAATATCCGTACCGTTTCAAAGACTTTCCTTGACGGGTTGAACTTGTATTTGTTCAGGTTGATTTTGTTGTCGAAATGGAGAATCACCAAGGAGAACCACCCCAGTTTCAGGAAGTTGAAGTTGAGCAGCTGGTACAAGATCGAGACCATCTTGATGTGCTTCGGAGTCTACAAAATAATGACCTTGAACGACTTCTTGAAGAGACACGGAGGAAACACAGAGCTTGAAAGTCTGCCCTTGATCAAGGGAATTGAGATGATCATGTGAATGGGAATAGAACAACAATTCGCCATTCCTGATGTATTAATACTTAATTGATTTTTCGCTAGAGCATGTTTGAGAAGTTATGTTCTGACCTGCAAGAGAATTCGGAACTTTAGTGTATAGCTTTAATCGCAGAGACTTATTTATTACTCATCTATCAATACCATTAATACTTAATATTTTATTACTAGATATTCTCAGAAAGCAGTGGAGAATGATCACACTAGTTGAGAAATCAGGAACTGAGAAATATGTTTATATGATAAACAAATGATAGCATGAAAATGTAAAGAATCAATAGCTGATCAATAGAACCCTTTTCCAGAACCCTCCAGAGAAACAGTATATAATTTCTATAGAACCCAAAGTCTGTCATGTACTTTTACTTCCATAATACTGGACAGTTCTATTTTATCTACAGTCTTTGCTTCTTAACATCTAGTATACTAAGCTATGGATCTAGTAACCACCTGCGCCTGGAGCTTTTTCCTTGCCCTTCAACTTCTTCAACAACTCAGTGAATCTGGACTTGTCTCTATCTTCATTCTCAGGCAAGTCGCCGACCTCAGTCACCAACTCGTTGACTCTGTCCCACAAGGTACCTCTTTTCAAGAAGCCGTCTCTCTTTTCCAAGTATTGCTCCTGTTCCTTCAAGACCTCCTTAGAGTGTTGTTCCTTCTTGTTATTGTAGTTGTCGTAAAAATCATCGATGGTTTGTTGGGCTTTTTGAACAACGTCCTTCTTCTTCTTGGAGTTGGCCTCTTCTCTCTTGGAGATCTCCAAATCACGACGTTCCTTCCACTCACTCAAATGCTTGGATTCACCGTCGAATTGGGTGGTGGAGTTACCAAAACCTTCAAATTGCTCGTCCTCTTCGGATTCGTGGGCATGTTGGTTTTGACCAGAAGGACCTGCTTCTTCTACTTCGGGGAACTGTTCTTTGAAATCGTTTATGTCGTCGTCGCTTTCTGCTAAGATTTCTTGGTCTTGTTCGGTTTTGAATTCATCGCCCACCAATTCGCTTTCACGCGACAAGAAGTCGGAGCTTCCTAAGTCTTCTGTTTCGAGGTTTTCTGAGTCCAATGCTGGGAATTTGTCGGCCATGGTGGATGTTGGAGTTGGTTAGAAATGGCCATGTTGTTCAACGTTGATCGCGGGCGTAGATCGTCCACGTGACCGTGGTCACGTTCACCACCACCAATAAGTCTACATGATTCCTCCAGATAGTCCAATTCTATATACTCTAGTGTTTCTGGCTCAGGCCCTATAATGCTATCGAGTACACTCTCACCGAGGTGTCGGCGCTGGCCACTCCCAATAATAATTTATCGCCAATTTCATTGCTGAAGGCCAACTTGGAAACCTTGCCTGCAGGAGTGATCTCTTTGGACACTTCAAGCACAAGCTGGAGCTCGGAGGTCTCTAGATCGGCAGAGAAGAGGTTTATGTCACCAGCCTCAGTACCCACGGCCACTACCAACTTTCCGGACACTGGCGAGTTCAAGCACGAGATGGAGGTCACGGGATCAGCCAACTTGGTAGATGCAACCAAGTCCACACTGTCTTGGTTGACCCTCCACAATTTGATCAGCTTGTCTCTGGAGCCAGTCACAAACACGTGACCCAACTGGGCAGGGGCCCATGAACAGTCCCAGATGATTCTGGCGTGAGCTTTTGTGTTGAGCTGGACCAATTCGAAAGTTTTATCGTTGACGCTCCATAAACTGAACTGTCTGTCTCTTGAAACTGCCAAAAGATACTTGCCGTCGCGCGAAAATTCCAAGCTGGTAATGGTGAGGTTGTGGCCTTCCAAAACCTGAGGCAACTGTTGGAAGTCGTTGGCAGAATCGAACACTCTAATCACAGCATGCTTGGAGGAGTTGGATTTGCAGGCAGATGCAATTAATCCGGTTGGTGACGTAGCGCAACAGGTGATTTCGTAACCATGTCCGTACAACTTTTCAATTTCTGGGAAAAGAGTGTATCTTTGGAGGTGGTCCTCCAATGGAGGCGATGACAATGCCTCTATGATATCGTCCTTGTCGTTGGTAGGAACGTAGTTCTCCTCTGCGTCTTGCTGCTGCTGGGCAGCCTCACCGGCCTCCAACTGCTCGTTGGCAGCCTTGTTGGACAATCCCAAGACGGGTAATGCAGCAGACTCTGGTAATTGATCGACATCCTCTCGGGCCACGATTTGAATGTCACAAAGCTTGTCCAAGAGCTTGGTGATGGAATGGGTGATTTCAAACACTCTCAAAACCTTTTCGTCACCTCCCGACACGAACTTGGTGGCGTTGATATTGTCGAGGCATATCATGTTGTAGCCGTGGATTTGGGGTCTGGCAAATTCGTGCCAGGTTTGGTCGGCCTTCCAAGGAGCGTATAACCTTGAGGTCTGGTCCAAAGAGGTGGAAAGCACGTACTTGCCGTTCTGGGACCATACGATATCGGTAACCTCTCTGGTTGGACCAGAAATTCCCAAAAACGACTCGAAGGTTTTGGCATCGTCGTCGGATTTGTAGACTCGGAATGAGCCGGTTTTACCGTTGGCCAAAATGTAGTGACGGGAGTCCTCGATGAGCCACAAGCACGACCAGAAACCACCAGAGGCACCTGTGGCGGTGGACGCACCCTTGATGGACATCTCACCCAATCTGTTCACACAGCACCAAATCCCTGATTCCTGGTCCATTTCCCAGATCATCAACGCAGTGTCTGCACTGGTGGAGAGGAGCTGAAGCTTGTTGGAAGGGTTCCACTGTAAGCCAGTGACCCAGTCGTCGTGGCCCATGATCAACGCCTCGAAACTGAATGCACCACGTCCAGTGCCCACTGCGAATTTGTACTGCTTGTTGGAGAGCAAAATGAGCTTGCGTTCGTCCTCATCCGAGTCATCGATATAATCGTTCAAGTTGAGTCTCCACAACCGGATGTATCTGTCCTGGGAGCCACTGGCCAAAATGTACGACTTGTGGGGAACATCAGTGACGAAAGAAAGGCACTTGACCCAGTCCTCGTGGCCCTTGAGCACGGCACTCTGCACTACAGAGACGTGGTCGACATCGGGCCAGTTTAAGCAGTAGATGTAGATCGACGAGGTCACGCCTCCAATGGCAACGATGTAGTTGTGGTGATCCACCCGCTGGAGGGCGAGAGAAAGCGGGAAGAGCCCAAGAGCGATTTCTGCCAGGCCCACGGCTTCAAACTGGTCGTCTTTGAGCGCCCACGTCTTGACTGTGCCGTCTGCTCCCCCAGTGACGAACATGCCATCGCACACTGCGATACAGGTAATGGACTTCTGGTGGTGTTCGGTAGCTTGCACGAGCGAATAGCTAGAGCCAGTCCTCCTCCACACACAGAGCACGGCGTCCTCGCCTCCAGTCACCAAGAAGTCGGTGTTGGGTATGAATTTGACCGCAGTCACCTCACGGGTGTGTTGCTTGAGCGTGTGATAGACTCCAGTGGTGGAAAGCGGCTCCCATAAGGCAATGGTGGTGCCAGCACCGTACGCGACGGTCTTGTGCTGTGCCAGGTAGTCGGACACGAAGTTCTGCCTGTTGGCGCCGATGAACACGGCATCTTGAGATACGGAAGGCATGGTGGTGGTGAAAATGAATTTTCTGTGCGAGCTGATGAGATGGGTTGGTAGATGCAAATCGAGAAAAGTAATGAGACTTGATATGGACGACGAAGAGTACACGGACAGGAAACACACGGGAGAAAGCACAAGTATAGCGAACACGAGGAAGTGGTGAGCACGCGGTACCAGCTCAATCATGGACTGGAGCACTATTAATCAGATTTTAGGAACATGAAGGGTATTCCTGGGATTTGCATTGATTGGTTTATTGGGGAGTGGTGGCAGAACGCGGGTCAAGGACTAGAAGGATGTTTGGATAGAGACGAGAGTAGAACAGTGACAGTCTTCTATCCATACTGATACTCTTGGGAAAGAGATGGTTGTGGAATTATCACGTGATTACGATGAATCTACGATTTGGTTACTGATTGCAAAAATGGCCTGTGCTCGCTTTATTACCGCCCGCCGGCTGTGGAACCTGTTAATATCAGTATTCTTTGGTCCCAGACTACGTTCAAAGGAGCGCTGGATTTTCTAAACCGTTAATTATAGGTTTTCATGATGGCGATGGGAGGGTATTGACTATAAATGACCAGAATCTTACGTTTCCAGTATTCTTTCTGGGTTCTACAGACTAAACATAGAGTTGAAATTTTGATATCAGAAGCAGTATATATTATTGTAATCCAGTCACACTCAAGACACATTGGCCTACGGTGGCATAGTCCAAATTTCTCTATTTTCTCGCCTCAACAAATGGATTCTACTATATTTTGAAGCTATCGGTAGGTTCCATTTCCTAGAAATAAATAACAATCCCAGAATCATTCAGAGTTAAACAATTGTAGTCCATATTGTAACCACTACTTTTGTGTTTTAATCCTATTTGATGCCAAAATTAATAAAAATGCGTTGCAATCGTAATTGACAGGTTGTCTCCCAGACACTGAATCTACGGTTGTAAAATTTTGTAATTTCAAGAAATAATTACTTACTTGAGCAATAAAAGACTACAACTACTAATAAAACTAATTAAAATCAAACCAAACAAGCCAGATTCAATTATTACATGCCTCGCCCCAATGCAAAAAATCCAACCCAAATAGTTTAACAAATAAGATAAGAAATATACAAACATATTTATCTTGGCCACAAATCCTTGTATTAACCGGGGGACTAGGTCGAGATACTTGATCGAAATGCAATTTGGACCTTTTTGATTCTGGTGAAGCATGGATGTTCTGTCCTTTGTCGTGCACCTACCAAATCTCCCGTGATTCAAATCATGTGATGCAACTGGATAATCAACACCAACACCAATACCACCATCATGGTAACTGCGTAAGTATGCCCTTCAGCACCTCCAATTGGACCAACTAACGCCAGTGTAATACTAGTCCAGTCAGCAACACCGGAAACTATCACCCAGTTCCATGACCAGCTCTCCAATGAGCTTCCTGCCATCAAAGGCAAATGGGGTTTCACATTCAGAATCTTCCGTAACAACCCCTACTCACTAGCACCCGAGGCAGTGGAAGCTGGAGAGACTACCACCAAGGATGTCAAGTATTTCTACACATTGTCGCCATCATACATCAAGGACTCTACCATCACGTTGATCGACAAGAAGTCGACGGGAGTGTTTACCAACACCATCCACGAAGAGGCAAGCGAAGAAGGAGGAATAAGCATCCCCGATAGTCACCTCCACAACGGTGCTACAACTGGGTTGAACGATCCATTCGAAATGGTGGTGGGGTTAAAGTTTCAGAGCATGTGGACCCAACGACAGTTGATCAAGGGCGACGGGGGCCAGATCTACGAGCTCGAAAACGGCAATCTCACCATCCGTACATCCAATGTATTTTTGCACGGAAATTTCCGGGGACTCTTGATCCAAATTGACTTGAACAATGGGGTCGAGAAAGAGCGTCATACCGCGTTCGAGCGGGTCCGCAAGAAGTATAGTATTCCACAAGGACCCATGAGCTGCGAGGTCTTGGATGTGGAGAATTTGGATGTTTGGGGTGACTTGTGCTTGCAGTATGCTGAAATTTTGAACTTCTAGGTGAAATTTATTTTCACTTGAGCATCCTTCAAAGCTGTCAATGTGAGAAACAAGGTCAATGTATTGTATGGTAGTATGAAATCTACAAATGTGCCCATTGCATGTCACATCTACTCAAAATTAAAAACTACAGCCTAATTGATTTTGAGAATCTGTCTCATTGCCATACGGACACCTCCAATATTCATAAGCTAGTCTAAGCTAGTGGTCGACGTGTTAGAAAGTTGAATAGTTCATGACTCCAACACTCAAAGTTGAATCCCTTGCATGAAAAAATCGACTAAGGCATACATTGGATATATGTAATGATTATAATTGCGTAGACAAAAATTTCAGGTGGTTTACTAAAAAAATAACGATATAATGAAGAGGAGATAAGTAAGAAAGCGTTTGTGGTTAATGTTTCTTTAACTTCATATAGAATTTCCAGGTAGACTCGATTGTACAATAATTAGTTTGCTTCGTTAAATAAAATCGCTAGGAAATTTTACAGCATTGAGCAGCACTACACAATTAGACTTCTAGCATAAATTCTGGATAGAAGATACTGTTGACACAATTAGCATTCTAAACACTGTAGAAGAAAGTGTTCTAAAGGTATAGTATAAACATTCGAGCATGCTAGACATAATGCTGCTCTTTTACCACCTATCATTCATCGTAGAATTATAGAAACGAATTCTAGATGGGTGATCCTTTTATGAGGGAATAGGCCATTTGAAAATACTAAATGTAAGGTTAACACCAAAAGCCATAAAACCACTCCATAAATTCCGAAAAACCAGTGAATTTTCATTTTATTGCCTCACTTGTCCACATCTTCTTCTAATATTCTTGTCTCAAAATTATCTCTCTTCTTCTGATTAACGATAAACAAGATAACTTATTTGATAATACCACTTTTATTCCTGTATTCGTGTCTGTTCCTACCGAGTTAACCCTCCAGTGAAATTGAAAGATAAATCACATTCTAAAACAGCAAAAAACCATACGATTATTTAATTCCTACGAAAGCTTGTATGTGGACTTTTAAGTATCTTTTTTCTTATCTACTTACCCAAAACCTGTTCAAACTTTCCATTCCATTTGCACCCATTCCTACTCGTGTCTGTCCTGCAGATAGACCGAAATTTTTGAGATGAGTTAAATCTCCTCATCACAGTCTATCAACTACATCACCATGCCCAAGTCCAAAAAGCAACAAAAGGTCCACCACAAGCTGAAGAGAGCGTTGGCCAGAGACGAGGAGGAAGAGGTTCTCAAAAAGTTGGAGCGCAGAATCGACGAATACGACCCAGCTAAAGATGAAGACTCCATGACCCAATTCGAAGAGCTTCCCATCACAGAACAGACGCTCAAGGGCCTCAAAGAGGCCAGTTTCGTCAAGATGACCGAGATCCAGAAGAAGACCATCCCTATCGCCTTGAAGGGTGAGGACTTGATGAGCACGGCCAAGACAGGCTCCGGGAAGACGCTTGCATTCTTGGTGCCCACCATCGAATTGTTGATCAGAAACAAGACCTCAGAGTACGACGGGTTGACGGCACTCATTGTGCTGCCCACGCGTGAGTTGTCGGTTCAGATCTTTGAGGTATTGACCAAGATCGGAAAGTACAACAACTTCTCGGCTGGTCTCGTGATTGGAGGCAAGGACTTCAAGTTCGAAAAAGACAGAATATCCAAGATGAACATCTTGATCGGAACGCCAGGCCGTATTTCGCAGCATTTGAACGAGTCGGTGGGGTTGGAAGTGTCCAACTTCCAAGTGCTCGTGTTGGACGAAGCCGACAGATGTTTGGACATGGGTTTCAAGAAGCAAATCGACAACATTATTGGCCACTTGCCAGCATCCAGACAGACCATGCTCTTCAGTGCCACCCAGACAGACAACATCAAGGACTTGGCACGGTTGTCGTTGACCAACCCTAGAAGAATCGGCGGAAACACCCTCGGAGTGGACGGCTCAGACTCGCAGGAAGTTTCCCTGAGCTCGATCCCTGAAACCCTTAGCCAGTTCTACATCCGCATCCCGTTGGACGAGAAGTTGGACGTGTTGTGGTCATTCATCAAGTCGCATCTCAAGAGCAAGATCTTGGTGTTCTTTTCGTCATCGAAACAAGTGCAATATACCTACGAGACCTTCAGACAATTGCAGCCGGGAATATCGTTGTTGAAGTTGTACGGACGGAACAAGCAGACCACCCGTTTGGAGACCATCACCAAGTTCGCCAGATCCCAGCACTCGTGCTTGTTTGCCACAGATATTGTTGCCAGAGGTTTGGACTTTCCCACCATCGACTGGGTCATCCAGGTCGACTGTCCCGAGGACGCTGCAACCTATGTGCATAGAGTAGGCAGATGTGCCAGATTCGGAAGAAAAGGAAACTCATTGGCCATGTTGTTGCCGTCAGAAGAGGAGGGCATGTTGGCCAGATTGAAGGCCAACAAAATCGAACCCAAATTCATGAACATCAAATCCAAGAACAAGAAGTCCATCAGGCCCCAGTTGCAGTCGTTGTGCTTCAAGGACCCCATCTTGAAGAACCTTGGACAGAGAGCATTTATCTCGTACTACCGTTCCATCTTCGTCCAGAAAGATAAGGATATCTTCAAAATCGATGCATTGCCTACTGAGAAGTTTGCTGCTTCGTTGGGACTTCCAGGAGCTCCCAAGATCAAGATAAAGGGTGGCCAAGGAGCCAAGGAGAAGAAGAACATGTCTAGAAAATTGGTGGCCTTGGAACAAACCAACGACGATGGTGAAGAGGCCAACGACAAGGGCGATAAGGTCAGAACCAAGTACGACAGAATGTTTGAGAGAAAGAACCAGACAGTCTTGTCTGACCATTACTTGAACCTCGCAGGCACCAAGAAGGCACAAACACAAGCAGAAGACGAGGAAGACGACTCTGACGACGACTTCATGAAGGTCAAGAGAAAGGACCACGACCTCAACCTCGACGAGTTACCTGACTTGAACAAGCCTGTCTCTAAGAGAGCTGAGAAAAAGGCACTCTCCAAGAAAATGTCCCTGACAGGTAATGCCACGAAATTGAAGTTCGACGACGATGGTGTCGCCCATCCATTGTACGAATTGGAAGACGAAGACGACTTTAAGGCCAAGGGAAGTGCCAAAGACCAGAAGGAGTCGTTCGTCAGCAAGGAGACCGTGGCGATGAACGAGGCAGATATCGAAGACATGTTGACTGTCAAGGAAAAGAAGAAGGAGAAGAAGAGAAGAAGAAAGGAGATGGAGAGAAGAATGAATGAGAGCAGTGACGACGAAGATGCCAACATCGAGCAGGATATGGAGTACTCCAGTGGTGAGGAACCAGATTCGAAGAAGCCTAAGTGGTTCCAGAACGATAAGCATGTCAAGAAGAATGACGACGTTCTTGAAATTGACGAGCCAGAGACCTTGGAAGACTTGGAATCGTTGACCCAAAGATTGTTGCAGGAATAAGGCCGATAGTCTTGAGAAATGGCTGTATTGACACAATACTCAAGCACCAAATATTCCATCGTCGAAGGCTACTGGGTTCATCCCAAGGGCGCTGTAATAGAGATGTAATACTAGAGCATAATAAATATCATCAGAAAGAATAAACTGTAAACAGTGAAACCTTACTGGGCGTAAAATGGCTTGTGTACTGCTTAGAACAATTTAAAGCTGTATGAAGAATCCTATTAGTAAATTCTTTTCCAACACATAGACTCGAACTAGAATAAGATGCATTAACAGTACATTGCTTAACCAATTAAATTAATATACCCCGAATATTAAATGTATTGTAAGTATTGATTATATATTAACTAAAACAGTGCTTTACATCCATGAAGTATTCAGTGTACCTATTTCTTCATTCTGCCAAATGGTACTTATTAGATAAGTATGCATTACTAATCATTGCTATCGATGTATCAACTACTACTCTCTGTTGCCCATTGGATGGTATTATCGTGATGTTTTAATTGCCCTGTCCACCGCTTCCAGCTAGTATTCCATTTTTATGTGGTCTCTTGTAAATATTACCCTTTGCTGTGATTTCCAGCTAGTTGTGCCCTTTCTATGGTTTCCAGCTAATATTACACTATTATATTGTCACTATATACTCATTTTCACAACGTTCCTCAGTTAATGATCGGAGTAGCAACTAATTTCTCTTCCACTGCACCAAGCCTTACTACCTTTCCCCTCACCTTTCTTCCCTCTTCGTCCATCATTTCAACATCTTCGCCTTCCGGAGCTTCAGTTAATTCAAGCATTACCAACTCCTGCAAGAAGCTAGAGGGATTACCCTTGGAAAGCAATAAGTTGTTATCGTTCCCCAAGTTGATAGAGATCTTACCTGACTGGTGGATATTCACATGGCCAATCTGGCCCTTGAGCTGGGCAACATCAGACACAAACCGGGACTTATACGACGATGTCTTCTTCTCCGCCGGCTCATCTTTCACCCCTGACTGGTTTTCGTATTTGGGCAACACTTTGGGTAAATGGAATGCAATGTAGTTCTCGTTGGGTTCGGATTCGGTAGAGAGCTGGTCGAATCGGTCCGTCAACAAGTCCAAGATCTCTTGGTGGTCGACGATGAGCTTGTTGGACTCTTCTCGGTCGAAGAGATCGGTTGGCTCGGCAATCTTGCTTTCTAATGCTGCTTTATGTTGTTTTATGATCTCCAACTTTTCTTCAAGTGGCTCGCTTTTGACTGTGGGTTCTCTGCTCACAGTGGCAGATTCACTATCGACCAATTCGGGAGACTCGGACTTCGTCTGCACTGGTTTCTCCTCTTTGTCTGGGTCGACTCTCTGCGGTCTGACTGGGAAAAGCGTGGTTTCTTCATCAGCAAAACGGTACTCCTCGTTCATGTTGATTTTTGTGTGGTCCTCCTCCTCATTCTCGGACTCGTAGCCTGGCGTAGGCGACTTGGTGCGCTCCTTGAGTTTCAAGTTCTGGAGAAACTCCGGAGTAGGCGAAATGGAGTTGAAGGTCTGGTCCGAGGTCAATCCCAACTTCGATCCATTGGCATTGCCCATCGACACCGATCCCGACGACAAAGGACCTGAAGACACCAAGTGGGTGCCTGCGTAGTTGTTTCTGCCACCACGTCCCCTTCCACGAAGGGAACCACGGCCTCGGATGGGTGCTGATGAGACAGGCTCTTGTTTGACTTGTACTGGGGCATCTTTTGCTCTTTCTTCCTTGGACTTTCTGGCAACAGCCTTGGGCTTGAACTTCAACGACGGCTTGGCGCCCGCAGGGGCCTTCTTGCCGTTTAGGGACTCCAAACGGTTCGACATGAGAGATAGAGGAATCGTAGTTGAAATCAAAAACTGCGATTTTTGGTGATGGATCACGTGTTGTGGATCACGTGTTCACGATGCCTGATAAAAAAATGCTCATCGCCTGCTACATCTACAACTCCAGCCATGGCCAGAAGAACCAGAAACAAGCACCATGTTGGCGAAGACGTCGAGCTCGACGAGGTCGACGCTTTCAACGCTAACCAGGAAAAAATCCTTCTCGATAATGCCGGCGACTACGCACAGGCGGACGACTACGACGAGTCGTCAGAAGAAGAAGTCATGGGTATAAACGTTGGAGAAGACAACGAAGACGATGTCGAGGATGATGACGAGGACGAGGACAGTCTTGGTGAGGATGAAGAGGAAGCTGAAGACGAGGAAGTCGCTGGTTGGGGTGGAAAGAAGGCGTACTACGGAGGAGACGATGCCAGTGACGATGAAGACGCTAAGCAAATGTCGGAAGAAGCATTAAGACAGCAAAAGAAGCACTTGGAGGAGTTGGCGCTCGATGACTACGTCGACGAGGATGTCATGGAGGACTGGAAGAAGGGCGCAGTCGAAGAGCAAGAGAAGCAGGAGGCCAAATCACAGTTCATCATAAGCAAAGACAGCACGATAAATAGCCTCAGCGACGGCGAGAAAATGGAGTTGTTGACGCAGTCGTTCCCAGAATTCGTGCCGTTGCTCTCGGAGTTGACTCTGCTCAAGCCTCGGTTGGAGGAATTGCAAGCCAAACCATCCAACGAGCTCGTGGAGGTCAAGAAGGTAGCATTGGCAGCATACTTGGGGTCCATTGCCTCATACTTTGCCATGTTTGTCGACAACTTGAACGGCGAAGCTTTCAGCAGCATGAAGGAGAATCCAGTGATGGAATCCATTTTGAGATCCAGAGAAGTGTGGAGACAGGCCAACGAGTTGCCAGACAGCGAGTTGGCAAAGCACACAGCAGGTCCCGAGCTCGAGTCGGGCTCAGACGTCGAAATGGGTGCCTTGGAGGTGGATTCCGACATGGAATCGGACTCAGACTCTGGGTCTGGTTCTGGTTCTGAATCGGACTCCAAGTACGTGGATGCCAGAGAATCGGAGTCTGACATCGACATCGACATCACAGCCAAGCGTTCCATCAAGACTGCTGCTCGTGCACGTACTGGTGACTTCTCGGAAGCCACTCCAGATGATGTGGATATGGAAGATAAGCAACGTCGTAAGAAGACTTTGAGATTCTACACATCCAAGATCGACCAGGCCCAGGCCAAGAACAACGAGCGCTACTCAGGTGACTTGGACTTGCCCTACAGAGAAAGATTGTTCGAAAGACAACAACGGTTGGTGGAAGAAGCCCGCAAAAAGGGATTGGGCCAGGACAAATTGCAATTGGGAGACGACTTGGACGGCCAGGACTACGGCTCCGAAGACGAACGCGTGGCAGAAGATGTCAACAATGGCGACGACCTCGAGTACTACCAGTCGTTGAAGCAGTCGGGAACAGACAAGAAAATGGCCCGCAAACAGGCCCACGAAGAGGCAGTCAAGGCTGCCAAGGAAGGCAAGTTGGAGGAGTTGCAGGAGCACTTGGGTGCGGACGGCAAGAGAGCCATCAACTACCAGATCCTCAAGAACAAGGGTCTCACACCCCACAGAAAGAAGGAGTACAGAAACTCGAGAGTCAAGAAGAGAAAGCAGTACGAAAAGGCCCAGAAGAAGCTTGGTTCCGTCAGACAAGTGTACAAGGGCGACAGCGGTCCATACCAGGGAGAAAAGACTGGTATCAAGAAGGGATTGTCGCGGTCTGTCAAGTTGGTGTGAGGAGGTGGTTGCTGTGGAACGAGTTCCCACTGATGTTTATCTTGTTCATGAACTGGGTGTATTAACGTACTGGAAGGCGATATTTCAGGCGTGGTTAGTATGCTGGACAGTGCTAGGACAATCATGGTTATGTATGTAATTGATGTATATAATAAAGGAGATTTAAAGATTATATAATAGAATTTTTCAACTTCTGGAATTTACAGCTCCAAAAAATTATACTAGAAGTCCCCTTCGGCATATGGTGACAATTGCTACCGCCTTGCCAATACCAAAATTTTACATTCACAATGTTTATATTTTCCACGATGGTTTGTATTGTTAATATATACTGGAGATGTTGTGTCGTATTCTATAAGATTTAGCATCGCTGGTGGGGTCTTACGACAGAGGTGATTCGTCGCTTCGGAAAACTGACGGATCTAAGAATGGGTGGCCTAACGACTGAAGGTGATATCGTCGATTCTAAGAATGGACTTGACACATTCTGAAGCCAAGGTGACGGCACTGGTGCTGACCAATACTGGCTGCAACACATGCTCGTCGTAGGTATTAGAGGCACCCGATCTTCTCACAGAGATCCCGGCGTTCTTTTCACCGTTTTCGTGTCTGTTTCTCAAGTCAGTCACCACGTTAATTGGGTTCAAACCGGCGTTTTCGGCCAAGGTGGTAGGAATCACCTCCAAGGCACTGGCGAACTCCTGGTAAACGAACTGTTCGACACCAACCAAGGTGTGGGACTCCTTCATCAAAGTCTTGGAAACCTCGATTTCTGGGGCACCACCTCCGGCAATAAGGGCCTTCTCCTTGACCAAACATCTGATAACACACAAGGCATCGTGGATGGATCTCTCGGCCTCGTCCAACACCAATTGGTTGGCACCTCTGACGATCACAGACACCGAAGGCTTGATGTTCTTGGAGGTAATGCCGGTAATCTTGACGATCTTGGAGCCGGAGCTTTCGACCTCTTCGACCAAGTCAGCAGAACCCAATCTGTCTTCAGTGAAATTGTCGATATCAGCAATAGGCTTGCATCCAGTGGACTTGGCCAAAAACTCGACCTCATCTCTCTCGATGTCCTTGATGACCATAATGTTCAACTTGGAGAGGAAATGCAACGCCAAGTCATTGACGGCATCTCTCAAAATGGACTTTTGAATCAACAAAACGTTACACTTCGACTTTTTGATCTTCTTACAAATGTTCAATAAGTAGGCTCTTTCTTCCTTCAAGATCTTGTCCATTTGTCTGTAGTCGTTGACCACGACATTGTTTTCCATGTCAGGCTTTGGAGGGGACAACTGGAACTGTACCAAACCAATCTTGGCCTTTTCAACTCTGGTGGGTCCACCAGCGCTCTTGACGACGTTCTGGGTTAACACAACGCCCTTGATCGATTGGGTGTCGTCGATGGTTCCTCCCACCTTCTTGATTAATCTGATGTCGTTCAAGTCGACGTTGTTCTGCTCTTCGTTGATGACCTTCAACACAGAATCCACTGCCAATGGTGACAAGATGGAAGAATGCTGGGAAACAATTTTCGATGATAACGAAGTAGATGCGGCTCTGATTAACTGTTCTCTGTCGTCGAGCTGGATCTTGTAAGACATGTCCAACAAGATTTCGCACGATCTCTTGGCGGCTCTCTGGAAGGACTCTGCGATGAGGGTGGGGTGGATACCTTTGTTCAATAAACGGTCAGCGGCTCCAAGGAAAGCTCCAGTCAAAATTGCAACCGAGGTGGTACCGTCACCAGCTTCGATATCCTGGGCGGCGCTGACGTCCACCAACATTCTGGCTGCTGGGTGCAACACTGCCATGTGCTTCAAGATGGTAGCACCATCATTGGAGATTATGATTTCGCCACTGCCAGTTTTGATCATTTTGTCCATTCCTTTGGGGCCCAACGAGGTTCTGATGGCGTCGGAAACGGCTCTGGCAGCCAAGATGTTGGATCTCCTTACCTCCTGGGGCTTTTCTTTGTCTTTGAACGTGGCATTGGAAGGAGCAATTGCTCTTGGTTGTACTTGGGCCATGGTGGAGTTTTGTGTGTGGCTATTACTGGGGCGTTTGTGGAGGTAGAAACTTGGTTTTTTTTGCAAATCAAAGCTGCAGGTCTCGGTAGTGCCGCTGGGGTGTTATGGGAACGGTGGACTAGGAATAAGGGCCTGGTGATGGGATATACCTGGAGGGAGTGAAGAGTGGATCAGTAAATTTTTGTCGCCGTCGCGGTGAAAATTTGACGGAGGAATCACGTGACCGTGTTCAGGTGCTTTGTGGAGGCTGTACGGCTGAATGGGAGAAATATAATGGACGGGTATTGCAAAGAGTCCTTGGATTGTTCGGTTGATACTGAAAGATACTATCTGGCTTATATAATCATATAACACCAAAAGAAGAAAATAAAATATAAAACAGAAATAGTAGAGGATAAATATTTGTGTTAAACACGTAGATAAAACAACGAAGAGGATACAAATGAAAATAAACCAAATGAAAATAAAGTATCTAATCATTCATTAAGTCGATGATTTGCAAGGGCTATACACGGAGATGGATTTTTCCTCAGACGACTTATTTTTATATCATTTCATATATTGCTAATATATGCTTATGACTTGTCATCAGGTTAGTTTGACTATTTCTCTCAAGTTAGCGGCTAACCTTTGATTATTTATTTCGTTGTGGATCTGGCAAACTTCCGTACTACGATACTAGTAAGTTAACTGTTATGTCATGTGATGCGTATCACGTGCATTGAGTACTTTTTTCACGTTACTTTTGACACGTGCTCCAACATCTCATCTTCGTGCTGACACACCAAGAACACTTCACCATGTCCTACGCCACGTTCACACCCATAGAGGTCACCAAAGCGCACGTGTTGGGCTGTGCATACTCCCAGTGGTACCCCAAGCTCAAAGCACACGCCGTCAAGTCGATCATCCTCAAGCCACTTCCCCAAGAGTTCTTGGACTACTTGGCCAGTGACAGCATCAAGCTTGAAAACGAGGCTCATGGGGTCGAAAACAACAGCGACAACGAGTACAGCGACTGGGAGGACGATCTGGACGGCGAGGATGACGGTGAGACCGCACCTACAGTGACTATAGACCAGCTTCAAGCACTCCACGACCAGATCAAAGCCGGTATCGACAAGCTCGGAGGAGCAGTGACGCCCAAACTCAACTGGTCGGCTCCCAAGGACGCCAGGTGGATCATGGCAGGCAATACCACGCGGTGCACCAGTCCAAACGACGTTTACTTGTTGCTCAATGCGTCGGACCACGTCGTGGACGACTTGGACTACCCTTTCAGCAGCGTGGAAGAGGCGGGAAAGTCCTCACAAGGCGTGGAGGACGGGACTGACAAGGTGGAGTACGAGTTGGTGCTCCGCAAATGGATGGATATTAACCCTGCGCTCGAGTTTCGGGTGTTTGTCAAAGACAACCGGGTGCTCGGGATCTCCCAGCGCGACTTGAACCACTACGTGTTTCTCGAGGCATTGCAGGACGAGCTCAAGCAGGTGATCGAGGACTTTATCTACTCGCAGGTGGTGGGCCAACTTGGCCAGAGCCAGTACATTGTGGACGTGTACGTGAGCCGTCCCTCCAACAAGGTGTACGTGGTGGACGTCAATCCGTTCAGTCGGAAGTGCGACTCGCTTCTCTACACCTGGAACGAGCTCTTGGTGGGAGTAGCCCCCGAATTAAGGCTAATCACCGAAACTAACGTGGGCCGGTTTGCGCAAAAAGAGTACAGCGAAAGCCAGGTTCCATTGGACGTGGTGGACGCAGCCGGCAATAGCGAAGCCATGGTGGAGTTGGCACGGGAGTGGGCCAAGCTCCAGGCGAAATAGGTGGACTGGAGTGTAGCGGAGGTGGAGGTAAGGATGTTTGCTGGTGGTGAAGTATGGATGTTCCTGGGGTCTCCTGCATGTTGACTGACAACCACTGGCGTGCATCGATCCGGGGTTGCGGCGTGCAGACGGCATCTAGAGGTAGGAATGAACATGCTGCGGGTAAGGTTTCCCAGAGGCGGAGTGATTTAGACTTTGGATATTGTGTAAACGCGTAAAAGCCATGGCCGGTATGGCGGTAGTCGCGGGGTCGCTGTTATCGGCACCCCTCGTTATTCAGTGCATGAGGCAGCACCGTGCTTGGGTCTACTCCGACAAATGTCCGGATCAAGCCCGGACCGTCTGGTGATGCCATTGTCAGCCAGTGCCTTGCAGGGTTAAAAAGTTAACTCCTCGGAGGTGGCCCTCGATAGAAGCAGGAGGGGTCCCTACGCAAACACACCGGCCTGACAGACACCCCAGACACCCCAGACACTCCCCATCGGACACAGACACACCGCACCCTCCACCTCCGACACCCAATCCCAATCCTACCAAAACCCTCCCTCACCCACCCCCACCATCTTACCCTGCCCCCCACGCCTTCCGCACCATTTTTCGGACATAATCCGTGAGACACAAATCCGACCCATCCATACATAACGGAGGTCCCCCACCGTCTGCGTCCACCTGCTCTCTTTTCCAAAATGACAGAATCATCCACCGTCGCCCTCTCCGACTCAGACATATTCCTCCCCCACTACCGTGGCAGACTCACGGAAGGCATCACCTACAACCCGTCCAACGACACCCTCCTCTGGGTAGACATCATTGCTGGCGAAGTCCACCGTGTGTTCCTCTCCCAGGAAGGTTCCCACCACCACCAGGTGCTCAAGCACCACGACCCCCAAGAATCGGTGGGTGCCATCGCATTGACCTCCAACGATAACGTGGTGTTGGTGTGTGGCAAATACGGAGTGGCCAAAGGCGACTTTTCAACAGGGCAAATCGAGGCCTATTTCTTCAAGTACCCCCACGACGGCACGCGTTTGCGCTCCAACGACGGCATTGTGGACCCGTGGGGTCATCTCTGGATCGGAGTCATGACGGACTTTCCGTTCGAGCCAGTCAAGCCTGAAGGCAGACTCTACCGCATCAACTGCCACGACTTGACCATCGACACCATGATCGAGGACACGCGGATCTCCAACGGACTCTCGTTTTCGGCCAACGGCAAGCACCTCTTCTGGACCGACTCGTTGACGTTCACCGTGTGGCAGTACGACTACGACTACATCACCAACACCTTGTCCAACAAGAGGCCGTTTTTGGCTACAACCGCGCTCTTTGAGGGTGCCAACGTGCCTGAGCCTGACGGCTTGTGCATGGACAAGCAGGGACACGTCTACCTGGCCATGTTCAACGGCAGCTGTGTGGTCCACGTCGATGAACGGGGACAGTTGGTGGAGAAGATTGGGTTGCCAGCGTTGCGCATCACGTCGGTGACTGTCGGGGGCAAGAACAGTGACGAGTTGTACATCACCACTGCGCACGCCAAGCTTGCGGACGCGGGGGCAGTGATTGACGCTGCCGACACCAGTGGAGATTTGGGGGGTTTTCTCTTCAAGTACACCTGTGGACGGCGCTTGAACGGACAGATCAAGAACACATGGGGGGGACGAAGCTAGATAGAGTAATAGACGCGGCGGCTAGAGGGTGTAGTGGGATGGTGTAGTGGGAGGGGCAGAGGATGGGTGGTCCAGCAGAGGAGTCTGGTGGTCCAAGATATGGGGTGTTTGCCGTATGCTGGGGCAGATAAGTCCAGTAACGAGGTGCGATATCTATGTCTGCAGTAGCATGTTTGGGATGGATATGCTGCGGAGGATGTCTGCGGAGGATGTCTGCGCAGTATAACAACTGCGTGGGAAGTCTGGGCAGAATATGTCCAGAGCAAAGAGAACTCTTGTCGGTAGGTGCAGGAGATGCTAGGGGTGCAGAAATGTCAGCAGGGAACTCTCGGTGGGTGTCTTCCGTGGGATCTCTACCGCCCAACACCTCTGCGCAGATAGGAGACGCAGGGATACCTCGCATGCTCCCACCCTCAGCCAACAATCAATCTCAGATCACTGGTTGACAATCCGATGCCTCACGATACGAACCATCCCGAACAATGTCTGCAACTGAAAGAGATAGTGTCGTGAAATAAAACGAAGTAACAATTAATGTATTAAAAATATGCGTCGCTCTGAAACAACTGACAATAGTACCTCCCAAAAGACTATATTTAATCTAAGACATGTGCCGGCAGTATCTGATCCTGCAACAGCAAGCAGTCACACATACGAAGTGCGCAATACCTCTACATCAACCATCTGGAGGTGCGCGCGCTACACGCCCGCGTAACGCGTGTCGCTGACACCAACCACCACCAGCCAGTTCTAAACTTGGTTCCATCAATGGCTGCAGATACCGTGGGCCAGTGTGCAGGCGTCCCATGCATGACCATGCAGTCTCGTGCGTCTAATTTGACCATCTGGCAATATCCGCACCTCCTAAAATAGCCATGCAGATGGCCAACTGGCCATCTCTACCATCTATTATTACCACCCGCATGTCAACCAAACAAACACACACCCCATCCCCCAGCGATTTGCATGTTACCTCTCGCATATTGCACCTGCTCGCTACCGTAACGCCGAGAATTTCGTACCTCCATTAGTCTTCCCAATAGCTTGGCTGCTTAAGTCTGGCTACCGACAACTATTACCTGCCATACCAATAATATTTCTGTTTCTGTCACCTCCCGCAATTTAAACTCTCGCTGCCTGCACCCGCCCAACTCTCACTGTCAACCCAGTTTAGTCGCATGCACTCTGCGCTCGTAGCTTCAAAACCCGGTCCACGAATTCCTCCACCAAACTGTTCTCCTCAATGCCTCCCACTCTCAAATCACTCAATTTCATGTTCATGATGCTGAGTCGATCCTCCGTAGCAAGCGTAGCCTGGCTGGCCATTTTGCCTGAATTCGCCCCTCCGCTTTTGCTATTGCCAGTGAGGCTGGCGTCGTTGAGGATTTGCAAGAGCGTGTGTAGATGAAACTGAAGAGCCTCCTCCTTAAGCATGGCTCGTATCACACCATCACTGGCGATTTTCTCGAAGAGGCTGGGCTCCTCTTCATGCGACTGGCGAGGGGCTGGAGATGCCTCTTTTACAAGCTGGTCCGGCTGCGATTGCGAGTTCTGGTGGATTTGCGTGTGCTGCTCGCTCTTAAAGCAGACGAGAGAGCAGTAGTGGGTGGGGCAGTGTGGACATCGATACTTGGCCTCGGCCTCGTGGCAAATACCGCATACCTTCGACATGGTTGGTGGTAGAGAGCTGCGATGAGATGTTGAACTTAGATAGCAGGTCGTGCGCACATCGGTTTGTGGGAGGATAACTGGTGTGCACGCAAAAAATAGGTGGTGGCCGCCAGGCCCCGGAATGCATGCGCCAGGATCGGGGGTGTACAGGAACGGAAGCTGGTGTATGTGGTGGTGAGGGATTCCAGTTGCAAACCTGTAGGCCAGCCAGCTTAAGGGACCGAGCCCACCGCTGGACTATGATAGCCAAATGCCTTACTTATTGTTTTAAAGTTTGAAAGCCCTATTCTGGAGCGACAGGGGGATGTTCTGCGCATACAAGCAGCTTTGTGTCGCATTTGCCAAGAGCTGCAGAGATTCAAACCATCACCAATCCATGGATTAGACTAAAAACGGGCGTTAACTGCGGGCAGCATGCTGCATGATTGCGCAGAAATAAATTGAATTGTGCTGACCTTTGCAACAAGTTGGGGCATTCTCGTAACCTATGCAGGATAAATCGACCACAAAATGTCAGATTCTTGTCAGGAAAAAACTTCATCTTGCATGTGGGTGTGGTTTACAGTTTGGAATGTACGCTCGGATGCTACAGAATCCCCATACAACTTTAAGTTCGAATAGAAGAATCCGGCAATTTGAGACAGGGGCATCAAACTCATCCAGGAGACTAGATGGGCCTACATTCGCCACCTAACCCTTGCTGAGAATACCTGTAGCACCGCCTAAAACAAATCTAGTGGGGCTCATCCTAGTGATTAACATTTCGGGCGATTTCACCTCCAGACAATTCCGGAGCACCAGCGAAGAACGGAATGGGCCCATTGCTACATCCAGACAGACACCAGGGTTGGCCAGACAATGTTTAACAGGCTCAGGAAGAGAGCGTTATTAGAGTTCATGCGACAAAGCAGCAAATGTATGACCAGGCACAATTGCACATTATGTAATGGTAATCGTATGTTCCGTTGCAAGGAACTACTTTTAGTACGGTGACAAGTGTATGTGAGGTGTTTGAGAAAATTCCTTGTGAGTGGGAACGCCAAAAAGCAATTCCAGATTGCAGGTATGATGATGCGTCGGGATGATTGCAGGTTATCTATTCACACATAACAATAATCGAGGCATCCACCCTACATATTGCATGCGATTCTTTACAGGTTGATCCCACCAACGCACAGTTACATAGTGACGACTACCTGGTTGAGCGGACATATCTAACGGCCGAGTGGATATGCCATGCATTAAAACCCACTGCGGTGTTTTGCGGTTGGAACATATCTGCATGGGTGCATCATATACGCACACTGTGCATACGGACCGATATCTTCAATCTCACCGACCCTCCTGGAGCCCCATTTACTCTCCATCCCCATCCGCCTTGGATGCAATCAATCACCATGCTGGCAGTCTCTATTGCTGCCAAAAAGTTCCAACTCTCGTGTTAGACTAATTGGTAAAAAATAACTGCACAAAAGCCAACAATTACGAAATTATCATAAAAGCTTAAGCTTAATTGAAGTAGTTGCAGCAATTACAATTTCAAGTTAGGACATGGGCTTTGGGGGACGTACAAGCGCTTACACCTTGGCTTGGTTACGTAAAGGTGGGTCGACCGATAAGTGCACCTCCGTTTGCGAGAGCACGGAACCTCCTACTCTTCCTGGAAAGCGTGCTAGCCATTTACGCATCGTTCCAAGTATATTCTACTACCTCGGGTTTAAGCACGATCGCAGGATTCCCGGTAGGCGCACGCCAGGAGCCCCAAGAAGCACTGGTCTGCAATGCGAATGACTGCAAATCGCACTAGTTTCAGATGTGTTGCACTGGGTGCATTCACTGGCACCGAAAATATCGGCGCTGCTACAATCATCTTTAATTCATGTTATATTTCCTGACCAGCCAATATGTAGGTGCTTGGCGACACACGTAGTATACAAGTTCATAAGCTTCGTTATAGACAGAATGCAGGCCGCCTAGTACCACTGGGTTGCAATGGTAGAAGGGGCGTAGTAAGGGTTGAATGTTTCATGCAGAGGATATGCAACAGGCGCCGCCATCTGGTGAGCAAACGCAAACTGCGCCTGCTGGGGCACCATGTAGTACACGGGCTTGGGCTGGTACTTGTGCGCCATGTAGCCTGCGTGAGCAGCTGGATAGGCAGCGTTGACCATGGCCTGTTGCTGTAATGAGTGGAGTTGTCTTCTTTTGTAGTTGTAGTCCGAGTAGCACGGAGTCAATGGTGTCAATGGTGAGTACCCCACGGCACCCATTTTGCTCAGGGTGCAAGAAGAGAACGAGGCGTCCAACGGCGAGCTGGCACGCGAAATGCTAGGAGGGGTGCGGTACCCATGCTTGGGGGAGACGGAGGAGGTGGTGTAGGCACAGGAGTAGCCAGGACTGGCCACGTAGCTGGAGACAGCTTGCGCTGGCTCCACAGGAGTGTCGTTGTGCAACAACTTCTTGTACTTGTTGACGGAGGACGTGGGCAATCTGAAGACGGTCGAGGTGGCCAAAAGGCTCCAAAACTGCTTGTCGCCATACGCGCCGTTGAACGACAACTTGTAGTCCAAGCATGACAAGAAGTGGCCCTCCAACGAGTTCAACAGCTTGAGGTCGACCTTGACGAGGTCGGGGTTCTCGTCGCAGAGGGTGTTGTTGATGATGTTGAGCCAGGTCTTGAGTGTGTAGCTCTGGTCGTCAAACGACTTGTTGGACAAGATGAGCGACATCACCACAAGGTAGATGTTGATGGACTCGTGCTCGTCGGGAATGACGTGCTCGTTGTAGGCAAACTGGAGGACGTGGTTGTGGTGGTGGTACTTGTACAAGAAGTACAAGCTGATGATGAGGTTGGTGGGGGTCAACTGGGAGTTGTAGATCAAGTGGTCGATGAACGAGGAGTACTTGTTGCTGAAGTCGTGGAACTTCTTGAGGGCATGCTTTCTCTTTTGGGGGGAGGAGGGGCTGGTGGCAGATATTATCATCCATACCACCTTGATGTAGGTGTCTATGTCTTGGCCCATTGGTGTGAAGATAGTGTGGTAAAAACGGGCATGGGTGGAACAAATCAGTATATATATAATTATAGTTTTTGCAGGCTAAATCAATGCTACAATCAGCTGTATCGTTAATGATGATAAAATTATGTGCGTCTAAAGCCTGGATTTCTTTTCGGTATTTTTGCAGCTTGGGGGAAAGTCAGAGACAATAAAAATATTCTGGGTTGCAGGTTCTGGTGTGATCAGAGCTGGGATTGTTACCCCCTGGGTTTTGCGGGTTAAGCACCACCACAAATGATGGTGGTAGAAAATTTAAGCTTTTATGCGAGTTGTTAATTTTTGTGGTGCATGCTGTTTTGGTACAAAATTAATGCCTTGTAGCAGATTATTTTTTGGTGCTGGCCGGTTATACCTACCATGTAGTAATACCATGGTTGGTAACGGTATTTTCATGAAACTCGCAAAATCATCCCAATTAGCTCGCAAGCTCGCAAGCTCGCAAGCTCGCAGGTCTCAACCAGTAAAATCCCCCCAAGCCTAGAATACTCCAGTTCCAGTTCCAGGGAAGTATCTGGTGGTGCATACATTTGCAGTGGCCTCGATTCATCTTTTGATGCCACTTTGTCTTCTAGCTGTGCCTCCTTCTTTCGGACCTGGTCGATCTCCACCACCCTGAAACGCTGACAATACCTGAAACTGTCGCTTGGCCCACCCATGGTTGGGCACCCCCAGCATAGGTTTTGCTACCACATCACATTGCCTCTATATGTTAGGCGCTCACTAGAAACTTTATTCTTCAACAACTAGAGGGCACTGGCCAGACAATCGCACAAAGCACTAAAATTAATTTTTGCCACGTCTCACATTGCCAATTCGCCAATTTGCCAATTTACCAATTTGCAAATTTGCAAATTTGCAATTATCCCTGCGCCCACTGGCAGAAGATCAATTTCAAATCCTGGTGGGTCATTTTCGGTGCCGTTTCTTCCACACCACTCAAGGCATCATGCGCACCTTAGCCTGATTGGCTCAATCCCCACCTTGCTCGCACCGCAGCGCATTGGGGCTTTTACGTTACTCTATTTCCATGCCACTAACGCACACCGCTGGTGGTGACTGTCGCTGCCTGCCATCAAGTCTCCGTTGCGCATCGAGGTGTTTGCGACGAGTACCTGGGCGGGTTACGACTCCAGTGGGTGGCTCGGATTCTCGTACTGTAGCCAACTACCTCGCAACGGAGTCGTCTAGCGGGCCACGGCACCAGTGCTCGTCTAGTCTGGGGCCTAGACAGTGGCCATCGTCTCGATGGTGCAGGTGACTCGTCACCCCTATTGCCCAACAATCTGCACCCGGTGGGTAATCCCCGACACATGTCTGTAAACCTAGTCCTTAAACTGGGAGCTATTGTTTCTGTTCCAGCATGCCCCTGGTGCCTTCGCACGCCGCAGCGCCAATGCCCACATGCATGGTCTTTGTCAGTAGCCAAGGGCACTAATTGGTGGGTGCGGGAGGGCCGGTTGTCGTGGCAATGCTGGCGGTGTGACAATACCGGGTGAGCTTCTAGCGAGCCTGCAACCGTTGGGGGTGCGCAGCGGCACGTGACAGCAACCTGCGCCTGTCACGTGATTGCCTGCGCCACGAACCGTCTGCCAGAGACATAGCTAACAATACAATTGTTTGGGGCCAATGCGACATTGCTAACCTGTGATTGTTAGACAATAAATGCGACATGTATTCATGCCACTAATTATAATTACCGTCTAAAGCATTACAAGGAGAGGCTAGTGTGGTGACAATCCAGTAGATTAGGAAATCACGCCAAAGTCCAGTATTGAACCAGTAAACTATGAAATCACGCCAACGGCTAGATCAAACCTGTAATCTCTGAAATTCATTACAATAAATAATACAGGGAAATACAATAACTCGCATTAGTCGAAGCATCAGGTAGCCACCAGCCATCCACCGGCTGGCCACGATCACATTGGAGCCCCGTAGTGCTGATAAATAACTTGTTTAAGCACATTACACTAGAGGTATAAATCTTGACAATGTTGCCCGGACACGACTGCTGGGATTACCAATGATGAAAGGAGGCCCGGACGGAGAAACGGAGCGATTAAGGCATACAGAACAGTGTTCACGTATACTGTGCCGGGAATACTACCGCGGCAGTGAAGCATGCTGTGGCCTCTCACGGTAGATGTCAAAGACTAGTGGGCAGAAGAGCATGATATGGATTAATGCACCTCGGATAATTATACTTCCTAGCACTAGAAATAGCATAGGGCATATATGTGGTCTATCGGATGGCTCGACTCTACTAGGCTCTGAATAATGCTTGTAAGAGCTATAGGGTCCCACTCCACAATATTCGCCTGATACACCCTGGTCACGTGACTTTAATCACGTGCGAATTACCACCGCAAGCTTCCATGCATCAGCCCCCACGGTCATTGCTCATCGCCACAGGTCACCCATGAAGACCAGGACCCTGGCCGGAAGTGTTCGGGTCTTCTGCATCCCTCTGCTGACAAATGTCCTCCCCCGTCTACCCACCTCACTGTGTACGTCAATGCCTCCAACAATCAGCCGTCGTCGCAGCACCTCTTCTGCCCTTCCTAAGCCCGTGCGAGCAATAGCTCACGCCCTCGGAACTGGACCATTCCGAACAATCGGCCCTGGTGAACAATTACGTCAAAGCTTTGCTACTCTGCAAGTGAAACGACGATTGCCTCGCATAAATAGTCGTCTGCTCCCGGCCGCTCCGAGTCTCCGACCCCACCGTGCCAGCGTGCTCTCTGCCATCTACTCAACGTCCAAATTGCGCCAAACTGCCCCAAATTGCCCCTCTGGCTCCGCAAAGACATAGCCCTGTTCAACGTCTTTTTCACGCATACTCGCCTCTTACGTCACACGAGCACAGCCATCGATTCCTCGCATATAACCACTGAGGCCTCCACACTGTTCACAAGACTCGTCACAAGACTCTTCAGGACTCTTCCTCCACAATGACCCACTTCCTCCTCCGGTTCAAGAAGATCCACTACTACATCATCCCCCTCATCGCCCTCGTGGTGTGGTGGGGCATGTTGATTGCCATGATGTCTGCCTGGTCCATCCAGGGCCATCCCATCTACCCATTCATGGGCTTCGTGGAGCAGGATCCCGTCTACATCTCGGATATCGGAGCAACCAACCTCCAGCCGCTCTTCATCTCGTGTGCTGGCTTCCAGGCCATTTTCTTCGTAGGCACACTTGTCATGGAGTATTACCTCAGAACCCACAAGAAGTTGCAGCCGTACGTGTCCAGCAAGCAGCCCAAGTTTGCCATCGCCAGTATCGTGTGTGCAGTGATTGCCCAGTTGGGTATCCTCTTCGTGGCCATCTTCAACACTAAGAACTTCCACTACGTGCATCTCTCGATGGTGGGTATCTTCATTGCGTTTGCGTTCTTTGCCTGTGCCTGCAACTTCTTGAACTCGTTCATTTTTGGCCATTACCCACAGAGACTCAGTCCCACCCACGAAAAGGTGATATTCGGACGCCATCGCTGGTCCAACATCTACATGGTGTCGTTCTTTTGTAAGTGTGTGTGGTTGGTGTGTGCAGCTGCCTTTGCGCTCAGCTTCGGGATCTTGATGAAGAAGGGCAATGACTCCAAGTCGGCTATCCTCGAGTGGACCATCTCCTTCTTCTACGGCTTGTTATTGGTGATGTGGAGTATGGACTTGTTCCCCTCCGCCGTCAAGCACTACAGGGTCAGACACCCCAACGAGTTCGACAACTCGTTCCAGCAAGATATCACAAAGGAGGACGAGGAAAGATCGATTTCGACGTTTGGGGCTCCCACATACGTACCCAACTCCGATCCTACCACTCCAGTCAGAAACTTCGACCCAGCCCAACGCCCCATAATAGCTAACGACCCACCTACCGCGTACTAGACTAATTAATATATTTATATGAGCATTTCCCTTAGTAGCCAACTCTTAGAGTTATTAGCGAGTTATTAACTATAAATTTATGGTGATATATCTTGTTTCTGAATAATTCATTTCAGGTTCTCCTCGGTGAAAAAAACTACTCAGTTGAGTAATTCTTTTAGTTTCTCTGGTAGTATACACTTATTCGTCTCCGATTTTTTATTTTCATTTCATTGTAGTCCTTTTTAGATAGGTGTATGACTATTAGTCCAGGTATTTGTTCGCAGCTGGCGCACTGTTACTAATGCGGGCATAATTAATTCTGGCCACTAAGCACACACAAGTACAGCAAATCCACACTTAAACGCATGTCGACACCGTTTCTCGATGGGACCATATGTGAAGCCACGAGAACATTGTCTACGTGTTAATTGAATACGCCACACATGTTGCTCCATTTTTTAAATTATATCCACTTTCAGCAGATTTTCTGGAAATTTACCCTACTCTCAAAATTAACTAATATTATTAGACTTTATTATTCAGCTGATGGGCGTATTTACGAGCTCTACCGGCCACCCACTGTCATCCACTACAAGTACAATCCCTATTACAGACAGCAATCTCTTGCAAAGTACTGTACCAACATATAATCGGGGTTCCGCGGATTCAGAACGGCATATTTGCCGCCACCCCACTCTAAAAAACATCCTAAACACTATATCCGCCTTTTTTCGGCCTATGGCGGGGTTGAGATGAGTGGGACATTAATCTATACCATCTTCGATCGGATCCGCCACGATTGGCGCGAGATCGTCGCCCAACAATGCGATGGAGTGGAGTCTTGCATAAAAACGAAACTGGACGCCCTACTGCACTCTTTATGGAGCAGAAGATGCAGCAACACGACACCCTGAGAGTGCAGAACCCGGACCAAACGCCTCTGGAGTTTGATCAGACTGCAAATGTGGATGGTGGTGATACTCATCGCGAAAACTTACCAGAAGCGCAAAAATCCCAAAGCCTTCCCCAGGAAAACCAGTCACATCTCGATATCGAGAAGGTAGGTGGCAGAGGCGTGGACGAAACATATGCCTCGGAGACGATAAAAAAGAGCAGTTCTACATGCTCCGACATCAATTCTCCCGAGACCAATGTCGAGGTGTTGAGGTCATCGCGGACCAGCCTGTTTGAAAAGTCCAAAGAGGACACACCCATGGAGAACAACGACGGCGACAACTTGATGGCACTCCTCGATGACCCATCGCGGTTTCCAGAGGGTGGCACCCGGGCGTACCTCGTTCTTCTCGGGTCTTGCATTGGCCTCACAGGGGTACTCTCCTTCACCAACTCTGTAGGAGTGTTTGAAGGACACATCTCCCAGATGCTTCCAGACACTCCGCTCCTGACGATTGGGTGGATTTTCTCTGTCAACAACTTTCTTCTGTTCGGTATGACATTAATCCTGGGTCCGATTTTCGACCATATTGGGTGCAAAATCCCCATTCTCGTGGGAACCACCCTCATGACAGTAGGATATATGTGCATGTCGGTGTCCACCACCACGTACCAGTTTATTCTCTCGTACGGTATATTGGGAGGCTTTGGCGTGGCCTTCACTTTTGGGCCCTTTGTCGCTGTGCTTACTCACTATTTCTTGAAAAAAAGAGCCATGGCCATTGGGCTTGCCTACATTGGTGGAGCCTTGGGTGGGGTGATCTTTCCTATCATGTTCCGTTCGTTGATCCCTAAAATTGGATTTGGGTGGTCGGTTCGTATCGGTTCCTTTATCAGTCTTTCGTTCCTTTTGACGGGATGGGCCCTAGTCAGTGACCGCCACACCGAGTTCCAAAAGGATAACCCTAACAGTCAGCTTCCTGTGTTGACCCAAATCTTGAAGTCCATCGACTTCAAAGTGTTCAAAAACAAAACCTACTCGTGCTTGGTTTTGGGGTTGTTAGGCAATGGTCTTGCATTCTTATTGGCCATTACTTATCTTCCTTCCTACGCTATTGCTTTTGGCTTTTCGCCCCACAAGGCATACATGCTCCTGGTGGTGTTCAATGCTTGTTCCATTCCCGGAAGAGTTATCCCTTCTCTATTAGCAGACAGATATGGTAGATTCAATCTAGTGTGCTGTATAAGTTTGTTGTCCACCCTCGCCTTCTTTGTGGTGTGGGTGAACAGGCCAGTGGCACATACCTTGACCGGTTTGTACGTGTTTGCGGCGTGGTTTGGGTTTTCGTCAGGATCGATCTTGTCACTTTCCCCTGCCGCTATTGGCCAAATCTTCAAGGTGGAGGATATTGGTGCAGGGATTGGAACTGCATTCTTTATTATGTCTTTTGGAGATTTGATTGGAATTCCCATTGGAGGAGCAATCACCAACTCCAGAACTGGGGCCAGTTTTGATCACTTGGTCTTGTTTTTGGCCCTTGCTTGTCTTTGCGGAACTACAGGAAGTTTCGTGGCGAGATGGCTCTATGGGGGCCCCAAATGGGTTATTGTATAGCCGGTTGGGATCGCTTGGCTGCAAAAACCACTAATTGTAAGTAGTAATCGCATAAGTACAGATACTGTACATATAAATAGAATAATACTAAGAATCCGAAATATTTATCAGTACAAAACCATGTGAGAGGATGAAACGATTAGTGGATTCAATTCAGCAGTCAATAAGCTCTATTCTAGTGAAAGACCACTGAATAAAGCTGGCATACCAGTGTTCCCTAGCCACGCTTGCGAGCCCTTTTCTGCAATTTTAGCCTTTTGGCGAGAATAAAAATAGGTCATCATTTTGGGTGCAAAATAATGTACTTGGGGAGCAAATGTATGTGCATCAAACAATAGGATCAGCGATGCCGGTCACAACTAAACCATAAGAACCCCAATTGGAGCAAGAAGGCGACACAACATGGGGATAATAGGGATAATAGCGCAATATGTCATCCCTGACGTGTCTTCCAAGGATTATTTCCAGTAAGAGCAACCATCGCAACAATCATCACAAGCACACCGAAGGAGCCTTGAACCCTAGAAGAGTGACTGAAATACTGGATACCAGATACCTACAAAGTAAGCATAGTCAAGCAGTCTACCATATTATTGAGAGGAATCTTGAATACAAGGATTCTTTTTCCTCTTTCAGTGAATTCGTATTTCACGTTCAATGGACTCTTTGGGTGTGTAGATGGGTCCAATAGCCTTGAACCCTGCTCATGATCCCTCACACCTGCATCCTCGTTAATCACTCCCTAGAAGGTACCTACCCAGCGTACTTTTATGCTCCAAGCAATCATAGTGCGTAGCAATTATCATTTGCACCTTATCCTCTTTTCTTTTGATAGCTGCCGGGTACCCGGAAGCCTACAAGCGAAGCTATATATATGATGAAAGCCCGAAAGCGTACATTCTTGCTATACAGCACCTAACTAGTCATGTCGTCGCGTTTATCAGTTTCAGCCAAGCCACCAGCTGTCTTCTACATCCACGCAGCCTTGTTTGACTGCGACGGAACTTTAGTCAACTCTACTGGAGCCATTTCCGAATTCTGGAGAGACTTTGGCGAATCTAGACCCCATGTGGACCCTGAAGAAATTATTAAAACATCCCACGGATGTAGAACGTTTGATGTGATTGCCAAGTGGTCGCCTGACGATGCCGACGTCAAGCAGGTAACTGAGTGGGAGGGCTCAATTCCAGATTCCTTTGGCCAGTATGCAAAACCCATCCCGGGAGCAGTGGAGTTGGTCAAGAGATTCGACGAATTGTCGAGAAACGAGACCGACAACAAGCACCAGAGATGGGCCATAATCACCTCGGGGACTTTGCCTTTGGCATCCAAGTGGTTGAAACTATTGACCATTGACAAGCCAGACTGCTTTATCACGGCTGAAAAAGTATCCCAGGGAAAACCACATCCCCAGGGCTATTTGACAGCTAGAGAGCACTTGGGTTATGATGCTCCTCACAAGAAGGTGGTAGTCTTTGAGGATGCACCAGCAGGAATCAAGGCAGGCCGTGCTGCGGGTGCATTTATTGTTGGCATCTGCTCCACTTATAATCCAGAAAAGGTGAGAGCTTCTGGTGCCGACATTGTGGTGGACGACTTGTCTTCATTTGAGATTGAAGGGTACAATCCCACCACAGACGAGTTCAAGGTCGTGGTCAACGACTACCACTATGCCAACACCGAGTATATTCAGAACGAAGCCTCTGCCAGCCGTTCGGCTAGAAATTCAATTGCTCACTAGGATGAAATGTATCAAGACGAGCTCACCTGGCATGAAGCTGCTCAGGAAATAGGATTTTAGCTACTGTTTTTGTTTATCAATCAGAGCAGGCCCGGCGTATAGATAAATAAACGTAGAATTATTGACAGTTTTTTAGTGCCTTATTGGGTTTCAGATCGAGTTTATAAAGGGCTGGAAAGGGGTCTGAAGAAACTTGAGATTCGGCAATGGTGCATTTTTTTGCTTACAAGAAGTCCAACTCGTTCCGCAAGAACTCAGTCTGGTCAGTGAACCCCTCGATGGAAACCGCATGCACTCTTGCCATCTTGCCTCTCATGACCATTCTCCACAACGAACGGGTCAAGCGGAACTCAATCAAGTCTCCCTCAACCTCTTTTCTCTTTTTTGCTGGAGGTTCGGAGCCGGCTTTTTCGTCCTTTCCAATGATATCGTGAATCCACAGCTCCTTCATCTCCCTTCCATTAATGATGGACTTGCACCCAGCGAAACCCAGGGTGAATATAATACAGGGAAAAGGAGATATTTCCTGAGTGGTAAACTCGCCACTAAACTCTTGAAACGCATACTGCATTCTGGTAGCTAGCTTGTGGGTGATGTGCACGATGGGAACATGAACGTTTTTGTTCAAAACAAGTTTTACCTCCGAGTAGCCCAAAATGTCGGGATTGGCAGTGGTGTCCAACTGGAAGATCAAGCTTCGTTTTGGCTCTTTGGACAAAAATGGTCGCTGGTACTTCAAAGGTACTTCCTTGAGCTTGTCGGGCGGAGAGTCGTTGACGACACCCTTAGGGTGGATATCGAAGAGATCAATGACAATCTCTTGACGATAGGGTGAAAATGGGTTGTTGATGATTTTGTGCTTGACAATTCTCTGTTCCAATTCCAAGAACCGGTAGTACTTGCACTCCCGTATCAACAACCTACGATGTTCATCATTTCTGATCACGTCCAGGCTGCCTCTTAGCAAGCCTATCAAGTCAGCAAACAAGTCTGGTGATCTGCACACAGTTGCTGGACGCAACGGAGGCGGTCTGAGGATGCCTTTGACCACGATGTGGTCAATGTTTTCGTGGAACAACCCGTCGTACAACACTGTGAAGTAGTTGGGATAGTTTCCGGTGTTTACAAAGAGGCTTTTGGCGATCTTGAACGTTCTGTTGCCGACGTTGGCGAAGATGTCTTCGCTGATGAGGAACTTCTGGAGCTTCCGGAGCCCAAAGTAGAGCGAGTCCAGCCACAAATGCACGAAGTCGTAGTCGTTGTTGATGTCTAGCGGATAGCCCTGGAGGTGGTTGTAAATCATCTCGAAGATCCTGGGGTTTCTGTCGAGAAAGAGCACTTTGTCTTTGTTTGCGTCCTCACTGAAGAACTTGGTAAAATACGACGGGCTGTCGGAGGATAACGACAAGCCACTGGCACGGAAGAGACGGTGTCCCACCTGGATGGAGAACACCTTGTCGTGGGGGAGGACCTTGTTGATGGTGAGGTCCACTTCGTTGGAGATCTCGACGGTGAGAGGATGGCGGGACATGGTTGGTGGTGTGTTGGTGTCGTTTGATGTTTGTGGTTTCTCGTTGGATAGACTTGTTTTGATGTTGAAAGAAGTCTGGTTTGGTTAGATATCCTGTGGTTTGAAGAAATGATTTGTATTTGGAGAGTTGGCTCGTTTATAGACGTCTGTAGTGATGTGTTATTGTGGTTTGAATAGACGTTTTATTGAGGGATGTAGTGGGGTCTTGTTGTGGTGTCTAGTAGTGATGTTTCGAGGTGAAGACTTGTTCTGTTGCTAAGTTGTAGTGCTATCTTGCAGTTTGGTCCTGTACTTGTTCTTAACTCTGAAATGCGCTACTGACAATAATCTGGCCGAGGATACGGTTTGTATGTGGTACTTGCAAGGATTAGTGTTTGGTGGAGATGAGATGACTGCCTAATGGGGAACCGAGACAGTACCGAATCAACTCAAAACGCAAACGGCGGGGCGGGGACGATTAAGGTTGCAGCTGGCGGAAAACCTGCCAAAAATGCCAACGGTGACAAGCCAGATGATGGACACTTACTAAACCTGACTAAGGGTCTCATAGCGGGCTGGGTGCAGGACACCAATCGAGGTATGGTCAGAATGCGATTTTTGGAACAAAGATGGTGTAATTGGGGAGTTTAATACTTAGTGATGAATTATACTAATTAAGCTGATACGTGGGAAATTTGTGGGTAGAGGATGCTATGACAGGGCCAGAGGCAATCTTGCGTTCCGAGCATATCCTGTATGTGAGACGGCACAGATGACTAATTATTACAGAAACCGATGAGAGGATTGTTCAGAATAATTAATTGCAGAAATCGATGAAAGGATTGAGAATAACTAATTCTGACTAATAGCTTAGTGGTTTTTTATTCTGATGTTGGCACACGCAGACATCAGGGTCCATCTGTGTGCGGCTGCCCTAGAATTTATTGATGTCAGATGTGCGTTGTGACCAAGAAATTCTTGGTTTGGCGGTTCTACATAGTTCTGTCTCCAGACGCCAGACTCATATTGGCATCAGATTAACCAAAAGGGCATATTTGAGCGATGGGATGCGTATTAAATATAGAACCTTGAAATAAGGACAGACGAATTAAAAAGTGCCTTCATGTGACAGCCTGTAATTTTCAGCCGTAGAACGGAAAAACCTCCTCGACACGATATGAGTGCAAAAATTAGGGGTTTGTTCTAGGGTATGTAGACTTAATAGCTCCACTAGAGACAGACTCAGGAATGCCAGGAATTAGATCACCGACGAATATTGGCCATCCGGAAAACCTAATAGAGCCTGGTATAATGGCTAAAAGAGCTACGAAAGGAGAAAGATCTACAAGAAATAGGTGCAAGGGTTGATAATAACTTAAAATGCAGGAGTAGGAGCTAATAAATCCAGAAGAGATAAAATATTGGTAGGGAGATATATGACAGCTTATACAGGGTAATTGATATAGCTGGTTAGGAAGAGAAGTCGGAAAATTGGAATTACTAGGAATAAGTGGCGTCTGGTCAAGGATCTCAAATAATTGACATATCGGAAAAACCACCAAAGAAAAAAAACTGTTTTATGTCCTCCAATGATTAAAAAAGTGGCGCAGTGGGAACGGCTGGACAGGGATAATTACTGGCGATGCTCATACCGATCCTCGGTGCAACAAAATCCAGTTGCTGGAGGCATTTTTCGGGATACTGTACAAAAGTCATTATCCACCAGCGACTTCCAACATGGCTGAACCCACTGGTGGCTTGGATACCGAATTTAACAACCTTCATATATAATTTAAAACGGAGATCCTCTTAGCAAATTACATATGTTAGTCTTGAACGAGACGATTTCGCTGGGCTTGTCAGTACTAGCATACTGCCTAAGCAGAGCTAAGCAGATATCTTTCAAATCGGTGCAGCCAGTTGCCCACCCAGCCTGCACCTAGTGGCTGCCTGCACCAACGACCCAGCTCGCTATACTATTCCCTCTTCACACCGTCCTGCACACAGCCTCTCACCATATAACCAATCCATCTCCACATCCAACACCTTCATGACCCGCCGAAGAAACTTTGAAGGGTGCTGGACGTGCCGTTCCCGCAAGGTCAAGTGTGATCTCCAGAAGCCTCACTGCCAGCGTTGCACCAAGGCTGGGTTGGACTGTGCTGGCTTCGACATCAAGCTAGCGTGGGCTCCGCCATTGACGGTGTCGTCCCACGACAGGTCTCTTGTCAGCTTGGGGGGCGACGAAGACAAGAGCGACTTCCAGCGGAGAAACGTGGAGCTCGTCAAGTTTCCTCCACACATGCTCTACACCACCTACAGCGAGTTGAACAGGCGGCTCGACCGGCTCGAGGCCCAGGCACTGGCCAAAAGGACGGGACGAGTGGGTCCCTTTGGCGTGTACGACGCCAGACGGCGTGCCAGGCGCCAGAAGGGCGCTGGTGGCGTTCTGTCGGTGCATTTGCCCATCAGAACCGTGCAAGTACACACCAAGGCGTCTGGACATCACACCAAAGCGAGTGCGGACAGAATCACCACCACCACCACCACTACCACACGCTCCGACACCAGCTCGTCGCCACCGTCGCCACCGTCGCCACCGCTGCCGCCCTACAAGCGAGAGTCCATATTCTCACGGAACAACAACTCGTGGGTGCACTACGAGCTCATGGAGCACGCCAAGCTCACGATCGTGGCCATCAAGGGAACAGCCCACCGGTTCACCGAGCAGAACGTGTTGCACATCTTGTACCCCAAGTTCTTTCCCAACCTCGACAGCGACGACGACTGGATGGCAGACATCCGCATCACCCACAAGCTCTTCTTCATGGACGAGCACGCGGACTTGTGGCTCAAGGGAGCGTTCAAGGTGCTTGCGTGTGCCGTGGGACCCGACTTGTTCACCTTCAACAGGGTGGCGTTCTCGCACAACTACATCGACACCCTCGTGATTCCGTACTTGATGAGTGTGTTCTGCGAATTCATCTGCTGTGAGTTCACCAACTGGAACTCCAGCGACTTGCACTTGACCGACAATTCGTCTCGTGGGTTCAGCAGGAGCGCCTTGCGCAAGAACATCAAGCTTGCTATTGTCTACTTGGTGTTGGGGCTCTCGTCGTTCAAGATGTCACTGCGAGCACAGACACCCCCTGGCGACCATTTGGAGTTGCCCATGGACGACCACCTCAAGATGAGCGTGGAGTTGCGCAAGTTGAGCATCTCCATCTTGAACTACCACCTCGACGAGTACGACAACAACAGCCTTGAGCTCGACCAGTGCGAGCGCGACGACCAGCGCTTGGAGTACGAGGATATGCTCCTTCTTGCAGTGATCATGCAGATCGAGCTCGACAACTGCTTCAGCGTGTACGAGAACTTCGAGTTGATCTACGCTATCGGCGACTACATCGTCAAGAACAAGTACACCAAGGCGCGCATGACCCACTTCCGCCGGCTCTTGATCAACATGTTCCGCATCATGTACATGTTCTTTGAAAGCACCCAGTCGGTGAACATGTTCAACTACGCCATCAGCGAGGGCGACGAGAACGCAAACTACCGCGACTTGAGCGAGAACTACGACTTGGTGGGACGCGAGGAGGAAGACGAGGAGGAAGACGAGGAAGACGAGGAAGACGACCCTGCCTCGCGAGACGTCCAGATCAAACCCACCATCAAGAACCTCATCATATCCAACCGTCCCGACCAGGTCCCCGACAACAACGACTACACGCCCATGTCCTTCACCATCAGCTTCAACAAGCGCGAAATGAGTGGCTATGACGAGGCTGCAGCCATGGCAGGGGCCCCCAAAAAGCGCAAGGTCGAACGCTTCGTCCCCAAAGCCCATTTCACCACCTCTGTCGACATGGACACCCTTCACATGATGTACGGTCTTCCTGGCTCGCTTCTCGACCTCTTCCACGAGATCGTACACTTGACCAATCACAAGAACATCTTCCAGAGGAAACGGGTGTTCCCTCGCAATTTCCCCAAGATCTGTGCTGAAATCGAGGACAAATTGATTGGATGGAGGGTAGAGCACTACTGGGACCTCGACCTTGAAAACAACCCCATGCACCGGTGCTTGGACCTCGGGATCCTGGCGTTCCACGAGGCCTTGATTGTCTACCACAAGAGGTTGATCAAAGAGCAGGTCTCCGGGCCCGCGTACCAGGCACATGTACGAAAAGCCATTGGTTACTTGCAGGAAATGACCCGTCTCAGCGACCAGAACAACATCAAGTTGAGACCCACTTTCTGGATCCTCTTAGTATGTGGAAGCGAAGCCACAGAAAAGGAGGACCAGAAGCTGATCGAGGCGCTCTGGAAGACGCCTGGATTCAGCCAGTTCAATTACTGGAGAGGAAAGCAGATTTTGTATGAAATCTGGAAGAGAAGAGACCTTGGCGAAGAGTTTGGGTTCATGGATATGGTTCGAGAGTGGGACGTGGTGTTGAGTTTGGGATGAGTCCGAATGTGAGCGAATTGATAGAACAAGCAGCTCTAAAGTGCAGAGAAATTAACAGAGAGAAAGACAGCTCCAAGGATGGACTACACTTTGAGAGTACAGCCCATAGACAGTCACAATCGAGAAAACAGCCCAGCGACCGACTCCGAATCAAAAACAGTTCCAATGTCAGCCCAGATTGATAGTAAATAGCTTCCAATGACAGTTCAGAATTGGGAAAAGCCAATAACAATCAGATTTTGGAAACAGCTCCAATTACAGATTAAATACTGAAAACAGAGCCCCAATGTCAGACCAGGATTGACAAAACAGCACCAATGATTCCGAATCGAGAAAAGAGTTCTATTGTTGGTCCAGGGATTGATAGAAAGAAACAGCCCCAAATACAGCTCCAAAGACAGTTCCAATGGCAGCGAATTGATAAAAAATAGCTACCAATGATTGCTACCTCAAAGAAAAGAGCCCCAATTACAGGACAGGATTGAGCAACATCCCCTATGACAGTCCAGGAATTGACAAGCGGATCCTGACTTGCTCCTTCTTAGTGGCTTGGCCAGAACCCGCGCTACCACTTCCTTTATAGAGGTTATAGATAACGACGAAACGAATGCTCTGCGTAGACCAGTCTGAACCCACCAGGGAGGCTTGGGTGAAACGGTGTGGCTGATGACATGCCATGTATCTTGACAGTTTCATGAGAGTCACCCCATCCGTACTTCTATACTCAAATTGAAAACGAAATGTGTCAAACGATGAGGACGTTTGGATTGCTCTGCCTGAAGCGCCTCCAAGCAAATTGTGCCTGAAGCGCCCCCAAACATTTGTGCCTGGTCTCATTTGCCAGTATTCAATTCTCCCGGCCCATCCCATCTGTGGTTTGGAGCCATCCTAGCTCGGATTTATTGGTGCCCCGCAGACACTTTACTTTCCGACCAGGATACACTTTTGAAGAGTACAAGAATACTTTTGAAGGAATCCGAGGGCCACCGGAGTAAAATAGCCAACATGTTGCTGGCAGCAGAGATTTGTATCCACTGCCAGAAACCAATAATTAACAGCCATCACTGATATGAGCACATCGACGACTCCACTGGAACTGACCCTGGAGTGGAGGTTTTGCCGGAGAATTGGCACCCTCCAGCAGAATTCTATTGTCTGACACAAGACACAATCTGACCAGCTGCCAAGCCCTCTCTGGTGGTGCTTAATTCCACATCAGTGCTCGGATAAATTTCCATCGCGCATTAATGGGAGGCCGACATTTGCAGAGGAGTGGGGCTATTTTGACTGGAGTTGCTGGGACACGGCTTTGGTGGCTTGTCTCGGGGAAAAAATGTCTGGCGTGGCTCGCCTATTCTTGTGTGGAGGAGTAGAGGTGACAGAAGACATGAGGGTGTCACAATCGTGACACCGATGGCATGTCTATTGTGCAAGTCTGTCGATATCCGCCTCCAAGTGTCGTCCAGTGGTGTGGTTCCGGCTGGGAACAGGCCCCCCTCGATAAGGTTTCGTAAATGGCAGTATTTAGGGGTTCTGTCAATTTTATTTCGAATTTCTGCAGAGTAAGCCCCGTTCAAGAGAAATGACCAGTTTTCCCGGAGTAGGGAAGGATACTGGGATCAAGAGCCACCGACGGCTTGATGTATGAAAAATCCGAACCTCACTATTTTGGATACTTGTAGCCGTGGAGTGTACCATCCGGATGCCCCCACGCAGATGCATCCGTACCACAATACTCTCGCATGCAACTCGATGGACCGTTGAGGTTGCAGCGGATTCCAACCGGTTACACCCATCGGATGCACAACCACAAGGAACCACTGCAATCGTGGGGATATTTTTCACCGATCGCGGAATAGCCACCTCCACATTTATTGTTGAACCCTGCAAGGTTGCATTGGTGGGGATGTAGCATTGGGGAGTCTGGGGTCATCAGAGATGAGAAGGAGCCAGCAGGGAGGATCGAAGAGTGTAGGAATCAGAAAAATGGTGGAAATGGGGTCTTCAAAGCTGAAAGCCAAATGGAGTCAAATAGGTTGAAGAACGTATGCTGAAGAAAATAGCCATGAAGAAGCCCCGAAGACAATAGCAGAAACCATGGGCAAAGAAAATGGCAGCCTTAACCAATGCCACCATTAGTGTGGATGTGTAGGGAAGAGAGGGGCTAATTTAATACGGTTTCAATACAGCCTATTGTATGCACCTTATTCGATACAGCTTCAATACATGCTGTTTAATTTATGTTATTCACTCTTTCAGAGCTTCAATACGGCTTATTCGGCCCCAACACAGCTTCATTACGGCTTATTCCCACAGCCTCAGCTTGCACTTCACAGTGCTTCATACATAACACTGATAGACTTTCACGACCTGTAATACTCCTAATCCTTCCTCATCCTAACGGCCCCGCGGGGAACCGTCGGATAATCGGAGCACTGCACCTCCGGGGTCTGTCCGGTCACGACCGCTTCCCCAATAGGCAGTTCTGGAAAATCATCTCCTGTACCGAGCCACGCACCCCACCGCTTCCCCGAGACTGCTCCAGTTTTTCCGTCCTTAAACCACTCCAGACCTCCCTTTTCTTTCTCATGGCATGACCACCGACGACGACATTCCCGCCATGCTGGACGCTGGTCCGTCAAACACCCCCGACAACCCTCCCAGAAAGCGTTCCAAGGTGTCGCGCGCCTGCGACGCCTGTCGTCGTAAGAAAATCCGCTGCAACGCCGAGTACCTGGCCACCCTCCAGAAAGTCACCAAGATATGCACCAATTGCTCCAAGAACAACGACGCCTGTGCGTTTCTGCGCATTCCCTTGAAGAGAGGGCCTTCTAAGGGCTACATCCGCGACTTGGAGGACAAGCTCGACCGCACGAAGCCAAACAACAACACCCAGAGCCACCAGAGCCACCAGAGCCATCAGAACCACCCGAACCACCAGAACAACGACAGAATGGCCCAGGCGCCGGTCCAGGCACCCACAGCGCCAGCGCCAGTGCCTGGACCCCCCCAGTACGGCTGGGGACCCCATCTCGTCCACGCCCACCACCAGCCACTACCGTTTCCGCACAAGCACCTCAAGGGGTCTCCCGCCATCATTTTGCCGCCATTGGGCGACCTCCAGCCGAAGATCTTGCCCCCCAAATTGGCGTCCACTTCGTCCACGCCCTCCAGCCCTCGCAGCAACTCCATCAACGGCTTGCTCAACCTCGCCGACACCACCAACCCCAGCATCAAGAACTCGAGCCCTCCCATCCAGGGGCCGTTCTGGAAAGTGCCCTACGAGATGCCTGCGGGACCTTCGCGGCGCTCGTCGCTCACCGTGCTGAACGGTGCAGCGTCCGCGGCGTCGTCCGCATCCACCGCGCTGTCGTCGCGCCGCCGTTCGTCGGTGGAGTCCATTTCCTCCACCTCCACCACGGGCTCACGCTTGGCATCGCTAAAGCCTAGCGACAGCGTCGTTTCCGATAGCGACGCTGACGACTTCTACTCGGTGCGGTCGTCCACGCTGTCGACGCTGTCGATTCCAGCGTTGAGTCGCTCGTCCAGCGCCAACCACCACCGTCGCCAGTCGTCCACAGCATCCCCACGCAACTCAGTCTCTTCCCTCTCCAGCTTGAGCGGCAGAATCAACAAGACCCTCCACCTCCAACCATCCTCCCCGGCACCCTCGCCCCAGTACGCGCTGCCCTACGCGCACACTCCTCAGTACGCGCTGCCCTACGCACTCGCTGCCACTACCACCACCCCCCAGTACCAGCTTCCCCCCGCCGCTCCCTACGCACCATCCTACCGCACCAACCTCGCGCTCTACTACGCCCACTTCCACCCCGCGTTCCCGCTACTCCCGCTAGACCAGCCAGCAATGTTTTCCTTGATGGACGCTGCTGCTAGCGAGCCGCCCTCCCCAGCGTCGCCCATCGTCGACCTCTTCAACCACACCCTCCACAACCTCGTCCATTTCAACAAAGTCACTGTCGCCGATCTGCTGGCGGTGTTGCTGAAAATCGTGGCCCTCTATCCGTTCAGCCACACCAATATCGCCCCCAGCGAGACCCACTTGACGTTGTTCTTCTCGTCGTTGGCGTTGCTCAACTACACCATGCTTTTAAATGGTGATATCTACACGGTGGGTCTTGCAGTGGCAGTGGCCATCTTCAACGACTTCAAGGTGTTGGAGACGTTTCTCAGGCACGTTCAGGGGAAAGAGGGAAAGAACCACCACGAGCCCAAAAACTATGACTACATCGCGCTCTACCTCCCTAAGCTCTACTACGTGCTCACCATCATCGACGACCTCTACTCTTTGAGCTTTGGCGTGCAAAAGGTCATCAACAACAACGCCTTGGTCCAGTTCTTGAAGGCCAACGTTGATGCTTTTGTCCCCCCACCCTCCTCCAGCTACAACCTTAAGACAGGCCTCATCATCTTCAAACAGTCGCAGAATTTCGTGCATTTGGTCCATATCCGTGACAATTTCTTGCTAAACAGTGGACAGGTATCCATCGACGACCACGGCTTCAATGACTCCTCACCCACAGAAGACGAATTCGCCGACCATTTCAGCCATGTCATCAAGGAGAAGTACGACTTGGTGCGGTGTTTGTTGGAGATCAACCAATTCATATCTAACGTCAGCACCAGAAACGACTTGGACGACCTGTTCGAGAACCTCATGGACTACAACTTGAAGTTGATTCGCCTCATGAAAAAGCTCTCAGCCATCATCGTTAACTTTGCCAACTACATAAGCACGTCTACTCCCTCCGACAGCTCGCCAGGGCACTCTTCGTTGACATCTCCCAACAAATCACATAATAACTCCACCACTTCCATCAACGAGATAGCTTCCAATGCAACCAAACTGCCAGAATCCCCAGCATACAACTCCTCGGGCCCATATCCCGGTGGCATCATCATAAACCCATTGTTGAATATCACTATTGGCCAGCTTTTCAAGCTTATTAAGCTTAACAAGCTCCTCATCGATTTATTGATTTCCCTCCTCAAGGCGCAAAATAAGGGCCACCCGGACTTACTCAACCGTTGTGTCAAGATCAACAACGACTTGTCCATTTCATACAATTTATTAAACTTGAATCTCGTCAATTTACAAATAGGTTCAGGAGCCATCAATGCAATCAGAGCGAAAATCGGTGGCTACATGTTGAACTTTAACATTCAAGGACTATTGAATAGTAAATCTGAAGATGGCCTTCCAGAATTATTGTCTAATTGGGGAAACAACTTCCGTGGACAAATCATTCCTTTCATTGAAGGAGAATCTATTGATGGATGGCTTTGATAGCAAACCATCCTGACAATGTCTACAACAGTTTGGAATCATCTTGAGGGTGATTTCAAACTTCTATTTAAGAGCTGCTCGTGTATTTTATCATCTCTCTTATAACCGTTAGGCTAGTAATATACACGTGATGAATATACATAATAATGAACTCCCACGACCATAGCATCAAATAGTAATACTAATCGATCTTGATTTGGGCATAGATTTGCCTTACGAAAATCAAGTTACTGATGAAGCCAATGGATCCACAGCAAAGGAAGACAAGCAAGGAAATAACCAAGGAGTAACCAACATATAAGACGATGGATGATAAGCCACCTAACCTCTCACCTCCAGTCAAGAACAATGAATGCAAGAACACATAGATAGCACAACCACCTCCGATGAAGACAGACTTCCATTGCCATTGATAATTCTCAGCACACAAAGTGTAGTAGATCATCATGACTGAAATCAACGAGGTTGTCAAAATCATCAAGAGGAAGCAGAAAAACAAGAATCCGAACATATAGTAAATTCTGTTAAACCACAAAGAAGAGTAGATGAAGTACATTTCAACAGCTATCGAACCGAATGGGAAGATACCAGCCATGAACAGGATTGGTAAAGTTCTCAAGTACCATGGTTGAGTTGGAATTTGTCTTGGAATTTGGTTAGTTCTGACTGGGTTGGTGAGTACTGCTTTCTTTGAAGCCAAAATTGAACCAAGCACTGAGAGAGGAATAGAAACCACGAACCAAATGAAAATGATAGCAAACATTGTACCAATTGGAATGGCACCAGACGATTCCACGTAGATCAAGAAAAAGTTCAAGAAAACAAAAATCAAGAACAATGTTCCTGGAACGGTAACTGGTGTCAAGATCATGTTCAACTTCCAGTTGTCACCCCCGAATGATTTATAAAGGTAAGCAGAAACAAAGGAGGCGGCAATACTGAAGAAAATGTAAAGAACAAAAGTGAAAGTTGACAAAGCTCCTCTGTTTGATGGTGATAATAAACCGAAAAGTGCAAATACAATGGTAACGAAAACCATCAAGAAGATTTGGACACCACTACCAATCAAGATAGACAACAACATCTTTTGCTTAGGTGGTCTGAAAACGTCTCCATGGACCAACTTCCAACCACTCTCGTCCGAGATATCGTCGTCCAAATTCACTTCATTATATTTGACAATATCATTCTTTAAAGTTCTGGTTAAAATATGAGCGATGATGATACCAAGAATCAAGACAATCAACGAGAAATTGACCAAGGAAAACCACTGAATTTTAGGGTCATAGACATGTAAATACTTGTCCCATCTTGTAGCCCAGGCGGTTTCAGACTTGATGAAACTAACAGAGTATGTGAACAATACGCTTGTTTCAGATTCCTTAGTCAAAAAAACAGGTCCCAATTCAAGATTACAAAGTTCCTCTTTTCCAGCATCCTTACCAACTTTGTTTCTATCCAAAGAGTAAGGCTTAACTGTTACTCCAACAACTCTGTAGTTGTCTTTGTCTCTTTCGTGGTATTCGATACCAATATCGAAATGATTGAATAAGTGAGCCTTCTTCTGGTTGTCAGTCTCACCAATACGGAAACCAGATCCGTAGAACTTGGACTTGGTTCTTTCTTCAATAACAAGCTTGGCAGCAGGTAAACCGTCTACGATCCAGTTGTGGTTGTAGCCGGCCCTGATGTTTCTGTTCACGAAAACCGAATCAACCTTAGTGTAGGTGGTAGAACACAAGGTTTCACAGGATTTCTCTTCTAACATATTGATTTCAAATGGAGAATTGAAGATACGGTCACCAAAGATGATGGAACCCAACGATTCCAGCTGCTTAACTGGTCCGTTTTTTGGTTGACAAAAGTGGAACTTAGGGTAGTAGTAGTCATATGAGTAGACATAGGTTCTGTCACCCGTCTTTTGGTTGTTGTTGGACAAATGATGTAACGATGGGGTTAAGTGGTTCACTAGTAATGGAATGTTGGCTCCCTTCTTGTAATTTGTTGGAGCGACACCCGGCAAATAAAATGCCGTCGACAATCCAATCAAATAGACAAGAACTATCAAATTGCTAAGAACAGAAAACATGACTGGATTCTGCTCGTTTGACTAAGAATTCAATTCAAATCTCAATCGTTCAAGAATTCAATAACTTGAGAAGAATATCAATGCTCAATTCCCACTTCAATCTTTTGTTCCCATATTTTTTGAATGAACACGCGTGTCCCTGATCAGAAGCCACTTCGCGCAGAAATCCAATTTTTGCAGGAATGGTCCACCGTTCAAAAGTCTCGGGCTATTCGGAGGTGCTAGAACCAGATCTCTTGCGGTGAAAGTTGAGTTTTTTTTGGAAGTTTGTTATCGCCCGGATCTCTTTAAGCTTGTTAGCTTGTTGGATTGGGTCATGCATGTAGAGTGGACGTGTGCCTGAATAGTCGCATGATAAATTGAGCCGTTGACATTGTCCGCATTGTGGTTTATCTTCTGGGCAAGCCTTATGTCGGATTCGGCAAGTCCAACAACCACTTTTTGACCTGTACGTCAACTTGCGTTTCTTTTCTCGTATGTGGTCCGGAGGTATGATATTCAATTTTCGTGATTTGCTGCGAGTATATCTTCCACGAACATGTTCATCGTCCAGGGTTTGTTCCAATAGATTGGATGGCCGAGCTCTCTTTTCTGTGTAATTCGAAGCTTGTCCATCAGGCGAGCCTTCTTTTATCTTCAATTTTCGCTTTCTACCTCTTTTTTTGTACTTTCTCTTGGAAGACACTGGTGGTTCCTGGTCCAGCCCAGGAATGCTTTCATTGCAAGGATTTATATTCTCCTGAGACGCAAATGGGATACGGTAGTAGCTGGGGGACACAGGGTCTTTAGTTCCCAAATCAGATGTCAAGAAAACGTTGTCTAGTTCGAGCTCTGTGCTCTGACTCTCGGGAATCAAAGGCGATTGAGGTACCACGAGGGGGACAAGGGCTCTGGAGTCATATACCACTGTGTTGCGGCCATTTACGTCGTCGCAGTCAGAGTACTTGTGGAAAACCGCCGGCCTTACTGGCGATTGTACCACCGAAGAAATGGGAAGCTGCCCCTTTCTATGAGACCAGGAGATGATCTGGGATGAGTTGATGACTGGCAGTCGTAAGAAGCCAAAGTCCCTTGGACTAGCGTATGGAGGGTCTCGTTCGGAGAATCTGCCTCCCTGGACTGGAGTGGTTGGAAGGACACACCCAAGTCTAGTCTGGTTGGCCTGACTGGGCTGACTGGTGTTTGGCGGCGTAGGACACTCCCTGTCGGTAAGAAAGAACATGCCTGGACTTCCAGGGCAGCCTTCGAAGCTGGCTCTAGACATTTCGGGTACCGGTTGGTGGTGGCGAAAGCTCCTGGAAAGTTATCAACATTTTTTGCAGCATTCTACGCGCTACCACCAGGGCTGGAATGGAGTTGGTAGAGATGCTCCAACTGGCAGGTTATTGGGATCTCCTCTGAGGTAACATGGAGCAGTTACCGGTGCTTCGTAGAGATACAATTACCTTGGTTAAGCACCATTGGTGGCCACTACACCAAACAGTTGATGGAAGGAGTGTATCCCAATTATGTTCAACGAAAGGCATTATAAAAAGTGAAGAATTACTTCGTCCTTCCATCACCAATTATGATTGGAGGTGTCAACAGGAACGGCAGTGAATATTCTTGAAAAAAATGTGGCCTATCGCTTCCAAAGGGTATCGATGCTTTCTCGGTATCGCTTAATGTGCTAAGCTTGTTTGCCAACAATCATGGCTACTACTACTGTTATAATCACAGGGGAGATTTTAGGGGAGTAAATTACTGTTCTATGAACTATCTTTAATGGCAGTTGCACATTGCCCCTGTCATGACTATTCTATGAAGTTGTCTTGATCTTTCCAAGATCTACCCTGATCAACAACAAGACCAAAGCTCCTTTTGGCACACGTTCAACCAGTGGCCACAACGCCCTTGTGTACGCTTGTGTACGCCAAAATCCAGTTAAGGTCAGTCAATAGAAACTTACAGCTCTGGGTCCATTCGCTGTTGGAGCTGACCCGAATGCTTTTGCTACCCACAGTTCCCTTTCTCAAGGAAATCCGGTAAGGGAGCTCAAACTCCCCATCGATGGAGATCAATTTGTGTTCAACTTGAGATACGATGTTCAATAGGGCAATCATTGAAACGTCCAACTTATTGTAGTTGAACAACTTACCCAATGAGAACTCGTTGGACGAGTAAAGATTCAACACGGTTTTGGTTCGCTGGTCCAGATCTTCTCCATCCACATATTTGATGATCTGTGATTGTGATCCCATCGGGACTATCTTATACTCGGGCATTTCTAGCTCGAGTCTTTTGATCAAAAAGTACAATAGGTGGGCAACCTGACCCAATGCGGAGTTCAACTCCGGCCATATCACCTTGTACCCCAACCTGAATCCATTGATACTTCCGTACTTGTCATCTTTTCCGAACGAGATCTCGAATATCTTGTTGTAGATGTTCAAATTCCTCAACTTGTCCAAGTGATTAAGATGGAGCTTATACGCGGATTTGGACTGTTCCAACTTGTTGTACTGTCGATCAAGGTCTAGCTGAAGCTTATTCTTGAGCTTTAGTATACTACCTAGCTCGTTTTCATTGAGCTCCTTCAACTCCTGCTTGCTAGATTTAAGCTGTTCCTGGAGCTCGAGACCAGTTTTTTCCAATTGCCTCAATTCATCGAGCTTCTCAGTCTCAATTTGGCTGAGTTTATTATACTCATTGATGGATTCTTCCAACTTGACGTCTAAATCCTGGGAGTAATCTTTGGTTTGGTCATCCAACAAGTTCAATTGATTATCTCTATCCTTGAGCTTCTTTAAAAAAGAAAGGTACCTGTCCTTCTCCTTTTGACTCTGATCGAACTTGAGCTTATAATTCTCAATTAAGAGACTGGCGCAATCATCTGATAACGGGTGCTCTATTTCCTGGTTCTGGGATAGTATTTCAAAGATCTTATTCAAGGTTTTTATTCTCGATGAAATAGTGTTGGATTTATCGTTAGGGGTTATTTGGTCGTTCTGGTCATCATCCTCTCCGTCAGAGAGAACGACGTATGAATTGGCGCTGAACGAGGACTTATCTGGCTCGTTTCTATCCAAGGCAATGTCGGCCTCGTCTTCGTCTTCGTCCACGTCATCTTCACTTTGAAGCATATCGTGATAGTGTATGGGGGCACCAGCTTGGTCCTGTGCCTGGTGGAGCACTTTGAATCTATCGCTGGGTATGAAGTCTTGGGCATTGAGGTCATCAAGGATCTCTTGGTTGGAGGTGTCATCCACATGGTTGTGGTTTCGATTGATGATCAAGTTTAGCTGTGCCGGTGTGAGTCTGAGCAATGACTCATCCAATACTATCGGCGTATTACATCGCCGACAATTGAATAGCTTTTCTGGCATTCTGGGGTGACCTTCTGGTAGGGATTGATTCTGGTGATAACGAGTCGTGCACTGCACTTTCAGCTGCGATAGCTGTTCTGCACTCAAGACGGACGTTTTCACCCAAAATTCGTGCTGGAGCACGGCCAAGCAGTGCTAAGCAGGGCCAGACACAGCTAAAATGGCTCTGCCTCTACGGTTGCCCTGATACCGGACTTCAGTGATGGAATCGGCAACAGAGCCTGTTCACTATTCCTTCCTATCTGTCCGCCATACAAACCTGCGCGATCTACCACCTGCACACGAAATTATCATAAAAATTTTCAGCTAACCATACTACCACTACCACCATCAATATGGATAAGGATACCTTACTCAAAGCATTGGCAGGCACTTTGGACCTGAACCAACAGGTCCGGAAACAAAGTGAGCAACAGTTGCACATTTTTGAGGAACAAACGGGATTCACGGCCTACTTGCTTGACTTGATTATCGAGCAGGAAGTCACCCTTGGCATCCAGATCTCCGCAGCCATTTTGTTCAAAAACAGAGTGGCTAACTACTGGGTAGTTCCAGAAAACAAGACTCCTTCGCCTATCACTATCAAGGACCAAGAAAAACCAGCCATCAAGGAGAAACTTATCCAGACCTTGATAAAAACCTACAAAAACAACCAGATCAAGGTCCAATTGGCCAACGCCCTTCACAACATCTTGGGCTCCGAAAAGTGGCTGGAACTCATTCCTTTGATCAAGAATTTGTTGCACGACACCTCCAACATAGATCATGTGCACACTGCCTTGATTTGTTTGTACGAATACACCAGAAACTACAGATGGTCGGGTATTGGTCCCACCAACCCGGTGCTTGAGGAGGTAGCCGATGATTTATTCCCATCATTGGAGGCTTTAGCCAACAATTTGATCCAAAATGACTCCACTGTCAGCGATGAAATGCTTTACTTAATCATTAAAATTTTCAAATTCACCACGTTTTCTATGTTGCCTTCATACTTCAAGAATCCTTCTAACCTTGGTAATTGGTGTCAGTTGCACCTTGTGATTATCAACAAGCCTTTACCTCAATCCGTCTTGAATGAAGACTCGTTGGACTTAAGATCACAACTTCCTAGAATAAAGACTGTCAAGTGGTGTTTCGGAAACCTACACAGACTTTTGAGTCGTCATGGTGGTGGTTTCACCACCAAGAAGGAGGACGGGAAGGAATTTGCCGACCTTTTCGTCCAAAACTTCGTGCCCGAAATCCTTAATGCTTATTGGAAAATTATCGAAGAGTGGTCTTCCAAAAAAATCTGGCTTCTGGAAAGCTCACTTTATCACTTGATTTCATTCTTGGAGGAAAATATCGAGACCCAAGCGTGGCCATTGATCAGCGAAAAATTGGATGCCATTATCAGACACGTTATCTTACCTACGTTGAATGCCAGCGATGAAACCATTGAATTATACGAAGATGAACCCGATGAGTATATCAGAAGATTCTTTGACATTAACAGAGAGGCCAACACCTCTGATATAGCCTCCATCAACTTCGTGTTTAGGTTATTATCAACTAAGTTCAAGGTCACGATTAATCAAGTGTTAAACATCATCAATGAAATTTTCAACAGAAGAGCTAGTGCCAGATCCGACATCAGTATCGCCAAGGAAACCGAGGGTGCTTTCAGAGTCTTGTCAACTATATCTCATAAGTTGGATATTTCTTCTTCTCCAGTGCACGGCCAGGTTGACAAGGTTTTGCATACTTTTGTTTACCCAGAATTATCCGCAGAGACCACTGCTGCCACTCCATGGTTAACTGCTAGAGCTTGTGACACTTTGGCCATGTTCAGATACAGTTACAAGGACCAACAAGTATTGCAAGACATTTTCCAAGGTATAGTTACTTGTTTCCAAAACCAACAACACTTACCTATTCAATTAACTGCCGTTGACGCCTTGAGTACCTTGGTAGATGAGGATTCGGTTGCTGAACACATCTCCGAGCAAGCTCCTCAGTTGATGGGTAACTTGTTGGAAATGTCCAAGACCTGCGAAAGTGACATTTTGACCAGTGTTATGGAAAAGTTCGTTGAAAAGTTTGCCAGAAACTTGGAACCATATGCTCACGAGTTAGCCAGTAAGTTGGCCGAACAATTCCTCGTCATCGCCACTGATTTATTGGACCAACAATCCGGTACCGAAGCTGCCAACGTGGATGTCGACAAGGAATACCAAGCTGCCGGTATCTTGAGCACTTTGACCACTTTGGTTATCGCCATGACTTCTTCTCCAGAAGTCGCTGGTTCAATGGAAAACGTTTTGCAAAACATGATAAGATTCATTCTTGACCATGCTATGGTTTCCTTCTTGACTGAAGCAATTGAGATTTTAGAATCCATTTTGTTCAGTACCAGAGTCGTTACTCCAACCATGTGGGGATTATTCGATTGCTGTATCGGAGCATTTGAGACCTATGCCTACGAATATTGCGATTCTTTCCAACCATTCTTCGAAAGCATTATCAATCACGGTTTCACCAACCCAGAATTGACTGTGCAAACTCCATATGTCCAGTCTTTATTGAACGTTTGTTTCACCATCTTGAAGGGAGAAAATTTGGATCCAATTTTTGCCGATTCCACCTTTGAAATTCTCGAATTGACTTTGACAGCTTTGAACGACAGATTTGTGCCCATCTTACCAGCATTCTTGCCAGAAATTTTCGATATTTTCATCAAGTTGGAAACAGAAAATGCGTTCGACGACTACATGCTCCATCACTTATCAGTGTTGAAGGTATTCTTTGCTGCTTTGTACGTTGATCCAGTCACTACTATCCAGTTCCTCAACGAGAAGCAATTCACTGCTAACTTCTTCAAGTTGTGGATGAAGAACTCGGCCGATTTCCAAAGTGTTTACGGTTGTAAGCTCCAGATTTTGGCATCTGTGGCGTTGGTGAAGACACAGGCCATCACCATGATTCCAGAGGACTTGGTTGGCGAATCTGTGGACTTATTATTGTCTAACGTGTCTGCATTACCTGGAGCCATCAGGGCAAGAGAGGAGATTTTGACGAAGGAAAGAAGTCAAAAGGAGATTGTCAGCAACGAGGATGAAGAAGATGAGTATGGCCAAGCATACTGGGACGAGGATGACTTGGAAGCCGATGAGGCTGAATTGGAGGCCATGAAACAGACTCCAATTGACAGTATCAACGTATTTGAAGTTTTCAGCGATGTTGTTGTCGAATTGCAACATCAAGACGGTGCTAAGTACCAGGCACTTTTTGGAGGTCTCGACCAAGAACAACAAGAGTTGGTGCAACAGATGGTCAAGATAACAGAGCAACAGAAGGCTGCTCGTGGCAACTGAGGTTAGTAGATTATAGACATTGAGACAGACGAATGTAGAGCCAAACTAGGCAGGTAAACGAGGGTAATAGAGATGCTGTGGGCAAGAACAGAAAACCGGGAGTACATGCTTCCTGATGATATGGGCCTGCTACCCACTAGCCAAATACATCACCAAACTCCTAGCGAGACTCACCGCGAGTCACCCCCAACACCCTCGCAAATACCTCCCTAATGGCCCGCGACCTTCCCACTAATCTCCGCGAGCCTCCCGCGGTATTCCCACTAAACTCCCCCGACACTCTCGCTACACTCACCCTCGCCCCCACGACCCGCACATTAATCACGATGGCAAACTTGCAACTAAACTCACCACCATCATGTTTTCATCATTTGGGTCTGCCATGTTTGGCGGCGGAGCGTTCGCCCCTCCAATCAACAACAAGTTCGAAGACTACTTCAGGTGCTATCCAGTGACAATGATGCCTGATAACATCCGCAAAGACGATGCCAATTATGGTGGTAAGATCTTCTTGCCATCGTCTGCATTGAACAAATTGACCATGTTGCACATCCGATACCCCATGTTGTTCGAGTTGAACAACGAGGCCAAGGGCATCACTACCCACAGCGGTGTTTTGGAGTTCGTGGCTGAGGAAGGAAGAGCTTATATACCCCAGTGGATGATGAGCACGTTACAGTTGAATCCAGGAGGGTTGTTGAAGATTGGCAACTGCGACTTGCCATTGGGGAACTTTGTCAAGATCGAGCCCCAGTCCGTGGACTTCTTGGACATCTCCGACCCCAAGGCCGTGTTGGAAAACGTGTTGCGGAAGTTTTCCACATTGACCGTGAACGATATCATCGAGATAAATTACAACGACTCCATCTACGGCATCAAGGTGTTGGAGGCAAAGCCCGACTCGCTGTCCAAGGGGATTTGTGTGGTGGAAACCGATTTAGAGACCGATTTCGCTCCACCCGTGGGCTACGTGGAGCCAGAATACACTCCAAAGTCCTCAAAGCCTGCATCTTCCATAGACCCTTCCAAGTACAACAGAGGCGCAGGGGCAGCCACCATGGCCAAGTCCATCAACTATGCCAACCTCGTGGCTGAGGCCTCATCCGAAGATGGTTTCAAGGGCTCGGGCCAAAAGCTCTCAGGAAAGCCCACAGAGACCGTCTCCAAGAATTACAGCATCGAAGACTTGGATCCCAACGCGCCTCCCACTGTCCTTAATCTTCCAGAAAACCAGCTTTTCTTCGGGTTTCCAGTGGTGCCTCCAGTGCTTGAAGAGAGTTCCGAGCAGAAACAGACAGAAAACAACGTTTTTACAGGCAGTGGACAGTCGTTGAGACAGAGCAAGAAGCGCAAGGATACCAACACGTCCCATCCTTCCTTGAAGAACCACTCGAGGAGTCCAGATTACATAGAAATCGATTGAGAGAAGGAGGTGAGTGCTTTTGGAGATCATTGGGATTCACGGTTTGATGGTTGAACTTTGTCAAGTACGAAGGTGCATCCATGTCTCTATTTTCGGGGATTAGGAGACCATGAATCGTGCTTCTTCCATGTCTTTGAAATCTACACAAGTTGGCAGAACCTCCTCTAGGATCGGCGGTGGGGCACGGCGCTATACACCCGGAACTGGCACGGGTACAATGCACGGGTTCAAGGCACGTTGTCATCGCAGGAGTAAGAGATAGTCAGATAATCGTATAGGATTAGTTAATATCGCAGGACCAGACGGATAACACAAGAGAAGTAACGAGCTACCCTGGTTCGAATTGTAGTCTAACAGTCAGTCCTAATTTGGATGATAGTTGTTATTCAATGGACAGCCATTGCACTGGTTATTCTACTTGTTGGTTCTCAACTACTCGGCAACACTCAACTGGAATTCATAGAACGACATCTCTGGTTCCAATTTTTAGTTTACAGACTAACAACTGCTATCCTTCATGAATTGTGGATAATAGTTGTTAATCCTGACTTTATTATTATCCAGTTGACAGTCTAAATTTCCTTCCTACGACACTTTCCGTTCCTGACTATCAACTACTCCCACCAATAGTCTAGACTACATTCCAATGGTCTTTCGATTGATTATCGTCAGCTGGTCCACTACTTTTGGTCCAGACAACTCTCTATAGTACACTATTCAGTAGTAGATGGCAAGAAGACATCGTTGCCTTGCTCAATAGCCATTTTGGTGTGGTAGACAATGTCAACCGATTCCCATGGGTAGGCGATCCACACGTCTGGAACGGTTCTGGCAGCAAAGTAGTTACCAGTCTTCATGATCTCGTCTGGCAAGTCGGCTCTCTTGGGCTTGGCCTTGTCGTGCAACACGAAAACACCAAACTTGGTGTCGTTAGGGTCCGCGTTCTTGGCTCTGGCCTGTTCCTCGACGTCCTTCTTCAACTCGGAAACGGCGTAGTGCAAGGTGGTTCTGGTGTCATCCACCTCGTCGATGATCAACACGTTCTTGCCCACCAAGTCGATCTTTGACTGTTGGTAGTCAATCCACTGGGTACGGACGACCTGGGTGCCGAGTTCTTCGATTCCGTCTTCGCCAATATCCTCGTAGAGAGACAAGATGATGGCCATGATTCTCACGTTAGGATGGCCTGGCTCCTTGAGGAACGATCTCAACATTCTGGCAGGAATGAAACCTCCACCACCGATGGCTATGATCAAGTCGGGCTTGAAAGCCTTGATTTTGTCGGCTGACTCTTGGCACAACTGGTGGACGTTGTTGTAGGAGATATAGGTCTTGCTGACTTCCTCACTCATGGTTGGTTACTGAAGAAACGGGTACGGATACCGAGAGAAGAACTGCGATGATTTGGGGGAGGGGGGGCTTTTATAGAGATGAGAAAAAAAAAAGAAAAATTCGCAGCGAGTGAGTCAAACCTGCAATGGGCGAACAGGCAGCGAGGTGATGGAGGGTGATGCGTGGGGAGTGTAGGCTAGATAAGGACCGAAGAAAGAGCAGGCTGGACGGCGGAGGCTTGCGGAGGGGCTCCGCGGAGCCTCCATGGCCTGGCGCGGACACTGGCCGCGGACGGCTGGAAGTAGTCACGCGATGTGTAGTCACGTGACTGGGTAGCTTCAAGTTTCCTTGCTATCTCAAAGGTTAAAAGCTGTGACATGGCTACATTCTATACAAGTACGTATGCAAGTACTTTGTCTTCATAGATGTCGAGGAAGTATAAGACGGGGTATTCCAAGAGATAGCCATTGGTATAATTTGGCTATTTCGCATCAGATGCCGATGCTGTTTTGGGTGAATAGGCTATATGCAGGTCCCCTGGGTCGGTAACTCAGGCCATCTAATTTTGACAAAAAGGAGCTCTGATCGGAGATTCAAAAGGGCCAGTGCCTTGGGGAAGTCTATGAGAAGTCCACACTCTGGCACAATGCTTCCAGCAACAGTTTTGGTCCCGCAATATCCACTACTACCTGGAGTTGGGTGACTATATGCAGTACACACCACCCGAGTCTTGCCGGTTTCGGCCGTTCGATGCCTTATTGCCTAGATAAGAAAACCATTCCACCGCAACATTCACGGATATACACAGTGGTTTCCAAGTAAAGGTCTACGTTCCATTAACCGGAAATCTTTGCGCACCCGATCTATAGACTTGGCTAGGGCGTAATTCCTAGTCCCCAATTCACTTTCTAGCTCTGGTTTTCGTAGCTTAATTAACGAATGCTTCTTTATTTTTATCTATTTTGAACTCTTCGTTTTGGGGAAATGTCTTTGGAATAGGTATGAAACTACGTGAAAACTGAGGAGCCCTACTTAAAAAGGTCACCCAACAAAATTTGCTGTGAAAGAAGAGTTACTTGGAAAAGTGAAGTCTTTAGTAGAGGCAAGATAATTAATGAGAAATGCTGTACACACAACGAAGGAGGATCTCATACGCAATCAATAGTTTGTGCATTACTGGTTAAACGAGTCCATGCTAGTATAGACGGTTTGGCCCATTGATACTGATTATATTGCTACTACAGACAGTTTCCTATGCGATCCAGGACTGCCTAGCACGATTTCTCCTGCTGATTACTCTGCAATTACAAATTATTTTTATATCTTCATCGATAATATAGCATATAATTATCGACACCATGCGATTCGCTCTACCATCCTCCTCTTCTGTGCCTCCACTAGCTACCTCTGACATTCTCATACCACGTCGTGCGCATACCAATGTCGCGGCTGCGACCATGTCGCACCCACTCCCCCACAGGTTTTCGCCAGCTGGCCCACAACTCTCTGATTCATCACTAGTGCTACCAATGAAGCTTCCTATCTTGTTGACCTCCATGGTGGCAGCGTCCCACGCTGCCATCCTCGGACTCGACTACGGCCAACAGTTCACCAAGGCCGTGCTTTTGGCCCCAGGAATCTCGTTTGAAATCGTGTTGACCGACGAAGGCAAGCGCAAAGATCTCTCAGGAATCCTGATTCGTGGCGGAAAACACGCCAATGACCTCGAGAGGGTGTATGGGTCCCAGACGGGCTCGTTGTGTACCCGTTTCCCCCAATCGTGTGTCTTGGATCTCAAGACGTTGTTGGGGAAGTCCATCCTGGACCCTTCCACCAGACAGTACTTGGCCCAGCACTTTGGCGTCACATTGATCGAAGACGACACTCGTGCTGGTTCCGTCAAGTTTGACCTCGGGTTCGCCAACCAGTCGTACGCGTTCACCGTGGAGGAGGTGTTGGCCATGAACTTGAACGACATCAAGACCAGAGCCTTGCAGACGTTGCAGTCCACCTCACACGCGATTCCATTGGTCGAGGATGTCACCATCTCTGTGCCTCCGTTTGCGTCGCCAGAAACCAGACAGTCGTACTTGGACGCCTTACACTTGGCCAATTTCTCCAACGTGTTGGGGTTGGTCGACGAAGGCACTGCCGTGGCTCTCAACTACTTGACCAACAGGAAGTTCGAGGCCAGTGACTACAACGATGTTGCCCAGCGCCACTTGGTCTTCGACATGGGTGCAGGCTCTGCCACTGCCACCTTATTCTCGTTCACTCCGTACAAAAACGGGTCTATTGTGTTGGAGTTGGAAAATGTGGGCTACGACGAGTCCTTCGGAGGAAAGTTATTGACCCAGTCCATCTACACCATCATTTCCGAGAAGTTCTTGGCCAAATTCAACTTGAAGCACTCGGACTTGACTCCTAAGGCTGTTGCCAGACTCGTGGAGGCCTCTGAAAAGGCCAAGCTCATTTTGTCTGCCAATACCGAGTACCATGTCTCTTTGGAATCCATTCACGACGATAAAGACTTCAAGACCACCGTCAGCAGAGACGAATTCGAGGAAATCAACTCCGACTTGATGGAGCGCATCACCAAACCCATTTTGGATGCCTTGAACGGCTTATCGGTTGACGAACTTAAGTCTATCGTGCTCAATGGTGGCTCCACCAGAGTTCCTTTTGTCCAAAAGCACTTAATTGCTCTTGTTGGTGAAGACAAGATCGCTAAGTCGGTCAATGCCGATGAATCTTGCGCTTTGGGTACCACCTTGAGAGGATTGAAGTTGAAGACCAAGTTATCCAAGCCAAATGATGTTATCGTTATCGACAAGGGTTTCCACAATTACGAGGTTGCTGTCAACGGAGAAGACGACCCTAAGCTAGTTTTCGAAAAGGGTACCCTTATCAACGAGGTCTCCAGAGTCAACTTAGGTGCTATTGCGAACAATCTCGACATCGGATTGTATGAAGATGGCAAATTATTCAAGACTTACGCTTTTGAAGATTTGGTCAAGAAGACTGAGAAGTTTAGTTGCAAGTCGAAGGACTCCAAGGAATTATTTGGTTACTTCACCTTGGATCAGAATAAGATGTTCGATTTGACCAGAGTTGAAGTTGAGTGTGTTAAGGAAGACAAGAGCATCTTGGGTAAGATTTTGAATAAGGGCAAGAGCACCGAGGAAGCCACTGTTAACGAAGACGAGGATGGCGAAGTTATAGATACTTTTGGGGATGACTCTGCCAACTCCACCAACTCCACCGAAACCACCACTAAAAAGACCACTAGGGCACCACCAAAGCCAAAGACTGCTCATGTACCACTCCCAAAGGCTTCTTATCCCGGTGTTAAGCCATTTTTGAGAACAACCAAGGAAAAGCTTGTTGGTAAGCTTGCTTATTTAAACAGCAGAGACCAGCAAAAGGCCGAACTTGAAAGCGTGAGAAACAACCTTGAAAGTGATTGCTACCAATTACGTGCTTACATCGAGCATTACGAGGATATCTTGAGTGCCGAGGTCGAGGACCTTTCCGAGTACGAGAGTTTGGTTGGCGAGGTTATTGAATGGTTGGAGTTTGAAAGCGACGACGCTAGCATCGAAGACATTAAAGAAAAGATCGCTATGGTTGGTAAGAAGCACAAGCGGTTGGCGAGATTCGTGGAGATTCATTCCGCAGATATCTCTTTGAAGCACATCAAGAATTTGCAAGTGGAGGGATCCAATTTTGTTAATTCTTTACAAGAAAAGCTTCTCACTTATGGAGGACAGGTCCAAGAAATCAGAGGCAGGTATGAAGCTGAAGGGTTTGATTTCGACAAGGAAAATGACAGACAAAGAGCTGCATTGGCAGCTAAGGGAATGGATAAGTTGGATAAGTTTGACAAAACTTTGGAAGCTTACAAGAACGACTTGACCACTGTCGGCAAAAGTGTGGGTTTGTCAGAAGAAGAGTACAACTCATTGAGTAAGGATGAACGTTACACCTTTTACGAATTATTGACCAACGGCTTTGCTAACGTATTGGCTGATTTGGTTTCTTTGGAAGGAGGCCACATTGAGAGACTTGATGCGTTGAACGAGAAGTTTGAGACCCTTTCGGCCAGAAAGAAACAAAAGGAACTCAAAGACAAGTTGAAGAAGTCCAAGAAGGAGGCCAAGGTGGAGGAAGAGCCAGAAGCCGAAAATGGTGAAGACGATGACGTAGTCTTTGAGGAGGACGAGCCTGAACAAACATCCACAGAAACAGCAGAGGATAGCCAACAGACTGCTTCCGAAATAGAACACGACGAATTGTGAATTACATAGGTAAATATTATCATACAGTAGAACACACTTGTGCCATGAGCACGTAATCAACATCACAATAGTTCGACATCCGTAGGACTCCACTCCAAGAGATTTTGAGCGGAACCAACCAGCCAACGGAAATCATAGATCACGTGCTTCATGGCACGTGATCCATCACCTGACATATAATGTTTTTCATCATTTTACAGCACTCCATCATGTCTTCGAATACAAGCCCACCTCCTAATAGGGGCAACAACAGACCAGCAAACCGTCCCATGAGAGAAGACTTACAGGGTTACTCCTCTGGCAGGCGAGGATACTCTTCAGCACAGCCATACGAAAGAGATGCGTACTCAAGAAGACCTGAGTACCAAGACCGTGCAAGAGAAAGGGTCATGGCCAATCCAGGCACCACAACTCGGGACAGATCACCTACAGGTACTTCTGCTTCAAGTGCAAGAGATCCAAGGGCCAATTCGCCGAGAAATGGCCCTCCCAGAGACAGGTATGGGACCCGTGGTAAGTACGACGACTATGGATCGTATGGCCGTCAAGAGCGTCCACCCCAAGATACGTCGTATGGATCAAGAGGGTCTCGGTATCAGGAAGCCAGATCACACGAGCAGGATAGGGGAGATGAAAGAGGGTACGAGAGAGGAGGTCGCGACAGAAGAGATGACTATAGACGAAATGGCAGAGACAGAGACGGTCCCAATGGTCATGGACGTGAAGCTCCCGCAAGAGGTAGCTATAACGGACCAAGTGGTGGAAGAGGGGGCTATAATGGCTATGGGGGTAGGGATGGTCGCCACGACTCGAGACAGGGAAGGCCACCTGCAAATGAACCCAGACCTCATCAGACTCCTCGAAGAAAACCAGAAATATCCCCCGAAGAGCTCATCGCATCCTATCAAAAATCATTGAAAGAGCTTGAGAATGTTGAACCGCTCGAGTCCATCAAAATCATCGACTCCAGGTGGGGTGTCAAGCCAAAGGGGTTTGAAAATGTGACTGCTCAGAGAGCCAAGTTGTCTGGATTGTTCCCCTTGCCAGGATATCCAAGACCAGTGGACTTTACAAAATTAGAGGGAAGTGCTAGCGAAGGCATTTTGAGCTCTAATGATATTCTTAATGATGCCTCGAAGATTGACCCTATTGACGCAAGAAGCTCCAAGATCTTGGTTATTAGGGACATCGATTTTGAGAAGATCAATTATCTCAAGATCGTCGAATTCTTCAATGATTATTTGAAGAGAATCGACATCGACCAAACCAGCATGCATAACATTGATAGCAAGAGAAAAACCAAGGATGACAAGAATTTGATTATACAGTTCGTCAACAGCACCTGTGCGACCATCATAGCCTCGTTGGACACATTAAAGCTCCCTTTCAATCTTTACAAGGAAGACTCGGAACCAGCTAAAGACAGTGAAGAGAAAATCCAACTCAAGATTCAAAGACCTAAGGAATACGTCGTCCAGACAGTATCAAAAAAACAGGACGACGATGATTTCACCAAAGTTATAGATAGTCCCACAAAGATCACGCTAATGGTATCACCAGATAAGACTGAAACAGAAATTATTGATCAAATCAAGACCATAAATGGTGTCAAATCATTCCAGTTATTGAGAGAAATAGGGACAAAGGAATCCTTGGGGATGGCATTTGTTGAGTTTGAAGTGCCAGAGGGCACCAGCTTACAAAAGACAATTGATTTACTAGAAGGGTTGATCGAGAAAGTCAGATCTTGCTCATATATTACAAATAGCTTCTTCTCGTGCATTATTCCAAATCAAACTAGCATTCAAGATTGTGCAATTGATATGGACACCTTAAAGCTGTTGGTACGCAATGAGAATGTTTCGGCACATCCTAAGCTGAGAGTCATCCAATTGATCAACATGGTTACTGCGAGAGACTTGGTCGAAGATTCGAACTATCACTTTATTCAGCAAGACATACACCAAGAGGTGTCGAAGTTTGGTAAAGTTGTTTCCATGAAGATTCCCAGACCTGCCAATGATTATACACCAGGTTTGGCTCAATTTACCCAGCCGGGTTTGGGTAAGGTGTATGTTGAACTTGACGATGAAGAGTCCTCGATGAAGGCCATAATGGAGCTTGCTGGTAGGTACTATAACGATAGAGTGGTTCTCTGTTCGTTTTATGATGAGGGAGACTATCTCAATGGTATATTCTAACGGATGAAATGAATGTAATAATGAAGTAAACAATGTAGTGAATAGATACACAATCAGGGTATATGCGCCCATTCGACGAGGTACCGTCTTTGGAATCGTTAAAATAGTGCAAAAATCTGTTCAATTTTTCACCCAAAGAATAATTGACTATTTTGCTGAAAGACCAAAGGGTCAAATTCAAATCTAGGTCGCCAAAAACTCTTTAAGTTCACCAGGAACCTTTGGATCGTAGCCATGTCTAGCAATTAAATCAAACAATTTCTTGGGCAACTCAGGGATGAAACTCAAGCTCAACTTGATAATTTCGCTCTCCTCCAAAGCCGGGAAGTTTCTCAAGATCTTCATTGGCTGGGGAGAGCTCAAAAGTGCCGATCTGTGGATGATAAGCTGGGCCACCACGAAGAGGATGTTCATGTGGGTGCCGTATGCAAAAAGGAAGTCCCAAAGCTTCAAAACCGACTTCAATGGTGGCGTGCACGCACAGAGTGTTAACACGGAAGGGAAGGCATAGATCTCGGCCTTGAGAAATTTGGAGTCGAGATACTCACTCAAGATTGGGTCGATGATCTTGAGCACTATATCCACCAAGCTGAGACCAGTGTGCACACCGTCCAAGTTAGGGGTGATGTACAATGGAATGTGGTTGGTGATAAGCCCGTGCAAGAGCGCAAATGCTTGGGGTTCGCTTTTGTAGCACGAGTAAGCGATTGGAGCCAAGAGCACGTTCAATCCCTGGACGTATCCCACCTTGTTGTTCATGGTGACAGCCACACACGAGAGGATGCGAATCAACGACTCTTCCGACACCTTCAGATGGAACAGCTTGTCGTTCATGAGGGTTCTGAAGGTGTCGTTCTTGATTTTGGCGTAGACAGTGGGGTCCAACGTGGTGGGGACTTGTGAAACTAACTTGAGGTAGCGTTGCGTTGGGAGGTTGGGCACACGACAGAGAATTCCCCACACATAGGAGCGGTATGGACACTGTTCGTAACCTGGGGGGATGGAGAGGCCCTCTATGAGGATCATGTAGCGCAACTGGGACAACCCGTTTTCGAGGAAGAGCTGCTGACTGCCGATGAACTGCTCGATTGAGTCCTTTTTGCGGCCCTTGAGCTTGGGCGATGACATTCTGGGTGGCTGTTCTGGGGAAATTGTGCTTCTGGTAGTGTTCTGAGGGAATTGTAGCTTCTGGTAAGATTAGAGGCTTCTGGTGGTGCTGTGGCGGGGTTGTTGTCTCTGGTGGTGCTCTCAATATTTAAGGCTTCTGCTTCTCTCACGGTTTCAGTGTCTGGTGGTCTTATGTGTTATTTGTGACTTCGGTTGTCCACTGTGTGTTTGAGGCTTCTGGCAGTATTAAACGTTCCAGTGGTTCTCTGGCGATTTGAGACTCCGGTTGTTCTCTGTGTGATTTGTTGTTTCTGGTGATGTTCTCACGCTATGGGGCTTCGGTGGTGCTCTGGCAGGATTCGTGGCTTTTGGAGTAGTTCGGTGACTTCTGGCGGTCTCTGAGGATGTTTTGTGGCTCTGACGGCCTCTAGCGCTCTTATGTGCCTTCTATAACTTCAGCGCCTATGCTACTGTTGATGTCTGGTCCGCGCACTCATCCAAATCAACTACACTTCTTGACAACACGCCAGGATGTTCGGATTAGGGAAGCTTCTTTACGTGATCATATTGACCATCAATGGCATTGCTGTGCTCAGCGAGGATCGGTTCTTGAACCGGATTGGCTGGGGAAGCACCAAGACGTCTGGCCAACAGTTCCAGTACGGAGGAGAAGGCGACAGTTCAGTCAAGACAAAGTTGATCAACTTGATCAGCGCCATCCGCACGTTGTTGCGAGTCCCGTTGATAGCCGTGAACGTGGTGGTGATCATGTACGAGTTGATTTTGGGCTAGAAAGAGGTGGGTGAAGCACCACCAAAAGCTGCCATAGCCAAAAAGCTCCAAACACCAAAACTGCCAAAAACTGCCAAAAACTGCCAAACTCCACGAAATGTACCACACCAACGTGTTGCTCCCTAGCTATTCCCTGCCACCAGCCCTACAGTCTCTCACGAACCGCGTTCGTTTACATACATCTAATATACACCTATTTACCCAGACCTACTCGATCTTGACAGCTCCGTCCTCGTCGCCCCCGGTGGTGCTCTGCAACCTGTCGCGGGACTTCTTGAACAACTCCTCCTGCTGCCTCAACAACTCCTCCTCCGAGAGTCCCGAGTTCTGGAACTTGTTGTTCTTCTTCTCCTTGCCCTTGAGCAACTCCTTGTGCTCGTCGAGAATCTTCTGGATGATCTCGAGGTAGTTCTTGAAGTCCAACTCCTCGAGCGCCTTGATCACATGGTCCGACGCTATCGTCTTCTTGGCCTCTTTCTCGGCAATGTCGTTGGACTGTGTGGAGAGCATCATGATGAACTCAATGCTGCATTCGGTGATGGCCTCGCGAGCCTCCTTGGTGATGGCGATGTCCTTAGGCAAGATCTCGCCAATGATCTTCTGGACTGTGGCCTTGGGCAAGCTGAGGTCTTCGGTGTTGGATGTGGAGTACTCGGACATGGTTGGGGATGATGTTTTTGGAGTGGATTTTGGAGTGCGAGCTATGGTATAGTGAGCGTAGTGAGAAGACTGGAGGGGAGGGTTAGAGGATAATGGCTGGTGCGAGATATGAGAGAAAGTGAGGAATGTGGGTGTAGTAAAGATGTGGTGAAAGTGGCAATGCTTTTGGGGTTGTCAATCCATTTTTTGGTGGGGTTCTTATTAGTCTCAGTAGGGTGTTTGACTCTAATAATTGGAAGGCTATACACTACTCGCTAAACCGGCCATGAGCAAGCCAGAAATTAACTGACTCAAGGGAGCTATTTAACTGTCATTAACCGTCAAGAAATTGGTTTCTCGAGGTCGGTTGGGTTTTGCCTAGTTTTGTACAATTTTCGCTTTTATCGAATATAATTTTACTGTTGCTTGCCTATCACTTTTTGAATAATTTTGATTTTAGTGTCAAATTAATAAATTTCCGATAACCAGCACCTGCCACAAACATGACAGAAATATCAGTACACAGCACTCCAAGTTTGTCTTCTAATCATTGACAGATGGAAATTACCAATTTAACCGTATTATAACCAAAATAATACCCCAGATTGCTATTATCGTCATGTAATGAAACAATTCCTTCTATAGAGACGCCAAGTGAATTCTCTGGCCAGATCATGGTAATCAAATCTACGGGTAAAAATCTATACTGAATTCATTTTCATTGAATAAGATTTCGTTTGGAATTCTCGAAAAGTTTTGTATTGAAGTCTTTTAAAAGTCAACAGAACCCATTCTTCACAGTTGTCCTATGATATCTATTTCTTGTCTATTAATAATTATTACCACTTGAAAACTCTTACTCATTCTTCATCGGTACTTGTATGTAATACTTGCAATACTGGAGGCTCCAGAGTAATTGAATTTTCGTATCTCTCCCTTCTAGTTTGAAATACAAATTGTTGCCATTGTACCGTTGGGTCTAATATATCAGCTAATGGTTTCTTCCAGTTCAAACTTGCAACTGTTAATGCTGAAAATCTCTACTAGCCGTTTAGGAGATGGGTACATAAATTCCTGGTTCTATCACTCTCCGATTGTTGGGTAAATTAACCTTAGCAGAATAATTTCTGCAATAGAGGAATCCCAGAACCCCACCTTGTAGAACTGAAAATTCAAGTATGTTCTTTAAACTCTACTCAATTCAAGATGCTAGTGAGACGGTTTTAGTTACGTCCATACTCTTCCATTCTCAACCGTTCCTATTCTCACTGGCCAGAAATGTATGTGCTCCCCAAATCTATATTTCCTCCACGATACACCCATATACATCCCTAGCGAAGAATCTTCTCCATGCTTGCCACAAACTCATTCGGCTTGTCTGTGACAATCCAGTGGCCACAATCAAACTCTTGGAACTCCACTTGTGGAAAATACTTCTCGAACGCTGGTCGGTGGGTACTGCGGATGAAGTTGGAGTGCTTGGCCGCCATCACCACCGTGGGCTTCGTAAACACTTTACCGTCCACTGCTTCTGCAGGCCACTCTCCCAAATCTCTCAAGACATGGTCCTGTTCGAAATTAAGCACTGGGACCTTGAATAAATGGTCTTGCGGGCGCTGGTAGAGGTTTGTCTTTAAGAAAAACCTCACCTTGGGATCTGGCTCATAGTTGGCCAAGATATCGTCAATTTGGTCCATTTTGAGCTCCCTGTCCTTTCGATATGCCTCTTCCACTTTGCACATTCCCTCCAAGTCCAGGTAGAAGTTGCCCTCCAATTGCTGATTGACAGGACTGTTATCCACTACCACCAACTTGCCCACGAGGTCGGGCCGGAGCAAGCTCACCACCATGGCCGCCTTGGCGCCCATGGAATGGCCCACCAACACTACCTCGCGCCATGAGTGGTTGGTGATGTGATGTATCACATCGTGGGCTAGTGTGAGATAGTTGTGGGGACTTGCGTGGGGCGACAGTCCGTGATTACGCAAGTCGAGTCCGTGGACAGGACGTCCTGTGAGCTTGGCGATGTTTCTGGCCACGCCTCCAAAGTTCTTCATGGACCCAAAGAGTCCGTGGAGCATTACCACTGGGGGAGCTGTACTAGCCTGGAAGTGTTTGGAAGGCACGAACTGCTGGTGCGCGAGCTCGACAGTGGCACGGTGGGGGAGCGCTGGCACTGTGAGACGACGTAGGTGGCGTAGCATTGTCTGGATGGTGGTATGAGTAGGACTGATAGTGCTGCGAATTCTGGTGGATATCGCGAATTTGGAGTGGTTGGAATACAAGAAGTGGAAGATATCGGTTTTGCAAGCATAGAGGGTTTTTGAGCTAGGTAGTCAGTCGTTGGCAACCTCAGATGCTTCCAGAATGGATAACATTTCTTCAACTTATATCTAGGAGATTTCTGTAGCTCTTGGTCTGGCTACACATAAACCTAAGAAAACACCCAGTAATTCATAATTCAGGGTATACATTGAATTTAGTGGCAGAATTACTTGGGATCAACCAATTTGGTCTTTCAATGTGTTCGTAAAGAAGCTAAAACGGCAGTACTCAGAATTCATTGGAATTGACCGAGCCGTGAAAATTCGAATTAAATTCCAGAAGTACATCGTCTAGAAGCGGGAATTTTCGTAAGGACTGGCGTGGTATATCACGGTCAGAGTACTAACTTTAATTGCAGGAGGTATTATTATTTTGGAAATTTCTCAGGTTGGTTGACCTTTAATTGGATAATTGCACATCGACACAATTCAAGTATGATTATTAATTCCTTAACTTGAAACAAATGTGCACACCCTAAGGCGACCTTATCTTCCGTCATTGTCCCCTTTTATTCCAACATATAGTTGAAATTCATTCTTATACAATATTCACTTGTATACAAATGAATAGTTAAGCATATTTATTGCATTCCACTCATAACCTCGGTCCACCTACAATCTGGCTCACTATCATATATTAGCGCTAGCATCGCTAGCCTTGCGTAACTCGTTACGGCTCATCTATTAACAACGGGCTTAGTTAGAGCCTCCATTAGCACCGCCTCTGCCTCCCATGAACTGGCTGAACATAGGATTGTTCATTATGTTGGACAAATCAGGACCTTCACCATCAGCACCGCCCAAGCCCATGTTTTGGGCCATTTGACGGACAGCAGGGTTGCTCATTAAGTTCAGCAAAGCAGATGGGTTGGACATCATCTCCTGAGCAGCTTGCATGATTTGTGGGTTGTTCATCATCTCACTCAACGATGGCATGCCGCCAGCGCCACCACCAAACATGCTGGAGAGATCTGGCAATCCACCAGCACCAGCACCAGCACCAGCACCAGGGCCAGCACGGGTGGTTTCTTCAGCGTCAGCAGTTTCTGGCTTAGAAATGGACTTCTCCAAGTCTTCTTCGACTCTGCGCTTGGCAGTTTCGTATCCCTTGCTCATGGCCTCAGACTTCTTGTCACCTTCGGCCTCCAAGCCTCTCTTGTAGGCATCCATGGCAGCCTTGGCATCTCCCAAGGCGTAGTGGGCCAAGCCCAATCTGGAGTATGCCTTGGAGAACTCTGGGTTCAACTCAATGGCCTTCTTGGCGTCTTCGACTGCCTTTTCGTGGCTGGAGGACGAAGAGTAGGCAGCAGCACGGTTCGACAAGTACACCACATTGCTAGGGTCCAACTTGATGGCCTCAGTGTACTTGGCAATGGCTTCTTCGAAGTTTCTGGCGGCCATGGCTCTGTTGCCTTCCACCTTCAAACCATCAGCCTTTTCTTTGGTTTCAGCACTGACTTCAGCAGGAGCAGAAGCAGCAGCAGGAGCAGCAGCAGGGGCACTGCCACCCAAACCAGCGTTGATCAAGTCCTTCAACGACTTGTTGCCGAACTTGGTGGCCTTACCATCCTTATCGACCTCGAACGCATCGGCAATACAGTCGATGGCCACGTCCATGGAGTCGGCATAGTCTTCAGCAATGTCCTTGCTCTGGACGGACTTCTTCAAGAAGTCGATGATGGATAACGCGATATCTTTGTTGGAGGCACTCATCTTGTGGAGTTGGATCAATGCTGGGGCGTAGCTTTATAGCGACGTGTTGGTTCGAGAATGTTCGCTGGTATACGCACTACCGGTAACCACGGGTGAACAAGATAGTGATGGGGGGCAAGGATCGGGGGCGTTACCACGTTGCGGGAGGCTAGTGGTGGTAGAAGCCGGCTCCAGCGGTGGTGATGTAGTAGTGGTGATGTAGTAGTGGTGGTAGTACTGGTGTTGGTGAGGTTAGTGGCTTGGTCGGGAAGCTGGGGAGCGAAGCCGTGCGGTCGCAGCATTTGGCAGCCATGAAGGTATGAGTGATGACAGATGTTATGAATTAAGAGGACTGAGCCATGATGGCTGGTAGATGGAGCCATTGAAGACTGGCCAAATTAGTAGCAGTAATCAATAACTGGTAAATTTTATCACAACATGAGGAGACTGAAGATATCAAAATGATGACTGGATATGCTATCTTAAGTGGTAACTAACCACCAGCAGTGTGATCATCTCGATCACGGCGTGACATTCTGTAAGACCTTCTGCAACTGGTAGTTGCGGTGGTGGAGCCGCTGGATCTCTTCCGCCGTGAACCGCTTCACGGCAAACCGCATGAAGTTCGACTTGAACTTCAACAACGTCGAAATCTCCGATGCAAGCGCCTCGTGGTCCCATTTGATGTCCACATTGAGCTTCATAATCTGCTTGATCTTGTCGGCCTTGATGAGCACGAGCTTCTTGTAGCGCGAACGCTTACTCTCGATCATGCCTCCGAGGTTAAAGAATGTCATCGACTCGTCATCAGCCTCATCAGGGATGTCGTCGATGGTGAAAGTGTTGCGACGCGATGGTGTGGGAGGGCCCGTGGTATTCGATGCATCACCTTCCTCGTGTTCGGGCCGAATACTGGCCTCATACTTCTTGATCTCACTGTTAAGCTCTTTGATTCCCATGTACAACTCCTTCCAGTGCCTGATCTTCTCAAGCACCTTATAGATGTTCTTGAGGAGGCTGGCCACACATAACTCGATCCACGATGAGAAGTCGTTCAAGACTCCGTACAGCGAGTCCTTGTGGCAGTTCTCGCGGCTGTCTCCTTCGCCCCCATGGGCCAATTTTTCCAACGCTTTGTCTTGCACGTATCTTAAGTCAGATTGCTTCATCTCAGCGAATATCAAAAGCTTGTTGAATCGGGAAACAAATACTTTGTATGAGCTGAGGTCTTTGACGGAGTACTCGAGGAAAAATTCCATTTCCTTAATTTGGGCCTCGCCCAACTTGACGTCGCCCATCTCAAGCTTCCGTTTCTCGTGAACGGCTCTAATGGCCTCCAAGGTCAGGCTGCCTTGAGACTCTTGCACCAAGAAACTTTGAAAGAACTCATTTCGATCCACGTTATTTTGATATTCGAGCGATACAAATAGCATGTTCAATTTTTCGATTAATCTGTTGACACGATTCTTCTGGAAGAACGGCGTGGTGGACTTCTTTGCCCCAAAATTGAGCCAGAAGAATTCATCTTCGGGAAAGATTGAGTAGGGGTTCTTTATTTTAGTGAGATAGATGAACTGCTTAATGGTTTCGAGTGATTTATAGTTGGAATACCCATTTGTGTCCTTGAAGAAAATAAGCCACTCTTTCTTTGAGGAACCAAACTTGGCATTCAATGCAGTAAGTTTGCTGTTTTCAGAATTAGGGAAGAAATTATTGACGTAGTAATCCAAGATGAGCTGTTCAATTTGTTTGAATTCCTCGCTCTTGTTTCCTATTGATTTCATTGCCAGCATTCCCACATAGTCAAAAACGTTATAAAAGTTCTTGGTATCCTCCAATAAGAAGTCGAGCCTTGGGTCTTTAAGAAGATCCTTGAGATTTCCTGCCCTGTTGTATTTAACGTAATTAACCAAGGGGGAAATGAACTTTCCATTTAGTTCATTAATATCAATCAAATTATCGGGATTGCTGAGAAGTCTCGTTTCCTCCAAGTTGCGTGCCACTATATGCAATAAGCCGTTGGACAATTTGTCTTTGTGAACGTCAAAGTTCACTTTGCCGTACTTCTCATAAACACAATCGAATGCTTCTTTCAACATTAGATCATAATGTAAATGGTCATAGCATCGGCAAATACTGAACAAAGGTGTATGGTGATTCAAGTCCTTAAGCTCCCAATCTATCAAGTGTCCGATGATTGGAATTATTTGGTAGTTATGGAAAAGATAATGTCCAATTGATCTTCCAGTCGTATCTTTTGAGTTGAGATAGAGACTCATTTCTTCATCTGAAGTGTTGTATAAAAGTAGCTGGACCAAGTCCAAGGCTATGTCATTCGATTCTTCGATCAATGCTGTCATTAATAGATTCTGATTAGTCACTATGTCCTTGTCAAACAATAAATCATCAATAGTGAACCATGCCGGATTATAGTTCAAAAGAAGGTCCCACACTTCGAACTTCTTAGTCTTGACCCCAAACATGAGACAGCTCTCCCCCTTGATGTTCTTACTTTTCAAAAAGTGGGAAACTGGAAGAGTATCCTGATACTCTTCTTGGACTGAATCTAGAATCGATTTTAGATTGTCCAAATCACCATTCTGTATGGTAGACCAAAAATCAAAATTTTGTTGTGAATATTGCACTAAATCGCCATCTTCATGACTCAAAAGATACAATACAGCATCAAAGTTGCTCATGATGTAGTTGAAATGGCCATCGTTAGTATAATCAATGGAATTAAAATGCTTCATGTAGTACAAGTGTGCCTCTATGTTATCAATCTTGGAGTGAATGATAATCATGATGATAAGTCCAATCAAAGTGTCTGCATCAATGGTTGTTGGTTCGGTAACTATTTCGACTCCGTGGGTCACAACACCATTCGTCGATCCATAATGGGTGGACCCACCCGTGAGGACTTCCATAGTACGAAATATCACCTTAGTTTTGTTGTTCAGGTTCATGAGTCCTGGATCTGCAAGCTTCGAAAACTCATCGATTGCTCTAAACACCCTGAGCTGTAGCTCGTTCAATTCCCACGGTTTATCAATGGGAATATCAAGCTGATTTAATGCCAAACATGACAATTTGCGATATTTTTCAGTTGTCAAAAACTTCTGTGCATCTGGGTCAAACTCTTTCTTGTTTGGATCCCGGTAGTTGAATTGAAACATCAACTGGGACCAGATTTTGTCGTAAAGGTTTAGCTCGACATATTCATGGACCAAGCGGTTGAGGTCGAGCCCAGGATATGTTCCGATAATATGATTGATCAAGTTGTACGTCTGTTCGCTTTCTGGATTCTCGACCTTGACACTGTCCAGGATGATTTTGTATGCTTCTTCCAAGATGGCCTGGAACTCAGACTTGATCTGACTCAATTGCTTCTGATTGTTAGTGTGCAACAAGCGGAACTGCCTGTTGTTATGGTGGAACAACCGATAGAACTTGTCGGAGACTGCTTTCGACAATAACGGGTATGTGCGGAGGAGCTTTTCGAAGGTGATGGACTCGTTAATTGAGGGTTGTGGCTCGGAAACTTTTGGATGCACCAAAGGGGGAGGTTCCTGGGGGTTTTCAAGAAGCTGGTACTGGGAGACATGCGGGTGGTAGCTTCCAATGAGGGTGTCCTCGATGTAGATCACCATGAACCTGCTTCCCTTGGGGAAGTAGTCACAGAACGATCGTATGTAGCCCGTGGAGAGGATCTGCAATTTGAGGCTCCGCTTGAAGCCCTTTCCGGTGAACACCATGCCATTTTTGATCAAGATCTGCTTGCCGTTGATGGTGTTGTAGATCACCAGCTGGACTTTAGTGTTGGAGGCAGGCGAGATGGAGTACGTGGAAGATGTCTTGATGATGTGCGAACGGATGAAGTCCTCGTTGCTGTAGCACAACTCCTTCAATGGGTACTTGGTGGATACTGGGTCGTACCATTCCTGGAGGATGTATGACGGTGGGATCAAAATGGTGTAGTCGAGGTGGCTCTTGGCCAACTCATCGATGGTGCTTTTGAACGGCAGCCTAGCATGATTCGGATTGTTGAAGATGCAGTTGATGTACGGGTTGTAGAGGAGCGGAAGGTGAGATTTGTGGCTACTCATGGCGGTACACCAAGGCGGTAACGGTCACTGAGAGTGCCTGGAGGCAATGAGGGTGGGCGAAGTGACGGCGCACGGCGATGGCACGGATTGGGGGATTGGCTGGTGGAAGCAGACGGTAGTAGCAGGTAGGGGAGGCGATTCTGGTAGCAATGGTAGGTTGATTTGGGAGAAGTTGTAGATGTTAAAAGTGCGTGTTGCAAGGTAGCGCGATTTGGTGGTGATGTGCTAGGAGGGGGGAGAGAGGAAGGGAAGAGCGAGAGGAAAAGAAAGTGAAGAGGGAAGGGAAGTGGGATTGGGAATGCTGACCGAGGAAGAGATTTCGTTAATTTACTTCTTGTTTGTAATATGTACGTATATCATTATCGTCAATTATTAACTAGTCTGACAGAGGGTAATACATAAAAATTAGTTAATAAATTTCCCTTTAGATAAATGAGTGAAGGAGTTCAAGCCGGTTCTATCCTCAGCTATTTTACGCTGGAACATTTTAGGGTATGTAACGAAACAAGAAACCTTTGTACTAATACGTATGCGTGACGTCCGGTGGGATATATTCTGTGCAAATATTAGAAACAATCAGAACTTTGAACAAATAGCTCTGCAGGGAATATAAAGAACTATCTTTCTCTGCATACATTAAATCGAGTAGAACTCGTTCAGAGTAAATGCACGATCTAGGGCTATAATGGGTTAGTGAGGCTCCCTTTATTCATTCATTATGAATGTGTCAGGGAGTCTAATCGGGAAAACAACAGCAGTTCTTCACAGAGAGTTACGGTTTCTTCTGTTTTGGTGCACTTCAACTGAACGGTATTATTGGTGGAAATAATGGAAGAATATAATGTGTATGCTAGTAAAATTGGCTTGCCAACCCACCATGTTCAGATTGAAATATTCAATGAACTTCGAGGTTACAAATCGATATGTAATATCCCATAAATACACTCCAATATCTCTATCATATTTATTTGCATTAAAGTTACTATGTTTATGGCTGGGTATCCAACCAAGATCGCTCATACGTTAGTCTGACAAACTAGTTAGTCTCTTGAGTGATGGTTCTTAATCCCACAGATCCCGTCAAAATAGTAGGCTTGCTACTGGAAATTGGGAAGTTCACGCTGTCTTCGACATCGCCAGAACCAAATCCACCTCCACCAGGAGTCATGATCACCACCCTATCACCTTTCTTGACCTTGACAGTGCACTTACCTCCAAGAGAGATTTTTCTCACCTTGCCAGATTCTGTCTCGGCACTTCTGTACCAGAAGTTCTTTCCTCTCAAACCAGAACCTCCGCCTAACAAGCCAAAAGGAGCCAACGATCTTCTCTCCATAAGACAGGAAACTTCAAGACCTGAATAGGTGAACTCGATATCTCTAACGACACCGTTGCCTCCCTTGTGGAAACCAGAACCTCCAGAATTCTCTCTAACAGAATATTCTCTAACAATTACAGGGTATCTCTTCTCAAACAATTCGGTATCGGTAATTCTGGTGTTGGTGGTGTGGCACTGGACAACTGATTGACCGTCCCAGGTGGGACCGGCACCGGAACCTCCACAAATGGTCTCATAGTATCCAAAAGAAATATTGTTCTCCTTGTCGTTAATACCAAACGTGAAGTTGTTACAGGTACCCTGCGAGGCAGCAGCAGCTTGGAAAGCCTTCAACATAACATCCACGATTCTCTGGGTGGTCTCCACGTTTCCTCCAACAACTGCTGCCTCATACGATGGATGCACAACCGAGCCTTCTCTGGTAAGAAACTTGATAGGTCTCAAACAACCGTTGTTCAATGGTACATCCGTACTGATCAATGATCTCAAAACGTACAACACTGCAGAATACAAGATCGCTCTTGGGGCGTTCAAATTGCCGTAAATCTCGTCTCCAGAACCGGTAAAGTCAAATTCGGCTGTACCTTCTTCATTGTTGATAGTAATGGCCAAGGAGATGGCAGTACCATCATCCAAGTAGTCGATTGCTTCCAATTTTTCACCTCCAAACTTTCTGTACGCCATTCTCAACAAATTTTGAACAGCAACCTCGGCAGTGGATTGAATTGCTCCCATGTACAAGCTAATCACATCGTAGCTGAACTCGTCAATGAGGTTATTTAACAATGTGATACCCTTGTAATTTGCCGAGACTTGGGCCTTGAGATCAGAAATATTGTCACTCAAGGTTCTAGTTCCAGAGCCTCCAGGATGCTTTGCAGGTTCTTCCAATAATATTCTGGTGATACCTTCCTCGTCAAATTCGCCCTTAGAGCAGAGCTTGTGAGTGATAATCGAGGCACCCTCATCAAAAATGGTCTTGGAGTTTGGTGGCATGGACCCGGCAGATATCGATCCAATATCCGCATGATGGCCTCTTGAAGCAGTCCAGAAAATTGGGTTCTTGTTTTCGTCTAAGACGGGTGTAATCACTGTAATATCGGGCAAATGGGAACCACCTGCTTGAGGATGGTTGGAAACCAACACATCACCGTGCTCCAACTTTCCTTCCCAGATTTCCTTCTGAGCTTTGACTGCAAAGGACATGGCCCCCAAATGAATAGGAACATGTGGTGCATTTGCGACCAAATCTCCATTTCTATCGAAAATAGCACACGAAAAATCAAGTCTTTCTTTGATGTTAGTTGAGATGGCAGTCTGCTGTAAAGTTCTTCCCATCTGTTCGGCAATAGACATGAACCTATGGCCGAAAACAGACAATTGGATTGGATCAACAACGTGTTTCGAGAAGCTGGGCTTCTCCTCTTGTTCAACCAAAATTAAGATGTGATCGGACAAAATGGAAGCAGCAGAGTTGGGCTCCACAAGAATAGTCTGAGTATTATCTATGATAATGGCAGGACCTTTGATGGAGGACCCGGTCTTCAACTCTGGAAGATTGTGGATCGACGAATCAGTCCAGCCCTTTCCTTCAAAGTAGATAGGTTTGGACTGGCCACTTGCAACTTCAAAGGTTTGCAAAGCTTTGTATTCTTCGAATGGGTTATGGACTGGCTTATCCGGAGTTTCGACAATCAATAAAGCCTGGACGTCGTCTACCAACACCTTTCTGTCCAACTTGAAGCCAAACTCAGCTTGATGCCTTTGCACAAACTTTTGGTCGGCATCAGTCTGTGATTTCTCAACAGGAATAAGCAAGTGGGTGTCGGAGCCCTGGTATCTCATGTTCAAAAAGTACTCAACTCTGTGGTCGTTGTGGGTCAAATTCTGTTCAACAAAGTCTTCATAGGCCTGTTCGTGAAGTGATTCAATTTTCTCCTCAATACGGCCCAAAGTTTCGGGAGAATAAATGAAGGATGCTGGTGACTGCTTTTCGATGACAATGTCAGCCAAGTAGATCCCATAAGCGGACAATAATGACGAGTACTTGTGAATGGCAACTTGCGAGATTCCCAAGTTTTTGGATAATGCAACCGAAAACTGGCCACCAGAACCACCGAAACATGCCAAGTTGTGGTCACCAGTATTGAAGCCCTTTGCTTCAGTCAAGTTTCTGATCGGTCTAACCATCGACTCGATGGCAACCTTCAAAAACCCGCTTGCGACTTCTTCTGGGGAAAAGGTGGAGCCATTTTCCTTGTTGATAGTCTCGGTGAGTTCTTGAAATTTCGCAACCACAATTTCGTAGTCGAGAGACTGGTCTTGGTTTGGACCAAATATTTTAGGGAAATATTCTGGCAACAATCTGCCCAAGAACAAGTTGGCATCGGTGACGGTTAAGGGACCACCTTTTCTGTAGCACGCAGGACCAGGATCCGAGCCTGCTGATTCTGGGCCCACCACAAACATGCCGTTTTTCCAGAAAAGAATAGACCCTCCACCTGCTGCCACGGTGGATATGTCCAATTGGGGTGTTTGCAAACTCACCTCGCTGACCACAGTCTCGTAGATGTGTTCCAAGCTGCCAGCGTACCTGGAAACGTCTGTGGAGGTACCACCAGCATCAAAGCCAATAGTGGCGGTTTTCGACACATTATCGTAGCATGTCTGGCCAAAGCCCACCATACCACCAGCAGGACCTGACAAGATGGCCTTCAAGCCTGTGAATTTGTACCAGGGGCACAAGCCTCCGTTGGATTGCATGAACAACAACTTGTTTCCGAACGCAGGCAAGCCGCCCTCGAAACCGTAGCCAAAGTACTGGATGTAGTTCTGGATGATGGGAGAGAGGTAGGCATCAGCCACGGTGGAAGAGCACCGGTTGACCATGCCAATCATGGGCTGCAATTGGTGGGATACCGACACCTGGAACCCGATTTCTCTGGCAATGGCAGCGATCTTCAGCTCGTGTTCAGGGTACGTGTAGGAGTGCAACAAGCAGAGAGCAATGGTGTTGATGTGGCCCTGGTCGTAGATTTGCTGCAACTGGCTTCTGACGAGATCGTAATCAGGCTTTTTCAACACCCTGATGGTATCGCCAGTCACTCCAGGCGTTAACTGAGGGTCCTCGGGGTCGGCAATGGCCAAATTGGCGCCTCCACCCTCCGAGAAGCTCTCGATAGTCACTCTTTCGTCGATTTCCAACACCTCCTCGTACAACTGGCCCAATTTTTTGGCTGTCAAATCGAAGATGTTGGGTCTGGTCTGGTTGCCAATGATCATAACGTCTTTGAAGCCCTTGGTGGTCACCAACAACACGGCAGCACCCTTTCTTTCAAGCAAGGCGTTGGTTGCCACTGTGGTTCCCATTCTGATGCTACGGATGGAGTCGAGCTTCAACTTCTCGTCTTTGGCGATAGTCACACCGTGGACCTGCTCCAACACCCGTCTGATACCCTCCGTGGGAGCGTCCTTGTAGTTGTTGGGGTCCACAGAGAGAAGCTTGAACACAATATCGGGACGGTTGGGGGTTTTGGCAATCACATCACAGAAAGTCCCACCACGATCGATGGCTATGGAGATGTCCTTGACGTCTGAGTAGGGCATGGTGAGTGTGATGGAGAAGTGGTAGGCTGGGAATCACGCCTTAGTCCGTCTTTTATAGTCTAGAGAACCCTGGAGTTGATTTCGGGAAAAATGCAAAATGTGCCGATCGGACGAAGTGTGCGATTATGCCATAGTTGGTGATGATCGTACGGCCCTGCTAAGCGGGAGAAAAACGGCCTGGGGGCGGCAAAACGGGCAATGCCGCCGAGGGGAAGTGGATCTAAACGGCCAGAGCTTCCGGAGGGCTTCTGATTGGCCGTGGTGGAAAAGGAGAATATATTCGTGTACTCATAAATATTTCGTCATGGTGTCATGCTAGTGAAGAATGCACGGTGTAGGCTGCGGGGCTTGTTTTGACACAAATCAGAGAGGTACGGTGGGACGGGATGGGAGTTAAATCAGGATGTTTAAGTGGATCAGGGATGTGAATATGATTTAGTTATTGAATGTATACTGATGGAGTGTGTTTCATCTGGCGTATACTGATGCAAAAGGTCTAGTTATCGTTTAATGAAATGATGGGATTTCCAATTAGATTCATTGCATACTCCTTTGATTAAAATACGAGTCACCTGGGCTTCCCAGTGGTTCAACAGACTAATAATTATGGAAATTTGATTGCTCTCTTTATGAGGTTCTTAGCGGTTTGTCCGTAGTAATTGTAAGTCGTACAATTTCTCTATTAATGATCTATCTTACGGTTAATCTAATAATTGTGGTATCCTGTAATTTGCTGGTACTATTTTACAGCACATTGTTTGCTGCTTGGACATGCTAGCAGAAACTGAAGCACCCAATCTGATATTTCAGGTGTTGAATTAAACAGAAATCGACTCCCAATTGCCTAAATTAAGAAGGCAATACTTTGAAAAGAAAAAATTTAGAATTTGCTAAGCATTCAGTACTCGTTTAATTGCAAGCATTATCAAGTGGATACCCTAGGAAGTTAATGAGCCTGAGGTGGGGCTAATAGTTATATCCAAATATTGCACCTAAGTAATTAAATAGATAAATAATATTTAGTTTAGGATCATTATTAGTTAAAATTTCACTATTATTAACATCCCATAGCTACAATTGCTTCAAGTTCTCTAAGGATTATATTTGCTAGCAACTTCCGACCTATATACTACCTTTTCCTCGGTCAAACCGTCATTTTGGAAACGTTTTCTATGACATTACCCAAGCTGTCGTACTGGACGTTTGGCTTGACCAAGTTTCCCAACGAGTCATAGACCTCTTCCTCGGACTCTTCATCTTCCGATTCTTCTTCTTCATCTTCTATGAGATTGCCCAAGGAATCGTACTTGACTTTCTCTATTCTGTTGCCCAAGTTGTCGTACTCCTCTGACGACTCATCTTCGTCTTCATCTTCGTCTTCGTCATCATCTTCCGGTATGATGTTGCCTAGGCTGTCGTACTTGACATTTCTTCCACTTCTGGCCAGGACTTCGTTTTCTTCGTCGTCTGTATCTTCGTCGGTCTCACTGTCTATGCGGTCCTTCTTATTCACATTGCCCATCATCCATATATCTTCGTCTTGGCCTCTCTCCTTTCTTTCCTTGGCCTCTTCTTCAATTTTTTTCAACCAGTTCTCCTGTGCTTCTGTCACAGATTCAGAGTCTGTACACTTTTGGTACACCTGGATCAACTCCTCGTTAATCTTTAAAAACGTAAGACCCCACGAGAAGTTCTCGAGCAACATCTCGGCCCAGTCAATGTGACCCACGATCGCAAAACACGCAGCCAACGCTTCCACACAGTTCAATCTCCATGGTCTTCCGTAGTTCACGGGGTTTGCTGCCACCAAATAAGGAAGTAATCTTTCATTTTTTCCCCCAATCTTGTTAAAAGGAACCTCGTCTAGCCTGGCCCACGAACACTCGACCACAGCTGCCCCGTTGCTCTCTACAATCTCGAGATCATTAGGACACACCACACCCTTTCCGTTGGGTGAAACCACAACACCTTGGAATTTTTGGCCCACTCTCATGTTCTTGATGAGACCCAACCGTTCGAGCTTCTTTCCACTGCATCTCTTGGGATCACAGTGGTCAAAATCCCACATGGCAAGCTTGACTGGAAAGTTTCCATTCTTAGTGGTGGCAGCTCCTGCTTCTTGTCTGCCCTTTCTGATATGGTGCTGTTTCGATTTGTGACCGTTAGAGGTCCTGGTCCTGTTAGTGGACTCTTCGGATGTCTTGTTCTTTCCCTTGGCCATGTTCTGGTACTGGAGCTGGATTGTAGAGGTGAATTTTGAGATGGATTGACGATCACGTGATAACCATTTTGGCAGTTCCCCAGCTGGATCTGAGCTTTGGGCTGGAGCACCACAGATGACGATGTGGCAGGCTGTGTATCATAGCTTTAAGGCATTTTAGGGATTTATTTAACATAGGTGAGGATACTGGAGAAACCTGTCAATTTTATAGTTAGCCCTTGAATGGAAATGACTTCAATTAACTGTCGAGAAATCTGGACAGCTAGAAAGGACTGTAATTATCACTTGATTTCATGGTGGTTAGTATTGTATTCATCCTCTAAATTGAAGCTGGCCAACAAAAATTCCTTGGAATTAATTCGAATACGTTTTACTTGATTTCATGCATCACACGAACTTGGCCAACAATAAACTCTGAGACAAATTTCTTTCTTCTAATGTAGTGAATGGAGTTGCATGGACATATCCAGACCAACTCCAGTATTCAATCACACTACGATCAAGTATCTAAGATTTTATTGAATTAATATTATACATTTTAAAAGGGAGAAATAAAGAGGTGGTCGATGACCAGCACATTAAGAACGTAACATGAAAAAGACCCAAAAGACCGGCAAATTACCATAAAACCAAGCAAAGTAGACGTATTTAGAAATCCTCATCGAAAGAGAAACCAGAGTCAACAGCAGTTGGTTCGTTGGTCTTGGCCATAACACCAGCCTTTTGGTAGTCACTGACTCTCTTCTCGAAGAAGTTGGTCTTACCGGCCAAGGAGATGTTTTCCATGAAGTCGAATGGGTTCTGAACGTTGTAGACCTTCTTGTTACCCAAAGCAACCAACAATCTGTCAGCAACGAATTCAACGTATTGGCACATGAGGTTGGAGTTCATACCCAACAAGTGGATTGGCAAGGCGTCGGTGAAGAATTCCTTTTCGATCTTGACGGCTTCGGTGATGATCTTTTCCACGATTTCTTGGTTGGGTCTGTTTTCCAAGTGAGAGAACAATAAGCAGGCGAAGTCAGTGTGCAAGCCTTCATCTCTGCAGATCAACTCGTTGGAGAAGGTCAAACCAGGCATCAAACCTCTCTTCTTCAACCAGAAGATGGAGGCAAAAGAACCACTGAAAAAGATACCTTCGACGGCAGCAAAAGCAACCAATCTCTCACCAAACAAGGCGTCCTCATCGTTGATCCATCTCAAAGCCCAGTCGGCCTTCTTCTTGATGCAAGGGATGTTGTCGATGGCGTTGAACAAGTAGTCGGCCTGCTTTCTGTCCTTGATGTAGGTGTCGATCAACAACGAGTAGGTTTCGGAGTGGATGTTCTCCATCATGATCTGGAACCCGTAGAAGCACTTGGCTTCCGAGATCTGGACCTCGGCAGAGAAGTTCTCCACCAAGTTCTCGTTGACAATTCCGTCGGAAGCAGCAAAGAACGCCAAGATTCTCGAGATGAAGAATCTCTCGTTGTCGTTCAATCTGTTGTTCCAGTCGTTGATGTCCTTGCTCAAGTCGATTTCCTCGGCAGTCCAGAAAGAGGCTTCAGCCTTCTTGTACATCTGCCAGATCTCGTGGTACTTGATGGGGAAAAGCACGAAACGGCTGGGGTTTTCGATCAACAAAGGCTCGTCCTTCTCCATGGCCTTCAACTTGTGACGGTGGGCCTTGTGCTTGGTCAAGAACTGTTTGTGTTCAGCCACGGTTTCCTCGGAGTCGGTGGCAGAAGGAGTAAGTTCTTCGAGACCAGCAGGGACAACGATACTCTTGTGAACTGAAGTGTTTTGCGACACGTCCTTCTTCTCAGCCTCAGCTGCCAATTGTTCTGTCAAGGACTTGCCTTTGGTGGATGACATGTCCAAGGACGAGATCTTACCGGTTAAACCGTTGGTTGGAGTTTGTTGGACAGACATGATGATGATGTGAAAAGTTGATGATGGGTACAGCAGCAGGCGGATCGTGGGTCTTTTATACTGTTGGATGTCCGATACGGTGAAGGGCTTTGTGGAGTGTTTGCGTGTTGGAGCGTGGGGCGATGATGAATTGCCATTGGGAGGCGCGTCGGAAGGGCGGTGGGGGCACGACCGATGACCAAAAGACAGGGTGGTTTTGCTGGTTGGAGGGGGCTGTTTGCGGGTATGGATGGGTAGCTGGCGGGCGGGAGAAGCTACGGGAGAAGTCTGGAGGTGATAGAGGGCACATAAGGGCTAGTTTGGTGGCCTGGATGGCCTGGATTCTGGCTGGCCCAAAGGCTGGCTGACAGAGGTATGTTTACGTTTATCCTAAAACGCGTAGGCCGTGCAATTCCACAGCAACTGCAGACGTGTATTGTACACGTCTTGTGAGAACACGTCTGAAATTACACGTCTTGGCTCCACAAGTGATGAAGCCGACTCGCAATAGCAATGGGGTGACGGGATGGGTGGATGTGGCGGGGCGTGGACGTTCGTGTAGTCGGTCCTGGTCGCTATTGGCTGGGTGGCAGGTGTAGGTTTGGAATTGTGGGTGGATCGGGAGGGACGCGGCATGCGGGGCGCGTCTGGTGCATGGATGAGGACTTAGTAATGGCCGGAGGAGAGCGCATTAGGCGGGAAGAGGAGCAGGAGAGAGAAGGCATGAGATGCTGTACAGCGTGGGGGCTACGTAGATCGTTGATATGCAGTTTGACACAGAGATGATAGTGTACATGACAGAGTGACATAGCCATTGAGATGAGTATGTACAGTGTGAGGGCTACGTCAAGTGGTCTTTGAGACATTTTGACATTGAGATGATTATGTTCAGCATGGAAGTATCCAGTTTTTTTTTTACATGATCCAGAAATGTATCGTTATGGCAGTAGGGATTGAGTAGCTTGAGTGCAGCAGGAGGATTTAAGTAGGTTTTGACATATACCAGAGTTGATTGACGACAGCTCGAAATGTACCAGAGTTGTTACCAGAGATGATTAACTACATGACAGTTTAACATTGAGATAATTACTAACCCCAGTTTGACATTGAGATAATTACCTACATGGCAGTTTGACATTGAGAAGATTACCAACCCTAGTTTGAGATGATTGTATGCACCCGGAGCTACATCAAGCAGGTCTTGACACATACACCCAATGATTGGACTGTTGCGCCACCCAGTAGGCATCCGCAGTTGTCTATGTACACAGTCTAGGGCTGCTGACGCACTGGAAGTTAACCACATCCATTCAACACTGCACCACTCACTCTGGCTTTAACTCCTGTTGCTGAGTTCACCACCACCTTACACCTTCTTGCTTCGCTCTACAATCTCATTAAAATGCAATCAATACCAAATCTATACTGAACTAAAATCATTTTCCAGTGTTCTCGACACTGACCAAGTTGGCGTATGGATGGATCTCATCCATGGGCGTCGGCATGTCCTTGATAGGTGCCAACTGCTCCTTGCCACCGTTAGGAAGGAAGCTGAAAATGGCGTCGTTGCCACGGTCAAATTCCACGGGTGCTCCCAAATACCCAGGAGGATTGGAGTTGCGCGAGTTGTGTCTTGAGATCGACGTCAAGTGCACACTGTCGATGGGACTAACCACACCATCACTGAAGTTGTCGTCGGCGTTCAAGGCTGGCGAAAACGTCGTCAGCGGAAGATTGATGCGAGGACTCGAGATCTCGTCAAAATTGAGATCCAAGTTGCCGTACAACTTGGCAATATCACCACTGCCTCTGTACCTGCCGTTGGCGAACTTGTGCTCCAATGCAGCCTTGAACGCCTGGCTCCACTGCAACTGGCTCCAGTCCTCGACCATGCTGGTTGCAAAATTGCGCTCCACCAACGTAATGGCGTCGTCGATCGACAAGTACTGGTAGTGCGGCAACGAAGGCAATGCAAAGAGGAGCGATTGGGGGTTGGCCTTGTCGCTCTCGAGGTGGCCGGGTCTACCGTACAACTTGAACGAGTCGACGATATGGATGAAGTTGCGAATCATGATTTCGATCGCTGGCACCCCTGGATGCGAAATGGGCATGAGGTATAAGTGGTTAGTGGCCACGAACCCGTTCATGTTCTTCTTGAGGAACGACGAGGTACGCTTGGGCTCTGCTGTGTCCACCACCGTTGAGGCAGTTGAGGCAGACGAGGCACTTCTCTGGCGTCCTGGGCTCAAGACTCCGCTGAACGTCCGTCTGGGGCTGTCGTTATCAGCCAGGCTGAACAACGACGACGTGGACGTAGCGGACGGCGTACGAACGTGGCCTCCAGTGGCTGGCACTAACGACGACAACGAGGTGTGGGAGCTGCTCCGCGAAGGAGCCTTGAACGACTTGACATCCGCACCCACAAAGTAGTGCTCGTAGTTCTTGTTGATGTAGATGTCTCCGTTCAACTTCATGATGGCGTTGAAGTCGATCATGTTGGTGTGCTCAGGATAGACGTTGTAGACGTTGGCCACGTTGGAAACATACACCACTAAATTCTTTTTGGTGGTCTTCTCGGACGAAAACATTTCAATGCGCCCAAGGTGCTTGGCCTCACCGGGAGTGATCACCACGTATACTCGCAACCAACGGTTGGAGAGCTGTGGCAAACGCAAGTCACACCACTCCAGTCTGGCAAAACGCTTCTTAGACGAGAGAAGCACGTGGATGTCCAGGAGCTTGGACGCCTTGAGGGACAACACCACGGCGGTGAACGCCTCGTTCAAGGATGTGTACTCGTACTTGGCCAAGTACATGGCTGCCAACCACAGCCGGTGTTCTTGGGTAGAGTGAAAACGCAACACGAAGGTGTTGTCGTAATCCTGCACCACGCGGAGTTCAGGCGCACCTGTCACCACCTCCACCTTGGCATCTGTCAAATTGATGTACTTTGGAACAAACTCGGTGTTGCCAGCGTCGTACTCGTCGTCAGCTGGCCGCCAGAGCGAGAGCTCATTACCCGACAACTTGGCTTCCACCTCGAACCACACCCGCTCGCCAGACGCAAGTTCTCCAGGCACCTGGAGTGTGCCCATGGCGTAGGTACGGAGCTTCTGAGCGTTGATGAGATTGACGATGGGCACGAGCGCAGGGGGGAGGTTCTCGGTAAGGAGCTTGTTCTGGAGGAGGAGCGACGCCTTTCCGTTGGAGATAGAATTGATCAGCGGGTCCGAATTGTTGTAGCCTTCCGAGGTTGAGTACACCCGCGAATGGCGTACGAGCGACGCTGGCGTGGTTTTAACCATGTCGCTGACCCTGCGGGTGTTCCTTTCGCCGCTTTTTCCGGTGGGCGACTTGGAGAATGAGCGGCGGGAAGACGAAGGTGACGAGCCGTAGATAGAGAACGAGTCATTGGATGGCGTGAGGTCAGTGACGATATGGGGGAGGGATGGCGGTTTGGGAGGTGAGGCCTGGTCCGAAAACGGACTCAAGGGGGTAGTGGTGGTTGTGGTAGTTGGGTCGGGAGTGACGGGTTTCTCTCGTCTGATGAGCTTCCGGGGGGAGAGGGAGAACGGCATGGTTGGGGGACTCTCGAGATTCGTGTTGGTTAAGCTCTTTAAATTGTGTGAGTGGAAACGCTACAATCTGTCAACCTTATATAGATGCACAGTTGCGCAAAAAGAAATGGTGGGAGCGATGTGCGTAATTGAATCATGACGGAAGCGAGCGAAGAATAATTTCCTCCCTGGCCAAGCCTTCGCGCCCACAGTGCCCTACACAGTCTCTTTGGGGCTGTCTGCGTGCTGCCGATCTTTGGCTGGTGCATGGAGGCTTGGGCCATCTGCCGTTCTCGGGGGCTTCGGTAACCATCTGGGACATGCGGATATCCTAGCCACACCGGACACTACGGACCTCCACCGTCACTGCTGCTGCCACCACCATCCCGTTCTACCCAGCCAGGAGCCTTGTGGTGGGGCTGTACAATCTGGGGCTGTACCCTTGCTGTGTGGTAAGTTGCTCTTGACCTCGGGAGGGGCGGAGGCTAGCCTGGACCAGAAAACGCGGATCTGCCGGGGGATGCACTCCCACTGAGAGGTTATCTTACAAGGACTGGGCAGGGGCGAGGTGGAGACGAAAACAGACGGTGGAAGAGGGATCCGTCATGTGCCAAGCCGCAGCAACGAAGTTGGCGTCTTAGCTGGGGGGAGGCCATTAAGATCGCCGTTGAGATGGATACGAGCAAGTCAGGGGCAGTCCTAAACGGGCATGGCGTCTTGGAGATATCCGCCTAATCAGGTGTGGGCGCAGTGCCTACGTCATAGGTCGCGTGATGATAGTCGCGTGATTCTTTTACCGCCACAGCACATACGCGAAACAGACGGATTATATAGGGGTTGTCTTTTCTGATCGTAGCAGGTTTATTTTAGTTGCAAAATATGTAGCTTCACAGAATTGCAGAACTAATACTGCATTTCCCAAATTATGGATTTCCTACTGGCTACTGGGAGTTCTTCATTTTCTCTAGATACCTAAAAGTCGAGAAAAAGATAATATTTGGTTGAAGGATTCAAAATGGTGGGAATGATTCTAAATGCTTGATCGTGATTAATGACTCTTAGTAATGATTGTGTTAAGTGATCCTACAGTTAAATTTACAGGGAATTGTAGTCACAATATGGTGCTCCTTGTGTAGAAATTACTCTAATGAGACAAATTACTTCTCAGTTGGATAATTATAGACTCAGACCGCTAATCAACTGTAATTTACCGGATATTTAAGGTTATTAATCTAATTTCCAAGGGGCTTACTCAGTTAATTGTAACTGATTTAAAAACAAATCGGCATTAGTAGCCTTAGCAGGGCTAAATCACTGCGATTTTCCAGGTGTTCTTGGTATACTATATCTAACCTAATTTCCATTGAGCTTACTTGGCTGATTTTGACTACTTTACTACCAATATTCAGTATGCTAGTCGATTGAGCACAACGCTATGTACTAGGGATATTCATTGCTTACTGCTTATCTTCCGTCAGAGACTAACTCAGTTATTGAGTTTGTTAGCCTCACCAATAGTTATTGGGCCCAAACTCAATATCCAGTGGCCTTTTCATCATTTTTCTTTACAAGTCGGAATAGTGACTCGGTTATTACGCAGTTATCGTTTTATGTAACCCAACATCGTTGAATGTTTAATTTCTAGGACAAGTTCTGATGGCGGTATATCTAGTCGTGCCTGCTTCAATATCATATATCCCCATGCCGCATTCCCCAGAATACTTCTACTTCTCCAATACATTTGTGAATCCAGGAAATGGTCCTGTGAAGAGTCAACCGACCAGTTACCTGCTATACTTAAAAATTGTGAGGCAATTAGGAAATTTAAATGTTTAGTATCAGTAGAAGGAAATGGAGAACATTGAGTAAATTTGACTTGCAAACAGGGGTAAATTTACCGATTCTGATGTTAAGTTTGGAATATACAATTAATGAGGCTTACGCATGGACCTCAACCGCAATATGGTTTCTCACACATTTAATTACTCTGAAAATATAGATAATCATTTTTTAATCATTTTCAGTAATTTACTTTATTCTCTACTATTTTTATGTTTAATAATAGTTGGAAGTAGATAGAAATCTGATTATCAATTAAGACCACTAAAATTTGTTCTCTTCTTAATCTCTAGAACAACTCAAAAAATAAGTGTTGTGCCGCTGTAGAGAGTTCAATTATCTACATTTGTGGAATTCCCAGAGTCAGAAACAAACAGGGGATATTGGTGAGATTGTATTGCGATCTTCGGTAATCAATATCACCCGACAACTGTGGACTTGATTAATTTTTCGACAAACAAACTGCTTTTAATGGTAGTGACTTAAAATTAGGTGGAAGTATAGCCACAAATTTTTAAACAATATGAAAGCAAGTAAAGTATTACAAAACAATTTAACCTAACACCTTTGTAGGTGAGAAAAGCTCTAGTCAGGTTAAACGAGCTTAATGTGGATATTAAAATGGAATTAAGTAATGAATTGCAAAACCCATTTCCTACTCGCGACATTTACTCGAGAAATCCTGCGATATTCCCCAGACTATTACGACTACCCTAGCCTTGCATCTCTACCCTTCATGGTTTGACAAGCTCCACCGTCAACTCCAGAACTGGCACCCTTCATCTCAATCGGCTTCTACTGCCAGGCCCAGTCACTTTTTCCCCATATCCTCACTACAATTCTCACCGATGTCCTTCCTCCAGCACGTCTCTCCTCCAACCAACCTCCAGCAGCCCGAGTTCAGGTTCCTCGTGGACGACCTCTTTGTCAAGCTCGACGGAGTCTCCAAACAGTCGCTAGGCCAGTTCCGTACGGTGTCCCAGAAGAAGGAGCACATCATTAGATCGTTCATCTCGTCCTTCAGGACTCATATCGGAAACGACATCTACCCTGCAGCTAGACTCATCTACCCTGACAAGAGTGGTCGCCTCTACTACATCCGAGACATCACTTTGGCCCGTCTCGTGGTCAAAATGTACCAGATCCCCAAAAACTCCGAAGACTACCAGGTGCTCTATTACTGGAAACAGAGCTACCACAAGGCCAAGAGGTTCAGTGCTGATTCCAATAACCTCCGGGACTTACCTTTGCGGGCTTCGCGGGTCATAGCCAACCGTAGGCCCGTAACGGCAGTGGAAGGCACCAAAACCTATACTGTGTCCCGCATGAACCAGCTCTTGGACGAGTTAGCGGACGCCAAAAAGGCTGCGGACCAGGCAGCCATCCTCAAGCCACTCTTGGACTCGCTCACCATCCCAGAGGTGCGGTGGTTGCTCCATATTCTTTTGAAGAAGTCGATTCTTGTGCGATTCGAGTCGTATTTCCAGTACGTATGGCACCCTGATGCACCTTCGTTGTTCAATATTTGCAACAATCTCCAGAAGACTTTCAATTACCTCACGGACCCCGAGGTCCGGCTCTCTCCGGCTGAGCTCACCGTATTTCCCACGCTTCCATTCAAGCCCCAGTTGTCGATGAAGCTTACCAAAAACTACGAAAAATTGGTCCAGGACATGGCGAGTGCAGTGCCCATGGATGCCAACCTCCAGGCGTTGTACGACAAGCTCGAATTGAAAGGCAAGTTCTTCATCGAAGAAAAGATGGATGGAGACAGAATGGTGCTTCACAAAAAAGGCAAGCACTTCAAGTTCTACTCACGACGCTTGAAAGACTACTCGTTTCTCTACGGCGAAAACTACGAGTTTGGTTCCCTCACCAAGTACCTCCCCACTGCCTTTCCGGAAAAGGTCGATAGCATTATTCTAGACGGGGAAATGGTGGCCTGGGACTTTCGTAGAAATGTGATCTTGCCATTTGGCACCTTGAAATCGTCTGCCATCCAAGAGTCCGTGCGCCAATACACCACCATAGACCAGTACGAGCAGCAGTCTTCTTATCCGTTCTTTTTGGTGTTCGATGTGCTTCATATCAATGGGATCAACTTGACCAACCATCCACTCTTCTTCAGAAAGGATTTGTTGGCAAAACTAATCAACCCCATCCCCAACCGTTTGGAAATATTGCCAGCAAAATTGGGAGCCACCGTCCAAGATCTCAAAACAGCGATTTCCGAGGTAGTCAGCACCAGAAGCGAAGGTATTCTTGTCAAGCACGTCCAGCTGAAATACTTATTGAACCACAGAAACACCCAATGGGTCAAGGTCAAACCCGAATATTTGGAGAAGTTTGGGGAGAATTTGGACTTGGCTGTGATTGGTAAGATTCCTGGTATCAAGAACTCCTACATGTGTGGGTTGAAAGGCGAAGAGGATGGTGTTTTCCATAGCTTTTGCACGGTAGCAAATGGGTTTACCATCGCAGAATATGACAAGATCGAGCGGATTACCAACAACAAGTGGGTCAACTACAAAGACAGACCACCACCTTCGTCTTTAATACAATTTGGCACCAAAAAACCGGTGGTGTGGATAAATCCGAAGGACTCGGTTGTCTTGGAAATCAAGGCAAGATCGATAGATAGCACCGAGGAAAAGACATACTCTGTGGGAACCACTCTCCATAACCTTTATTGTCGGAGCATCAGGGAAGACAAGACTTACGAGGACTCAATAACCATTGAAGAATATCACCAGATCAAAGAGAGATACACCAGTGATATCAACAAGGAGCAGGTTGCTAATCGAAAGAGACGCTTGCAGCTCGATTCATTTGAACAAATGAAAAAGCCCAAAGAAGTCGAAGTTGAATCGGCTCTCTTCAAACCATTCAATTTTATCATACTCAGTGATAGCGTTGATGTACACGGAATACGAACTAGTAAGGAACAGTTGTCTGTGTTAGTGAAAAAGCACGGAGGAGAAGTTATTCAGTCGTTAAACTCGCGTTCAGCACGTCCTACAATTGTTATTACTGAAAAAGAGCTTCCGTCCAGCGATATGTATTTTAAGAAAGGACTCGATTTGATCAGGCCCCGATGGATCTTTGAGTGTATCGAAAAGAACTGGATTGTACCATTGGAGCCAGTTTTTATCACGAAATCAGAGAGTCATTTCAGCTCCAAAGTTGACAGGTTTGGTGACAGTTACATCAACCACGTGGAAATTTGCACCCTTGGTGGGTTTGGAGAAATAAAGCTCAAAGCACTAGATGAGTACCGAGAGTTGTTTATCGACGAGTTGGTCACTGAGGAGTTGGAAGTGCCATTACGATACTTATTCCACAATATCAAGTTCTACGTGCTAGCCCCGACCAGCACCCACAAGCGATTCTTGCAGGACAGAATCGAACTTTATGGCGGACAGACTACCCCCAAATATTCCGAATGCTCTTTCATCGTGGTTGAGGGAACCGATGAAGAAACCAGGGGCCAGGTGGACCAGATCAGTCACGACATCGCAAAAAACTTACACTTCACAGAAACAAGCATGGAGAAAATCCCCAGTATAGTTACCAGCCGATTTGTGGACGAGTGCATCGAGCGAAACGTGCTAGTAGACGGAGACGACTTCAAGTATGTATGACGGAAGCAGCTTGTTGTTGGGAAGCCTGTGGAAACCTGGTTCGGTTTGTAAGTAAAATACTAGAATTGGGTCTAAATTATGAAGAAATAATTAACCTTCTGGCATGGACAGAGCTTGATATTCGACCTTTGTGGAATCCATTTCCCGGCTATGAACTGCAAGACTTGTTGGCACAACCACATTGAGAATGCCCAGCATGAAGCAAATGTAAAAGTCTTCGAGCGTGACTAAGCTAAGCCTTTTCATTTGCAATTTGCTTGGTAGTGTTGATCCCACAACAGCGATGCCAGCAACAAATTAAACTAGCACCAGGCGCAAGCAACGGTCAGGACCACCTTATGGTTTGCACATGGCCCCTAACTGCCTCTGCTTCGAGTTGGAATCGGTTTTCACATGTACTTATTCTATTAGTAAAATAGGCACATTCTTTAATAATCTGCACTTCTGCTTAAAACCATAGAAGAGGGCATTTTCGGAGCTATTGTGGAGTTAAACGACATCATCCAGCTCCACCACTACTAGGCCCTTTGTCTTACTATCGAGCAACTACCGTCAAGCTAACTGTCAGAGCGTTTTGTGTCTATTTTGGAGCAACCACTGCCGGGTTATTCTTGTGCCTATTTTGGAGCAAATAGCCCATGACCAGACATTCCCGTAGGGCTTGATGCTCCCGTATTATTAATCGTTAATAATGGCTAAACTGACTCTTGCTTCTGCCGAAAAGTGACGAGTGCGTGTTTGGTTCTGTGCATGGAACCCGGGCGGATTCCGAGCCCTTCAATTGCCCGATTCGGCGATGACGCGCAATCGCTGGGCTTATCTATCGTTATCTGAACAACAGATACCGTCGGCCAGGTGGTCGCCAGCCGCGTCAGACCACCTCTGGCAGATCATCGCCGGTGCATTTGATCTGCACATCTCTTCTCAGGCATCTTCACTTCATATTCAGCCACCTTTAAACTAGCCAACCGTTGGCTCTTATCAGTAGCCGAAACACAACTCTCTTATCTGCATCTAGCTGCATTTCTCAGTGGTAACGAAGTGCTATTTCCCACGAAGTAACAGGATACACCAGCTTGGCCCAAAAGTTCCAGATCAAACCAGTTTGTTCGACTTTTGAAAGTAACATCGTGAAAGACTTTGACTTTCAGACCTCACTCAGCATAGGCACTTCCACAGCTCAGATACACCTTTTGACTAGCTCATTGCCATCTTTGAAGGCTCACCTTGCCCTGATCACTGACCAGTCACCTATACTTGACATCTTCGTCCAGACGCATACCCACAGATATTCACCGACCATACTTCAGCTCGGCAGATATCCACCTGTCACACACCTGCATCATCCACAAGTGACACTTCGGAGATAACAGTCCAGACTTGACCATGTCGTCTTTCCTCGAGCGTCCACATTCCATCACCCCCACCCTCGCGTGGGCTACCCTCACCATCTGCCTCAGCACCTTCCAGTTTGGCTACCATCTTTCCGAACTTAATGCTCCCTCAGACTACATGGGGTGCTCTGGTTCCCATGCCCTGACTGCTTGTGTCGACATTCCCGATAATCTGATTGCCACCATCACGGCCATGTACACCGTGGGCGGTTTTTTGGTGTCGTTGGTGTTGGGGTTCACTTCGATGTCGCGATGTTTCGGACGCAAATGGCTCTGTCAGGCCAGTGCTGCTGCATATTTCGCTGGATCCTTCATGATGGCACGCTCCCATCTGAGTACTGGCCTCAATCTTGGCCGTTTCGTGTGCGGTGTGGCTGCTGGAGCATCACTTATCATGTCACCTATTTTGGTCAACGAGCTCACTCCCATCAACCACCGAGGCCTCTTGGGCTCCTTGCTCCAGGTAGCCATCGCTGCCGGGATCTTCACGGGCCAGGCGGTGTCACTCGTGTGGCATCAGGACCAGTGGAGGTGTGTGTTTTACTTTGCCCTGTTTTTGGGGCTTTTGCAATTTGCCATGCTCTTCACAGTCACCGAATCTCCCAAGTGGATCATCATCAACGAGGGCGACGTTCAGCACGCCACGGGAATTCTTGGACGGTTACGTTCCGACAAGGAGACGGTGTTCCACGAAATAAACCACTGGAGAGGCTTGGAAAGCCGTCTGGGGTCAGGCGATCTCCAACCACTTCTCCCCAAATCCGAGACCATTCTTGCCAACTCGCTCCAATTGGCACCCAAAAAGTCCCGGAGAGGCTCTTTCCAGGAATCCTCGGTGTCTGCCACTGAGTTCATGTTTGGCAAGTACAGCCATCAGGCAATAGCTGTATTTATTCTTATGACATCGCAGCAATTGGTGGGCATCAACGCCATCGTGTTCTACGGGGTGCGTATTCTCAGCACCCTTTTCACCACCAACACTCTCCTCTTATCGTGCTCCATCCTGTTGGTGAACGTGGTGAGTGCCATTGGAACATCCCAGTTTGTGGACAGGGTAGGTCGCCGTCCTTTGATGTTGTTCTCTGCCGTCACTTCTGGGGTGTTTTCTGTACTTATCGCCTTTGGCTTGGTAAGGCAGATGCCGTACTTGATTGTGGGAGCATGTTATGGGTTCGTGATCTGCTACTCGGTTGGGATAGGGCCCATTCCATATCTCATGGTATCGGAACTTGCCAGCCACGAGGTGGTGTCCACTGCCCAGGCCATCGGGACGTCTGCCAACTGGGGGGCCAACATCCTCATCGCATACCTTGTGCCTGTTCTCCAGGACGCCATTGGCGGGGCCATTTTCTACATTTTCGCAGCCATTTGTGGGTTGTACGTGCTAGCAGTGTGGTACTGTGTTCCCGAGACTCGCGGAGTGACCAGTCACCACGAGGCGTGGCTGGTCCACCGGGGAAGTCTGGACGAGGTGTTGGTTTAGCGAGTGCCAAATTTGCGTCCTGTCAACCTGCACACTTGACACCGTGCATCACGGCCTTATATAGCATGCGATTCGTGTCACCTCCGTTCCTGTTGCAACCAACAGACCTCCGAGGTCGGCCGATCTGTAAATTAGTAATCGTGACAGCAATCGTCTTTTGTAGCCGTTTCGTGCGAAATTTCCATCAATCCTAAACTAAATCCGGATGGATACCCGCAGATGCATTTTGACACTTGCTGTTGCCGCACGCACGAGTGACAGTAGAAATGCCCTGGAACATGCTCTGAGTTGATTCCTGACATGGGCCCTCCCGCTCCACCATTTTCACCCCCTGCTGATCATTCGGTGCATATGTGGGGTAGATCCTCGAGTGCGCGGGCCATCGACCCCCTCCACCCCCTACACCCCCGAGCTCCACCACTCGTCGCCCGCCACGTGCGTAGCTGGGCTGCCTACGTTCTGGCACCTGTGGGGTAGTGCCAACGTTGCCATTGAGCCGCTGGCGTTCCGGGGCGTTGTGTGCAGCCCTCCGCCATCCAGTTCCATCTGGTGCCCCTCGGCTTACGTCATCGGGTTCCTGAAATTGTATAGCTGCTCTCGGACACAGCCACTACCTGCGCTACTTAAAGTGAACAATCGCCAATTGTTTAGTTTCCATCCTATCCATACTTCAAAATGGTCAACTACAAATCCTGGTTAAAAGAAATCGACGACAACACCAAAATCTCCAGGCTCTCCATCCCTGGTACCCACAACTCCGCAGCCTGCCACACTGCACTTCCCTCAGTCCAATGCCAGGGAGCTTCTGTGACCGACCAATTGGAACACGGAGTGCGTTTCTTAGACATTCGTGTGGGAAAGCTCTTCCTCAAGGAGGGAGACGAAGCCAAAGACTTGCAGGTTATTCACGGCAAGTTCCCAGTCAAGATTCCATTTGCTGAGAAGTTGACCAGTGTGTTGGACGAAGTGTACGACTTCTTGGCCCACAACAAGTCGGAAACCGTGATTGTTTCGTTGAAACAGGAAGGCTCCGATGACTGGAACAACTCCCAGGACGAGTTTGGCAACTTGATCTGGGACAAGTACATCAACCCCCACAAGAATAAGTGGTACTTGAACACCGACATTCCTCGTCTTGGGGATGCTCGTGGAAAGGCAATTCTTTTCAGAAGATTCGGGGTCCAGAATGAGGACAGAAGAAGAGAGTTTGGCTTCGACGCTGCCTCCTGGAAGTACAACTGTGAGGAAGACGACCGTGGCTCGTTTGTGGTCCAGGACTACTGCGAAATCCAGAGTGGAGAAATCGACAAGAAAATTGGCTACGTCAAGAACTTGGCCAACAAGGCAAAGGACTACACCAACGGCAACGACGACAAGATTTTCCTCAACTTCACCTCAGGATCCAACTTCTTTGACCGTGAGTGCTGGCCCCAGCAGGTGGCCATTGCAATGGCCAAGGGAGGCATCCAGGACCATTTCAAGAAGGGTTCTGGAATCATCGTATTGGACTACGTTGAGTCCAACAACTGGGAGTTCTCCAAGAAGTTGGTGGACACCAACTTTTAGTAGGAGTGTATTATTAAATGTAACCATATGAGCAAGTGTAGATTATGGGGTAGTTGTCACGTGTGAATACACGTGTAGTATTCAAACATTTGGAGACCGTTCCCAATTATCACGGCCAATTTTGTTTTGAATGTGTGCATTTAACAACAATATTATCTATTTTATACGTTGGTTAATTTGTTGCTCCTTGAATGAACAAGGTAGCCAATTTTAGTACATTGGAACTTCCATAAGTAGCCGAAGTAGCCTAGATGGAGCCAATAATTATTCTGAGTGGATATTCTCTAACCAATTAACAGTAATTTATTCCCCTTTATTAGATGAACAGAATTGTATGCATTAGTTATAGGTGGCTGACTGGGTCAGACACAGCGATACTGGCAAAATCAAGGACAAAAAAGGAGCAAACCGAGTTTACAATAGTAATAGAGAGCATACAACCGGTGTCAAAGCATGTACATCTTTTATCCAGTAGTTTTGCAATGTGTTATACTATCATCCTAAGATCTGCCATCATATTAGGATCAAATATTGATTGCAAAAATGGCCCAACCACACAGTTTCCGGTGTCTCCTCTGTATTTCCGCAGGAACTTGATACTAGATCATCATCTAAGTGCTTAAGTGATAATTGTACCATTTAAGTGATAATATTCCTGGTTTTCTCAATAACTGTATCATATCAGCAGCCCCTTAGAGCCTAGTGAATAATTACTTCAAACTACGCTTGCGAAACCAGCTGTTCCTCTAGAGATATTTTGCGATAGGTTGCTGCTATAATGAAGAGATACTGACTGTAGCAGCATCGAGCATTCAAATGTACAAAGTGATTGGATGGATGGGCACCACAACGGTTTCAAAATTATGACGAGGTGCTGGGAGATAAGGGTAGTAGTGATGGTGCATAAGGAAGTCTTCGGTCGACGAAAGATTACATCCCAAAATATGGATGGCGGATATTACATTCCTCACTTCGAAGTATTGGCTATTAAATTCCAGCTATAGATTATGAAATTTGAAGACTCTCCACTCGAATCGGGTGGGTATTACATCTATATACAACTGGTCTTGTTAGAATTACCTATTAGTTGGACTGCTCAAGCTTAATAGAACACACTAGCCAGAAGTTTACCTACTAAACCAAAGGCATAGTAACTAACTATCAAAGCTTTACCCATGTTGGAATTACCCCGAAGCTGCGGGCCTGGCGGAATCACTCCTTTCGCAGAATTCACTTTGCCAGAACCCCTCTGCCTCACGATATACTCTGGTAGCGCGATCCGAATCGGGCGCGAGACTCTCCATCACCATCATGAGCTTCAAACACATCCTCCTACGGGTCCCAGCCCTTCTGCGCCCCTCAATGGGGCTCCAGGGGCTCCTGTTGGTACGGCTCCAGTCCAAGACCGTCCCTCCAGCATCCAAACTGTTTGACGATGCCCAACTCCAGAAAATCATCGAGTCTACCAATTTTGGCACTGAGGCCAGACGAGAAAGACAACGAGAAAAAGCACCACTGCCGTCCAGTGAGATTCCACACAGTGAGGATCTGGACCCGCTGGGACGGCACCACGGTGCAGCTGCTGATGTGGACTCTCAAGTCGACCCTACGGTGGAAATCTCCAAGGCGTTTGCCTCTACTGACTTGAACAAACCCATCCCCAAAAAGTCGCCTTCTACTGACAAGTTGATCAAGGAGACCATCGACGAACTTCCCTCCAACATGGAGCGTCAGCGCAGCGAATGGTCCAAACGTGTAGAGGCGTACCTCCAGTCGATTCTGGACACCCTCTTCACAGCGTCCACCGCGCTCAACGACGTGACAGGCTATTCAGGAATCGAGCGCTTGAAGCGGACAGTAGACGAGCTCGAAAACGAGCTCCGTGGCGCCAAAGATAACGTTCGAGTGGCCAAAGGCCACTACAGTGATGCCATCCAGCAGAGATCCACTCTGCAGCGAGAGATCAACGAGCTCTTGACTAGAAAGCACAACTGGAGCTCAAACGACCTCGAACGGTTTACAGAATTGTACCGCAACGACCACGCCAACCAGCAGCGAGAAGCCACCACTGAGGCTGCTCTCAACGACGCTGAGCTGAATGTGGACGCAGTCCAGCTCCGGCTCACCCAGCTGATTCTCACTCGTTACCACGAGGAACAGATCTGGTCAGACAAGATCCGTAAGGCGTCCACCTGGGGCACATGGGTGTTGATGGGCATCAACGTCGTGCTCTTTGTGGTGGCCACGTTCTTGGTGGAGCCGTGGAAGAGGAAGCGGTTGGTGGGGTCCTTCGAGGATAAGGTCAAGCAGGTGTTGGTGGAGCTTGCCGAGAATGGGACAGCAGAGGAGACGCTATTGGTGGGAAATGTTACAGATAAGCTAGTCCTCGCTAGTGCTGCAGGCGAGCTGGTGGAGTCTCCTGAAACTCCTGAGGTGGTTTCTCCTGGTGAATTGGTGGTCCCTGTCGGTGCTCCAGTTCCGGTTTCATTCAACGTCTACGGCCAGGGATGGGACGAATTGAAGAGTACGGTGGGTGCCAGCTGCCAGACGCTCGGGTCCAAGCAAGTCTCGACAGTGGCAGTCGACAAGACTGAGTTGGCCGTGGTGACTGCCATGGTGGGGCTTTTAGGAGCCGGTTTGGGGGCCCTCGTGACAGTTTATGTCGGTAAATAAGTTTGCTAAGGTACATGGACGGTCAACAGTGCCAGGTTTCACGAATCCCTTACCAAGCATTTTCCGGTAGTACATTAATTGTTCTTAAAACCTTTGACACTGAACTACTTTACCATGTGGTGATCCTCCAAGCCAATTCTAACTTGGCAACGTCATTAATTGCATGCACTTTGGATAGAGGATGTGCCACAATGGAAAACGTTCATGAAATATGAAATTTGAGCGGCACTGAGTCGCTATTTCTATCAGAGTTGGGGCTTAAACATGGATAGAATGCTAGCTTTTCCGAGAAAGCGAAGCAAGTATCGAAACTAAATAACTTTCGTATATAATTAAAGATGGAGATCGCTCTTACATCAATAGAAGTATTAGATTTCGCAAGACTGGCTCTACAAACTAAGAGTGAAAAGATTCCAATGAAGAACCTGCGAAATAGTGGGAAATGGTAGGAGAATAGCGAGAAGAAGCGAGAAATAATGAAGATTTAGTGGGAGATTGGTCAGAAATGAAGCACTTCCAGGAGTAGTGGCAGAAATAGTGGTACCACAGTGGGACACCCCTGGGCAATGCCTGAGCAGTGCCGGAAATTTAATGGAAATTCCAAGGAAGTACAAGACTGACCAATGCGCTAAATGTATCTGAAAGATATTCCCTCGCTAGTTCTCGCGATCTACCTATATTTCTTAGTTACTACACCTGGTAGTCTCACTAGACTATTATCAGTATCGCACTGGCTCCCCGGCCCAAATGTCGCACTTGCCACCACTCGATACTTAACACAACATCCGGATTGCCATCGTAGCTGTTCCACATCCGGGCCCAAACTTTCCTCCTGTCACGTTGAGTAGTCCCCGCCCACATCCATAGCGCTCCGTCCAACTCCCACTCCTTACAAGTACTTCTCCCACTATCCTCCATACCAATGTCGCACTCGTGTCGCGTGCACCACTGGACAAAAGTCGCCACTCAATAGTTAACATCCATCCACAACTCCATCCACACATCAGTCACACACACCATGGAAGAGCCAGTTGTGTTTGACACCCCCGTGTCCGCACTCAAGAGGGACGACAATGACGTATATTTGAAGTTGAAAAAATTGGAGAAGGAGCTCGAGCTCTTGCAGTTACAAGAAGAATACATCAAAGACGAACACCGCCACTTGAAGAGAGAGTTGGTCAGAGCCCAGGAAGAGGTCAAGCGGATCCAGTCGGTTCCGTTGGTGATCGGACAGTTCTTGGAGCCAATCGATGAGAATACTGGTATTGTCTCGTCCACCACCGGGTCCAACTACGTGGTTAGAATCTTAAGCACACTTGATAGAGAACTCTTGAAGCCATCGTCTTCGGTGGCTTTGCACCGCCACTCCAATGCATTGGTGGATATCTTGCCCCCAGAAGCTGACTCCTCCATCTCCATTGTGGGCGACGACCAGAAGCCAGACGTCACCTATGCGGACGTCGGTGGTTTGGACATGCAGAAACAGGAGATCAGAGAGGCTGTCGAGTTGCCATTGACCCAGGGAGATTTGTACTCCCAGATCGGAATCGATCCCCCCAGAGGTGTGTTGTTGTACGGCCCTCCTGGTACCGGTAAGACCATGTTGGTCAAGGCCGTGGCAAACTCGTCCACAGCTTCATTCATAAAAATCAACGGGTCTGAATTCGTGCAGAAGTACTTGGGTGAAGGTCCAAGAATGGTGCGTGATGTATTCAGATTGGCCAGAGAAAACTCTCCTGCCATCATCTTCATAGATGAAATTGATGCCATTGCCACTAAGAGATTCGATGCGCAAACCGGTGCCGATAGAGAAGTCCAGAGAATCTTATTGGAATTGTTGAACCAGATGGATGGTTTCGACCAGACCTCCACCGTCAAGGTCATCATGGCCACCAATAGAGCCGACACCTTGGATCCAGCGTTGTTGAGACCCGGTAGATTGGACAGAAAGATCGAATTCCCCAACTTGAAGGACAGAAGAGAAAGAAGGTTGATTTTCTCCACCATTGCCTCCAAGATGGCCTTGGCTCCTGAGGCCGATTTGGACTCCTTAATCATGAGAAACGACCCATTGTCCGGTGCAGTGATAGCTGCGATCATGCAAGAAGCTGGTTTGAGAGCTGTCAGAAAGAATAGGTACATGATTTTACAGAGTGACTTGGAAGAAGCATACACTTCTCAAGTCAAAACCGGTACTGAACATGATAAGTTTGATTTCTATAAGTAGTCAATTTATCATCAATGCATAAATCTATGTACAATCAAAGGAGCTCGTAAACTCCTAGTCCGGGAGTCAACGATTGCCAGTCTGAGAAGTCCAAATGGTCCATATCCAAATGGGTGTCGTAAGAATAGGTTTGGTTGTACGACTGCTGGTTGAAGTTGAGATTGAATGAAGCAACAGGTGTAATGAGATAAACCTTTTTCCCAGACGTTGATAACTGGCCCAACAACTTCTTTACCTCTTCCACGGGCGACCCCATAGTATCAAATACATAATTCGACTTGGAAACATCCATGGTGTAGTTCAACCCGGAAACGATTTGTAAGGACGATCTGTCGTCACCCAAGATCCATGTTGGAGGAGTGTAAGTTCTCCACCATACCTGAATGGTGTTTTGGAGGCCAGACTTGTACTGAGTGTGGAAGTGATCCAAAACAGGAACAACACCTCCCTGGTGATAGACACCCATGATCACTGCCATTACGGTATTGAAAGCGTACCAGAGGTAGATCAAGCCTGACACGAGGGATGACCTGGGGGTTGAGCCTTTCGTTTGATTACTTTCATCTGGTTTGTCCTTTTGGGCCTTCTGGTCTTTTTGGACAATCTTTTCACCCAATTGTTTGTCCTTTTCGTCCTTCTCGTCCTTCTGGTCCTTCTGCCCTCCCATGCTGGTGATGTCGAAACAGCAGCACACGAGTGGGAGAATAGGCACCAAGAATCGCAATTCCTGGTGGGGAACCAACGAAAGAATCACTAGGCCACTGGCTCCTGACAAAAATGGTAATGTCTTCCAGTACTTGTTTCTGAGCCTCCAGGCCACAAACAAGAGCCCAGGACCCACGATCTGAGGGAGGTTCACTAGGAGATGGTTGTAGAGCGGGTGGATGCCGTGGTGGGCCAAGTTGGAATAATTGGAGTTGTAGACAAGATTATTCCATGGAGCAACGACAAAGTCGTAGCTCCAGGGATCATTACCAAAGGCCACAGTATCGAAGAGAATACACCCTGCTGTCAGCAACACAAAGCCCAGGCCAACGTACAACACGGCTTTTTTGTGGGCCCAGAGGTACTGCAACACAAACCAGGCTGGAATCACCAAAAACGCTGGGAAAGTCACTCTGTTGAAAGTACCCAACGATACCACCACACCCAACCAGAACAACGGCTGTGACTGGTCGACCTGCTGGAGCTGGACGTCGTCCAGTTCCGAGATGTAGCGCAAATTGTCAATGATCATTACACTGACCAAAAGTGCCCACGTCTCGATACTGTTAGAGAAGAGATGCGACTGGTACACCAACGTCACGTAGGACGTCAGCGTGAAGAAGACTGCCTTGATGCGTTCCGGCTTGGTAGGCAACACTGCGTAGAGCACTTTGTCGGTGATGATCCAGCCAATGATCATATTCTGGAGACGAAGCACGTACCAAATCTGCATGGGAGACAAGTCGATTCCCGTGAATTTGACAAAGTAGAGCACAGGACCATATAGGAGGTACAACGGGGCCAAACTGCGCGCAGCAGATTGCCCAAACTCCCAGGGGACAGCCGAGGAGTACCCCAAAATGCGGCCAGAAAGCACCTCGAGCGACTGGAAGTGTTCATCTGGGTGGATGTAGGAGTTGGAGAGGGCGAACACGAAGCGGAGCCCGATCGAGAGGAAGTAGACGAGCCTCCAGTTGACGGAAAGAGCCATGGTGGGCGCGTGCTTACGAAAATTACGCAAGTTAGGTTGAATTAAGTTGTTAAACTAGTAGCTGGATTTGGTGATAGTCGTGCACGGGCCAATAGTGGGACAATCGGAGGACATCATGATGATGCTAGTGGAAACTCGTCTAATAGACTAGTATAGACGTTCTTGGTTAGAGAAAACGTGATTCGAAAATTATGAAAGTAAGCATCAATTCGTTTGATAAGGATATTGGTGGATTTGGTAATGGCCCAGTAGATCAATTGACGTGAAGAGGTCAACCTCTTGGGTAAGAGGTGGGACTGTAGCCAGCAATAAAACCTCCTAGTAGTTCGTAGAAATGATATTCCAGAGTGCTAATAACTGCTTTCTCACAAACTTGTGGAGCTCGATGTGAGACTTGTTTGCGGGCAACGATATTTCATCTTTCCAGCTGGCAGGAAATTCCTAGAGAGCTTCTAAGAACTCAACAGCAACGCTATTGAAGTTGATATCCCCATTATATCCCCAGTATTCCCAAAAACATCCTTACTACCATACTCTGAAGCTTGACAAGAATCAAATAAAAGAACTAAGTACTATAAATAAAACTTAATACAACTGCTAACGGTTGAAAATAACTCAACTTGAGTGCTTTGTGACTTATTAGACTGGAAATTGCTTCTCTGAGAATTGATGTGAATTGGGGTGCTCAAGTGTGGTTATTCACTTAACCCAACAGGCCTCGGAGGTAAATACTCCGGCATTGTACCATCCGTAATTCCTGTGTAATTATCTGCCAGGACAACCCAAATACCACTAGTTATAAATAACTAAATGATCTTCTGGAGGATTCGGCGTGAGTATTCTTTAATAATGCTCTTCTAATGTTAGTACACCTATTGTGCAACTTGGTGGAAATCTAATAAATTAATTACAATCACTTCCGATTAGCAAAAATAATGGCCTTACTCCGGTAGTAATACTTATTTCCTTGAGCACGATTCAGATAAATCTAGCCCAAATCTAGCATTGGAAAATAAGTCGACAATTCGGGATATAACCCGGCCAAGCATGGGGACACTACCCTTGTCTGACAGTAAATTGCACCCAATTATTCAAGTATTTGGTTGCTAGCTGTGTATTTAATCCATTTACAAACAAATAAACACCAAGCTTTGCAATCTAGAGCCAAACTGGGCCTACGTTAGCCAGCATCAAGATTTTATTGACTTGTTGCAAATATGCTCGGGTAAGCCCCAAATCATCACAATAAACCCGAGCCATTCTCGCCCGGAACTTTCAGGAGCAGAAATTCCTGACAGGTGTCACCACGTGACCGTTTGGTGATGAACCCCCGGAACTGCGTCGGAGTTCACGAAGTACCACCAGGTAGGATCCACCTAGTGTTCCCCAATTTGCTCCAATTAGCTCCCAGGCTTTCCCTCTCCCAGACCCCAGTCGCTCCCCTCCTTCCCGCCAGTTTCCACCCCTTTTCCAGGCAAAACTCTCCCAGTCCATTTCCTCCTCAAAAACGTACACGTGACAGATCTCGGACTCGGGCACCCAAAACTCCGCTCCGTCCTGGCCTCTGATTGGCCACGGCGCTCGGTCCTCTACTGGCCAACCTGGTCCTCCTCCTCCACTACAACTTCCCAGCACTGATCCTGCCACTCCACCACTCCCATGCCTCCCCCACTCTCTCCGAATCCTCCCCTTTCTCTCCCGTTTCTCCCCCAAATCCCCCATTTCTCCCTCAACTCTCCCGCCGGGTTCCGTCGGATTCATAAATTTCGCGAACCAAATTAAAATTTTGTTCATCCCTACTCTTCTTCCCACCAAGATGCTTAGACAATTCGCCAGATCCACAATTGCTCCAAGATTCACCAGAACTTACGTTCCTGGTCAGTTCACTGGTAAGAAAAACCCCAATGGCAAGTACACCGTCACCTTGATCGAAGGTGATGGTATTGGTACCGAGATCTCCCAGGCAGTCAAGGACATCTACGCTGCCGCCAAGGTGCCTATCGAGTGGGAACCAGTCGACGTGACTCCATTGTTGATCGACGGAAAGACCACTTTGCCTCAAGCCGCCGTGGACTCCGTCAACAAGAACTTGGTTGCGTTGAAGGGCCCATTGGCCACCCCAGTCGGTAAGGGACACACCTCAATGAACTTGACCTTGAGAAGAACCTTCAACTTGTTCGCCAACGTGCGTCCATGTAAGTCCATCGTCGGTTACGACACCCCCTACGAGAACGTCGACACCGTGTTGATCAGAGAAAACACCGAAGGTGAGTACTCGGGTATCGAGCACACCATCGTGCCAGGCGTGGTCCAATCCATCAAGTTGATCACCAAGACCGCCAGTGAAAAGGTCATCAGATACGCTTTCGAATACGCCAAGTCCATCAACAAGCCCCACGTGGTTGTGGTCCACAAGGCCTCCATCATGAAGTTGTCCGACGGTTTGTTCGTCGAGACCGCCAAGGAGGTCGCCAAGGAGTACCCTGACGTTCCTTTGGACTTCGAATTGTTGGACAACACCTCCTTGAAGTTGACTGCTGACCCAGCCGACTACAAGGACGTTGTCATGGTCATGCCTAACTTGTACGGTGACATCATGTCCGACTTGTCCTCTGGTTTGATTGGTGGTTTGGGTTTGACTCCATCCGGTAACATGGGTAACAAGGTCTCCATCTTCGAGGCTGTCCACGGTTCTGCCCCAGACATTGCTGGTAAGGGCTTGGCCAACCCAACTGCCTTGTTGTTGTCATCTTGTATGATGTTGAGACACATGTCCTTGAACGCTGACGCCGACAAGATCGAAAACGCCGTGTTGAAGACCATTGCCTCCGGTCCAGAAAACAGAACCGGTGACTTGAAGGGTACCGCCACCACTACCCGTTTCACCGAACAAGTTATTGCCAACTTGTAAGCGGATGGTATACACAAATAAACATTGCCTGTAATAGATGAGCTGTAGACAATGAGTGGAGTATCTAGTCTGTTGTACAGACTACTAGTTATGATTAAATCGAGCGAATATATTTTAAGCCAGACTACAGCAGTGAACCAATTAATCAAGTATTACAACTAAAATAGTTCTGAATCGGATTAATTAAAGTGCATAAACAACTCTGGCAATAATTGCTCTTAACCGGTTTAATTCAATTAAATCCACTACTATACTTGGATGTCTAAATTAGTTAATTCAATTTCAAGCAAACACGTATTGCCCTTCTTGAATCGGTCCTAGTTGGATAATTAATCGATTAAAATAGAAGTAGCTCTTTATTTCCTGTATTGGTCTTAATTAAACAATTTAAATCAAATCTGGGATCCAAATCAACTAGGAATTCTTGTTCTTGAATGTCGGAATTATTCAATATGAAATCAACCAAATTATTGTTCTAATTGAAATCACTAATATCGATCCTTCTCCCAAATTATTATCATACAACCTGATCTGTGCGCAATTACAACCTCTCATGAAAGTTTAAGGTCTATTATTGTATTATTTCGTTTTAATACAATGCCCTATTACTGGCCTGATCTACTCCAAGTATTGGGGACCCCAATCAGCTCTTACATCTCGATTCTCATGCACTTTTACTGCTTCTATTATTTTTGAATCAGGTTATTACCTTCATGAAATTATCGTTACATATCTACAAACCAGAGATGAGTGGATCGACGTATCGATGTAGTTATTGGAGATGGTTATGCAATGTTCGTATGCGACTATTTGGCATCTGTCACTTTTAATGCCTCCAACCCAGCCACGGCGCCAGAAACGTCGTCCTTCTCCTCGCCTGCGTCCGTGGCCTTTTCCTGCTTGTTCTTCAACGTTTCCAAGGCAATGTTGGTTCCTTCCACAATGGCTACGTGCTCCACCTTGTGCACCTTTTCTTCGTACTGTTCCAAGGAGTCTTCCTTGAGCAACTCGATTTCTTTGACCAAAATTGGTGTGCCACGGTCCACCTCAGCAATCACGTTGTGGATCATCACTCCTCCCTTGGAGATCTCGCCGTCCTGGCCTGCTTTCCACGCACGGTCGATAGCATGGGTACCATCAAATGCACCTGGCAAGGCAGGATGGAGGTTGATGATGGTGATGTTGGCCTCTGCTAACGGAGTCAATACCGTAGGCGACAAGATCAACATCCATCCCGCACAAACGATCAAGTCTGGCTGGCGATAACCCTTCTGGGGCACCTTGTTGGGGTGTCCATATATGATCAAGTTGGCCAAGTCGCGATTGAACTTCTCACGACGGCTCTGGCGCTCCTCCTTCTGGTCCTTGGTGGTGCCAACGTAGTACAGCTTCAAGGTGTGGACTTTGGTGGGGATATCTGCCTCAGCAGCTCTTTTCAACCCATAGGCACTTTCGCTGGAGGAAATGACCTGGGTGATGGTTCCAGCCAAGTTGTGGGCCTTTTCGGCGTCGATGAGGGCCTGGAGGTTGGTTCCAGACCCGGAGATCAATACCGTGATTGTGGGACTCATGGTGGTGGAAGAAAGTGATTAATTGGATTGATGGGTTGACTCGGGATATCGCATCACGTGATGCGCGGACCTGACGCTGGAGTGGAGTTGGAATGGTGAGGAGATAAAGAGGAGAGCGGCACTGGGAGAAGAACATGAACCGTGCCTGAAGGCGTACGCTGCTGCGTGCCGCACCGCACACGGCGGCGGGCGCTACCACCGTGCCCTAAACGGACCACGCCATGCCCATGTCATGACAACCTCGGAGTTTGGTGTCACGTGGTATCCGGTCACGTGACGCTTATCTGTCACCTCTTCTCCCCAGCACCGTCGGCCTCCTGTCTGTCCGCCGCCCCAGCGCACACCAATCGGCACCGCTGCCACCACTCCCTACCGCTCCTCCATGACACCGTTCCCTGCCACCATTCTGCCCCCACTCCTCCCTTCCTCCTCCCCTTCCTCCTCTCCTTCCACCCCATCTCCGCGCCGGGTAACCGTGTACATCTCAGTCCGCGCACTCCCCCTCCACTACTGCAGTACGGGCCCGTCCCTGCCCATCGCAATTTTTTCACCTGGCCTCCCCTCGTGCAGCCCTCCGTTTAAAACCTTTTTCATTCCCTCTTTTTCTTCCAACCTCTTTTTTCTGTAAAGTTCTTTCTTTAGGGTATAGTTTAAAGCCAATAACTAATACAAGATGGGTATGTACAGACCAGACGTGGAGAATGAGCCCCGCATCGGATTGATTGGTCGTCAGTGGAGGAATGGTGGTGCCAGAGGCCAGAGAAAAATTTTCATGGGTGGAAGATCAGCGAGGTGAGAATCCTTGCTCAAAAAATGGGTACAAGATAGCCATGAAACAGCCACTAGATGCCACTGGAAGACAACCAAATGACAATCAGATGACAGCCCGACAGTATACTAACCTTCAGTCGCTTTTACTATTGAACAAATCCGTGACTTGATGGACAAGGTTACCAATGTGCGTAACATGTCCGTCATTGCTCACGTCGATCACGGTAAGTCTACTTTGACCGACTCCTTGGTCCAAAGAGCCGGTATCATTTCCGCTGCCAAGGCCGGTGAAGCCAGATTCACCGATACCAGAAAGGATGAACAAGAAAGAGGTATTACCATCAAGTCTACCGCTATCTCCTTGTACGCCTCCATGGGTGACGACGATGTCAAGGAAATCCAACAAAAGACCGTTGGTAACTCTTTCTTGATTAACTTGATCGACTCCCCAGGTCACGTTGATTTCTCCTCTGAAGTCACCGCTGCTTTGCGTGTTACCGATGGTGCTTTGGTCGTTGTTGACTGTGTTGAAGGTGTCTGTGTCCAAACCGAAACCGTCTTGAGACAATCCTTGGGTGAAAGAATCAAGCCAGTTGTTATTATCAACAAGGTCGACAGAGCTTTGTTGGAATTGCAAGTCACCAAGGAAGATTTGTACCAATCTTTCTCCAGAACTGTTGAATCCGTCAACGTCATCATCTCCACCTACCAAGATGCTGCCATTGGTGAGGCTCAAGTCTACCCAGAAAAGGGTACCGTTGCTTTCGGTTCCGGTTTGCACGGTTGGGCTTTCACTGTTAGACAATTCGCCACCAGATACTCCAAGAAGTTCGGTGTCGACAGACTCAAGATGATGGAAAGATTGTGGGGTGACTCTTACTTCAACCCAAAGACCAAGAAGTGGACTAACAAGGAAAAGGACGCTGATGGTAAGCAATTGGAAAGAGCTTTCAACATGTTCGTCTTGGACCCAATCTTCAGATTGTTCTCTTCTATCATGAACTTCAAGAAGGAAGAAATCCCAACCTTGTTGGAAAAGTTGGAAATCAACTTGAAGGCTGAAGAAAAGGAATTGGAAGGAAAGGCTTTGTTGAAGGTCGTTATGAGAAAGTTCTTGCCAGCTGCCGATGCTTTGTTGGAAATGATTGTCATCCACTTGCCATCCCCAGTTACTGCCCAAGCTTACAGAGCTGAAACTTTGTACGAAGGTCCATCTGACGATGCTTCTTGTGTCGCCATCAAGAACTGTGACCCTAAGGCTGACTTGATGTTGTACGTCTCCAAGATGGTCCCAACCTCTGATAAGGGTAGATTCTACGCTTTCGGTCGTGTTTTCGCCGGTACCGTTAAGTCTGGTCAAAAGGTCAGAATTCAAGGTCCAAACTACCAAGTCGGTAAGAAGGAAGACTTGTTCGTCAAGACCGTCCAAAGAACCGTTTTGATGATGGGAAGATTCGTCGAAGCCATTGATGACTGTCCAGCTGGTAACATTGTTGGTTTGGTCGGTGTCGATCAATTCTTGTTGAAGTCCGGTACCATTACCACCAACGAAGCCTCCCACAACATGAAGGTCATGAAGTTCTCTGTCTCCCCAGTTGTGCAAGTCGCTGTTGAAGTTAAGAACGCCAACGATTTGCCAAAGTTGGTTGAAGGTTTGAAGAGATTGTCCAAGTCTGACCCATGTGTTTTGACTTCTATGTCCGAATCTGGTGAACACATTGTTGCTGCCACCGGTGAATTGCACTTGGAAATTTGTTTGTCCGATTTACAAAACGACCACGCTGGTGTTCCATTGAGAATCTCCCCACCAGTTGTCTCTTACAGAGAAACCGTTGAAGGTGAATCCTCCATGGTCGCTTTGTCCAAGTCTCCAAACAAGCATAACAGAATCTACGTTAAGGCTCAACCTCTTTCCGAAGAAGTTTCCCTTGACATTGAAGCTGGTGTTATTAACCCAAGAGATGATTTCAAGGCCAGAGCTAGAATCTTGGCTGACAAGCACGAATGGGATGTCACTGATGCCAGAAAGATCTGGTGTTTCGGTCCAGATGGTAACGGTCCTAACTTGGTTGTTGACCAAACCAAGGCCGTCCAATACTTGAACGAAATCAAGGATTCCGTTGTTGCTGCTTTCCAATGGGCTACCAAGGAAGGTCCTATCTTCGGTGAAAACCTTAGATCCGTCAGAGTTAACATCTTGGATGTTACCTTGCACGCTGATGCTATCCACAGAGGTGGTGGTCAAATCATCCCAACCATGAGAAGAGCTACTTACGCTTCCATGTTGTTGGCTGAACCAGCTATCCAAGAACCAATCTTCTTGGTTGAAATCCAATGTCCAGAAAACGCCATTGGTGGTATCTACTCTGTCTTGAACAAGAAGAGAGGTCAAGTTATCTCTGAAGAACAAAGACCAGGTACTCCATTGTTCACTGTCAAGGCTTACTTGCCAGTTAACGAATCCTTCGGTTTCACCACTGACTTGAGACAATCCACTGGTGGTCAAGCTTTCCCACAATTGATCTTCGACCATTGGGCCGTTTTGGGTGGTGACGTTACCAACCCTGAATCTAAGCCTGGTGCCATTGTTAAGGCTAAGAGAGAAAGACAAGGTTTGAAGCCTGAAGTTCCAGGTTACGAAGAATACTATGATAAATTGTAAGCCTGTTGACTAAAAACGTGGAAATTCCACTGGATATTCTGGGATTCTGGATTCTGTTTATAGTATAGTCATTGTTAATCTTGTTTTCTAAATATAAGCGATTATATAATAAATTGTAGGTCTACGTTGGAGGATTTAATGCTCACGAAGCTCGGTGCAAGGCTCACTAGAATCTAGGAAAATCAAACATACAAGATTTGTCGTCCAATATTGGATCATTAGATGGCTGGCATCTGCTAACACAAACTTGGATAATTCGTCATCCACTAGCAGCATTAACAGAAATAAAACGGGAGTAAACGATTCCGTCTGTTCAATTGAATTTGCAGAAACTAGAGAAGTCATCAGTAGTGTCTAGTAAATCTTGCAGAGAACTTCTGTAATATTAGTACAATTCATCCATGGCATCATTGTTATTGATTCAAAGAGTCTTCAAAGTATAGAAAAGCTGCCAAAGTGTACTTGGATGGTGGAACTTGGTTCCCTTGAATAGAGGCTTCCACTCAAATTCAACTGTTCACCTGTTTCAGAAACAAAATCTGAATACTCGTATTTTCAATATCCTTGTAAACCAAAATTTAGTGGAGAGAACAATTGAAAACACCATTGAAACACTTCTCTCAGCTCAGTAGATCAGTATAGCTCGTTTCTCGAGCAGAGGGTGTTGGAACGGTCGACTGCTACAGTATCCTCCGACGTAGTTGAAGAGTTTACAGGGCCCCATACAACGTACCATTTAATCCTACACGATACGAAATCAGTGATTATTTGAGAGTTTAAAACCATGCCTGGAAGCATTTTATCAATCCGGATAGGGCCCTCGACAATTAGAAAGGGATTCTTTCAAAGTGTATAGAAGCCACTCAGCAATTAGTAACGATTGTCTCCATTATTAGTAATCACCCAAGCGAACAACTTAACAGTTCGCCTGTCTGGAATAAATAGCAATTCCCTTTTACTCAAGGATCCCAATGCTTTTCCTCTCCGGGATGATTGCCAGCATTATAGCACAGCCATCTCTCAATATCTCAACAGCTCATCTGTCTGGAAATATTACCAGCATTGTAACTCAATTGCTAAAATACTGTATACAACTGACGTGGCCATCTGATACTGTACGTCGCGTTGACGTCCGCTACTGCCTGCAAACTCAGACGACTGTTCACCTAGTCTATATTTAGCAATTCCATCCCTGCCATCGGAGAAAATGACAGAAATGTATGGAATCGGGTTCTGCGAAATGGACTCCAAGGGCTACCAGCCACTAAACAAACGGTCAGAAAGCAGTTAAACGAGCATTGTAGGAAGGGCCCGAGTTGTGGTATGGAGCCCACCGAATTGTGGTGTGGATGTGAGTATTCTCCCGTTCACACCACGAAGACAGAACTCCACGCCCATTTGGGCGACCCTGCCATGGGCTGTTTACGGTAGTTTCCCGAACGGGCCATTGGTGAAGCTCGCAGGGCTTAGTGGTGTTTGTGGAGCCACGCACCTCATTAACCTACCGGGTCAGCCGTGCTCGCTAAACGAGCGTACCGAAGGGAGAAGCCAAGAGTGGCGCCAAGGCTGGGCGTGTTTCCCCAGTGATGGTGGTGGTGGCAGTGGTGGTGGTGGTGGTGGGGTCTAGGAACGAGCAGGCAGTTGCTGCCCCTCCCAGTGGTGGATGTCACGGAACCGTGCAGGGATGTTTCCGAGGCATCCGCAGCATGAGCTCATCTCGCGGTGCGAGCTCGTGGCCGTGGTGCGACTTGGCGGAGACGCTAGGCTAGGCGCTGCCATGGAATGCTACCACCACGCACCGCTACCACCACGCACCGCTACCACCACCACCACGAACACACAGTAAACACCAACACACGCTACACTTCAGCAACACACCACTACAACGCTGTGTCAACACACCAGTAAGAGCACACCAGTACAAATACCACCTCCTCCTCCTCCTCCTCCTCTACCTCCTCTGCCACCCCACCATTCCCTAAGCCCCCTCCCCCAGCCCTCCCCAGCCGCTTGCTGCTCGTTCCGGCTCCATCGGCTGCACATTATTAAGCCTGACAAACGTTTATAACATCACCGCACCCTCCGTTCTGACGCCTCCAGTCTTGTTTCTTCCTCGTGCTGCCACCGTTGCATCCCCCCACTACTGTCTCCACTACTGTTCGTGTTGCCGTTCGTGTTGCCGTCCAAATCGCCACTAGTCTGCCGCTAGTCTACCACCAGCTTCTGCCATCGTAGCGCAGTCTCAGGGCGTTTAAAACATAATCGCCACAAGAACTTCACTAAAACTACTACCATGAGTCTCACCAAGCACCAGGTGCTCCAGGCGCTCGTGGACCATCTCGACGTTCCACGGCCCTCGCTGGCACTACTGGCACTAGTCTCCATAGCAGTCTCCGCTGGGTTGATCTGGCGCTACCACGCGTTCAAGCACCTCCACTCCCCCGACATCAACTTCCTCGTGGCCATTCTCCTAGCACTTAACGTCTGGAACCTCATATTGGCGGTGGCTGCGCCTGCCATCTTCGACTTGTCGTACGTCCTTCGCTACGCGGACGCTCACCAGTCGTACTCCTTGGTCAGCACTGCCAACAGCGTGCTCAACCACTTGTACATATACAAGGACCTCCGTCTCATCGCCATCATATTGGTGTCCACCCTGCTCATTAACATCCTCGCCATCGGCGGCTTGCGCTGCATCGAGTACATCTCGTTCATCGCCATCGACACCAGGCCCGAGCCTCCCAAAAGACACAAGAAAAGCGTCAGTTTCGACGAGAACCTCGTTACCTTCAACTACAAGGAGGAAATGACCCTCGACACCGAGGTTCCGGCTCCCTCGACTTCCAGGCTCTCGTGGACGTCTCCACTCATCGACTCGCTCACAAACAGAGGTGCTAGACGGTACATGGGATTGCTCGTGCTTAACCTCGTGCTTGCGCTCATGTTCCTCCCCAAAACCATCCAGCTCAACTCCTCGGCTGTCTTGCTCGAGCTTGGACCCGACACCCAGCTCAAGGCCGACCACATCTACTTCTCACTCTTGGTGACGTTTGTCATCATCACCTTCGCCAGGTTGTTCCGAATCTTCAACAACAGCGTGTGCAGCCGTGTCCCGTGCTTCCCCAAGGTGGTCAGCATCATCTCCAGGTTTGTCTGGTTCTACATTTGCGCCATCGTCAACTTCTCACTCACGACTATGGTGTTGTGCTCCGATGTGTTCATCAATTGCTTAGACGCCATTATCAATGACCTTGGCATCATCGTTGCCCCATCCACGCCCATGGAAGCATCTCCATCCAGCTACCCCATCCAGTTCATAACCTCCATTCTCATCGAGTACCTCTCGCATTCCAGCTTGGCACCCCCAGAGACTGCCTACACCACCTGCTCACAGGCTGCGTGCGATCAGACCAACATGTTGGTGTCGTTGGCCAATTCATATAACAACATGAACGTCATCATCATCAACTGCTGGATCCTCCTCAATATGCTTTGCTTCAGTTTGCTTCCGGTATTGATGTGGCTCATCATTGATATCAAGCTCTGCAGCTTGTTAAGGAAGTCCTCACTGTTAGTTTAACGAAATGTCTATGCCCTTAGACAGTAACGATCTCATTATTTATTAATCAATAGTCATCATTATCACGCGTAGGTAATCATCAAGTAATTGGAAGTTCCAAGGAACAGCGGTATTATTCGGTTGTGGAGTGAGATACAGGGATCCTTGAATAGGAATGCTTCATTACGTTTATCATTATAATCTTTAAGAATGTTGAGTTTATCAATCGTTATCATTATTCACCCAAGTTAGTACTGAAAATCCTTGTTTCCAGCAAAGGCCATCATCATTCACTTGTGGGAATTATCAAGTAGTGGACCAAACAGTGGGCATCATTATTGGCTCGTCGGCGGGGTGTAGAACCTATTGATAAGAAGACCTTGCCTGCCCTTATTAATGGAGAACGATAGTCAGCATTATTCCCCCTGGTATATGGAGAGATGCGAGTTCCAACGAATAGGCACCTAAATTATCATTCAGGGCATCGTCAAATGACTTCCTGCAAAAAGACATCACTACCTGAAAGTACCATCAAAATTGAAATTCAGTTCGAATTAATTGGGTAAGAGTTAATTCTACAGCCAATTCCATCAAAAAAGATCAAAACTCCAGAAAAGTGGCAAACAACCTGAAAAATAGCATGCCAGAATATTCTCTGTAACTCATCAAAATCACCAAACATTTCCAGATAATCGATCCATCCAGTAATGGGGGTCACACAGTAGCAATACACTACCTCGTTGTCATCTTTTCGACCCCAGATTCTTGGATTGCTTCGCCGAAACGGTCTAATGCGCCACCAGATCGATCTGCACCAAGCCACCTAGTTTCGGAAATAAGCCGAAGTCCAACCTGGCACCTCAGCTACTACTCTAGGAAACCCAGCCGGAAAGTATGGGAATTGACTCTGTAGTCTAGACCATAAATCCTTTACCACAAGGTTTCTAAGCACGTTCATCCAATGCTCCCCACAAGTCTCCCTACACGTTTCCCTATCACTACTTCTTTCTGCCCATCTCTATCTAATCAACTTCTACCTATTTATCTCGAATTGTATGGCTTCTACTGATCTGCTAGTCAGTTTAAAGTCCAGTATCTTGTTTTACCTTGTTTTATGTAAGCAAGCAAGGCAAAAGTATGAGGATTGTCGATTGCTAACGGCTGCAGCCATCCATGAACAATAAATCGGAGTCATGGAAATCGAGCCACTATAAATAACACCACCACTGCTCCCAATCACTGGGCCTAATTCCATTTCTTTGCCTTCAATGTCAACAGTATTCATCTCAGGTGCCAACGGATACATTGCCCAGCACATCGTCAAGACATTTTTGTCCAGAGGCCACAGGGTGGTGGGATCAGTGAGATCGGCTGCCAAGGGCCAGCATTTAAAGAAGCTCTTCCAATCTGACTTCGAGTACGCTGTGGTTCCCGATATCCAGAGCTCTGGAGCCTTCAGCTCGGTGTTTTCTCGCCACCCCAACATCTCAGTGGTGATCCATTCTGCAGCGCCTTCGTACCACCAGGGCCCCAAGTTGCAAGAGTCCATCATCGACCCCATGGTGAACGGCACCAACGCCCTCTTGGAAGCTGCTTGGGACCACGAACCAGTCCGCAAGTTCGTGTTGACGTCGTCCTACGGCACAATGGGGATGTCTCGCATGTTGCAGCCAAAGAGTGCCCCCAACGAGACCATCACTGAGGAGTCCTGGACCTACACCAACAAAGAGTCAGCTACTACCAAGGGCCCCATGGTTGCCACCATGTGTGGCAAGGTGTTTAGCGAGCAGGCAGCGTGGGAGTTTCTCAAGCGGGACATGCCCCAGTTCGAACTTGCTTCCATCAACCCAGCGTTCGTGTTTGGCCCCCAGGCGTTTGACTCCGAGGTCAAGCTGGTCATGAACGGGAGTGTGGAGATGCTCCACCAGTTTCTCAAGGGAAAGTCGAGCGATAGGATGCCCACATTAGTTCCTGGCTCCTTTTATGACGTCCGTGATGTGGCAGAAGCCCACTACTTTGCTGCCACGTCCAACAAAGCCGATTCCCAGAGATTGCTCTTGGCCAATGGCCAATTTTCATCCCAACAGATAGCCAATATCTTGCGGGACAACTTTCCCCAGTTGAGAGACGTGGTTCCGGAGGGAAACCCCCAGAAGATCCCCAAGGTCAAGTGTCCGTACGACGATTCACACACGCGGGCGTTGTTCCAGCACGAGCCCATTGGACTCGAGCAATCGGTGGTCGATACGGTAGCCCAGATCATTGCAGCCAAACAAGCGTAGACAGCTGGAAAATAGTAGATTAAGAGTATGAATATGTAAATAAAGGTAATGGAGAGATGCTAATGGGTGTGAAAAGGAAGAAGATTAAGAGACGTGGATATGCAACTAAAGAGAGAGAGAAGGAGTGTGTACTTGAAGTTAATGAGATTAGAGAGGTTAAGAAGGACAGAGGATTATGCAAAAATGCTAATAAATGCAATCGACGGAGATGTACAGAAGGATAAAGGAAGTAAAGGTAGGAGATGGAGAAGTTGGTGCAAAAAACATAGAAGGTAGTAGTTAAAGATAATGAAATGTAGCGAGATTGCAATTAGAGGTAGTAGGAATATAATGCGAGAGATAATTTAAGCTAAATGGTCTGTCTCGTACTATATCTTTAAAATAAACCGTAGTCTTAAAGATATCAGGCATCGATATCGACAAAGACATCTAATAATTCAGAAATAAAACTATCAATTAGAGATAATGGAGAGTACTCAATGGGCATGCACATTAGCCAATTCACTACAATAATTAACTGTTTGGATATTTCAGGCTCTAGATCATTCACATATTATCGAATATCACATTATTCAATATCACATTCTCGAATCCCATTTGTTCAAACTTACGTTGGTTAGTCACCATACACTTTTTCAGTCAACTTTACGGGCTGGTTACTCTACACTCGCATCTGCCTGTCCCTAATTGGGCACCTGATCATTATCGTTATCTATTTTTTTCCCATGAGCTGGGCCAGTAATGGCCAGCTTGGGCCCGTTTGGGCCAGATCCACGCCTAGCTACGGGGTCTGCACCACAGACGATCACCTCCATCGGTGATTGCACTATCGATAGTCTCCAGCCTATCGCCAGCTCAATCCAGCAGTTAGTTCCACCCACCTCCCGTGTTCAGGGACTCCGTTTCCTATCTAGGAAGGTAGGAACGCGGACTGTCACGGAACACCATGCCGCATTGGGCAGATAAGCCCATAGCTGCGAAATATATAAATGCACTCCAGAATCTCTACCACTGCCAGTCACTCCCATCCTCATCTAGAACATGGATAGACTTCACCAATTGGCACTCCACACCACCTCCTCCGTCCTGCCCCCTCCGCCTCCAGCACACCCGTTGGATCCGCTTTCTCCGTTGGAAATCCAAGCGGTGGCTGCTGTGGTCAAGAAGGAGTATGCGGGACGTTCCATCATGTTCAACACCATCACTTTGCGTGAACCCATCAAGAGAGCCTACTACGACTGGAAGGAGCACAGTGGTCCTGTTCCCCCCAGATTGGGGTACTACGTGCTCGTGGAAGACAAGATCTCAGCCATCCAGGAAGGAGTGGTTGATCTCACCTCGTTGACGTTGATCCAGCTGAAGAGAACAGAGGGTGTCCAGCCCATCTTGACTCCCAGCGACTTGCAGGCCACCGAGGACGTTGTCAGAAGCGACCCTGAGGTCATCAGACAATGTGTAATCAGCGGAGTGCCTGCTTCGGAAATGCACAAGATCTACTGTGACGCCTGGACCATTGGTTACGACGAGCGTTGGGGTGCGTCCAGAAGGTTGCAGCAAGCATTAATGTACTACCGTTCCGACGAAGACGACTCCCACTACTCCCATCCATTGGACTTCTGCCCCATCGTGGACATGAACTTGGGCAAGGTGATCTACATCGACATCCCCACCAGAAGAAGAAAGGTCTCGAAGCACAAGCACTCCAGCTTCCACCCCACCCACATCAAGGACAAGTTTGGTACCAAGGAAAACCCCTCGGGATTCAGACCAGACGACACTCCCATCAATATCACCCAGCCCCAAGGTGTTTCGTTCAACATGGACGGAAACGTCATGAGCTGGTCCAACTTCAAGTTCCACATTGGCTTCAACTACAGAGAGGGCATTGTGTTGAGTGACATCACCTACAACGACCACGGAAAAGTCAGACCCATGTTCCACAGAATCTCGCTTTCGGAAATGATTGTGCCCTACGGATCGCCAGACTTTCCCCACCAGAGAAAGCACGCTTTGGACATTGGAGAGTACGGTGCCGGAAACTGTACCAACCCGTTGTCTTTGGGATGTGATTGCAAGGGAGTGATCCACTACTTGGATGCTCACTTCACCAACAAGGAAGGTGAGGCCACCACCGTCAAGAATGCAGTCTGCATCCACGAGGAGGACGACGGATTGTTGTTCAAGCACTCCGACTTTAGAGACGACTTCCAGACCACGGTGGTCACCAGAGGTAAGAAATTGATCATTTCCCAAATTTTCACTGCAGCCAACTATGAGTACTGTTTGTACTGGATCTTGAGACAGGACGGTACCATCAAGTTGGAGGTCAGATTGACTGGTATCTTGAACACTTTTATCTGTGACAAGGACGAAAGCACTGGCCCTTGGGGAACACAAGTCTACCCTCAGGTCAATGCTCACAATCACCAGCACTTGTTCTCGTTGAGAATCCATCCTAGAATCGACGGTGACTTCAACTCAGCAGCTACTAGTGATGCCAAGAGCTCGCCACATCCGTTTGGTTCAGTGGAGAACGTGTACGGAAACGCCTTCTATTGTGAAAAGACCACCTTCAAGACTATTAATGATTCTTTGACCAACTTCGAATCTTCCACCGCAAGAACCTGGGACTTGTTCAACCCCAACTCCATCAACCCCTACTCTGGCAAGCCTGCTACCTACAAGTTGGTTTCCACTTACTGTTCGCCTGTGTTGGCTCAGGAGGGATCTTTGGTTCGCAAGAGAGCACCTTGGGCAGTTTATTCTACCGAAGTAGTGCCATACCAGGACGAAAACCACGGCTATGGAAGATTGTACCCTTCGGGCGACCATGTGGCTCAATGGAGTGGTGATGGTTTGAGAGGTATGAGAGAATGGATTGGTGATGGTACTGAGAAGGTCGAAAACTCCGATATTCTTTTCTTCCACACCTTCGGAATTACCCACTTCCCAGCCCCAGAGGACTTCCCAGTGATGCCCACGGAAATCTTTGACCTTATGTTGAGACCCAGAAACTTTTTCACCGAAAACCCCGTGCTTGATGTCAAGCCTTCTTATGCCAAGACCACCACCGAGGTCAAGGCTGGAAGTGCTGGTGTCGATTCATGCTCATTGAATATCGATAAGACCTCGAGATTAGCATTCAACGGAACCAGCGGATCATCCTGTTGCAACAAGTGAGTGGCTGCGAAATTTGAAATGTATAGCCGTGATAAATGCCTTGTAAAAAAAAATGTAGGTCTCAGTAGATTATCTGGGATGGATCAATGGGAGATAAGTAGAATAGATGGTGGATACTGGTGTCCCAGCTGAATAAATTTATGTTTGATCTTGGTAATTGTATGTACTCCTCAGCGAATTCGAGACTAATTTCTCTTCGTTGATCTAAGAATGATATTCATCACAGTGTGAGTTGCGGAAACTTGCCTACACTGTATCTGCAGATTAATTTTCTTGATTCTGATGCTGAGCTGGTTGCCTGTAAACATAAATCCTACAAATCACTATTAGAATGCTAATTTTTATTCAGGATTGATGTGATTGTTCAATTGTTTAATATAGTCATCTTTATTAGTAGTTTTAAATTAGGAATCTGGGAAACTGGTAGTTCTAAACCATCGGGTGATTGTGCGGGTTATTGTAACCGTTATCTGTGTCCTAGCTATACATCCCTCATTTCACTTCTCATCTGAGACATGGTTTGCCATGCGTACCTGCGTAATATCAAGGAATGGCCAGCAGTATTATCTTTCTATCACTTGGTATACTGTAACAGCAAATGATACCTTTTTGGTAGATATTTCAGGTCCAGTTCTTGTAAATTAATTTTTCCTGTCTCCCCACCAAGACGAAGAAAATCGTGTATCAAGCTAGAGGCCATGCCTAAAATTGCGATGAAAGTAACTATGAGCGACTAAAGAGTGAAATATGAATACTTTTCTACATGGGTTGCAATTTCAGGATTAAAAATATAAATAGAGATAAGTTTGGTCCATTATTGGCCAAATTAATAAGAATGCAGTAAATTATCAAGTTAGCAAGCGTCGGTTTCACTCTAAGCATCGCTCCCCCTGGCAAGCTGAATTTTCTAATTATAATAATAATATTCTTCTGGATTTTTTTTAAGTACATTTTCATTCAACTGTCACTATCGACTAGGTGAAATAGCAACAAATATAACCAGTCATATTCATGCAGTTGTATTTTTCTGCTGGCTTTTGTAAACTCCTTGCTTTAGAATATGGGTCAAACTATTTTCAGGATAAAAGTCCCAAGACAATACCCAATACTGACTTCATTCTGATGTCTCCAAACCAAGTAGGCGAGGTTCTTGTAGTCACACAATCCACTGCGAGAACTATCAACTGGAAAATTAATACCAACAAAATACCAAATTCAACACTTTCGGTATTAGCATTCACAGGCATGAGTCCCCCAACCCCTGCTTCTGTTTTTGCTTCCGAGTATTTCATCCAGATTATTCTAAGATCCGGGTTTGGCATATTTTGGATATTCGTATCAAGTTCAAGTGGAGAGATGAATTGGTGTAACCCTGAAATAATATCTTGATCTCGAAAACGGTGAGAACCAAACTCAAAACTGGTTGGAGTATCTGGAGATGTTGATCTTTCAAAAGAAAGTTTAGTGGGTGTACTTAAGCCATTCCAGGAAATATCAGATTGTAAGCTAGTTGAAGAATTTCTCATACTAACACCAAAACCCTGGAACAGCAGTGGATTCACCCTTTCATCAGCAGAAAAGCTGATCCCATTAAACAAAGCATCATTGGTCATAAAATTATTAACTTGAGACTCAAGATATAAGTCTGATCTGGTGTTGGTAAACTCATTAACATCAAGAGATGTTACAGCTTCATCACAATCTACTTCGAGGTTCTCAACCAAGCTGAAAGGTTTATGGGAAAGTTGAACGTCAACCTCGTCAGGGACATTTTTACTCTCAACCAACTTCGATCTCTTGGGAGTACCCTCCAAAGCAACAGCATTAGCTGTGTAATTAATTTCACACAATGTTCCAAATTTCAGGGACCTGTCATCAGTAAAAACCATTCCATATTTCTTCAGGACGAGGAAGGAGAACAAGCTAGCCTTGAGAATAAAACTTTTCATAATGCTCCATACAAGAAGAAAAACAAGAATGGAAAGCATAATATCCCGAAGAAAATCAAGGCTAGGCTGGTTTACCTTTCCACTGGAAGTTAAGTTCATTGGAAATTCAAGGAGGTGATCGTCAGAATTTTCGACCACCCCCTCGACTTCAAATTCAGTTCCAATGAATTCATCTTTGCTAGAAGATTTGTCCTTCGCAAAGGCTTTTAATTCAATTAAATCGTGTTGACCAGCTTCCGTAATTTTTGTGTTTGAGTAACCTTCGAAGGGACCAGTTTCATTTGTACCATCTCCTCCATAATCCTCAGTCGCTACATCAGCTTCCAACTCCATTCGAGGTAATGAGCAGATATTGCTCTGGTTTGTATCCTTCCCACTATCTGGCATATGAGTAATTTTCTTTACCTCAGCGCTAACTGTGCAACTTCCACTGGCTGCTAAATGCAAAAGAATTTCTGCACTTTCAAGAACCTCAATACTTGGAGTTTCATAATTATTAGCCTCCATGTCGGCGTCTGCATATGCATCAGGTGGATCAGCCACATCAATGCCTAATAATTGCATAAGAGTTTGAGTGGCTTTAACATCAACGCTAGAATTGGTAGGCATCCCAATCGCTTCCAAAGGCGTGATTACTTCAGCAATTCCAGCTTCATCAATGCAAGGACTAGTCTCTGTCACAATGCTTAGTAATTGCGTAAAGTTTTGGGTAGTTTCAGCAATAACGCAAGGATCGGTTGCCTTTCCTTTAGCTTCAGCTTCCAAGTTCGTGGCATCTGCATCCTCTTCAGCAACAGCGCTAGGAGTGTCGTCCTCTTCGATCGTATCTAAACGCAAGAATAATTTGACTTTTTCAGTATTAATTTCAGGCTTGTTGACCTCTCCGACGTCTTCAAAGGGCTCTAAGCCCAAGACGAATTTAAGTTCTTCAGCATCAACTTCAGGTGAGTCGACCTCAACGGTCTCTAAGTGCGCAATGTCTGCATCTTCTTCAGCAATATCTGTAGGAATGTCTGCATGCTCATCAACGCTTGTTTGGTGTCCCTTTTTAATCTCCGTGGGTTGTATAAAACAGGAGGACTTAACCTTTTTAGTCCTTCCGGACTTCTTTTTGTTCTTTCTAGCTTTGCTTTTGGAAAATTTAGGTTCTCTAATAATTAAACAATCATTAGGATTAATCATACGAGCAAAAGAAATAGACTTCATCACACCAGCATCAATATTAGTTTCCTCCGAAACTTCAACAGCAACAGTTGGTTCAATCATACCATCATCAACTTCAGTGGCCTCATTTTGCCTAACCTCATCAACATTTGTTTCGTGCGAAACTTGAGCTGCCACAAATGGCCTTTCCATACCAGCATCAATATTAGTTTCCTCCGAAACTTCAACAGCCACAATAGGCTCAGTCACACCATCATCAATTTCAGTAGCCTCAGTTGGCTTTTTCATACCATCGTCAAGAGTTTCTTCCTTCGCAACTTCACCTGCCACAAACAGCTTTTCCATACCATCATCAACATTTGTTTCCTCCGAAACTTCAGCAGCCACAATTGGCTCAATCATACCATCATCAACTTCAATGGCCTTGGTTGGCATTTTCATACCAGCATCGACCTTAGTTCCAGTTTTTTTGGAATTTTTCTTTACAGTGTAACACTTGTTCTTGGGCGACTTGGAAGCGTCGCCCTTCGTTGGAGAGCTTTTCTTTTCAAACAATGCTTCAGCCCAAGTGGGTGCAATTGCACCAGGGGTTCTGCTCTGGTGAGGAGCCTTCTCTTCAAAAGAGGAAGTGGTCATGTTGAGACGACCACAAACACCATTGGCCCATTCCTTGTTGGAAGGAGGGACAGCCATGTTCTTCCCAACCAACTTCTTGGAGGGAAGAGCAGGAAACTTGTCAGCTTGGTGAGATGGCACTCCAGTAACCTTGGCTTCAACGCTAGACCCACAAAGTGGATCAGCGGAGCTGGTCACAGAAGGCGATTCCAAAAGCTGAGGAGACCCTGAGGTCTTTACCGCATTGCTAGGCAACGATGGTTCACAGCAGGGACTGGTAGTATCTCTATTCATAGACATTGCAACGTTTTATTTGCTGATCGTAGGAAGAAAGATTTCGGTAAAAGGGCAGAACGATTCTTGTTTTACAATGTAAGTATATAGTCCATAGACGCAGGAGCGCGCCCTCCAGATCCTCGGCTCGTTTGCAGCTAACCAGCAGAACTCATTTCTATTCTGGTAGTTTATTTTTCGTTCAATTGATCTCGTGAGACTGACTATACCCTCGATATGGGTGCAAAAAATGTGTGGTCGCAAAAACGGTCCTGTCAAACTGTAGCTTTGTGTCAAGAACATATACGCACTGAATTTTCAACTCAAGATTCTAAATGCAAGCGGACTTAAATAAGTTAAGTATATGAGTTTTGATATTGCAGGTTATTGTAGAAAGCTATGTAATTTGAAGAATGTAAGGTTCATCGCATCGTCTCACACGAAAATTGAAACTTTTGCGGCCTTTACTTGCCTACAAATAACATCAGACTTTTTTCACAGTCATCTATCTGGCAAATCACGTAAAGTAGTATAAGAGTGGTAGACAGCTGGATTACTAACCATTATCCAAACATTACTCCCTACCTATCGTTGATTCCTTCAACTTTTTCATCTTGATTCCAAGTATTCGTAGTACGGACCGTAGTCAGAACATCCAAGCATTAAAATGACAGTTCTAGTATCTTGTTGCTCCCAAATAGGGTCGTGATGGCATTAATGCAAGCATTATTGCTAAAACCTGCCGATAATTGCCCTTGAGTTCAATGCACTGTTAAAAACTCGGTTCAACTACCCAAAAGCTATCTAGGATTTGGTCGCCAGTAAGAGTTCTCATATCTTTCTATCAAAAAAGGGACGAGTCAAAGTGATGGATTTGGTACCTACTCGCAATTTAAGTTAACCAACAGATAGTACATGCATAATTTATACAGCAACATCGCGTCAAGGTATCTCTACATGCATTCTGTCAACGCAAAGTATATCAAGCACAGAAGCTTTGACTCTTGATCAACCTCTCCTGAAGTGTTCTTGTCTTATCCTATCCTAAAGATAAAGGATTTAGAGATGAGCATCAGCAATAATTCAAACTAACTGACTCTTTTGAAGGTTAATTTCATGGGCATATTGAGTTAATTTTTTGAGTCTTTAAGTATCACACTGCGGCCATAATTAGGCGATTCGCAAGGGAAATCAACTGTGAGATATTCATACCATTGATGGAAACTTACTTTCCACCACTCTCTTCCAGAAAAGCTGATTGGGTTCCATGGATATTGATCGTATTTTCTCTTCTATCGTTACTTCAGCAAACTTCATTGGTTTGTCTTCATCTTTGGACAACTTCCTGAACCTCAAACACTGGCCTTTTTCTATCTATTTCAGGATCAGCTCTTTTTCTTATTCTATAATTTGAAGCATCCTTACCTTTGTTCTCTCATCACATCGATGAAGTGTAACCAATTAAACTTACGTTCTGCTTATGAAGTTGAATTATTAGTCCTTTTCTAATATCTCTCCTAGACTTTACTTCTCTTGGAAATGACTTACTCATCTTAATTTACTCTTAGATTCTCATAAACTTAAGTAAGTGTCGATTTGGGAATATTTGTCTTGTCTAGAATTATTTCCTGGTGCCATAACTTTTCTAACAATGTATTTAGCTATCCTTTAATAGTCCATTTAAGGAACTCCTACAAGTGAAATTCCATTTATTACCCTGCTTATTACTGCCCTTTTACGCCTAACTTTTCCCAATCCTCTAATCATTAATAGCTTATTCCTTTAATTATTTCTTCAGAGTTCTCTCTTCCCGTCACTCCCCTTCCAAGGCAATAGCTTGCTGTAAAGCTATTCTATGAACTTTTCGGCGCAAGCACCGTTGTTAGCCTTGATAATTCTGATAGATTCAGACAAAGTGTAGTCCAACTAGTTAAGCTAATTCTAAAGGGGAACTCTACAAATCGCTCAAAGTCTTAAGAGATTCTTCGAATAGGTGGACATCATGAACTTCTACTCCAGTCAAGGTGTCTTCAACTTCAATGTAGCAAGCTAAAGGATGAACTACAAGCGGTCTCCTGGCTGTCTTGATATGGGAGTCTTGCTTGTCTTTTTGAGCAAATTCAGCTCAGTCATGGTTGGTCCGCTTGTAGTCCTTCGATTAGATCTTCGAAAACTTGGGCACGTTATTCTTAATGGTAAAAACTGGAATCAGCTTCTTCAGAGTTTTAAACAAGGCATTGTCGATAGGCTCAACCTGACAAGAATGGACTTGGTAAAATACTCTCGAACAGTATTCACCATGGCAGATAGCTTATAGAACTTACTTTCTTTGACTAAAACCGTTTCCTTCTTGTTCTAATCCTTTTGCCAGATATACAGGTGGAAAAATTGGCAGTGGAGGGGTACTTCGGTTTGGCATCGGTAGGCATTTGGAGATAGAGTATACTAATTGAACTAATTATTCCATTCAATCATGGAAGAAATACAACTAAATTCACTCTTTTCATGCATCAACATCTGCCAGTTACTCTACTTCCTGTCTGTTAGCGTGTCTCGTCGTTGTCTACAAGTCCAATCCGACCAACTTAATCAAAAACTCCATTTTCTGTACGATTGGATTTCCCCACGCATCTCACTGTTATCTGAAAAATTTATTCATCTTCCAGCTACACCACCATCACCACCATGAAGTACATCATCGAACACATGGAGGAGGGCTTCTCCGAATGGGTTATCCTCGAGTACTCGCAAATCATCCGCGAGGTTGGCAGCAGCAACCTTATTTTGACCTCTTTGCCTTCATCCACCACCGACAAGGACATCCCTCCAGCTCTTGCTAAGTTGGGACTTCAGTGGACTACGCAAGAGTGTGTCGATATCGATGGGGGCATCGACAAGTCGCGTGTGTGTCTCTTGGACCCTGCTGCCGAGACAGACTTGGTGCCAGAAGACGGACAATCCTACGACTACTTCGTGTTCGGAGGAATCTTGGGGTCCCATCCCAGAATTGACAGAACCGGTATCTTGAGAAGAAAGTACGGGTTTGCTGGTAGAAGATTAGGAGAATTACAGATGACCACCGATACTGCCATCAGAACCACCCAGAGAATCATCGAGACTAAGCAACACTTCAAGGACATCGAGTTCTTGGACTATCCTGAAATCAGATACAGCAAGTACGAGTCCACCGAGATGCCTTTCAGATACATTGTCAAGAACGGCGAACCAGTGATGCCAGAGGGCATGTTGGAGTTGATCAAGAAGGACGGGGAGCAGAGCATTGACGACTTGATATAGACAAGCAATGTAGGCATGGCGAAGATATGTTAGCCAATGTATTATTAAAATTCTATCTAATTTGCTGATATGATCATTAATTGTAGCCTTTAGTTGCTATATTCAATTATACTACAGGAAGTTCTCAGATGGTTTGGTTAACAGAATACTTGTCGTGCTGTTTCAATGTTCTGTCATTCCACAACGAATACTCCTCATAATTTCCAGCAATTACTATTTATGATAACTGATCAAGTTACTGTGATCACTATTTATTCCGGATTTAGAATCATTAAGTTCTATCATCTCTGTGATCGTTACTTTCATGCTTGCTCTGTTTTCCCCAGGATTTATCATGTACTTTAATTGTTTCTTTCATAAATCAAGAATCACAAGATATCTTCCAGAGACTCGATGTCCCCCCAGGCAAAATGGGAAAAAAATCTTCAAATAGGCGTGCTGTAGGATTTTACAAGAAACCCAGTCCTAGACTAGTCTTCCACAGGGCCTCCTGTTGTGGAATCTTAATTTTTGTCGTAATTCGTATGTTGGTGCAATAAAAATATATCATATAGTCAACTAGCAAACCTAGAGATTCATACTGGTCGAAGTCAAGATCCTTGGAGCCTATTTCCAGTCTGAGGTCTGATTAATCCCATAGTTTTGACGAAACAAATTCAACCTTGCCGTAAAAGTAATATTTTACTTGTATATCGACTAATATAAAAGGGAGTATAACCTCCATTGATTCTGGCAGGTTTATTCTATTATGCAGAACCATGAAGAACGATGGCAAGTAGTTGTTGAATTAAGTATCGGCTGCAATGACTTCGTTCCACAGGATAGATAAATTAATACTTTGGTGCACTAGCTGCCCACAACTGTCTTCGACTGGACGTCTCTGTTCTTTGTCAAGATCTCCTTCATGATGAAGCCTGCAGTATTGACGTCCTCAAAGTATGTAACATGAGCACTGATTGCAGATAACAAGGAAAATTCAAACATTCCTTGTGGCAAGCAATAGTCGATTCTTCCCGAGCTGTTCAAGCTTTTGAGCTGCTCAAGGTCCTCACCCTCGAGCTCCCATTTCTTTTTTTTGGTATCCTTACTTGGTTCCGCTTTGGTAGTTGAAGTGATCGAACTCAAAATGTCACCAAGAGCATTCTCCCTGTTGATTCTTTCCTCGTCAGATCCCACTGGAGACTTTTGCTTTTGGTCTCTGAACCAACTAGATGCCTTTGCCAATTTCTCGGAGATTTCGTCACCAATGTTGGCCAACTCCTCGAATTGGGTGTTAAATCCCTTCAACGCAAACGGGATAGTTTCTGGCTTGAACTTTGAAAACTTTGGTGCTATCAATGGTTCGATACGGTACCCGATAGGATCACAGGGGTGAAAAATGTTGTAGATATTCTTGCACTTGGGAGCCGAGATCTGGCCGGTACCGTCTTTTTCTCCATCCATTTCCGGAGAATTGTCGTGGGAAACAATCTCCTTGCCATAAGCCTGAATCCCGGTCTGTTCCAATAACTTAAAAACTCCCACTGGAGATCCAACACAGAACAAGTTCTCAACGTCGAAATCCAACAAGTTCTTGACCTTCTCCTGACCGTCCTTGGTTCCCGTTTGATTTGCCAAAATGTCAAACGAAATGGCAGAGCCCAAAGAGTGTCCCATGATATGGACCTTACCATTGAAGTCTGGATTCTGTTCCTTGTAGAGCCTATAAACTCGGTTCAACTCATCAGTCACAACCTCAAACACTTGGTTGATGTACTTGGGCTCGTAATAGAGAAGGATATCCAAGACGACGTCGCCGACCAAGTTTCTCAATGGCTTGATACCATCCACAGTCAACTGGGCTAAGGTGGGCAATGAGTCGTTGTCCTTGAACGTACGCTGGGGGTGGAAATCGATCTTATGTCTCCATGAGATAGGCAACACCTGGATGCGGTTCGAGTGTGTGTCGTCATCCACCAATTTCTGGATCTCTTTATTATTTCTGAACACGGTGCTCATGGTGTTTCTCAACACATTTATACTGTGGGTAAAATTGATGGATTCGTACTTGTGGCCTAAGATCTGGCCAATGCCGTGGATGCACAACACAAGGTGGTCAACCTTTCTGTCTGGACCAGGTAATGGCAACTCCTGGGACAGAACATAGTCGGAAACTTCGTTCCAAGTATCGCTGATCGACGTAGGCATGGCTTCTTTGAACGAACTGCTCGAGTAACCTCTCTGAATATGCTCCACAGACACCAAGCTGACCTTGCTGGGGCCAAAGTTGCGGATGACTCCGAGCTGAAAGCTCGAGTCCATTGATTTGGGAAACATGACTGCATTTTTCTCGTCGAAGTAAAGGATCAAGTTGCCGTTTTCGAGGTCAACAAGGTCCCGCTCCTGGTCCAAATTCAACTCGATCTGCCCCTTTTCGTCCCGCAACTTGTTGAATTTGGCCACGATGTCTTTGGACTGCTTGAGGCGAGACTTTTCCGAGCTTTTGCTCTCCTTATCGGCTTCTTCCTTGAAGCTGTACGGCTTTTTGGTATGGTAGCCGATTTCAATGGCCTGGGAGAGTTTGTTGGGCAAAGGAACGCCTGAAGAGTTGAACCAAGTGCCTCTTCTCACCTCGTAAACAGGTCCTTCCCAATACACAGGAGCCAACTCAAACGATTTGAGGTCTACTTGGTAGAGTTTGTCCTCATTAACAGTCACAAGCTGACCAGGGGAGCTGTTGGCTTGTTCTGAGCCTTGATTGGTCTCACTACTGGAGGCCTCTACTCCAGGAGAATTGGCATTAGTGATCTCTTCCATTTCCTTCACTCCAGCACGATACAACTTCTGGTAGCTGGCCTCAAGACGCTGTGAGTCGCTGTCTGAGAAAGCCACGAACACCTGGGCTTCCTTCTCCTGGGTGTAGTTGGACCAGCTGGGCTTGGAGATGGGATTGTCTGTGGAGTAGAACCATTTGACCTTAATGGGGGCTGGCTGGGCCGTGTGGGCACTTCTCGAGGCGACGAGGACGAGCGACACGCTCCGTAGCTTGAGGCAGCGGACGTAGGAGAGCATTAGCGGATGGAGAGTACAATGAAGTTGTCAAGTTGCTAATTTCATGGTTGGTCACGTGATGTGAAACCGAAATACTTTTAGTCCTATTAGTTCCTTCAATTATTGTGGAAAAATGTAGTTAGCTAGAGTTTGGTCTTCTCTTATAAAATGAAATTAAGACTTCTTCAAGAATGCTTAGTTTTTATTTTTGTTTACATCCAAGTATCAAATTTTTGTCCTCATCACGGGTATTATAATACATTGACATTCTAGAGCATTAAAGTAAAGGATTACATTAACTTATGTTCTCTTCTATGTTTTGTTTAACAAATTTATTGCCTCATTTTTGAATCATACGATAAATAGGCTCTGCTGTACATAATTTAATTTTTTTTAATTTAATATTAAATAGTAGTTTTAGGTTCATAGACCTTTGGGTGTGCTACACATTCTAACAATTAGAGTTACATGTTCCATGTATTTAGATGGTACAACACGATATATGCATCTATCAATTCTGTGGCATTCATATGTGATGAGCTTCATAAATTCTTTTTCTTTTAGCATAGAATAATTATCTTTTAATCCTTTACCTTTGTATTCTGAATTTATAAATCTATCATCGGTGTAGCAGAATTATCAAACTACCCAGTCTAGGTCTAGTATATGGTACTGTGGTCACGTCAACCCGTCTTCGGGAAGCGTAATGTTGCCGCTGGGCCACTTGAGGACGGCACTATTGGAAAAGTCGCTGTACACCGATCCTTTCTTGATCTTTCGTCCGATCCTCAAATAAATGCTGATGTCGCCATTCTCATCAGTGAAATTGCCCTTGAGCGCGTGGCTGATCTTGGGTGCCAATTCCTCGGAACCAAATAATTTCTTGAGGTCCACGCTGTTGGTCTTTTCGCCCACGTACTGCTCTATGTCGTTGATGAGAAGCGAGACCGAGCTATATTTCTGGTAGAGCTTCTCCTCTTGTTTGGTGAGGTTCCTGACTGCATTTTCCCATGAAAGAACACCGGAACCAGCGTCGTAGGCCACCATTTTGGGAGGCAACACCTTGCCAATAGGATCGTCTCTCTTCAAAGCAATCACGGTTTCAGCAATGGCTGCAAGGCCCCAACGAGATGCACCAGAGAGAAAGAGCCCCAAGAGGAGTCCCTGGAAGAGCAAGGCGGTGATGCCTCGCGTAGAACACCCTGGCAACAAGATCAACGCAAGGATATAGTGGTGCACCCGCAAAGTCAACCCTGGGATGGTGGAGACTGCCACTAACCCTGCGAGCATCCACAAGTACACCTTCAAGTACTTCTGGAACCTTCCTGAAAGCCAGATCTTGTATGCCTGGATCACGGCACAAGTGAGGATCAACGACACGATGCCCAACACCGACACAAGCGCACCAGCCTGCTCTTTCAAGTCACTGATCGTGAGTCTGTCCACGGGAAGACGATCAAATGTCACATTGTTAAGCACACCCAACCAGAACATGGGGTACCAGAAAACCACCCTGCTGAGAGGCGAGCGTTTGACATCGAGCTCTGGTGGTGGCTCCGAAAGCGTTCTTTTCGAAGAACACCGCCACAACACGTAGAGAATGAAACAGCTGGGAAGAAACCGCTCCAAGCCAATGGAGATCAACGAAGCAAAATCCTCGGGACTCAGCAGCACCGACACTGGCGGGTCTGTGGCAAGGCAGATGGTCCAGAATCCCACTGTATTGATTGTCCAGAACGCCACAGCTCCGCTGGCAAGGTACACGATAGGAAGCCCAAGCACGATGTTGACGATAAGCACCAAGAGTCGTGGGTCGTAGCACTGGGCATACTGACCCGGAAGTTTCAGCAACGAGTAGCTGGAGGTGAAGAACGACCGGAACGAGATCGACTCCATGCCATAGTGGCCAGTGGCCAGCGAAAAGCCGTCTTTCTCCCCTGTGAATGCTACTTTGGCACAACCACCAAAGAAGGGCGAAAGAATGCCTGCATGAACAGCAGCTCCACAGGGGTAAGAGTCTGCTCTGTAGGGTCTGGAAACCGTTTGGTGCGGTTCTGTGCCGCCTCCCACGATGAACAGGCGATATTTGATGCGCTGGTCGCCTAGTGGCACCAACGAGTAGGTCCAGCTGCTCCTATCACAAAGTGCTGGGCATCGGATGATCACGTCGTCGGCTGGAGGCTGGCAGAGCTTGCCATGGAGGCCACAGGCTCCGTTTTTGCCTCTCCAGTCGAGCTGGCCCTGGCAGGACAACGACACAGCCGCTACAGCGCCGTTTCCTGGCGGCAACGTGAAGTATGGCACCACTATCGAGTAAATGAGCCCAAACCAGAGTGTGTAGTAGCACGCCAATAACGCAACTCGGTACTGTTTTGCTACCCGCTGACGGAACTGGTCAGGAAACTGCTCGATTCGGGGAAGAAGCGTGAATGGCTGGGGAGGATCGTCTCTGGGACTGGCAGGACCATTCCACACGGCGTGGAAGAAGCTGGACCAGCGGTTGCGAGGCAGTGCAGACTGAACTGGTGCTTCGTTGTGCAAGTCCATATTGTTGCCAAACGTCTGGAGTTCGATATTGTCCTCGTAGCGAGAGCCAGAGGCAGCAGGCTCGTGGGAATGAGGATGTTTCTTAGGGGACAATGGTGGCAGGGCGCTGTGCAAGGAGCCCTTAGTGGTGGGAGGAGTGAAGGGGTTGTTGGTATGCTGAGAAGGCAGTGCGTGGTTAGAGGGGGCTGAAGTTGCAGGGAGAAGGGATGGAGGCGAGGGAGGGCCTGGGCTTGCTGGCGGGAGCATCAGGGTGGTGGTGGTGGTGGTGAGAGAGTGGGATTGAGGGTGGTAAGGGAGTGATGGTGATGCTGATGCTATAGATTGTAGCTCTCGTGGTGTTTGGTGGTGGTTATTGAGAATATGTAGAGGAGGAGGGATAGGGAGAGATGGGGAGAGCTCGTGCGACAAGTGTGCCAGTGTAGCGAGAGCTTTAGCGAGGGCTTGGTGTGGCCTAGCGGTGGACTCACGCAGCTCGCACTAACTTAGGGAGAAATTAGTGACAGCTCGCTACTAGCACATTGAAGGCAGAACCCCTGGGCACCGGAGAAACCATCATACTCCGAAGTCCATAGGAATGAAGATAGTTTGTATAACAATCATATTTACTAACAGCTTTGAAGTTCGTACTACCTTCTTTATTTGTAAATGCTCCTAAATCCATTTTTCTGCATCTAATAGTATCACACTTACTATTAATCTAGTTATTGTTGATGGTAAGTGTTTGTCCTTGTAATCTATCTTCAAAATCCTCAATCTACTACCTTCTGAAAATTATTTCTAAGATATTTTCTAATGGATCATTATCTTTGATGGTTGTACCATCTCTTTAAGGTTTTGTTTTTAATAAACCTTAAGGTTTATTCGGAAGACATATTTATATCTAATGGTAAGTTGTGGAAACTACCGAATTTATCGGCTGTAGCTGGTGCCAACACAAGCCTGCCTAAGCTATTAATTAGCAAGGGGACTTTGAAAGAAGTTCTACTGCAGAAAAACTGCAGAAATACCGTTACTTTAATACAGAGACAGCTCCTGGAGATCGTCAATCAATATTAGTATAATGGCTTCTTATCCGATAAGTCATCTGAGGCTAAATTCTCGACACCAAGTCGCAATTAGTCTATAGTCTCTGGAAACTCATCTCCAGTCATTTGGCCCATCTTCCTACTATCTCATTACCTTCGCCTACAATCAGCTACTCGATTAACTTATATTACCCAAAAACAAACTATATTACATCCATGTTTAACCAGAACACATGGTACAAGACTCAGGATTGTCAATAGCACAAGCTATGACCTTGGAACTGTAGATATCTTGCTCGAGCTGAGCAAGCTCTTCATCAGTCATCTCCTTCTCACCTTCTTCAGCCTTGGCTGGCTTTTCTTCGAGCTTCAAGTCAGCTACCGAGTTCTCCAACGAGGTTGGCTCGGTGGATCCAGAGCGAGTGGAAGAGAAGGTGGCATCAGCCTCTGGGGTGGCAGCAGATCTGGCAAGATACTTTCTTTGGTTCAACTTATCAAGAGAAGCAACGGTGTTACCTGCAGTGTTTGCTGAGTTTTGATCAACAGTGAATTGAATGGCAGCAGCAGCAGCTTGAGTTCTCAAGTAGTACATACCGGTCTTCAACCCCTTCTTCCAACCGTAGAAGTGCATGGAGGTCAACTTACCCATTGTTGGATCCTTGATGTGGATATTTAAGGATTGTGATTGATCAATGAAAGCAGCTCTGTCGGCAGCCATATCAATGATGTGCTTTTGGGAGATTTCCCACACGGTCTTGTACAAAGCCTTGATTTCGTCAGGAATGTTGGCCAATCCTTGAACGGAACCATTGTTAGCGATGATGTTGTTCTTCATAGCATCATTCCAGATGCCCAAGTCGACCAAGTCACGCAACAAGTATGGGTTGACGATTTGGAACTCACCGGCCAAAACTCTTCTGGAGTAGATGTTAGAGGTGTATGGTTCGAAACATTCGTTGTTACCCAAGATTTGCGAGGTAGAAGCAGTTGGCATAGGAGCAACCAACAAGGAGTTTCTGATACCGTGCTTAGCCAACTTCTGCTTCAAAGTATCCCAGTCCCACAATTCGGTGGGCTTTCTGTTCCACAAGTCGAATTGCAACAAACCCTTGGAAGCTGGAGAACCCTCGTAGGTTTGGTAAGGACCCTCGACCTCGGCCAATTCAACGGACGCTTCGACAGCAGCGTGGTACATGGTTTCAAAGATTTGAATGTTCAATTCTCTGGCTTCTTGCGAGTCAAATGGTAATCTCAAGGCCATGAACGAGTCGGCCAAACCCTGAACACCCAAGGCAATGGGTCTGTTTCTCATGTTAGAGTTTCTAGCTTCTGGAACTGGGTAGTAGTTACGGTCGATGATTCTGTTCAAGTTACGGGTAACCACCTTGGTGACTTCGTGCAACTTTTCGAAGTTGTACCATACCGAGTTGTTGTCCTTTTCCACGAAAGAGGGAAGAGCAATCGAAGCCAAGTTACAAACAGCAACTTCGTCTGGAGCAGAGTACTCGACAATCTCAGTACACAAGTTGGAGGACTTGATGATACCCAAGTTCTTCTGGTTGGTCTTTTCGTTACAGGCATCCTTGTACAACATGAATGGAGTACCGGTTTCGGTTTGGGCTTCCAAAATGGCGTACCAGAGCTTCTGGGCCTTGATGGTGCTTCTACCACGGTTTTCACGCTCGTACTTTTCGTACAACTGGACAAACTCGTCCCCGTAGCAGTCAGCCAAGCCTGGGGCCTCGTTGGGGGAGAACAAGGTCCAGTCGCCGTTAGCTTCGACTCTCTTCATGAACAAGTCAGGGATCCACAAAGCAGGGAACAAGTCTCTGGCTCTGTTCTCTTCCTTACCGTGGTTCTTTCTGATGTCAATGAAATCGAAGATGTCTGCGTGCCATGGCTCCAAGTATAAGGCAAAGGCACCTGGTCTCTTGTTTCCACCTTGGTCGACGTAACGAGCGGTGTTGTTGAAAACACGCACCATTGGGATGATTCCGTTGGAAGTACCGTTGGTACCAGCAATGTAGGCACCGGTGGAACGGATGTTGTGGATGTGCAATCCGATACCACCAGCGCTCTTGGAGATCAATGCACATGTCTTCAAGGTGTCGTAGATACCGTCGATGGAGTCGTCCTTCATGGCAACCAAGAAGCACGAGGACATCTGGGGCAATGGGGTACCAGCGTTGAACAAGGTAGGAGAACCGTGGGTGAAGTATCTCTGGGACATCAAATTGTAGGTTTCGATGACACGCTCGATATCCTCACCGTGAATACCGATAGCCACTCTCATGATCAAGTGCTGGGGTCTTTCGGCCACCTTGCCGTTGATTCTCAACAAGTAGGATCTCTCCAACGTCTTGAACCCGAAGTAGTTGTAGTTGAAGTCACGGTCGAAAACAATCGCCGAGTTCAACTCGTCCGAGTGCTTAAGGATGATGTCGTAGGTCTCACGCGAGATCATAGGCGAGTGCAACCCAGTCTTTGGGTTGACGTAGTCGTAGAGTTCCTTGGACAACTCCGAGTACACTTTGGTGGTTTGCTTGTGCAAGTTGGAGACTGCGATTCTGGCAGCCAAAATGGCGTAGTCAGGGTGGATGGTGGTCATGTAGGCGGCGGTCTCGGCAGCCAAGTTGTCCAACTCGATGGTGTTGACGCCCTGGTAGACACCAGAGATCACTCTTTGGGTGATGGCCACGGCATCGACGTGGTTGGAGTCCAAGCCGTAGCATAATCTCTGGACTCTGGCGGTGATCTTGTCGAACCGCACGGGCTCCTTGCGTCCGTCTCTCTTTAAAACGTACATGGAGGATAAGAAAAGAAGGTGTACGAAGAAAGCAGAATTGGGGGGAAGTGGAGGTTTATATAGGGCTGACGCGTCCGGCGCAAATTCAGAATGCATGGCGTGCATACACGCTGAGCAAAAAATCGCGGTGGTGGCGGCGCGTGCTTACTGGATCGGAGCAAACGTAAACACGATGAGATGGATCTGAGGGCGGGCGGTCCTGGTGCGGGAGGTGAAACTGGCGATTTTTCCTGGTAGTGGGGGTACCTCGCGTCTTACTAATAAGACGTGGAACTGCTGGACGTGTTGACAAGACGTGAAATGAGACGTGAAATGAGACGTGATGACGACGTGAGCTGAAGACGTGAGCTGAAGACGTGACTGGAGGACTACTGGAAGACGTGACAGTAAGACGCGATCTGGTAAGTTCTTGTGATACTAGTTGGCCATGTACTTGTTGGGCCTTGAGGGAGGATGTCTTTAGTTGGCTGGCATGGTTTTGAGAGGACGCGTCATTCCGGTTGTCGTGTTTGGAATCGCATCTTCCTCAATGGGACGGTACATGACATGCTTACTCATCACCGGTTCGCATAAGCAAGGGAATGACGGAGGGGATATCGGAGGTGGGTGTCGCGGGGAGAGGTCCAATGTCGCGGATGTCGTGGTCACGAGGTGACAACCTCAGGTCTTCCTTTGTCGTATCGTCGTTCCATCCAATAGATGGGTGAGTATGTGGAGGCACGATATTCACATTAGCTATATGTTCTGAGTAATTATTTGTACACATGGAATGTTAATGGGACAGCGATCTGGAAAATATTCTACAGTATTCCACTACACCAAGTATCTTAATAATTTTCGATAATTTACCATAAACCTCTACGCCAGCTCCGTCTTTTATAGCTACATGCTCAAAAAGTACTCGGATGAGTTAGCAATGCAATATTGGTGGTGACCAATATTTTAAATAATTTGCAATTTTTTTGAATAATTGCTTGCATTCTCAAAATATCTGGTGCGGTACTAAGACTCTAAAATGCATTGTATTGAACAAATACTGCGATAGTAATGCAGTGATTTACTGAGATTAAGCGAATCTGACTATGACCTTTCATAGAAATCAATGCTTGTTCGTTACAAAACACCCATCTTGGTCTTTAAGTGCAGACAATGTGCCCAATTGCTTCTTCAATTGTATCTACGCACGCTAATTAAACGCAGTGTGGGGTTTCACCGAAATATGCTTTCTATGATATCAACTTTCGGCTTTTACCGTCCCTTTTATACTCTGAATGAACCGGAAACCCATTTTTTGTAAAAAAACCCAACTAAATACCCTTTTTATAATATGAGCAAGAATTGACTTTTGGGATAAGACCACTGAAACATCCTTTCATTGAATAAACCAGTAGTTCGACTTTTAGTCCAGATCCTCTATTCCAGTCCTGTGGCTTTAATACATCACAGGTGCTGCCTAGGAGAACATTACAGGCCATAAATTGCAGGAATCTTCCAGCTGGTCCAGCCGGTAGCCAATACAATACTAGTTTCGTCCATTCTACAAGGCTCCTTGTTATCCTAATCTCTTTGGTGTCTTGGACAACGTCAATCATATATTTTCTATACCGGTACCGGTACGTAACCGATTGGCCATCTAATCTACTTGGATTCTTCCTTGGTCAAATCGCTAAAGGTTAGTATGCTTCTTATCGTGAGTGGCTTGTGAGAGTCCAAAACGACTGGCTTTTCATACGAATACTCGTGGTGTCCTTCGGGGCACCAGAAGCCATCTGGTTAGTCTCCAGGCACTCCATCTGTAGATATAAGCTTGCTATTCCGTTGGTTCTTTCTCTTGATTGGCCCAGGACCTTACCCACGATTGGAATCAAGCCTTCCTCAGCAAGCCTCACCATCTTTGGGCCCATTGGCCCCGAGAGACCCTTCACTGAGTGACTTATTCGTCTCACATTCTCACATTCTCAAATTCTCACATCTTTTCTTAATACGTACTTAATGAACTTTTCCAAGTCAAAGTCGTCTTCCTTGCTTTGAACGACTGGAGCAGCTGGGGTGGCTGGTGCCTCCTTCTTGGCTCTTGGCCAGGCAGCGACAGCAGTCACTGAAGCCAAAGTGGCAATGGAAAGCTGGGGTTAGTATCCTGTCAGGTGATCTGTTCACCGAAGGGAACTCAATTGGGTGGTACGTACGATGTGAGCAGGAACCTGTTTTCCGAAGATAGTATAAGCGGCACCCATGATGATTGGTTTGGTAGTGGTGGGATTGTCGAATGTTAGATATCCGAGATCCGCAATAGAGACATTGTCATGCGAGATGCGACATGCGACACGAGGTGTCGTGGTAGTGCAACTGTTGCTGGCCGTGGAAATGTCCCGTATCAGTTCTCTACCAGATCAGTGACAGTTTCGAGGATCGGATCAAAAAAGGTGATATTGAATGGAGAGATGACTTGCTTTTTGGAGAAAAGAGTAGCTCTGATATTTAACTTAAAGACAGTTTAAATAAATTGCAAATTTATCCAGGTAGATTTCATAATTGATAGGTAAAATATATTATTAAGATATCCTCTAAAATTTATAAACAGGCAATTAAGCTCACTACACTGGGTTTATTATTATCTGTTATTTTAGGTCTCTATCAATTTAGCTCTTGAAAAATTAATATTAAGACATGTTCTACCATTCTTAGTGGTAAGATTTAAATTAGTAAAAACAACATGTCATACAGCTAATCAAAATTCAGACGTTGACAATCATCGAGACGCCAATGAAAATTGTCAGAGAGTTTTCTATATGTCATTCATACAAAACTTTTGCACCCTCTTTTACCGATTTTCACGGCTGAAAGAATTACATTATTTTTACGTTAATATTAATTAGTCTATGCAATTATTTCCTTGGATGATGTTTCAACATCCACATATGTCCAGTAGTAGTAGCAGGTTGAAGTTCCACAATTTGGGAGAATAGCTACTCTCCATTACTAATCTAGGGAGAGCGGTGTCTCTGCAGCCAAAGCCTTATCACAGAATCTCTTCAGTCTATTCTATTCCTTGCCAAGTGCATTAGCCTCTCTCCAGTAGTTTTCGATGCCAAATCGTCCCAAAACGTCTGCTGCCTCCTCCTCGTTCTGTGATCTCATTATACTCCACTTCTTGAACTTCAAGTCTTTTACCTGGCCCTCCCATACGATTTCACACCTATTCGTACTGAGATCTTCCAATTCAGCATCGGGGTCATCTTTGGGTGGAGCATTGACCGTCCAGTCAATCCGCCTGGTGAGCAACTTTTTGTAGAATTTAATACTCTTCAGTCCTCCTTCCACAATTACAAGATTGAATTTGGGATTGAGCAAGCAGATACCCAAGAGCTCCAACTGTTTGGCGTTGATGTCCACCTTGAAGAAATGCGATGGGTTGACGAGCTTGTCGATCTTAAACACGGTGGTGAAAAATCCTTTTTGCAAGTCCTTTTGGTGTTGCTCGTGTATTTTCTGGTGCTTTTCATCTTTGGTGAGCTTACGCTCTTCGTTAGTTTGGAGGTGTTTTTGCAACCGGTCCTCGACTTCCTGTCGTACTCTCTTTTCCACAGCGGTGGGGTCCTTGATGGCCTCGTTGGTGAGCACATTCATGAGGTTGGAAAGCTTGACCTTGGGTGGCGGAGGCGCGTCCAACCCCAATTTGATTCTGTCCTGCTTGTCCTTAAGTTTCTCTTGTCTGTCGTTCTTACGGATTCGTTTCATCTCCTTTTTGGTCAAATAGAGGGCTTTTTCGGGCATTTTGTGCTGTGAATAGGTGGCATCAGCGAGCACAGGGTGCTGGATATAGAGAGACACTGGTGCATCCTCGCTATCCAACACTAGGCGGGTCTCGTCATCAATGTGGATGTAGTCCCTGTCCATCAAGTAGGGTTTATCCCACCATTCGATACGAGGCGGCACTTCGTGGCGCCAGAGATGTTCTCCAACTGTCTCGTCGGGAGCCAAGCCCTGTTTGAGCTTCTCTTCGTGGTCTTTTTTGGCCTGTGCTTCCTGGTCCAACTTTCTTCGCAACTCTTCTGCCTCCGTTATGTACTTTCCGTGGGCATTAAACTGAAGCTGGCGACTCCGCAGGCTCTTGGGACCCGACTGGGTGAGGTACGGGTTAATTGCCAAAGGGTCAAAGCCCTTGCGGACGTTCTGCTTGAGGGGGTTGTGGTTTTTGGGAAGCGTAGGGGCAGCGATGCCCCGCAAAAGCGGGTGGATGGCGACATTGAGACCTCCGTGTGGTTCTGAAGCGGCGGGAGAATCCTGGGCCGTGCCTTTGTGGCGTTTGGCTGGCTGTTGGTGCTGGTTGGTTCTTTTCATAGCGCTCAGAGGTCAAACAGTGCCAGTATGGGCTTAAACGACAGAATATAGCAGATTTTTGAGACCAGAATGCTGGTAAGTTTGTAAATTGGTTCAGGAAGATATCTTGGAAGGGACTTGTGACGGTGCCGGTCTGGGAAGTGTTCCTATCACTGCGATGGATATGAATGATTGGTTAACAACTGCGGGCAGGAATGATATAGGGTAGAGCTTTGGGCAATTTTGGCACGTTCTCGAGGCTGTGCTGTTCACGGAACGATTGTAGGAGGGGCTTGTCTAGCGAGACTTCGTGGTAGTTGGTGGCAGAAGTTTTGCAGCGTGTAATACTGGCAGAAGTGTTTGCAGTAGTGTTGTATTTGGCAGGTGCGAGCAGTTCTAGCACGGGCAGTCCGCGAGTCTCTCCCTACGCTTGCGAGTCATTCTCTCCCTACGCTTGCGCGCCTCCTCCCTCAATTTCTCCCTACAGGCTCGCTAGAGCTCACTCTCTCACCATGCTTCGCGCCCTGGCCAGCGTGCGCCCACCAGCAAATTGTATCGCATCTAAGCAACTCCTTAGCTAGTAATACCTATTCCTACCAATTCTCCAATCCCACCCTGAACCCCGGGCCATATATCACCACTTACACCCCTACTGCGCTCCCGTTTCAGCGTTGTTTTTGAGAATTGTTGAACCGCCCCATTCCCGATGATCATAGACTCCAAAGAACAGGCATGGAGAATCAGCCTGAGAAAGCCGTTCCAGCCGCTAATCGACGAGATCATGGCTTGTCCCACCAAGCAGTTGCCCCAGTTGATGGCTGCCAACCTCGTGTGGGACAAACCCCGCGGATATCTCTTGCATTGGGTGCCTGTGTTGAATCGTATTGACGAGATCCTCGAGTCCCAAATTAAGAAGTATGGCTTGGACCACGAGAACCCCAAAATGCACCAGTTCTCGCTGGACGACCAGACGCTCGTGGTGGCATGCTTGCAATTTACATGTACCTTACTCGAGCACTGCAACGAAACCAATCTTCAGATCTACTCCAGTAGCGACCGGATCTACGACTTGATCAAGAGCGCAACCATCGACGTGCGGTTGCACGCGTTGGAGGTCATGACCATGATTGGCGAGAGACACGTCCTGGGCAATCCCAGCCAGTATGCCATCCCCAAGCCAGCAAAAGCGTTGCTCTTGCAAATCGCAAAGTCGTTTCCTCCGCTTGTTCCCGCCAGCTACAACTCCAGGGGGGTTGATCCAGACAGGAAGACCATTGTGGGTGAGCACCATAACTACTTGGATATCATGAGTAACGAAAAGCCCCCCAAATGGAGGCTGTTGAATTTTCAGTACTACAAGTCGTCGTCAAGCCTGGATCTAGGCGACTCAAAAGAGCCCAAAGAAAAAGAAGCCAACACGGCTAAGGAGTCCAAGGAAGATCCAAAAGCTAAAGAATCGAAAAAGTCCAAAAAATCCAAAAGATCCAAGTCCAAAGAAAAGTCCGCCAAAGGTGCCAAGGTGACTCCAACTGAAGGCTTGGCCACCTTTGCCTTGCCAGAAGAGTCGGTGCGCAAACTCACATTGGAGCAGATCTACGACAAAGCCAGCGAAGTCATTCCTGAGAACTACTGGCTTCAATTTGGCCTTGTTGCCCCAGTGGCCAAGGCCTTCAACAATTCCTCATATGAAGCTCTTGAATTAAGGCGAAAACTCTTGCAAATCAAGTTCCTTGCCATTGGATCCATAAGTTGCTTGTGCTCAAGTCAATTCACCTCCACAAAGTTATTTGAAGCCGAGCCATACATCTTCAGTTTCCTTGTTGAAATCATCAACCCTGACAATTTTCACAAAGTTTCCAGAGAAGTCTTGTTCGCTGCTATTAAGGCATTGGAATACATATCCCTCAAGAAAGTCTGGGGAAATGACATTATCAGATCAATGGGTGGAAACGTAAGCCACGGAATCTTATTTGAGTGTTTGAGATTCATCAATAAGCAAGTCAAGGAAGAGAGGAGCGACTACTACGAGAAAGAATACATCCACTTCTTGAATATGGTGGGAAACCTCATTAACATTAAGAGCTTGGCCCAAAGATTAACTTCAGGGGGTATTATCCACGACTTGGTCGCCTTTTTCAACGTTAAAACCAAGTACAGATGGACTTGTTCGGCCGCTATTCATTTGACTTCTATATATCTAGCTGCATGTCCAGACAGTCTTGATACTTTCATCGAAATCGACGGATTTGGACTCTTGATCAACACTATTCAATATGAAGTCAACACTGCTCTTGAATATCCAAATACTGGCCAGGACAAAAATACTTCCACTCATTCGTTACAATTATACTCCATTGCATTCAGACAAGCCAACTTCATCAGGAATCTATTGAAATTGGTTGTCGACTTGATCCAATCCGATATGGGAGACAGATTAAGAAATCTTTTTGACTCACCTTTGCTTGAGAACTTCAATAAAATCTTGACCAATCCTGGCGTGTTTGGACCTGCAATTTTATCTTCCACAATCGACTCAGTCTTCTACATCATTCACAATGAGCCAACTGCGTTCTCCATCTTGAATGAGGCTGGCGTAATTGATACTATCCTTGATAATTATGAATCGTTCCTTTTACCCTCGGAACTCTTATTGACTTCTTTGCCAGAGGTCATTGGTGCTGTATGCTTAAATGGTGAAGGATTGAAGAAGGTGATCGAAAAGAAGACTATAGAGACTTACTTCAAATCACTCTCCAATTTCGAGCTTTCCAATGAAATGGAATCTACTACGAATTTGGGATGTACATTTGATGAGTTGGGAAGACACTATCCTACCTTGAAGCCTATCATTCTAAAGGAAACGAAGAAATTGGTTGAAAGATGCGCAAATGACGTTAACAAAAGACTCCCAGGAGTACAGTTTTATCGCTCAGAGACTGGGTCTTTATATAGAGGCCCAGATGACATCGAGAATCCAGATGCATCTGAAGACGCTAAAGGCGACAAGCTCCAGAGATGGAGAGGTTCGGAAGGTGAAGCTCTTCTCGATAATGTTTGCTCGTTTGTTGATGGTCTTCTTCAGGACAGTGGTCAATGGGTTGAGATTATGGAAATTAGCTTTGAATCATGGTTGGACTTACTCACCATTTCCAAGGCTCCATTCGATTACAGCACTGCAGCAGAATTGTTGACCTTGTTAGCGAATCTCAAATACTTTGATGATGAGAATAGAAATTATGGATTCCCTCCCTTGATATCTAGGCTTGAGAAATACTTGAAATTGCCTGAAATTCAGGAGTTCACCCACTACGAGGGTAATGACAAGTCGTTCTTCACACAGCTCGAAGAAGATGGCAGATATGATGATGCTACCAAACTTATTCAAACCCTTTCCACAACTACTACCCTTCTTTTCACTTTGATACACACCTATGTTAATCCGTACTTGTGTTTCCATGAACGTATGTTACAATTGACCAAGCTTTTTGGCGACCTGGGAATGATAATTGATTTGGGTCGTCTCTTGGGAAGATGTATTGTTGAAGAAACCACGATTAGAGCAAGTATTCCTGAACATTTGGTAGATCTCACTGCGCCAGATTTCATTTCAGGCCAAGAATCGTGTATCACGGTGATCAGAACCAAAGAAGAAAAACCCAAGGATTGGAAGAAAAAGCATGAAGCTACCAATGCCAAGTTCAAAAATAGTTGGCAATTAAGACATCTTAACCTCCATATTATTTCAAACATCACAAGGCTTTTAAACTCAATAGGCCGTGTCTGTATGCACAAGAGACAGGAATTTACACAAGTCAGCTACCGTACAAAAGCAGTTAAGATGACTGTTGAATTGGCAAAAGTGTTTGCAGATTTGTTAACGAGACAATTTAGCAACAGTTATTATAAAAGCTGTTACATTTTGGCCGTTTCGCAAGCACTTTTGCATAGTATTACGATCAGAGAGAGAAGCAAAGACCACGCACCTACTTCATTGGTCTTTGCATTCATTCAAACTGGAGTATTTGATCTTTTGAGAGATTTGGGCATTGAATTATGGCAAAAACTTTTGTTCATGGATCCTAAGAAGGCAGAGATCTCAAAGGACTTGAAGTTCATTAGCGCAGATGAAGGAAGTATAGTAAAGAACACCTTGAGTCATATTCTAACCATTTTTTCCAAGTCTGTTAATCAAGATTATCTCCCCACAATTCCGGTTTCAAAGCTCTACTTCCATACTGGCTACGAAGAAGAATCTAGTCTCGTTTCCTCCCTTTTGGTTCAAACCAGGTTGAGAGCTTTGGAGCTTATTGCCAGAACAATTACCACCCAATATCCTCTCTTGCCAGTCGAAAACTTTGCCAATGTTCCATCTCCATTACTTGAAATTATGGTATCCATTTTTAAGGTTGCAGGCTTCAAAAACGAAAGACACGACGTCGAGTTTGTTCCTTTGGATGTGAATAACGTTAGTCCACTCAGCAGTCAGCTTGAATACCTCCAAGAGAAGGGATTGAATAATGCGCAGGCCATGCACTACTTCAAGCACGGTTTGGATCTTTCGGAAGACACAAGCCAGTGGCCTGAATGTCCACAGTTGGATTTGAGTGCATCAGAGATCGAAAGAATTAAACATGCTGTGGATGAAGACCCAAGAGATTGGAGTCTTGATCATTCTAGCTACCCTTCTAAACAAGATCTTGAAGACCAAAGAAGTAGTCTTTTCTATTTATCCCCCGAGAAATGGTTAGAGTTCACTCGCAACTACCCTCACCCATACCAAGTATTCAGAATTATTACTACTGCTTGTGATGAGTTCGAATTGTCATCGGTCTTATTTGACCAAATTTTGGACTTAACCGAGAAAAATGATAGAGGAGTCAAGTTGGCTACTGACATCCAATTATTGTCATATCGGATGGAACTGGAATATTCTGCTCCTATCAAGAGTGATAAAACTCTCGATAGATTCACTGATTTCTTCGTGAAAGAGCTTCAGTATAACGAGACCAACTCCATGGTCAACGAGGAGTACTTTCATCATGCCTTGAAGATTTTTGAATTTATAATGACCAACAAGACCACTCCGTTGGATAGTTCAAAGGCTTCATACTTGGCTTCAAAGCCATTTAGACTTGACGACAAGACTCAAGCAAACATTCTCGAAAGTCTTTTGAAACTCCAAGACATAAACAATGGAAATACCATCATAGCTCTCACCAGAGTTTTGATTTTATTTGCCAAAGACTATGAAAATGCCGTGAGAATCGCGAGATCACAGCTTTTGAAGAATTTAGTTCGTCATTCAAAACATTTAAATAAATCTACCACCTTGTCTCCAACACCAGAGGCCAAAAACCAAGATTTGGATTCATACAGATCTTACCTTATTATTTTGATGAGAAGATGTTTTGAGACGGCAGAAGTTTTGAGGGTCAATATGTCGAATGAAATTTTGGCACTGTTGAGTACACCAAGCAGATTCAATAGGGATCTCAACTCATCACTCAAAGAGTCCTTCTCGTTGGTAGTCCGTAATCCAGAAATTTACGCAGATGTTATGTCTGAGAATGTTCTTCTTGATGGTTACGATGGTATCATGCCTTTGGATGGTAAGTTACCTATTGTGAAGGTTTCGAAGGATGAACATAAAGATTCCGACGAACAAAAGTCATCCAAGGCTCATGAAGAAGATGTCCAAATGAAGGATGCAGAAGCAGCACCTGTTGAATCCACAGGAATTGTGCATATACTTTTGAGCGAGTTGATGGAAGTAATCAAAACAGACTGGGTGAGTGATCCAAAAGACCAAAAAGCAAAGACTGAATCCGAAGAAGAAAAGAAAAAGAACGATAAGAAGAAGGATGATAAGAAGGATAAAACTGGTGAATTATCCAAAAACCCCAACTTTTCATATGCATCGTTCCTCCTTCAAACCTTGACAGAATTGCTCGGTTCATACAAGCAGTCGAAACTTGAATTCTTGACCTTTTCTAAGAAAAAGAATGGGGACTTAAAACCTAGATCCACAGCCTTGAACTTTTTCATTCATCAATTAGTTCCAACTCGTCTGTTGGAACAATCCAGTGGTCCTGAATTCGATAGAAGGAGTGCTATTTCTTCAATTGCTAAGATAGCACTTTTGGCAATGGTTTCCAGTCCAGTTCTTGCCGAAAATACCACTAGTACTCCACCGAAGACGAAAGATTCTGACTTGGCTTTCATCCGTAAGTTCTTTGTGGATATTGTGCTGAAAATACTTAAAGATACGTCGACTTCAGTTACTGCCTTGACCTCGGTGAAGTATGGAAAGTTATTGGACTTGTTCGAATTATGTGGAATGGTAATTTCTTCCAAGTCTCGTGAAACTACCGGACCACTCTTGAGTAAGAACGCCGTAAAGTATGATCAGTTTTTCATTAGCAAAGCTATTATCGATGCCCAAATTCCATTCCAGATCACCAATATTCTTGCTGATTTAGATTTGAACTTCCCTGGCCTGGAAAAGGTCATAAAGGCAGCACTTAAGCCTATGAGTTTACTTGGAAAAACTAAAACCGATTTCCAGGAGTTGTTCGAGGAAGAACATCAAGGAGACAACGACGACGATGACATTGTCCCTGATGAAGTCGATGACAGAGAAGAGACACCTGATTTGTTCAGAAACTCCACCTTGGGAATGTATGATGCTGAATATGACAGCGAGGAAGAAGAAATGGACTACTATGACGACGATCCATTGGAGGTGTTGATGTCAGGAGAGGAAATCTCAGGATCGGACGACGAATCCTCAGGATTATCCGATTTAGAATCCGGTGATGAGGATGAAGGTGAAGATCTCGATCTTAGAGATGATTACGATGAAGGAGTTGACGAAGATTCCGAAGACTCCGATGGAATGGATGAGGATTCCGATGACATGGACGACATAGAAATCATTGACGAGTTGAACATTGGTTCACATAGCGACTCAGATGACGACGAGGACATGAGCGGTGACAACTCCAGCTTCTACGATTTTGAAGATGAAGAAGCCAGTGAATACGATGAAGAAGAGTTAGATGGTTGGCTCGAAGAATTTGGAGCCGGTGAAGACGACGATGATGATTCTGAAGAAGAAGAACATGATGGTAGGTCTAGACGTGAAGGTGGTAGACAGTTAGGATTGGAATCGATTGACGACTCTGACGACAATTTAAGTGACGTGGAGTCCTCGCTGGAGATGGATGGAGAATCACACACCAGAAGAGGATTGAACAGAGCATTACCTGCGTTCGAAAGATCACCTACATTAGCAGTGCTTTTGGATAGCTTCTTGGGAGAATCTGGAGGATTCAGAGGTACCATTGAAGTCAACGGCGAAGAACATCATATTCATAACTTTGACAATAACGTTCCTGGAATCGGAAGAGTTTTTGGACATATTTTTGGAGATAAAGCCAGTTCAGAGCCTTACAAATTCATGTACATTAAATCTACCAAGGAAAGATGGGTGGAGACCATGAGACTCTTCTACGCCAGAGACAGAGAGGAGATCATTAGTGTGGTCGCTAGAGAAATCTTAGACCGTATCCAGGATGAAAGCACCAAGGTGTACAGGAAGAAAAAGGAAGAGGCCGATAGAGTCCGCAGAGAGCACGAAGAGAAGATCCGGAAGAAGCAAGAGGAAGAAAGAAAAAGAAGAGAACAAGAGGCAAAGGAGAGAGAAGAACAGGAACTCGCTAATCCACAACCCCACTTGGAACCTGTTATGGTCACTATTGGTGACAGAGAAGTTGATATTAGTGGAACTGATATTGATCCCGAGTTTTTTGAAGCTTTGCCAGATGACATGAGAGAAGAAGTTTTCACTCAACACATCAGAGAAAGAAGAGCCAACGCAAGCACCACTGGACTTGATGCGAGAGAAATCGACCCCGACTTCCTTGATGCTTTACCAGACCAAATACGTGAAGAAATTCTCCAGCAAGAATCCATGGCCCGGAGATTTTCCTCCTTGGGAGACATGAGATTCGAAGATGACGATGAAGGGGACGAGGATGACGAAGGCGATCTTGCAGATGATAATGGTGAAGCAAACCTCGATGGCTCAGCAGCTTCCAAAAAGACTGAAAAAGCAAAGAAGGTATTTTTCACACCATTGGTCGACAAGCAAGGTGTTGCTTCGCTTATCAGGCTTCTTTTCACACCATTGAGCTTGAGTCAAAGAGAACAACTTTCGCATACTTTGGAATATTTATGTCAATCTAAGCAGACCAGAATCGAGGTCATGGGCTTGTTGGTGGCCATTCTCCATGATGGTTTAGCAGGCCACAAAGCAGTGGAGAAAATGTACTCCCAAGTGTGTAACCGGGCTCTCACAGGTGCAAAGGACGCCAAGAAGCAATACAGATTGCCCTTGGGAAGTTCGATGATCAATATCGGTATTCAAGTGATCGAGTCAGCAAGTTACTTATTGGAACGGAACAATCATTTGTGTTACTACCTTTTGACAGAGCACGAGAATCCATTCTTGCTCAAGAAGAAGAATAAGTTGAAGGATCTTACGAAGGAGAATAAGTACCCAATCAACCACCTTTTGGGCTTGCTTGAGCATAATCTCATCAAGGACGACCAGACCTTTATGGACATACTTGCAAGAGTGCTCCAAGTGGCTACCAGGCCCTTGCACGTACTTCTGAAAGTGAATAAGAAGGAAGAAGTCAAGCCTGCACCATTTAATCCTCCAACCATTCCTGATGCCAACTATCGTCGGATCATCAATCTTTTGACTGCTAACGAGTGTTCTAACACCACCTTCAGAAGAACCATTAGTGCCATGCAGAACTTGTCGGTGTTGGGCAACGCCCAGAAAGTATTCTCCTTGGAGCTCTCGGATAAGGCTACCTCCTTGGGCCATGTCATCATCAACGACCTTAACCAATTGACCAAGGAATTGAATGGTGCAAATTACTCCTACGACAACAAGGCCATGACCAAATTCACTGCTTCCTCTTCGGACCAAGCCAAATTGCTTAGGATCTTGACTGCCTTAGACTACATGTTTGAGTCCAAGGATAAAGAGAAGAACAAGGAAATTGACAGTGGAGCCGAAGCTGAATCAAAGAAGCCCAGCTCTCCTATTGATATCGAAGAATTGACCGGATTATACAAGCGTTTGGCTTTGGGTACGTTGTGGGATGCTTTAAGTGATAGTTTGAGAGAAATTGAAAACCGTCAGGAACTTGCTCCGATTGCCACTGTTTTGTTGCCTTTGATTGAGGCTCTCATGGTGGTGTGTAAACACAGCAAGGTGAGAGATTTACAGAAGGACGTGGTGAAGTTTGAAGCCAAGAAAATCGACTTCAGCAAGGAACCTATTGAAAGGCTCTTCTTTTCGTTCACAGACAAGCACAAGAAGATTCTCAACCAAATGGTCAGAACCAATCCAAACCTTATGAGCGGTCCCTTTGGCATGTTGGTAAGTAACCCCAGAGTGTTGGAGTTTGACAACAAGAAGAACTACTTCGATAGGAAGTTGCACCAAGACAAAAATGAGAATTCCAAGTTGGCAATAAGCATTCGTCGTGATCAAGTGTTCTTAGACTCGTACCGTTCCTTGTTCTTCAAATCAAAGGAAGAGTTCAAGAACTCCAAGTTGGAGGTGAATTTCAAGGGCGAGACTGGTGTTGATGCTGGTGGTGTCACTAGAGAATGGTACCAGGTATTGTCGAGACAAATGTTTAATCCGGACTATGCCTTATTCACCCCAGTCGCATCAGACGAGACCACCTTCCACCCTAACAGGACGTCGTTTGTGAACCCCGAGCACTTGTCGTTTTTCAAATTTATTGGTAGAATCATTGGTAAAGCTATCCACGATGGTAGTTTCCTCGATTGTCATTTCTCCAGAGCAGTGTACAAGAGAATTCTCAGCAGACCGGTTTCCTTGAAAGATATGGAAACTCTCGATTTGGAATACTTCAAGTCGTTGATGTGGATGTTGGAAAATGACATCACCGACGTCTTGACCGAAGATTTCTCGGTGGAGACGGACGACTATGGTGAGCACAAGGTTATTGACTTGATCCCAGACGGAAGAAATATTCCTGTCACTGAGGAGAACAAGCAGGAGTACGTGAGCAAAGTGGTTGAGTACAGATTGCAAACATCTGTTACTGAGCAGATGGACAACTTTTTGATTGGATTCCACGAGATCATTCCAAAGGACCTTGTTTCCATTTTTGACGAACAGGAATTGGAGTTGTTGATTTCAGGATTGCCCGACATCGATGTCAACGACTGGCAGAATAACTGTACCTACAACAATTATTCTCCATCTTCGCTTCAGATCCAATGGTTCTGGAGAGCTGTCAAATCTTTTGATAACGAGGAAAGAGCAAAGTTGTTGCAGTTTGCTACAGGTACTTCCAAGGTGCCATTGAATGGTTTCAAGGAGTTAAGTGGGGCCAATGGGACCTGTAAGTTTAGCATCCACAGGGACTACGGCACTACTGATCGGTTGCCATCGTCACATACTTGTTTCAACCAAATCGACTTACCAGCGTATGAAAGCTACGAAACGTTGAGAGGAAGCTTGTTGTTAGCAATTACTGAAGGTCACGAAGGTTTTGGATTGGCCTAGTCAGGTCTTGTGTTGAAGATTTTTCAAAAAAGATTAGGATCAAAAATTTCGTCATGAGCATTGTTCGTATGGCTTTAGTTATTGGTTATAGTTATAATAACATATACATTATTGAAAAGTTTACTGGGTTTGATGATAGTCATAGTATAGTAAAAGGCAAATCATTGACATGTCTACTGGATACTGGTGATAGTGATAATAACAGGTAGTATTGAACGGTCTACGGGTAGTAAATTTCGGTTGCGTAGATACATTTCGCAGCCAACAATTTTGCGCTTTATGAATTACATCGAGGTCCATTATGGATGTCATAGTATTAGTCTATGTCTGGTTCCTGTACCAGGTTCTATCATATGTATCTGTGGGTGTGATTTGCCCACACACTGTAATAAATAACTTGCCTAAGATTAGAAGGCGTCAATGTTCATCATAAAAGCTTCTCGATCTCGTCAGTGTCACTCAAGTGCTGCACTAACTTGTAGTTTGCTTCGTTCTCCTTCTGGGCGTCTTCACTCCACAATCCACACTCCTTGATGATTTGTTCAGGAGGAATGGTGATTCTGCCCTTCTTGAACACGTACTTGGTGACAGCAACGGTGTGGAGTTTTTGGCCGTCCTTTCCACTGACGAATTTGGACAACACAAACAACCATTTTCTGTCCCATGCGAACACCTTGCTTTCGATTCTGAACCTTTGGAAAGGCTTCAACTCTCTTCTGAAAGTGCACTTGACGGTTGCAGGAGGGATGTAAGGGATGTTGCCGATTCCCGAGGACTTGAACTCGCCATGGACATTATCATAATAGTTGAAGAGGAACTTCTCAAACACTTGGCTGACCAACTTGGTTCTGGCGATATCCAAATCAAGGAAATACGAGGAGTTGCTTTTGTGGATGTTCATGTCGACCTCCAAAGGCGACACGTAGGAGTCGATGCCCACCCATTTGAAGAGCGTCGAAGGGGTGGTGAACCCGAAGGTGTTGGTACGATTGTTTCTCTTGAAGCTGGGATAGTGGCTGAAGAGGTGGATGACGTGGTAGTAGAACCGCACAAGATAGGCGAACGGGAGCGTCTTGTAGGTGGACACAAGGAAGCCTAAGGCCGCGTACTTAGCGATGGTGGAGACGATGGCGGAGGGCATTGTGGCTGGAGAACAGATGAAGTGGAGCTGGTCCGATATATAGCGGAGGTGGTGGTGAGCCCTGGGCTCGGTCCCCGGTAGGCATGCATGGGATGGCGGTTCGGGGCCGAAACCGAGGAATGTTGGGATATCACGTGCACAAAATCACATGACCAGATTTCGCCCCCCAGATCGCGGTGACGGGCTGCACCTCTCGCAATCAGGAGAGAGGCTCGGGAGGGGAGTGCGGGCCCGTGGGCCGATCCGGCGCCACCGCTCAAACCAGCCCAGAAAAGGGACCAGGGCCCAAGCCAAAGGGGCCCAGGCCACTCTCCCACGCCTGGTTGGCTGGTGGCGTGGTGTCAGCCCCGGTCATCGCCCGGAGATAATCACCAGTTGGGAATCCCGACGGCTCGGGTCCAGGCTGGGGCCACGGTTGCCGTGGCAGTGGGTGAAGCACCCTGGCGGGATTAAACGGCTATGACGGTCCGGCTGAACCGCGTGGTACCGCCGCGCCAGCGTGGTTTTGCAACTGCTTACTCAGCTTGGCACGCCCAGGTTGGCGCGGCGGGAGCTCCCATTCTTTGGCTGCCAAGTGCCTACCACACGGAACTGGGCCAGGGGCAGGGATGGTGTTTGCCGCCAAGGGGGCCCCAGGCAGATCGTGCTGGGCGGTGGCGACAGTCTGGTGGCGACCCCACCAGCCCCAACGTGACCGTGTTGCGGCCAGCCGGGCTGAAGCATCACTGGCCTGGCGGGTAGAGCGGGGCCATCCGCGATCTCCCAGCGGCGATCTACCACCAGGAAAAGAAAGTGGTGGGTAGAAATAAGAGTGGCGGGTGGAATTAAAAGTGGTTTTTGTGTGGGTCAACGTGTAGAATGGGGGCATGCTAAGCTGTAGAATGGCCACCGAAATGCTGCAAACGAAACGCTGCAAATTACAAACGCCTAATCACCAATGCCAAATCCAAATGCTGCCATTACCAAACGCTGCCAAACGGTGCTAAAGCCGCCAAAGGGTCAAAGAAGCAAGTATTGACGCTGCAAACTGATCTCCCACAAGCTAATTGCCGCCAAATCAGCAGCATCAGCAGCAGCAGCGCAACACCTGCCATCGTCGCTACTGCCACCTACACTTGTCTATCGTCTATCTATTGTACACTCATAATCATAACTAAGGTTCCTTTTTAATCACATTGATGGCATAGGGACATTCATTCTTCTCGATGTGGTTGGCCATCCAGTCGTCCACGTTCTTGAAGTCAAGCTGACACATCCGACACTTGCCCACCACCTTTGTCCGCTGGTCTTTTTTGGTGCCGTTGGGGTATTGGAAGTGAATGGCCTTGAGGTGGTTCTTGAAGGTGTCACACCGCGAGAAAATGCCGGTGTTGTGACAGCAGTGGTCGCTGGCTTGGGGAGGTGAGTCGAGCGAGCTGTCTGGCGTGTCCAAGTTTTTGAACGGACACTTGAACTGTCCCTTGTCGCTGCCGATCTCCTTCCAGTGGCACTTGACGTGGCGGAACAAGTCGTTGGGTCGAGCAAATCCCCGGTTGCAATATTTACAGATGTGTGGGCGGGATGTGGGCTTGAGGTGGGTTGACTTGTGGGTGGCGAGGTTGGAGAAGTAGAGCTTGCACTCGGGACACTGTCTCTTTTTGCGGGGTTTCCAGTTCTTCTTGATGTCTTTGGACTCGAGCACCGGCGATTGGTGGGGCGACCCCGAGGTGGCCAGCCCTATTTCGTCTTCTTCATCTTTGATGGTGTCAGACACCGACCCGTGGCGGTAATGGTAGGAGTCCAGGTCCACCAGGGGCTCGCGGTAGGGCGAGGTTATTGGAGATGCAGAGGAGGCCGGTGCGGGTGGAGGCGACGCCACGGTGGCCGAGGGAACGCTGGCTGGCACGCTCAAGCCCAACTTCCCGGTGTTGGATGGCATGCTGTTGGCACCGGGCCCTGGGTAGCCGGCACCCGTGCCGGTGTATGGTGGGAGATATGGAAGGCGTTGATAATGATAGGGTTGGTATGGGTAGGCGTACCGGGAAGGGTCCCCTCCTAATGCGGGCAAATCCAACAGAAGGGAGTGGATCGATGGCAAGGTTGTTCCAGAAGGGTTCATTGTGGATGTGCTTGGGTGTGTGGAGAACGGATAGGAGTGAATATATATCATTGCAAATTACGATAATGCTGCAGTGACACAAAAGGCCCAAGAATGGCATGGCGCGGCCGATTCCGACTGCGCCGGAGGTGGACGCAACTGCGCATGGGGTTGGGTGAGTGGCGGAGGCTGCCGTGGGGTGGCCGGTTGACACGGCCCCCCGGCAGTGGGGGTCTTGGGGGGGGCCCCACAAGTATGACTTGGTGCTAGGGATGGGGCCGGTGTCACTTGGGTGTCATGGGTGTGTCAGCAAGAACCCCATGGAGGATGATGGAACCTCAGTGGTTGGTGGTCCGGGTGGCTACACATCCGCGATCCGGGGTTTGAGCGGTGGGCTGTACCACCTCCTATTGCTATTTCTTTTTCTCGGGCACCACGGCAGGCTGGCTCAGCCGTACCGTGCTAACCGTTGGGTGACGATCTGGGGCACCCAGTGGCGGGAGTTGGACCGACGGCGACGTAGCCCAGCGGGGGATCGGGGGGTATCCCGCTAACACCGTGTGCATCCACCCCTATGATCGGCCACGGCCGAGGCACGGCGAGCTTTGATGTATGCACCATCTTTGGCTGATTGTGGTAGGTGGTAGTGCTAATGGTTGTCTTAACCGGAATAGGGGAAACCTATCCCCCCTCCCAATCAGGATAGGGCTTATGCTCGGGACTAAGCCCATTTCCGTCCATGCTCGGTGTTCTTGGCCGATGAGCACTAAGGTTGCGCTAGCCTAGTTCAGTCCGCGACTACTTGACTATTGGAGTCATTTGCAGACACCCGCTACCCAGATCGTTCCGATATCAAGAGGCTCTGACTAACTGTCAAACAAATGCTCCTCCCACAAGGTTAACCTGGCCGGAGATTAGACACCATCTCCGAAGACCACCACCAAGCAATCTCTCAGACGCTCACAATCAGCAACAGTGAGCGCCTCCCTCCGAGTGGCCACGATGTCAGTGTTCCCAGTTTCAAACCGGCGCACGGCTGCACTGGTTCATCCAGGTGCCGCACCCTCGACACCGCAAAATACGATCTGCGCTGGACATTTGTAATTATTCGTAAGGCCGATACGCCTCGCCGAACCACCCTACCATAACCTGCAAAATATTTCCCCAGATACTCGTTCCAACGCCCCATCTCGAAATCTCCCTATCAGGAAGGAGAACCTCTCCTCCAGCAAGCTACCACACCCAGTCGTCGTTTCAGCAACCCCCCAACCTTACGCCCGCATATTAAAGTTGCTCACATTGTCAGGGCTATTATTGTCATTGGCATCGGGGAACGCATATGAAACAAACCCCACTATTACGGTTGTGAATCGGCTGTCGCGCGTGGTGTTACTTCTGCCGTGTGCGCCGTGCCCGCACTGAGGCTGCGATATAGGCACTGCAAATACTGGTCGATATCCGGATTTTCTACACGAGAACAGGGTTGCCATATATTAGGGAAACACGTGACGGTGTTCGAGTCGGCGCGGTAGCGCCGCGCCATCGACGACAGCTGGGTCACGTGTACGTTTTTCTACTCCTATCCACGCCTAACAATCTATGCTTTTCTGGATCTCACCTTGCCAGCGTCCTCACCGGTGGTGGAAGCACCAGTAGAGGCACCAGTGGCAGCAGCACCAGCAGCACCAGCAGCAGGCTTCTTTCCGCCCTTCTTGTACACCTTGATGTAGAAAGAGATGAACAACAACAAGTAACTGGTCAAGATCAAGTATCCATAGGCAGCGGCCAATTCAGAACCGTGACAGTCACCGATGTGAGGCAACCACTTGAAGTATCTGTAACTGTAATGGGTGTAAGTGGCAAAGTACACAAATACCAAGTCAATCAAGAATTGGATGATTTGGAACCGGGTGACCCATTCCTTCCACCACACTCTGATGCCTCTGGCACTCAAGAAGTAGTACCAGTACATGACAACGTGGACAGCCAAGTTGAGGGTGATAGGCACCCACTCAACTGAGGTGTATCCAGTCAATTGGGTGTAGCACAACAAAGCGGTAGCTCCGTGGTGGTAAGTGTGCAAGAACATCAACTTCTTCTTCTTCAACACCAAGAACACGGTGTCGATCAACTCCAAGTACTTGGTCAAATAGTTCAAGTAGTACAAGGTAACCAACTTGGGTGCAAACGAGTCACGGTGGCAGATGGCATAGAACAAGCCGTGGTTGTACAACATAGGCACCAACTGCTCGATGCACAACAACAACAAACCCAAGGACACTAAGGTCAAGATCACGTTGTGTAACTGGAACAAGAAGTTCAACTTGAGGGCAGGCACCTTCAACTTGGCCAACAACGCACGGCCCCCGAAAATGACGATATAGTATCCCACGATGATGGAAATGGCATGGTAACCGTTAGCCAAGAAAGTTTGGTGGTGAATAAACTCAAAGTCTTCAGCAGGGTAACCGACGGCCTTTTCAAACCCGGCACTGAACAATGGCCATAAGTGTACTCCGAACGGATGCTCGATACTAGGGATATCCACAGTCAACATGGTGAAGAGGAAGTCACTGGTGAAGGAAAAAAGTGCTTGCCAGCTTGTTTATATGGACGACGAGAATTGGGCCCTGCACGCTGGCTGCGAATCAGTCCTCGGTTCCACGCCAGATCCAGGAACCGACCGGGTATTGATACCAGTTCATTGACGGATCGACAACCGGTAGTTGTGAAAACTCTCCGGCCATGTGCTTCGAGAGGTGATACCGCCTCAGGGGTGTCTCTTCTGCCACCCAGGCGCTTCCAGTACTTGGTGTTGGGGGCCTGTCGCGTGAAATGTTGGGAGTCGCGCTGCTTCGTGAAATTTGGAAGTTTTGACACCAAAACATCACTGAGCCTGCACGAGAGTGGCAGTTCCAGCAAAAGGCTCTAGCCAGGGCAACGCCAGAACAGCGGTGGGTTCCTGCATCCACCAGGAGTCGAAAAATCTGCAAGTGGAATTTTGACACATTGGCAGGTGAGCACGTGAGCCCCAGCGAATCTGTCACACGAAGCAGAACAGAACAACAGAGTCGCGTGTTAACCGAGGAAAGGCTGCTGTTGAAGGAGTATGGCATTGGATTTTGGTATCCACAAGCTTAACATACGGCCCTACCTTTCAAATTGGTGATAAAGGGAACGGGAACACCTTTTGCTCTGCTAGCTTAGAGCATCCCATACAAAGAAGGGTACAATAAACACGCAACAAGGCCAGGACATGGAACCATATAACAAAGCAAAACTGAGGCCTTTGGCTGAACAATTATCTATCGTTGGAGTTCTGGGCGCTGTAAATGTCTAGCCATGTACGCCCCAGGACCCTCCAATCCGGCCGCTAAGCCCCACCAGAACATTAGACTTCTCGTACCACTACATCAGACAATAGCAAGAGGGCTGGAATTAGTGGCTAGACGCTGCCAAGACTTGGCGATGGGGCGCGGTTGTTTGAAGTCAGCATCAGCGGTTCTTTGAAGTAAGTTACTAAGTATTCTTTGCATCTAGCCAATGGCGACTATTTCGGACCAGTCTAGCCCCGAACCTCCAAAGTTCCCCTTGCAAAATCTAACTAATAACCTCCTCTACACTTTCCTTCTCTTTTGGCAGCCGCTGTCGATATACGGCAATTTTGCCGCCCGAACAACCAGCCCAAAAAATGATACCCATCCCAGCAGACACCCTAGTTCCGGTAAAGAGGGATGAAGACGACTCGGGAGTAGTTTTCTCGTTTATTTCTCCAGCATTTAATTTTTGCATTAATTTTTGCAGCTGCCAACAAAATCTGGTAGCTTCGAAAGACAACAAACCACTTCTAAAGAGACTCTAGAAGCCGACACCAGCAGTTTGAAGCAGATATATATCCTCGCCCTTTGTTCTTGTATCATTATTGTGCCGTTCTAGTAGTGTTATGCGTGAATCGTCTAATACGGATCACAATAACACTTTCGTCCTTCTCCAACTATGACTACTAGCCTGTACTACACTGGAATACTAAAACATACATGACTATAAACAAAAAACATACGCTAAACTGGTGCTTTTGGTTTCAAGTTCAAGAAATCAATCGAGACGATTATATCGTACCCGTTCTCCTCACACGCATACATGGCTTCGTGTTCATTCGAGTGTAAGAAACGAATGTTTTCACCTACCAATGCTCTTAAAAGATTGGTGGAATGCAAGTCCCTGATCTCAATAAACCCTGGCTCAAACGAGAGAATGTATGGGAAGAAAAGAGCCACGTTTTGTGGATTTCCTTCCCAGTATAAATCCCAGTGATGGTTAGTTCTCCAACCATTACGGTTAATTAAGAAAACAAACTCTGCATAACAAACCAAGAATTCGCGCCCCAACTTGTGGATTGCCAACGGGGTCACTGACTCTCTCTGTATGGCGAAGTCCAAAGAAGGGTCCGCTTCATCCAAAATTGGCTCCTTCATGCCCCTTTCAAGCGACAAAATTTCGAATCCCTTGGAGCACCCAATACAAAGTTGGGTCTTTAAGAATGAAATGGAAATCGGGTCGGAGGAAAACGTCACTTCTTGAATATCATACTTTTTGTTCTTATTTCTTTGTTGGTTTCTGTCGAATGGGTTAACTGGTTCAAAAATACTAACGGAATGTGTGCCACCTGTTTTTGCACCACAGACCAAGAGCCTTCCATCGCAAACACCAATCTTAAAGAAAGCAATATGATCCATAATTAATTTTCCAGATTTGGTGTTCTTCACATGATCCAATGAGTCAGTACATGACAAGTCAAACTCATATAATGCCTTGTCACTCAATACCAATAGCTTGGAATATTCGACCAAAACTTCGATTTGTGTTACGTAGGTCTTACTGATGACCATGGTAGGATCCGAGCAAATCTTCTCATTGGAAGTGGTACTGATGGAACGGACAGTGGAAACCCATATACCCGAGTCTGTACCATAGAGTAATTTCTTACCACCATAGCATGGAACTGCACAATTGATCTTATTATTACCGTGAAATCTTCTTGTTTCAAACTTGTACATGGAGAACAAATCGTTCTGTTCAATAAGCTTCTTTTGCTGGTTATGCACCTGTTGCAAGACTTGATTTTGAATAGTTAAGTCTTCGGCAAACAAACTGGCATGTACTTGGTTGCTTCCAAGTCCTAAGAAGTTCAACTGAAGTTTTGCGTTAGAGTTCGAACTAGTTCCAATATAATTAGTGGTTTCTACCTTGTTTTTAATTCCAGGATCAGCCAACAAGGAACCACGGAATCTATTGTTAATAACCGATCTCATGGTTGGAATTTCGTACCCACTATTAACAAATAATAAAGGCAAGTAGATCGGTTTCTCAAAAACCTTGTGTTGTTCCCTCTTATTTTGAATCTTGTGCTTCACAAGCAAGAGTGCATGTTCAAACATGTACAAATCAATTTTTTCATTATCTCTCTTTCTGTTCAAAGTGACTTGATAAATAATTCTATGGTTATAGTTCAACTTGAAGTTAAACTTATTCTCCAATGTTTGCTTACCGAGCAATCTATGCAAAACCATCACCTTATGACGATCAGTACTTTCACCTGTTTGAATATTAATTTTTGCTAAAAGCTTCTCAATCTCTTCCTTAGCCTTTAGTAAATCCTTATGATCTGCTGATTTTGGATTAGTATTTTTTATGATACCAGATAACAATAATTGGTATCTTGCAGGTCTTTGGACACCCTTAATCAAAAAGGACGACAAATCTTGCTTTCTAGACTCCGGTTTTTTCTCAATAGCATCTAAGAATCTGGCATACTTCATATTTACCTGCTGCTGTCTTTCGTGTTCGAAACTAGCAAAGACCTTATTACCAGAGTATCTAATGAATGGTTCAAAATTACCCACGTAGTCTAAGAACACATCTGCAATCGATTCAATCACTGGTTTCTGAAGTTGTTGTCTTCTTGTTAATGCTTCGCTGAACCCCTTGGCCAATCTCAATAAATCATTTACACCTCCAAAAACAGTGTGTATAAATGTCTCTCTTTGGTGTTCAGGAATGATGTTATTCGCTGGGTTTCTCAAAGGCATGATGTAAAAGTCAGTCATGAATTCCAAATCCTTGACGTAATCTCTTTCGGTATAAATAAACTCATAAATCAATTCTTGTCTTGTTTTCTCTTGTTTATCAAGATTGTCCAAGACGGATTGTGGTACTGTCTTGTGCCACAATGTTTCAGTTTCCTCCTTGTCATGCAATGATAACCTAGACACTGCACGTTTCAAGCCTCCTTGAGGTTTCAAGTTGAGGCGTGCTTGCTGTTCCAACCTTCTCGGACAGGCAATACTGTAGCACAATCTGTTTCTTGTACAAGTAGGTGAGTAACAATCTGTCAAAATTGTGAACACACCGTTAACGCCTGTTTGTTGAGTAGCACTCAATTCCTTTTGGGCACCCATGTTGGAAAGAGAAGTACTGCTTCCCTCTAATCCCTGGATCAAGGCAATGTTTGTTTCAATAGGATATGGCAAACTTGCATGCGGAGGGAGTTGTTGCAGAAGAACATGATCTTGTAACGCTTGTTGTAGTTGAGTGTTATTTTGGGCATTGTCCACAAATGAGCCGTGTTTAGAGGTGCCATTGCTTCCAGTTTGTCCTTCATCATGGTAAAACTCAACATCGCTATATACATGGTTGAAAGCATAAACTTCATGAACTGAGTCTCTTAGTCTATGATTATAGGTAACATCATGGAATAATTTCTGAGCATCCAAGGATCTTCCCAACAATAACGCCAAATTACGGTCATTTGTTCTAATAATTCGACAGATGATATCAACGGACATTTTCCCAGTGAACGTGTCGTGGTATTCCAATCCGTCTTTGGTATTGATGGTCAATATGATTGCCTCCTTAAAAACCTTTGCTACTTCTGAGAGCATGGCCGGATATACCGCCGGCTTCTTTGGCCCTGCTGGAGCCAATGCTTTTGACACCGTGGCTGCTGAAACGTTTCTTTGGAGCTTTCCAGAATTAGACAAAGATGCAGAAGAGTTCATCTTCTTGGTGGAAAGCGAGGAAGAAAGCTTACTGATTGACGTGAAAGACCTGGATTTGGATGATAACGAAAACGTGTGATGTACCGATGAGGTGGAGCCACTTCCACTGGAGGAGGGCCTATGACTTTGAGATGACTGGTTCAGGGGGCTTTGCAGTTGGTTTTGGGGAATTGAATAGAGTCTTTGTGGCTGCGGTTGGGGGTACTTCAACGAGGTAGATGACAATGACTTTGTTCTCGACTCGCTGGGTACTCCGTTGGGGTGCGCCTGACTCGGAGTAGAATTGAAGTTGGGAATATTAGAAGTGGACATGATTCTTCTCTTGTCGCCACCAGGCTGGTTGGAGGGAGGATATGGTGGATGTGCGGGTTTGGGTTGTCTACGATCTTGCTGGGACGGAGGCTGGATATAAGGCACGTTGCTGTAGCCATTTGTAGGATATTGGGATGGAGGTTGTGGTTGGTGAGGTGGTTGGTGAGGTGGTCTGGCGTGGCCAGCAGGACCAACAGGGCCTGGCCCCGCCTGGCGGTACTGATTGGGGCGAGGGAAGCTCTCCTGCGAGGCCACACGTCGGTTGTAGTGGTTTTGCGGATCGGTGTTGCGCAAGGAATGGGACTGGTTTGCGCGCGGATCCAACGACGGGACCTTGTAGGGGGAACTGAGTGCCGACGGCGACGACGACGCTGGGTATGGGGCGTTTGAAGGTGGGTGGTGGAAGTCCTGGATGGAGTATGGCGAGTCCACGTCTGCGAACAGCTGCTGGTTGACGGGAGTGACGGGACTGCGCTGGTAGCCTGCGGGAGGCTGATCGTGTCGCTGGGGGGAGGGAGCGTTGTTGTGGTGATGCTTCAGTCCCGACGGCTGGTCGGGGTAAGTGGAGGTGGTGGTGGTAGTAGTGGGATTGTTGTGGTTGTGGTTGTGGTTATGGCTGTGATGGGGCTGCAGGTCGAAGTATGCCTGTGGCAACAAATGAGCGGGAATGTTGACTGCCTGAGGCAGGTGGACGTAGTCTGTGGGTGGCTGGAAGGGCCTGGATCTGTCGTGGGACATCACGAAGGCAAACGACTGTGGAAGGGTCAGCGGCTAATGGAACGAGCCACGGAAACGGAGGCAACGGCTAGGTGGGGCTAGGCTGGAATACAATGAGGGTACCCACGGGGCGAGGACACACACACGCGCTTGTACGGTGAACAGGGGCCAGCGATCCGAAGTTATGGATGGTGGCACGGTGACACCAGACGGGTGGAAAGGGAGCCGACACGGACTTGTGCAGGACGGGAGCTGGCTTTTTCACGGGACAGCGGCACTTCCTGGACGGGTGTGCTTCACTTGCAATTGGGTGATGGATGGGTCAAAGTTGTCAAGCGTGGTGAAAGGGAATGGACTGGTGGAGGATGTAGTGTGAGTTGGGTCGACAAAGGCGCGGCCTGTATACAGGTGTTGCGGCGGGGAGGTGCGGTGGTGGAAGGGGGTTAGCCACGTAGCGAGCGTAGCGAGCGTAGTGCGAGGGAGCGTAGTGCGGGTGAGTTAGCGAGAGTGAGCGTAGCGAGGGAGCACAGGGAGTTACAAGTGTAGAGGGGAGAGGGGAGAGGGAAGAGGGAAGAGGGAAACGAGCAGCGAGGATAGAATGAATCGATTCTCGCTAGCTTACTTCTTCTCACCGTGTCAGAGGCATGCTGGATGGAGGACTTGCGTATGTAGCGAGAGAAGTGCGCGTAGAGAGCAGGGAGAGGATAGTGAGGCAGTGAGTGTCGCGGAAGCCTAGTGAGGATAGAGAGAATAGAGCCATCGAGGTCTCACATAGCGATTGCTTCTTCTTTGTTGAAGAAAGGCTTCCTTCCTGGAGTGTTGTCGCCACAGCGTTGTCGATCCGTGACCTTGTCTTTGGCTGTCTTGGAGTCTGGCTGCTGTGGACCGAATAATTCGGAGATATCTTTTTTAGCTTACCGATGAATTGCCCGTTTACCGGGGCAGCTCATTACGAATTTCATGTTCTCGTAGGAACACATATTGTACCTTCAACAGAAACTTGTGCTTACCACGAGTTCCTATTCGGAGCTTCAATTACAATGCTCTTCCGAGTCTTACGGTATTCCCTCGGCCATTCGGTCGCTGACATGGTGCGCGTAGTCGTTTGGCCAACTCAAAGTATTCTAGTAATTCTCTATGTCTCCAGAGTGGGACTTTGCAGGGGTGGTGTGGTCATTCGAGAGTGACAAATTGTTTGGTAACCAAAATACGTTTTATAAGATCCAACCGATTTTGAAAGAAATTATACAATTTTGGGAGGAGGGTTTTACCAGCGGATGCCCGAGAAGTGCCAACTTCTCTAGGCACACAAAAAGCATATTTTTCATTATTCGATTTCTTCAAGCTGAATGTACCATTAATGCAAGTTTTTCGTTTCACCAGTATAGTCAATAAGTATACTATCTATAATTATTGGGGTATAATTGATAATCAGAAGTGACTTCACCTTCACAACAAACCACAGGCTAATTTTTCTTAAAATATACAGATAATCAAGAATCATTTCATAATACCTCAAGAGGAGAAGAAACGCTACAAGTTCACTGGTTTTTCAGAATAAAACGTGTTCTTGGCCCACTGGGAAATCCTAGCTCGATACTGTTTCAATAATTAATAATTCATTCAGACTTCGTACTTCTTGCTTTTGAGCTAGCTACGATCCTTACTACTTTTCAATTCTCTGCAACTCACCTATTTGTGATGTGTAACTCACCACACAGCGATTCCCTCGGTATTAGTAATCAATGGCTAATCAGGACAGATCTTACGGCCCACACAATACTAGTAAAACTATAATGTATCATTTGTCAGACGCCGTACCGTAGTCTACTCACATAGTACCGATCACGGCCAATCAGGACAGCCTAACGGTTCAACTCGTACGAGTTCGTCATGTTTCATATATTGTACGAGTATACCCCAAGACACTGAAACTGGTACTAATCTGCTCACATGACCGCAGTCACCTGATGCCTACCTCAACTCAACTCAACACTCCCACCAGCACTCTGCACCACGTCATGCCTGCCTACCACTCCACCTTCCTCGACGACGCCGCCGACAACAGACTCGTCGGCAACGTGGTGCTTCTCCCCATCCACACCAACTTCAGGGGCCCCTCGTACCCCCCTCAGCAGGACTACGACATCATTGATGAAACCCTCGATCTCTTCAGAGCCAACTCGTTCTTCCGCAACTTCGAGATCAAGGGCCCAGCAGACCGTCTTTTGATCTACGGCATCCTCTTCGTCAGCGACTGCTTGTCCAAATTGAACCGTTCTGTGAACTTCAAGGACGCCACCCGTATATTGAACAACTTATCGTTGGATTCGTTCAGCTTGCCAGGAGACGTCGGATTCCCATTGAACTCGTTGTACCAGCCACCAGCCAATAAGAACGAGGCTGACTTGTTGAGGTCCTACTTGCAGCAGTTCAGACAGGAATTGGCCGAGAGATTGTTGAAGAAGCTCTACGAAGACGACGCAAACGCCCCCAGCAAGTTCTGGTTGGCGTTCACCAAAAGACGGTTTATGAACAAGAGCTTATAAGCTATTTAGATAATGTACGATGTTGAATAGTCTATGTAGGTCGGTGGAAGACCACGGCCCGAGTACACGGAGTAGTGTCGACCAGTTTTGAGATCCAGCCTCAATTGCTCCTTGGTCAATTGCTGAACTTTGTCAATTCGTTGCTCCTTGGTCAATTGACGAATCCATTGTCACGTCAAGTTCTCATGTCTGACATGATTATTGTGAGTTGTAGACACTGAGTGAAGTGCAATAGGGGTAAGTTGGGTTCGAATGGTGGTGGCATCCTCCGCGATCTCCTCTATTCTCTCTCCGAGTATTCCTACCCGAAGCGCGGGATCCATATCCCCACCCGATTGCTGTACTCTTCGTATTGTTCTCCATACATCTTCCTTAAGTACCACTCCTCGACCCGGATCCGCACCCCGAAGAACTTGCCCAAAATCAAGAGACTGCCAGCTAAGCTGACCCAGTTCCGCAAGTACACCTGGATTCCAATGCCAAACAACCAAAAACCGTTGTAGCTCGGATGCCGCATTACCGAGTATACTCCAGTGGTGATCAAGCCACGAGGGCCCTCAGTCTCGATCACATGAGAGAATGATTCGCCGCATGTCTTCATGGCAAGACTGCGGATGGCAAGCCCACCTACCACCATGGCCATTCCTGCGACCGTGGACCCAGTATGGGCTTCGGGAACCCCCAGCCACTTCATCCAGGCGCTTCTTTTGATCAAGAACTCCCACACCGTGAGCAATTGCACCATCCAAAACTCGAAATTGCCCTTGTTGCCGTAAATGAGAAACGACCGACTATTGACCCTGGACAGCTGGAACAAACACGTCATCATGAATTCGTTGAGGAAGTAGTACGGCATCACCAACCCGTAGACAACCACAAGGGGGGCGTATTTGGGTGGGTTCACTACCACAAGCAAGGTAAGTGAGATGCCCATGGCGGCTCCGAGTGCTAGCGCCACGGCGACGATCTCGTGTAAAGGATTCTTGTGTGGGTCGTACATGTTAGTGGCATATCCAGGAACTAGGAAGGTATCCGTGGGTATTTATGGCCTGGTGCTGATGGAGATCTGGCGGTAGAAGAGGCAGTAAAAGTGGTGATAATTTTCGCACTGTTGCAACCAATTACTACAACGAGCAGTGGCAATAGGGACTGCACAGTGTGTGTTTCAGAAGCTCTAGGGTCGTTTTCCGAGCAAAATGTTGCCGTTATCTTGTAATTCTGGGTTGGAATTGGTTTTAAGTGACATGGTGTGCTATTTGAACGTTTACAGGGCGAGTTGTGACAGTTCAGAGCTCGTTCTAAGCGAAGAGTCCTACTACGAGAATCCCAAAGATTAGCGAGGAATTATCGCACTTTCCCACTGGAATAGTGAGCAAGTGGACAAACTCTCGCTAAATGTAGTGCGAAGATTACTGATGAGAATTGGAAGTTAAGTATGCTTGTGAAAATTGGATAGGTTGGAAAGGAATGACGATAGCCCAAGGGTAACGAAAACCAGTACCCTGAGGAAAAAGCGAAGTCTTTATTATAATCCATAAATTTAAGTAAGAGGAATGTGCCTTGACTGAGAAACCAACCCCGAATTGTAAGTACAATCATTCGGATTGCATTGGCCTCATGGTTAAATTCAGGTTGCTTGATTGAAATCAAAAAACAAGGCTGTATCCTTTTGTCTATTCATTTGGATCAGTTTCCAAGAACTGTTTACCAGTGATGCACGCCCTAGAAGAATTCCCGTTCCCAATGTTAATTTGGACATTGCAAGTATTCTTTTACATCTTGGCTTTGCGTATAGTCAAGATGCAACTACAGATGTATACCTCCATGCTCTTTCTGAACTTAATGCCTTGAATTGAGAAGAAGAGCGATCTTATGGAACGCAGACTTTTGAGATGAAGGTTATACACTATCAAGATACTTCACAATTAATTCCTGGCGGACACAATATGGAATCATAATCCATCCTAAATGTGTTACTTGATAAATCCCTCAACGTTTCGAGTTACCTCAGGTGGATCTCCAAGCGGTCCTCAAAGTTTGATAAGCCCCACATCAATGACTCTGGGGCGGCTCTAGTGCTGATACCTGGGTGATAGTTAGCCATAACCAGCCAAATTTGGAAATGGATATAGCAATCCATTAATAGCACAATCTGTTTCAAAAGTAGGAAACTAATCGAGTTATCAATAAATACTTGTGCTCGATTGGAGCAGTGGAAACTAGATATAAACTAATAAAAATATCACTAAAGCTAGCCAAAGAACTTCTTAGTAATTCAGTCAGCATCAATTAATATTACCAAGTTGTTGATCTCGAGTAAAACTCCCAATTAGAAATCTTTTTCATCTGGTTTGGACTACATCTTTGGAATTACCAAGCTATTCCTATGCGGCTATTATCAGCTCTAATGCTCACGATACAATGTTTCCCACCAAAGCGACCTCCGATAGCTCCATTTCCACCAGCCCCACCTACTAAAACCTACCGCCCTCCACTGTTTTCCACAGCCACCTTTAACCTAGTCCATTTGCACCCACTGCACGTGACTAGATATCCATAAATCATTTCGTCACCATCTCATTCTCTACCATGAACTATGCCAAATACAACCCCATAGAGGTCAACCTTGCCACGGTTGTGGTCAAGGCACTCATCCTCGGGGCTATATTCCTGGCCAACGCCATCTTGGCCCTTTTCAACCATCTCGACATCATTTCGACACCGCTCCAGCTCCATTACTATCTCATGTTCTGGTGCATTTTCCATACCCTCGAGTTCGTGACGACGTGTCTCTTCAACAACTCCCAGGTCGACGATGACTCGTTCATCTTGGAGGACTGGGATATTCATAGCATGAACATTCTTTGCATATCAGAGTTCGCAATCAGATGGTACTGGTGGAGCCAGAACCCATGGAAGATTACCTGGTACGCGGTTGGATTGGTGGCTCTTGGCCAAATCTGTCGCACCTTGGCCATGTACACTGCTAGCGAGTCGTTCAACCACTACATTCAACGTGAACATAACGAAAAGACTCACCAGCTCGTTACCACTGGTATATACTCGGTGTTGAGACACCCCAGCTACTTCGGGTTTTGGTGGTGGTTCGTGGGGCTCCAATTGTTCATGAACAATACTGTAACCTTTGCTGTGGGTGGCTACGTGTTGTGGAACTTTTTCAATAAGAGAATCCAGTTCGAAGAAGGCTTTTTGGTGAAATTCTTCAAGGATGCCTACATAGATTACAGAAAGAGAACCATCACCGGAATTCCCTTTATCAAGTGAGCACGCCACTGGTACTGGCATCTACATAGTAAACGAATTTTCAATTATGAAGTAACCCATTTGTCTTACTTATTAAAGGGCTTAATTCGTGGATTCATTCTGGGCTAGGCAATGAGTTTGCTGATTCTTTTCTTGAGTCTGTAGCTAGTGATTTATAACTGAGCAATATGTTAGTCACGTACCCTACACTTGACATTACCTTTAATTTATAATTCTATATATCTATTGCTTCTTTGGATTCACACCCAAACCATTGAGGTTTCTGTACATCTTGACACCGTTGTCTCCGTCGACAAATTGGCACCATCTACCGGACTTCCAGAGAGAAACCCACATGTTTTCGTCGGTGTGCATGTAGTGCTCACCCATAACCTTCTTTATAGCCTCACTGGCTTCTCTAGCGTTGTAGAAAGGAATTCTGGAAACGTAGTGATGCAAGACATGGGTTTCGATGATGTCGTGGAAGATGTACTTACCAACAAAGCCGAACTCACGGTCAATGGTACAGGCAGCACCTCTGGCAAAGTTCCATTCGTGGCCTTCGTAGTGAGCAAGTTGTGGGTCCGAGTGCTGCAAGTAGGTGATGAAGACCAACCAGTGGTTGACGAACACGTAAGGCAAGAACCAGTTGACCAACAAGTTGAAGCCACCGTAGTTCTTGTACCAGGAGTAGAGAACGGCAAACTGGGCAATGATACCGATGTCGGACATCACCACGAACCAGTAATCCTTCTTGTCGAAAATGAGCGAGGAGGGGTTAAAGTGGTTGGTCTTGATGGTGGAGGCACCAGGGAAGTGTTGACCGGAGGAGACATTGGTGAGCAAGTAGGAGATCCAGCCCAAGGTTTGCTGGAAGATCAAAGAGACCAAGGTGTAGAGAGGGGCATCACCAACCAACTCTTCCAAGTCGTGGGCGCCCTTGGACTCCAAGAAACGTTCCTTGGTCTTGGGCACGAAAACCATGTCTCTGGTGAGATGGCCAGTAGCCTTGTGGTGCTTGGAGTGGGAGAACTTCCACGAGAAGTAGGGAACCAACCAGTAGGAGTGCAACACCCATCCGACGGAGTCGTTGACCCATCTGTAGTCGGAGAACGCCTGGTGGCCACACTCGTGGGCCAACACCCAGAGTCCAGTACCGAGCAACCCTTGGACGTACACGTAGGCGGACCAGGCGGCAAATCGGACAGCCTTGTTGGGCAACTGGTGGATGTAGTTGTTGGCGAGGTAGCCGAACACCACCATCCAGAAGATGTCGCGTGCCACGTAGTACAACGACTCAAAAACCCTGCGCTCGTAGCAGTGGGCGGGGATCGCCGACAAGATGTCCTTGATGGTGAAGTCAGGCACCTTGAAGGTGTTGCCGTAGGCGTCCTTGGCGGTGAGGCCAGAAGTCAAGCCATCGGACTGCTTGAAGCTGGCGACGTTGCCTCTCTTCTCGATGCTGGAGCTGGACTGGGCACCTGCGCTGCTGGCGCTGGCGAATCCACTAGAAGCCACTTGTGACATGGTATCGGTAATTGGTATCGCTGGGGGTTGCAGCGCCTGGTGGGCTTTGGCGGCCTTATATAGGGATCAGAAAAAGAACCCGAAACCCGCTGCAGGAATGGACCCAGAAAGGGGTCTGCCGCACCACACCGTTTCTTTTGGGAAAAGAAATCAGGCGACGCCAGCAGAGCCACTGAGCTCACGGGGGGATGGCCACGGGGCGGCACCAAGGGGGCTAGTGGGAGAGGACGGTGGGAGAAAACATCCGTGCTACAGTAGTTTGGGGGTCTGGTGGAAGCACTGCCCAACAACGCTGGCGAGACATCATCGCGAGCCCAAAAATCGACGGCACCAAACTGTTGGGGGCACGTGAGGACGATGAGATCTTGGCAGCACGAGAAATCAGATAAGCAGACGGGAAATGGACAGAAATTAGTTGGTATGACGATTACTGGATAGATAGAGGATGGCACGGGGATGTACCAATGTGGAGACAAGCTGTGCAGGCACCACGGAGTTGGGCCGGAGTAAATGCACGTGTGATGTGATGGCTTCGGGTGGGAGGAGCGTAATTGTGCAGGAGAAGACTGGTCAGGAGATCTGGCAATACAGCGACTGTACAGGAGACTGGGAGCCTATACAGGAGAGACTATACAGGAGATTATATACGAGTATCTACTCCAGTTTTCTACTCGACTCAGGAGATGATATGCACGTCACCGGAGGATTCGCGGAGATTCTCCGACACAACGGAGAAACTACCACGTAGACGTGGGCTTGCCCTGTTGGCTCCAAATGGAAGGCTATGCTAGATTCATGGGGACTGTGCTAGATTCGTAGGATTTCTCCCTACGCCTACTTTTAATTTAATATCGGTGGTGATTTGTGGTTTTCGCAGCAACCTGTTACTCCATTTTTGGACCGAGGAAAGTGTCTGCCGTGGTAGACAACTACACGTGCCAGGGACATTTTGCAGGAATAGTACCAAGAATTTCTACACTCGGAAATGAAAAATTACCGTACAGGAAATGCAACAGAATGCTGACCACTCTCAAATGGAGCATAGAACACACTTGAATTTCTTCTCCGAAAGCATGCCACCAGTGCCTCTTCTGGGAATAAGTGCTTACTTCTCTAGGAAATAATCCACATGCCACGCGCAACCCTCCTGTGTATACTCGGCTTATTAGTGGGCTCTTTAGGACGTCTTGGCGCATTCCAATCTGAAGTCGATAAAGGAGGACTCATTGATGACATCAGATTATAATTCAGATTGCAATGTGGATCACGAGTGGTTCGGGCAATCTTCTCGATTATGTCCCGATGTGGACGATTTGATAGTCGATTTCGATAGCAGTGCCATCACTTCTTATCTGCGTGACTGTTGATATGTCTCTTCGACTGTAGTTTCTTCTCCTGTTCTCTCCCCGAATGCTAAAAATTCCAGAAAGCTTACCTTGCTTTTCTCGCATACTCAATTTGGTCCGAACCTTAGCCAGTTTCATCCCGCCTCCATCGGCTTATCACAGGCAGGACAGGAGCCTTTGATCTGGTGACGATTCCCCGCAAAAGTAACCACAGCTGGAGCACACACTGCATTTAGTAGCCCTTACGCGGGCCAGTTTCGACATTTGAACCAAGCTTCCACTTACAAGATAAATTTCCAATTTAAGACATTGAGGTATAGGGAAAGTTCGCTTCCGTCGACTTGAAAATATCCCTCTGAATTGGACAGCTTAGCACCAGTAGCCAATATGTAGTATTAGCTTCTGTACTCTAACAACTGTGGCCTAATGAAATAATGAATACGCAATTCAACTATCAGTTGGTTGACTTTTCCTCTACTACATCTATCTGGATTACCTTAAAGCCAACTCACTGTGATCTCCTTCTTGAATCACGTCAGAATCCTGTACTATTATTGTGAAAGACTTAAATAATTCCTCGAACAATATTAAATGGTTTGTACTGTACGATGGCCCTTTGTTGGTGGTAAGATAAAGATACCAATTGGAATATAACCTCAATAATAGAAGAGGCCAAGTAAGTCCCAAAAAGATGCTACAGTAGGCGAAGATATTCTAACTGCAGTTACTCTGCATTAAGAGGCTATTCAAATGATGCTAGTAGAAACAATGCGATCACAGATCCACCATTTCCCTTATCTAATGTTGGCTAATCTGGTGTTGTTCATATGAACATTGATATCCAATCTATCGGCGTCATCCTCAATTTTCTTCAATCTGACGTTCTGACTGTCCACCTCTTCTCCCATGGTGTTGGCAGTGTTTTTCAACTTCTTGGCAAAGAGATGGATTTGATCCAAGTTGCCGGCCAACTCCTTCTCCATTTCGTCGTCTTCTGAATCGTTCTCGAACTGGTATCTTCTGGCGGCTGCCAAATCACGCTCTCCCTGGTACTTTTGATGGGTCTCGTTGTTGGTGGCATTATTGGTGATTCCTTGCTTGAGTCTCTGCTCACTGGCATACATCTCCTGTCTATTAGTTTCTCTCATGTACTTCTCCTGGGCCTTGGACGTCTTGATTTGTTCTTCCTGTTGACGCAAACGGGACTTCTTATTGAAGGGATTACCGTAGGCCGGCACGAAAATAGACCGGTTCAATCTCTTCAACTCCTTGACCTTGGCATCGGCGATCTGAGTTTGGGTGTCTGCCAAGAGCAAGTTCTGTTCGGCGTTGTATAATCTTTCCGACTGTGATCCCAACATACCCAAGGTATTGGTACCCGAAGCGTCAGCCTCCTGTGCCATTCTCAAGGTATTTCTGGTCAGTGCCAACGACTCCTGCTTGACGAAGCGAATGTCTTGTTTGATGGATTCCACTTCTTCGTCCTCGGAGTTGACCTGCTCTTCTTCCGGCAACTCGTCGAGGTTAAGGTTGAGGTCATCTTCTGGGTCTTCGTTGAGGTCGAGCGTCGACTCGTCGTCGTGCTGGGGTCTCCTGGCAAGCCTAGTCAGTCCGACATCGAGGTTGGTGGGCATTCTATTCAAATCAAGCGATTCCTCGTCGTCTGCGGGTCTTGTTCTGGATGTGGTACGTCCGTATGGACTGGGTGCCGATCCAGCGCCTGGTGTTCTTGCGGAAGCATATGGATTACCTTGCGAGGTGTTGGTCCTCGACGAGGGCTGGTTTTGTCTTGCTTTTGGTGCATCATAGGGGTTCTGTCTTGCTGTGGGAGCTCCATAGGGGCTCTGAGATGACCTTGTGGCCGTCTCATACGGGTTCTGGCCGTTCGAACTGCCGGAACCGTAGGGCAGGCTGTTCTGGCTCTGGGTACCATAGGGGTTGCCAGCGTCAGCACCTCCACCGTATGGATTTCCGCCCTGAGCTTGCTGGTCCTGAGAGTAGGGATTGGTGCCGTTGTCGCCCATGTTAGCGCTGGCGTAAGGGTTGACGGGAGCGATGCCAGGCTTGCCTGTGTTTCTTTCCTGGGCGTACTGTCTGAAGGCACCAAACTTTTCCTCCCGACCCGATCCGCCCTTGGTGGTGATTCCCGCATGGGTTAAGTGGTTACGGATCTCGGCTTCGGTTGGTTCCTTCCTCAGGAACATCTTTTTGATACCCATGATGGCTGGTGTGTTGTAGAATGTGGAGACAGCGTATTCACAAATGGTTTTGGTGGTGGTGCTGTCTGCAGGACTAAGCGATTGGGCGGTGCAGGTCATCCAAGCGGGCATGACAGGACGGAAGAGGAATGGGAGGGCGAAGAGAGGACAGAGCGGGAATACACGAGGAACTGATATTTGCCGAGAGAGTAGTACGGATGTTACTGTTTTCTGAGAGGGTAGACTGCTGGAAGATATGAATAGGTAGTTAAGTGATAAGTCACGTGTTGGGTACTGTTCTTCCAGTATCATTTAGAAGATCATCTCAGTGGATCGTTCCGAAGATCACTTAGCAGAGGAGATCATACAACGTTCTTCTGGTGGGAATAGGGCTACTTGTCGTGAATTTTGGAATTCTTGGGGCATTCATTTTTTTGCGGACTATCCGTAGTAATCTGTTCACGAGAAGGTGATAGGAAGTGATGATACGGATTTTCGTTTTTGAATTCAATAACGAAGAAAATGGAGGGAAGTCGCCAATCTGGACTTTTTTCCCTTGTCGCTGCTCTATCGACGAATAACTGCTTGGTCTCGTAGCAGTCACTTCATATTCCCGATAATAGAATATTTTGTCTGCGGTATGCATTCATTTTGTGCAAGTGAACCGTTTTAGGAATTTGGATAGATAAGGTGGTACGACCCAAAATTATCGTTAATTATCCGATGGATCAAGAAATCTCTTCATTGTTGTTCCCTTCGCATACATCGAATTAAATAGCAGTGATTAAACGGAACAGAAATTATCTCCTCCATCTATTTGCCCTCAAGCTAGGTTAAATGTTCTAGGTTGGGGATTGCAGACTTTCATGGTGTTACAGGACAGGTAACTAACAATACTCTTTAGATCGTGGGTTACTCTGAACTTTGCAAACAATCTGAGGCTGGATGCAACTCGTAGATTCGAACACGTATTGAGCCAAGTGTCACCGAAGGAGCTCGTTCTAACCACAAGTAGAGCACACAGAATTTCCCCCAAGATTAGTGACAAAACCCAGCCAAGCTGGGTAATATATTTGCAATTACTTATATTTGAGTACTGAATAACAGTTAGTTTCAGGTCATATGACAGAATATTCTTCATCTATATCTACCACTACAAAGAGTGGACTAACATTCTGAATCTGAATTTTCATTTCGAAAATGAGGTTCGAATGCGAATAAAGATGCAGCCATTGCAGTCCCATCTGCACACTTTGCCATGCACTCTGGTCCAAATATTAGCATGGAAACTCGTTTAAAGGGTCCGGAGTCTCCTGTCCATCAAAATACTGAAAGTACCAGCCTGGAAATTTTAATCCAAAGTACACCGAGTCTCCCAGAGTTCCCATAGCCATACTTTAGCCAGCACCATCAACAGTTCTCCAAAAACAGCAATCTTCTGACACGTCCAAGCCGCATGGACTGTCACTGGTTACGGCGAATAGCCAACCGATTTCGCAGCCACTCCTAAAATAACCATCACACTATAAAGTTAATCTGCTACAATAAGCTAATCTGCTACAATAAGCTAATCTACTACAATTGAGCCAACCGACTCTAATGATATTCCTTCCCCCTCTCCATCTCATCTCCCATCTCCTGCCATCGCTCCCGCCCCACCGCAAATCGCTTCTCCGTTCGCCGGCTCCGGCTCCCGCCAAAACCCTCGCACCCTGGGCAACGGCTGAAGTCTGCCCCGCACTGCACCGGGCACAGCACCATAGCCTACTATCACTGGACCTACACCTGCTGCTATAGGCCAGGCCACCCGCGATTGTCCGTTTGTGCACCCGTCCAGCTACCCCTCGTCCCCTCACGGCTGATATCCGCTCCTGTCCGGGCCTGTGCCAGATCAGAAAACCGCGACATCGCGACATCACGACACCCTCCCGCTGGACTATTTCAAAGCCTTGCAAAAACCGTCACCACCATTCTTTTCCCGTCGGTCCCCATTACAATGCCAGAAATCGAGAAAAAGCCAATCAACTTCTCCAATATCCTCCTTGGTGCCGGTTTGAACTTGGCTGAGGTCACCACCCTTGGCCAGCCCTTGGAAGTGGTCAAGACTACCATGGCCGCCAACCGTTCGTTATCCATTGTCCAGGCCACCAAGTTGGTGTTCTCAAGAGGTGGCATCTACGGGTTCTACCAGGGGTTGATTCCCTGGGCCTGGATCGAGGCCTCCACCAAGGGTGCCGTGTTGCTCTTTGTTTCAGCTGAAGCCGAGTACAGATTCCGCAAGCTTGGTGCCAGCAACTTCGTGGCTGGTATGGGAGGTGGTATCAGTGGTGGTCTTGTGCAGTCGTACTTGACCATGGGGTTCTGCACCTGTATGAAGACGGTGGAAATCACCCGTGCCAAGCAAGCTGCCGTGGCTGGTGTGCCTCAGCAGACCTCGTTCCAGGTGTTCAAGGACATCTACGCCAGAGAGGGCATAAGAGGTATCAACAAGGGTGTCAATGCCGTGGCCATCAGACAGATGACCAACTGGGGTTCCAGATTCGGTCTCTCCAGATTGGCTGAAGAAGGAATCAGAAAGTTGACCAAGAAGGGCGAGGACCAGAAGTTGAATGCCGTTGAAAAAATCGCTTCGTCGGTGATTGGTGGTGGTCTTTCTGCATGGAACCAGCCCATTGAGGTCATCAGAGTGGAAATGCAGTCCAAGACCTCCGATCCTAACAGACCCAAGAACTTGGGTGTTGGCTCTGCGTTCTCGTACATCTACAAGAACAACGGTATCAAGGGCTTGTACAGAGGTGTGACCCCAAGAATCGGTTTGGGTGTTTGGCAGACTGTTTTCATGGTTGCTTTTGGTGACATTTTCAAGAAGTTGTTGAATGCCGACGGAGGTCATTAGGCTAGACTGGTTCTCCTACAATACACGGTGAGATAGACACGCGTAGATGGCAAGTCCACATTGTAGACTTTGGATCCGTAAAGGCTCCGAAGAAAATATACCAATATTTTCCAGCTTGGCCAGACATTAGAGCCAATAATATTTTTATATAAATCTAATGATATTCTTTTTAGTTGTTTCGACTTTGCTTTATTGAATTATTTCGCAGCTACCTGTTTCATTGCCATAGAAGATATTTGAAGTGCTTGTCACCATTTCAGCACGAAATTGTAAATGTTGATGGGCATTTGGTGTCACTAAACGTATTTTGTGGTGCTGGAGGGTACAGAAATTACGAGAGATTTTACCTGGGCACATAGTATAGGCAGCTTGTTGGGGTGGTGTGGAAAGTTAAGATACCCATGTAGGTTTGAATTGATAAATCTCTTCTACTTCTACACAAATCGATAAATACTTCTATACAACTAGTTACCAATCCAATCTATGGTGCCAGTTTGCTCAGAATCCGCAGATGAGATCAAACAACTATGGAGGATTATGCTGTGTTTAGTGCAATGAACATCGAAATTGCAAAGAATTGAATCTCAACTAACTACGTCCGATTGATATTTACATGGTAATAGTCGAATATTATTATAATTAATACATAGTGGTGAGCATTGCTCTGATATAATTAGTGGTGGTTTGTTCCCCATCTGTCGTAGCAGTACAACCCCAAAATGGTCAAACAGAGACCAGTGGCCTGGAGGTTGGTGAAGTTCTTGTTCTCCCAGAGGAAGGCAATGACGATGATGATGATTCTCTTCAAGATGTTGGCGATGGAGTAGTTGATGGGCGACATGGCACCCAAGATCTGGAATGCAAGCAACGACTGCAAGAAGTGGGACACCCCGTTGAGCACGATGAGAAAGCCGGTGGTGGGTCCGATTTGGAGAAATGAAATGCTGGGAGACGTGAACTCGGCCACGAGGTAGATGGGGAGCGTGAACACGAACCCGATCATCGAGCAGTAGAACAAGATGGTTAACTTGTCCACCTTTTTGTTGCGGGTGGAGTCCTCGGCATCCTTACTGGTGGGAAGAATGTGCACTTTGTCGTCTTTCTCGATGGTGAGTCTCTTTTTGGCAAAGATGTTCTGGGACACGAAGATGAGCATGGAGATGAACGCGTACACAAGTCCCGTAAAGTAGTAGGAGGGGGTTGACGCAGCAGCCTTCTTGGGCTTGTAACACGTCAACATGATGCCCACGATCAACGGCACGAGAGTGACGTAGGTTACGATTTTGTACTTGATTTTGAAAAGCATGCGGTAGATGAGAACGGTGATTAACGGCGACAACGCCTTGATGGTGTGGACCAATGAGACGGGGATGAGCAGGGTGGCCTTGTGCGAGGACAAGTGGCCCACGAACTGGAAGCATCCCATGGGCACGGTGGTGCTAATGATGAGGGTGGTGGGGGTCAAGAACGCGGTGATGGCATCCATAGGCGACACTGAAGGCGTGTTAGGAAGCACGCCTTTGGGGAAGTAGTTGCGGCAGTGGGGCCGTGCCGAAACTGCTGCAAGTAACACCACTGAAAGTGCCAGGTTGAGAAGAAACTGGCACTGGGTGAGAGTGATGGGGTACAGGAAGCGCGAAAGAATCATCTTGGTGGAGTTGTTGGAGATGATGGACACAAGGTACCATGAGATGCAGAGAACGGTGATCTTGATGTCCATGGGCGGGAGAAACGCCCAAGCAGACGCTGGAGTCTCCACTTCTCTGATGGGAGTAGAAGCATTTGAGATAGGAGGCGTGATCGGGAGCTGGAACGACAGAAAGTGATTGTTGTTGGAGAGGCTGATGTGCTTGTTGGGTCTGGGTGCGTGGACGGTAGAGCGCTGGCTGGCGAGCTGGGACAAGTTGGTGGAGGAGCTGTTGGGGTTGATCTGGGACGAGAAGAACGTGGCGTGGGACTTGTTGACGGGAAGCGTGGTGGTGGACGGCATGGATCGCGAGAGCGGATGGAGCTTCCTGGCGGGATCTTCTACCAACAGTTGGGCCATGGTGGGTGAGCGAGTGGAAGGGTTGGATGAAGAGTGCTAGGGGTTGGCTGCCAGATTAGAGGATTGTTGTGAAGAGTGCGGTCACGTGGGCCACGGGGTGGGTGTCAGAGTGATGTGATGGAAAGGAGGCTGGAGTTGGTAGTGCTGGGAGGTCTGGTGGGGTGCAGTACTTGAGGTGATGGTAGTGGTGGTGGTGGTGGTTGTAGTGGTGGTGGTGGTGGTTGTAGTGGTGGTGGTGGTGGTTGTAGTGGTGGTGGTGGTGGTGGTACGAATATTTGTGTTGTTTGTGCTGCTGGTGAAGAATTCTTCTGTTTCCATTATTAGAACTAGTTTCTTTTGGCATCTCCGAGACCGTCACATGATGCCGCAGGGACCCGTCACGCGATAGCCGAGGCGACTATAGATAGAGACGGTCAGAGGGAGAATTGGTGTCTACATGCTCGTTTCACGCTGACTATTGTGGTTTGCTGTTACGGGAGGCAACGCATCAGTCTGCCAGGACTGAACGGAATGATCTAGCGGAAGTGGTCTCTTTTCCACCATAACCAAGCGGAGGTGATAACGTGATAAATCAGGTGTGAAGTGATGTGACACCAATACGATTGAAGATCGTCCCAAATGGTGTCCCGTCTTTGCACCCATAGTGTGGCCCATTCATAAGCCACTCCCGTATTTTCTCTTTTGAGCACTAATTTCTGTCAAGGTTCACTTTATGAAATATGCGAAATATTGAGAGGCTATTGCATCTGCAAGCATGGATGATACCAGTTCTACCTGGAGCTCTTCACTTTGAATGCTATACCATTGAGGCTTTTGCTCCCAGTATCCTCAGTGTGATCTTGCAGAATCGAACTCGCACAGGCTACTGAAAGTTCCTCCTAGCTGTCGCGTGTTCTCGCTATGCCTTCGCTATGCTCTCACTATCTCTCGCTACGCTCCCCAGTCGCGCCGTTCCGCGCTAGTGTCTGCTGTCAATTCTCGCACCATCCCTCGCTGGCACTCCGCTAGTCCCTCGCCCCAATCTCTCGCTAGCCCACTCCCCCTCGCTACATTCCCACTACCTCTCGCTACCTACCCCTCGCCACTTATCGCCAACCCACCTATTCTTCCAACACCACCATGTCCAGTCTAACAATATACGCCGCCAAGCTCCTCCTAAAGCGATTGACCGAAGACGAGGACGACCCCTACGTGTCCAACCCCGACGACCAGTTGGAAGAACCCAACCCTGTCACTGAGGAAATCTTCTCATCATGGGCATTGTTTATCCTTCTTTTCCTCCTCTGCTCAGCATTGTGGTCCTCCTATTTCCTCCAACAAAGACGAATCAAGGCCATCCATGAAACAGTGTTGTCCATCTTCTACGGCATGGTGGTGGGGTTGATCATCAGAGTCAGTCCTGGCCACTACATCCAGGACGCCGTCAAGTTCAACTCAGGCTATTTCTTCAACATCCTCTTGCCGCCCATCATCCTCAACTCCGGCTACGAATTGCACCAGGCAAACTTCTTCAACAACCTTGGCTCCATCCTCACCTTTGCCATTCCAGGCACCTTCATGTCGGCGTTGGTGTTGGGAATCATTCTCTATATCTGGACCGCGTTGGGCTTGGACGGAATCAACCTCGAGTTCGTGGACGCGTTGGCTGTGGGTGCCACCCTCTCTGCCACCGACCCTGTCACCATCTTGTCCATCTTCAATGCCTACAAGGTGGACCCCAAGTTGTACACCATCATCTTTGGTGAGTCGTTGTTGAACGATGCCATTTCCATCGTCATGTTTGAGACCTGCCAGAAGTTCCACGGCCATCCAGTGGGCCTTTCGTCGTTCTTCGAGGGTATAGGTTTGTTCTTGATGAGCTTTACCATTTCCACCATTATCGGCATCTTGGTTGGTATTTTCGTGGCCCTTATCTTGAAACACTCCCACATCAGAAGATACCCTCAGATCGAGACGTGCTTGGTGCTCTTGTTCGCCTACGAGTCTTACTTCTTCTCCAACGGTGCCCACATGTCGGGAATTGTGTCTTTGCTCTTCTGTGGGATCACCTTGAAGCACTACGCCTTCTATAACATGTCGAGAAGAACCCAGATCGCCACCAAGTACATCTTCCAGTTGTTGGCCCAGTTGTCAGAAAATTTTATCTTCATCTATTTGGGGTTGTCTTTGTTCACCGAGGTGGAGTTGGTGTTTAAGCCGCTCTTGATTATCGTCACATTTATTTCCATCTGTATTGCCAGATGGTCAGCTGTGTTCCCCTTATCCAAATTCCTCAACTTTTTGTACAGAGCCAGATTCGAAAAATTCACCAACAGAACGGCTCTTAACGGTGGCATTTCTTCCCAAGCGGTTCCCGACGAAATCAGCCATTCCTACCAAATGATGATTTTCTGGGCCGGTTTGAGAGGTGCTGTTGGTGTTGCTTTGGCCATGGGTATCCAAGGCGAAGCCAAGTGGACCTTACTTGCTACTGTGTTGGTGGTGGTTGTGCTTACCGTGATTTTGTTTGGTGGTACCACCGCCTCCATGTTGGAGATTTTGGGAATCAAGGTGGGTGTTATCGACGACACCAACGACTCCGACGACGACTTTGACATTGAAGCCCCTAGATTGCCATACAGCAGCTCCCCTCCATCATCGAATGTGTTCATTGGTAACAGAAGATTCGGCACACCTCAGAGGACAACAACTCCTCCAGTCAAAGGAATGTACAAGGACGACGCTACCAGATCAAGAAATGAATCGAGTGCCAGTTTGGCGTCTGGAATTCCCAGAAATAGCCGATCCTCTTTCAATAACTCCACCTCCGATTTGCATGACGGGAACGTCAACGATGACGATGACGACCTCGTTTCCAGCGACGTTGATGATCTCCTTCCAGGTGTTTCAAATGCTGCACTTACTACTTACCCACAGGCCACTTCGGGGGGAGTATTGGGTGCATTTTTAAGTGCAGAGGAACACTCCAAGTGGTTTACCAAATTCGACGAACAGGTGTTGAAGCCAGTTTTATTGGACACATTACCCAACGGCAGAAGGCGCGAAGATGCTAATCCGGGCAATTCTAATGAGCAGGTTTGATACTTGCCCCGAAATTCTACAATCAATATACTTGAAGTCTTTATATTACACTAGCGGATCGCCGTCTTTTGGGTTTGTTGTTGGTTCTGTTGCTGCTGAGCGATGGCAACGTCAATGACCCACTTGGCCAACTTATAGGTCTTGGGGTTCAATACCATGTCATTCAATTTATAGTTGAATTTCACACATAATTGAAAGAACTCGTGCATGGCCAAATCATGCAATACTGCAATCAAATGATTATTGAGAATCTTCTTGTTAGTCTTTTGGACTTCAGTCAAAAACACTGACGCGGGAACAGTGTCAGTATAATCTCCGGTGGCTCTGATTGGCTTCTCCAATAATTCCATCACGTCCCGTATATGAGTGTTTGTGACGCATCCAATTTTATCCTCTTCGATCGAATGGATCAATAAATTAGACACTGAGATAATGGCATTGCCGAAATTCACCGGGTTTCCGATTCTGGAGCCGGTGTCTCTCTTCAAGGTTGTTCTGAAAAGAACACCAAGGTTTGTGGCGAGGAACTTCCCATTGTAGACATTGTAGATTTGATCGATCGACCTGTATGCTTGGTACACCTTAGCCACGAATGTGGACTTTGGAGTGGTCTTGGGGTCCCAGAAAGTGGTCAATATCGACTTGACGGGTACCAAAACCTGGTTTTCGAGAATCACGTACCATCGAGCTTGTTTGTAGGAAGATTGTTTGTGGGTCTGGGGGTACTTCTTGATGGAATTTGATTTTTGGGGCGTTCCTGCTGCGGAAACAAATGAATTGCCAAAGATATCGCTGTCGTCACGAGCATCGTCCTTAGGAACCTCCGATTTCAACGCCTTGATATCACTGGACGATCTGTAACTGACTCTCAAGGTGGTTTCTCTGATGACCAACGAGCATTCCTCGAGGATGGAGGTCAAGATGTACCCCTTCTTGGACCTGGCACTATAGATTGCGGCTCTCAACTTAACGGCTTCGGGGTCGTTGGAAGTGGCGACGTAGGCCAATTCCTGGAAGGCGCTGAGGCGGCTCAATGGCTCGTTGACGTTGCGTAAGCCGTTCAACAACGTGTTCAACGGATCGGCACTGTAGGTACTGATGGGCTTCTTGCCATCCAAGCACCCAATGGTGGAGTAGACATTGAACGCATGGTTGACGAGTTCCCATGCCAATAATACCTGGTAGGAGAAGAACGCCAGCGACAACACCGTGGATACCGTGACCCCGTAGCCAGGCACCTGGGTGTCCAAGCCAGCCACGAGGAGGGTGAGGTAGTTGGCCTTGTAGCACAAGGAACGCACCACGAGCCACAACAATGGCGAAGAGCCTGCCACGAACACCGTCAACACCAACGCGTTCAATAACAAGAGGGGCACCTTGGCGAGCAAGGTGTCGTCAGGCGACAGCTTCTGGGACCCGTACTTGAACACCAAGCGGTTGCGCTGGAACACCAAGTGGTGGGCCAGGTAAAATGCTGCCAAGTACGCGGGGTGGAAGAAGAGGGTGTAGACCCATTTGTCGTTGACCAACGGCGATTGGCGGTACTCCTTGGAGTGCAAGTAGTACTCGAGCTTGTGGGGCAGCTGGGACACGAAAACACCCGTGAAAAACGCCACCGACACCACGTAGAAGCTGGCGTACTGGAGGTAGACTCCTGAGCACACGCTGTGGTAGACCTGGGATGCCAACGATTTGTAGGGAGCAATGTCCACAGTCGAGAGACGTACACGCGACTGTTTGACGACGAGAAGCCCAGCGTAGAGTACAGGCGCCCTGAAAACCGTCAACAAGAGGTTCCACCAGAACGAGCCGTAGGGGACTCTAAGCGCTATGGAGATGGCGATGGCAAGAAGGATGTTGATGTTGTTGACATACTTGAGTCGTTTGATGAGCACCTTGTGGAAGAAGGTGTGGTACGACGTGGGAGACACCACAGACATGGCGATGTGGCAATGGAAAGGAACAAGATGGTTGCGATGGTTGGCGATGATTTTTGGTGCGGAAAATAACACCCAGATCGTGGATCAAATTTGGGTTGTGGAGGGAGGAATAGAAGTGCGGGTGCTACGACGCCCCAATTGGCAGTAGATCGTGTGTACTCAGTATAAAACACTTCACATAGGGATAACCCCAAAAATTGTGTGGCCACTCTACTTGTAATGATTGCTTCCCAGCACCTTTTGATCGACAGTATTACATTGGCCTGTGGGCAAATTGTTTGGCCAGACATTGGTATTTTCTTCTCGGCACTTATTCACTTCATGACAGCTACGGTATCGAGCAAGTAGAGTCATGGAGCTAGTGGAATGGATGCTTCAATCGTTGCTATGCTGCCCTGAGCTTTGGCTGGTAGAGCTCCTAGAATAGAACGGGAGAACAAATCAGACAAATAAAATAAGGATGCTCAACAGAACAGGCCTTGTCATGTTAGTTTCATTGTAGCAAAAGTCAGTTGAGGCGAGCAAAACTGGGGGTTGCCCTAGAAAATTAGAATGTAATGGTACCACATTATGTTGTCGTGAATGGTCCTTGGAGCATTTCAAATGCTTCCTACAAACTCTGTAACCATGGTTTCCATAGCTTTCTTTAGGTCTCTTGTGTCACACTACACACTCTTCTACCAAAACGCACCTACAGCTCCAAAAACCCATCCTACATCACCGTCTTCATCTCAGAAACTATTACGCGTTGATTCTATATACATTATTCCTGGTTGACGGCAACTTGAGCTTCTCTCTTCAACTTCTCGCCCTCTCCACTCAAGGTGTCCTTGATGACTTGCAAGCCAGGCTTGCCACTAATCTCACCTAATACTTCGTCGGCGATGATTCTCTCGTTAAAGTCGATGTTGGCGTATCCAGTACCAGACGAAACCAATCTGCTTTCAACAATACTCTGGCTTCCATCGAACTTACTGAAATTAACCTCGAATGCTTCGTTGATGGCAGCCTCCAATTCTTCTTCGGTGGTGATGAAGTTGGATGCTGCGTGGTACAAGTCGAGCAACTTGTTGGCCTTCTCTTCCTTGATCTGCAATTCGGTGGTCTTGCGGTTCAATGTTCTTTGCTCCTCCACGAGTAATTGCTCTTCTTCGGTTCTTTGTCTCATGATGGGGCCCTGCAAGTAGCTGTCTATGGTGGGGAGGGTCAACTTGGAGGCAGCGGACTCTTCGTAAACATGCGAATCGGCAAAGGCCTGCTCTCTCTCGGCTGCCTTGGCCTTGTACTCCTCGAGCTTCTTCAATCTCTCGGCTTCCGTCAAGTATGCTTGTTTCAAGTAGTCCCTGCGGATCTCATCTCTCTTCAATTGCCATAACTGTTCTTGGCTCAAGGAGCTCTCGTCGACGTTGGGGCGTCTGTCCTCGATGTTTCTCTTGATTCTTTCTTCAACTGTCACCACTTTCTTTTCCACTGGCTCTCTGTGGAAGGTGAATCCTTTCTTGATGGGCAATGGCACACCTTCAGCGTAACCTTGCGATACCTTGGATTCTTTGGCGATTTGATCGGGGTTTTTGGGTGCTATGGGAAACCTCTTAAACACAGGACGCACCTTGGGGAGAATACCGGACTTTCCTCCGTATTTGAGAACACCTTTACCCATGATGCTAGTGATGTTTAAGAGAAACGTCGGTGAAAAATCATTTTCAAGCTGGGGCACGACCGGCTATCCTGGAGTGAGAACTCTCTGGCTGCGAATGGGGGCCACAAAAATGGGGAATGGGGCCATGCGACTAATCCGTAGCGAGCCGAATATCTTACCGGCATGTAATGGAAGTACTCGGACGGGGGAAGTGTCAAGAGCGCCAGAATGTGATCTAAGTGAATTTTGAGGTTTTTGAGCTATATAAATGTGGTACCATAAAATGGGATGAGATCAGGCAAAACACATCTAAGAGTACGAAGTAAGTGGAAAGTGGCTAACAAGGTACAATTCGTTTCGTTCTAATATTGGTAGTATGCTCCGATTTATTTCGTTATTAATGGTAGACATATTTAATTCGCTTTGAAAATTTCAGTTTTGGATTGTCCTTGAGTATTAGTCATTTGATGATAGTTGCTAGCAGCATGTTCTGTAGATAATTAATTTAAATGAGTATCTCTAGTTGACCAGCGCCCAAGGGAAAGAAACTGAGGAAAGTGTTGCGCTGTAGCCTCTATAGGTCGAGTTATGTTTTTATTCGTATTAAAATATTGGGTGAAGTGGGATTTTAGCTGCGGAGTAAACTCCAGTTTGTGATATTGTTTATACTATCCTGACTTTTAATTTCAATCATTTATGTAATAAGCTCTGCTTAACGACTTTTCAGGTAACAAACACTCCATTGTGGTTGGTCATTTTGCTAGAAAACCCATAAACCAATATTGAGTATTATGTGCGATAAAGCCAAAATATACCTAGCTGAGTGCTAATAAATGAAGTGACGATACTGTGGGGTCATTCTGGTAGTGAAGTAAGGAAATGCATCAAAATTCTTATAATTGAAATATTTTACTGATCTCGCAGAAAATTAGATCGAATTGAGATTTGTCCATATTACCTGATAAATGCTTTGAAAAAAGGACAGTTAACTTTCTCATCAAAGCTACATTCTACATTTATCTTACCTTTCCAGAGTCGTTATTAAGTTCATCAATCATATATTAGCTATTTTTTAGAAGTATCGGAAGAGAGATCAATAACTCGGACGGAAAAGACCTAGACAATGTAAGCAAAACAATTACCAAATCAAAGATCTTCCATAAGGAGAATAAGCCAAATGCCATTTGCTTCCTACTTGACTCCCCAGACTTCGTAGATGTGCTCCAGACACACCTTTCCTATCTTCTTATTTCCGACCTCATTCTCAAATTCCTTCACCAACAACTTCTTCTTTTCCTCTGTCGATTTGTTGGAATGCTCTACGTGATAATAATGCAAGAGCAGTTTAGGCGTAGGAAACCGATGCTGTATAGTGATGGCTCTCTCCAAGCTTACCCCCCTAATAGTCATGAGCATAAGCACAAACATCTCCTTGACCGTCATCATCCCAGTCTTCCCCAAAACATCCTGGAACATCGAGAAGAGATGTACACACTCATAATCCGTAGATCGGTGCTCAAATTCATTTCTGAAGACATCAAGAATCTCACTGTATTCTACTTGGTTATTCACCGATCTGGGTCGAAGTACTATCAATTTCGTTCCATTAAGTCTTTCTTGGATTACTTGGGTTAACGAGGCCAAGAACAGAATAGTTTCATCAACATCCTTGAACCTCCGAAGATAGAACTCAGAGACAGTCATTGTCATAGACAACGCTGTCTTGATGGCATCCATCATTTCGATCACATTGTCAATCCCACTTTCTTCGACCAAATAATAGTAATGCTTCATTCCAGTTTTCTTCAACCGGTTCTTCTGTTCTTGAAACCGACCGTCTCGGATAGACATCGCCAAATCATCGAGTTTCTTTCTCTCGCAAATGTAGTTTAGCACCACTTCCTTCTTAGATTGTTTATGCTGGGCTATCCATAGCGTGTCTCCCACCGAAAGCGACCTTACTTCACACTTCACGTTTAAAGAGCCTAGTCTGTTCAGAAAAAAATCTCGCTCCAGTTGTGATCGTATTTCCCTGTTATCTATGAGGAGAATAATTTCGTATTCGTCGTGGGGCCATACGTCATATTTGATTCCGTTATAAACCCGAGCCACCGGATCATGTACCCCCAGGATTTCTTGATGGATTTCGGGCAATATGGACTTGCTTGGTGAAGACATTAGTCCTTGGTCTGGACTTACTTGGACGTGATTGTCATAAGATACATCGTATTCCTTCAAGGGCGTGGAATGGATCCCCACTGTGTCCTTCAATTGGGCAGCCAAGTCTTGGCCTTCCTCAGTTAGAAAGTACATTTTGGGCCTACCAGTGAACCCCACCAAATCATTGCTGATCAATACCTTCACAGAGTTCCACGCAGAGTAGAACTCATTAGAGGCAGGATTAGACGTGAATGACTTATCTGCAAAAGGACCAGCTCTCTTGATGATTTCGTCTTTTGTGAGCCCTCTCTTCCTCTTATCTCCTATGTAGAGGGCTATCAATATAGCAAACCCTCCAGATCTGTGTCTGGGAACGTATCGTTTCTTCTTGCGAGGCTTCTTGGTTAGCTGCGATGGATTGGCTGCTTCTGGAGCAATTTCTTCCTTCTCTGCAAATTCTGGGGGTATTTCTATCTTGTTCTGCTCACAGTGTTTCCTCAACTTTGCTGTCAAAGTCTTGACAGTCTTGTCTCCGATATATTGGACCAGCCTGAGAGTTTTGGGATTCAGAATTGGGCCTTCAAAGTGCCTAAGACGATCCAATGCACGGTTATAAAGAAGGGCTGCTTTAGTTCCCTTCTTTGTGGCGTCTATAGCCGCTTCTTCGATCCATTCTATGAATAGTGGCTTGAAATCGGGGGCATCCATTGCAGACCAGGAGATGGGCAGAACGCGTCCATATGTATCGGCGCACATGACTGTGAGCACGCTACTTTCCCCACGTGACTGAGCATCGAGCTACCGAAACCTCACCAAAGCATAGTATCACAATATATTACACCATCGGGGTTTCATTTAGAGTCCTTTCTAATAGACTATCATTTCACACATCACAAAATGTCGGAACGGGGCAAGAAGTCGATGCTTCCGCCCATCAACCTTATCTTCAAGTACTTACAACAGCAACTGCCAGTGACCATCTGGCTCTACGAGCAAACAGGCCTGAGAATACAGGGCAAAATAAGAGGCTTTGATGAGTTCATGAACGTGGTTATTGATGATGCTGTGGAGATCTCGATGAAAGACGGGTCCAAGGAGGAGCTTGGGCGTATGTTGTTGAAAGGTGAAAACATCACCTTGATCTCGAGCTTGGACGTGTGATTGCCTGGCACGACGCTTGTCCTCGCAGGGGACCACGCAAGATGGGTCCACGGAAGATGCAGTGGTTCAAGCAGAAAATGACTACTTTTCAGGGATTAGTTTTTTCTGATTGAAATAAGAAGGCTGGTTCCAGTCTGGTGTATACTAGAATCAATTTTACAAACAGGTACATTAACATCGTATCTATAACAATTAGTACTGGATCATTGTAGGCTCGGTAGGCGACGCATACGGTATGGGACCACTCCATGCTGCTATGGCAAGAAACAAATGGCAAGCATTCACTTCGAGCGGAGATAGAATGATTCAACGAATCGAAAAGTGTCGAATATGACCAGCTCCTTCGTGACAAGAAGCGGCTCTTTTCACTTAATATTGGGGCATTTCCTGGAGCGATAGAATAGGAACTATGAAGCATCTGCGAAAGGTACTTGAGGATCAAGGGTGGATTGTCGCTGCCAATTTGGCCACACTAACGGTATCTAAAACAATAGTAGTAAACTAGTAAAGCCAGTACCTATGGAGCTCTTCATGAGTCAAATGGTTCACATCATCGAGATTCCAATACAGCCAGTCTAATTGGCATCGTGGACAAAACTCACTCGCTTCCGGGTGGTGGGACTGCCTTCCTTCCTCTGCCTGTACCGTCTGTTTCTGTCCTCTTTCAAAGCCACCGATCTGTACTGCAGAATCTGCTTCTCTCGCTGGGCCTGGTTGGCCCGTTTAACCACAGCACTCTTTGCCTTGACTTCTGCGGTGGCTAGGTATACTCGTGACACCTTAAGTGTCACCAAGATCGAGCCGTCGCGGTACTGGATGCGATGGAGTTCACCAGCGATCACTGTAGGTTTTGTAGGGCTAGTGCACGGACTCTTGAGAATGGACTTCATGGGCCATTTTATTCGTAGGGAGATGCAATTTCAGAGGATTGCAGCAAGGGTGGTTGTGATTGGAAGAATGTTTCGATCAGAGTGTGTAAGGTCAAATGGTGGGTTGGAACTTCACCAAAACTAATTTGTTATTCCACCAGTATGAGTACTTGGTGGAAATACGCAAAGTATCGTAGTAAAAGCCAGCTGTTTCACCAAAGTATTGAATAATGTGGTGGGTTGGATTTTCACCAAAGTACTGTCTAATTCGATATCCCACAAGTATGAGTAACTGGTTGAGTTTGACCAACACTAAATCGTAATTATCCCAAAACAGTAAATTGGTATGGAGTTTCCAAAAGTACCGACCAATTCGTAATTGAACTATCCGAGTTTCCACAATAGTGACACTACGTGATACTGTGCCTTGTGGTAGCGAAGAGCTGATGATTCTGGGATCTACCAGTAGTACTTTTTAGAGAGAAAATCACACACAGAAACTCGCCAACAAGCAATAAACCCACCAGCAAAACAGTCCAGGAAGCGACAACTGAGCCAGTTTTGGATGTTCTAGCCACGAGTAGCGTGCCACTTGTGAAGTCGGGGAGTCTTACAGCTTAGTCAGGCGCATTCTTCAAAAGTCCGCTGGTTCGCGGTGCCATCGTAATCGCGTGCAAATCACCATACACGTCATACACCACCACACCATCATGAGTAACTTTGCCAGACCCAGTGGTGGATCGAATGCCAACAATCCCATAAACGGCACGAGCGGAGCCAGCAGTGGCCATGGGACCAATTTCGGGAACAATTCCGCCCCCAGTTTTCCTACCAACAACAAGTTCAAATCCCAGCCCAGTGCTCCCCAAAGGACATTCCAGCCAGTATCGTACACCCCAGAAGAGTACCAGCGGATCCAGCTGCTCCTCGACAAGGTGTTGGGGCCAGAATACGTCAGCTCCCGGCCAGGAGGCGGTGGACAGAAGGTGTCGTACATCGAGGGCTGGAAGGCGCTCAATCTTGCCAACGAGATCTTTGGGTTCAATGGGTGGAACTCGGAGCTCATCAGCACCCAGGTGGACTATTTCGACACCCACGGTAACTCAGGCCGTTTCTCCATGGGCCTTTCGGTGGTGGTACGCGTCACCATCAAGGATGGCGCCTACCACGAGGACTTTGGGTATGGATACATCGACAACGCCAAGAGCAAGGCCATGGCGTTCGAGAAGTGCAAGAAGGAGGCGTTCACAGACGGCGTCAAGCGGTGCTTGAGGTGCTTCGGAAACGTGTTGGGCAATTGCTTGTACGACAGAAACATCATCTCCAAGATCCAGAAGGTGAAGTTGCCACAGCCAGACCTCGAGGACAGCGACTTCTACCGCGACCCAATGTTGGTGGAGCGTGAGCGAAGGAAACTCACCAGCACCAAGGTTAATCTCCTTGAGAGACGAGATCCAGCCGCTCCAGTGGCACCACCAGCACCAAAAGCCACCACCAACCCCGTACCGACTACTCCCAATCCGAGCCACGCGTCTGGTGCCCCTCAGAGACACACCAGTATACCCCCCGGCCCACCGAAGACTAAGACATACACTCCTAGTGCCCAGGAGCTTGAGGAGTTGGACGAGTCGTTTTTCAGCGATGACCTAATGGAGGAAGCTGAACCCGAGGACAAGGGCTCCAAGGATACGGATATAGAACCCAGACAGCTGGTTCCTGACAAGCCACAGCAGTTCCCGTTGTTTGTGAGCGCCAAAGGGGCAGATTTGCTCCAGCAAACCCCCGAAGATATCACCAAATTGCCCCAGTTTGACCCCAAGTTCGTATCACCCAACATCAAACGGACGTTGCCTAACACCTCGGCGCCAGTGAAGCGTACTGAGGTGTCTGCTGTCTCAAGCCAGAGCATTAGCCGGGTGTATCCACCTAGCCAAAGCGAAAACAACGCCTTGGGCAAGCGGATAGGGATGCCACCCAGCCAGCGACCGGCAAAGCGACAAAAGGAGCTGCTGGCGGAAGCCAGCTAGCCATATGTATTATAGAGGGTAGATAGCTAGCAATAAATGCTCAGGCATGGGCACAGAGTAGAGTACTAGTGAAGGGGTGGAGTGTGGGAGTAGACTGAAAGTGTAGACTGAATGGGAGACAGGAAGAGGCTGAAAGAAAGAGCATTGACTTAAGAGTTATTAAACAGAGCATGAAGAGAGACTGAAAGGGGAGAGTGAAGCAGTGGAATGAAGGAGCGGAATAAAGGAGTGGACTGAAGTAGTAAATTGAAAGAATGATTAGAGTGAAACAGACTAGAATGAAAGAGAAACTGGATGAGAAACTGGATGAGAAACTGAAAGAGAGACTGGAGAATAGGCTGAACAAAGAAGAGAGAAGACTGAATGAGAACATGCTGAGGAGACTGAATGAGAATAGGCCTAGCCAAGGAGACTGAAAGACCGAATGCCTGAATGAGTAGAGCCAAGGAGACTGAATGACTGAATGTGTAGAGTGAAGCAGACTGAAAGAGACTGAAAGACTCAATGAGAGATGGAAAGAGACTGAAAGAATGAGACTGGACTACAATCGCCATCTCGTGGTAGCGATTCTAGCAACAGACGAATCAGTCCAATATTGTTGAAGCATCCTTCATGCGATCTCCACCTTCTAGCGGGACCTACTTTGACCAGAAACGAGTACACCAATGGGCCACTGGAAAATACTGGCAACACCCAGTGTGTATTTCGATCTATAGCACTGTTCTGCGCTATGGCAGAGGCTATAACTTCGAAGCGACCCATTGCTCAAGATGGTTGGCTGCAAAGATACGGACTAACGAGAGCAATTGTTGTCTAGGACCACCAGCTGAAGGAGAAACGGAAGCATACTGACTGTTAAGGACTTCACGTGTTCCGCTACCCCTAGTTTGATTCTTCTGGCAATTACTAAACTGGACAAGCTATCTGCCCTACAAACCAGCCAGTCTCAGGAGGCACAATAGTCAGCACCAGCTCCAAGAAAGCCAACACAAGCCATCAAATCTATAACCACTGTTGGTTCAGCACGAAAGGGAACTCCAGCAGGCTCCACAAGCCTGGGCTTCTAAGACCATTTGGCAATCATGGCTGGTAAGTCAGCTCAGATCCCAAATAATCTCCAATTCCTTCTGTTTTCATTCAACCCACTTCTGGCTGCTAGAAAGCAAGCATGCCGTACACTCGGCGCAAACTCCGGCCACAACAGGAATCCAAAAGTGTCACATTGGCACGATTTCTATTATTTTCTATTGTTATCCGTCCTGAAATTTGGCCTGCATCTTCCCCCGATAGTCCCAGACACTCTCTCGCTATCGCTGGTACTGCCACACCCGCACGTACATTGAAAGCTGAAGATCACCTGCCCCAAGTTATACTGACCCAGGGCAATGCTCGCCATGTCCAGAGACTTCAGCTCCATAACATCCATCCTCAACAATATAGGTCCATTCAACGAGGTTCCCGATGAATACTCCCCTCAAGAAACCATCAATGCATTGTCCAGCTCCAAGATATTGGTCATCGGTGCAGGTGGTCTAGGGTGTGAGATCCTCAAGAATCTTGCCTTGACGGGTTTTCAAGACATTCATGTCATAGATATGGATACCATCGATGTCTCCAACCTCAACCGTCAATTCTTGTTTCGAGCCAAAGATGTGGGCCACTCCAAGGCCCAAGTGGCCGCCGAGTTCATCCAGGAAAGAATCGAGAACAATCATCTCAAGATCACCCCATTCTTTGGCCGCATTCAGGACAAGCCTGTGGAGTACTACAAGCAGTTTGACGTGGTAATCTGTGGCCTTGATAGCGTGGAAGCAAGGAGGTGGATCAATGCTACTTTGGTTTCCTTGGTGGACAATGAATTGAATAACCTCATACCGTTGATCGATGGAGGAACAGAAGGATTCAGGGGACAATCCAGAGTGATTTTGCCCAAAGTCACCTCATGCTACGAATGTACCTTGGATATGGTCACCCCAAAAACAACCTATCCTGTGTGCACCATTGCCAATACTCCCAGATTACCAGAACATTGCATAGAATGGTCATCTGTAATGGAATGGCCTCGAAATTTCGGATCTCAGAAGTTCGATGCCGATAATCCTGAGCATGTGGAATGGATGTACCAACTGTCCCTCAAAAGAGCCCAGGAATATAACATAGAAGGAGTCACCCGCCTGTTGACGCTTGGAGTAGTCAAAAATATCATTCCTGCTATCGCATCGACAAATGCCATCATCGCAGCTTCTTGTTGTAACGAGGCATTCAAATTGGTGACCAATTGCAATCCTATTCTCGACAACTACATGATGTATTCGGGGGATGATTCGATCTTTACCTACACTTATGCCCATGTGAACAAGAAGAATTGTCCAGTGTGTGGAAATATGGCTAAAAATGTTACTGCCGAAAGATGGTGGACATTGGAATATTTCATCGATGAGTTGAGTTCAAAGCTGGAAATTCAAATGAAGAGGCCATCCTTGTCCAGTTCCTCTGCATACTTATACTTGAGGAACCCACCAAATTTGGAAGAGAAAACCAGGCCAAATTTGTACAAAAAGTTGAGCACATTAATAGATGATGGCAATGAAATCGTGGTGACGGACCCCAATCTTCCAATTTCGTTACGGTTGGTGGTTAACTTCTCTGGGCCAGAACATGAACCCCTTTGATTTCTATTTCACGAGTAATGAATACAATCCTAACGTCAAACTTTTATTATCATTCTATTTAACCGATCATAGAGGTATATATTAGGGACACGGTAGATGGATCATAATACAAAATCTAGCAGCTGCTCTCTAATTCCTTCATTTCCTGCACCAAGATTTCATTGAACTTTTGGTAGTTGTCGAGGTAAAGGTGATGGCCACTGTCTTCAATTTCCACCACATCACTTCGAATCTCGCCATGATAACTATTGATAATGTCGGAACACAATTTACCACCCTGTTTATCCATCCAATCTTCTTTACCGTACCACCAGGACAATTTGCAGTTTAATTTATGAATGCCTCTCTCAATCAATGGGTGTCTTGCATCGGCACCTGGTGCCAACAAATAGTTCAACATATACTCACCCGAACCCGGGCCCTGGAATATTCCATATGCATACTTGTGAAGCAAAGTAGCCTCTACTTGAGGGAGCTTAGCAAACCTCCTATGGGACCAACCACTCACTACTTTGGAACCAAGGGGACCAGCTTTTCTAACCAAGGTAAAAGGCGAAATATTTTGTTCCCACAATTTAGCAAAATATTTAGGCACTGCAACCGCTTTGCGATGCTTTAAAACAGCACCAGGCGATACCATAAGTAACTTGTCACAGAAATTTGGATCTCTTTTGATCCCATAAGATCCTAAGATGTATGCACCCATGGAGTGTGCCATTACCAAGGTTTTGCCAGAGGTACTCGAACGGTTCAAATTCCTCTTGTCAAGCCAAGTTTCATACGAGTCATGAAACCATTTATCTACGTGGTCCAAGTCTTCCTTCGCAAGTTTGAACGGGGGCCTAGATGAGCACCCATATCCAAATAAGTCAATCGCATGAATGCACCAATTATCCAAGGTGGAGATGGCATCGAAGTTTTTCAAAAAGAATCCTAGACCACCTCCATATCCGTGCACCATTATCAAGTGATTCATCGATGCAGAGTCCGCTTCAGATTTACCTGGAGGGTAGATGACGAACTCATTGATGTAATTGCCTTGGTCGTCAATCACAGTCTGAAGGACATCACTGGTTCGACCCAAGGCGTCTGCCTCGGGATAAAACGGCAACACCGAGAGCAAATCATGCTGAAACTTCAAAGGGTTATTGCGGTAACTATAGTCCTCAAGGGATTCCTTGATGGACAAAGGAAAGTTGTTGGAAAAGAGCTTGTTCAAGGGAACAGACGTGGGGTGGGTGGATCTTTTGTAATGGTTCTTGTCGCCTTTTTGTTTCTTTTTGATCAACGAACCATATTGATTTAACAAATGGTTGAGGTTGTTGTAGTTGAAGCCTGAGTTGAAGCTTGAACTGGGCATAAAAGCCGGGGCCGAGGACGAAAGTAGTCTGATTGGTGTACGTGTCATGGTGAAGCCAAACAGTATCGAATGGCCCTGCTGCAAGCACGCTAGAGGTTAGCCATCAATAGGGTCAAAAGTACGATGGTTGTCAGACATTTGTAGACGTCATTCGGACTGTGTGCAGGGCAGAAGTCCATGTGACCTTGTGCACGTGATTGTCGGGTCCATTTGACAGGAGGCAGGGCTTGGCTTCCTAGCAGGCTTAGCGAGCCTTTTAGCCCATGGACGTGGTCTGATATCCGAATCCGTCCTTGGAAGCGTAATTTAGGTTTAGCACGGATAGATAGATTATTTCACAGGCGGCTTACCTGCTAAACTCCTAAAAACTACCTGCTAATTAATAAATCCTACAGTAATCACCAATGCCGAATAGCCAACCCGTGCAGTAAAAGCCACTGCTAATTAACAAAGTATCCTCCACATTCTTACAGTGAAAGCACTGCTGAATTACAAACTCCCACATGAAACCTCTGCTACTTACCAAGCTCGTAGAGTAATCCGCCAATGCTAATAACAGACTCCTGCAGAAAATTCACCTCTCAATAACAACTCCTACAGTAATCCACCTGAATGGCAAACTCTCCTTAAGACTCGGATAGATGAAACCCCCACAGTAATCTATCTGAATAACAAACTCCACGATAATGCACCTGTTAATTAACATATTCCTAACGTATATGCTAATTACAAACCCGCACAGTAGTCGACCTAATTAACAAACCAATCCTAGAGTAGAATCACTCCCGATTCACACTGAAAAGAACACTCTGATGTACTGCTCGAAGCATGGAAGTCCTGATTACAATGCACCCCAATTTATCCCACAGCTCCTCATCCCGAGAAATTCATAGGAAAGTAGGAATCCGTTCGTACAGGGTGACACAAACCCCGAACAATAGCAATTTCCGCTGGTGCCAGCTCTTGTCCAATCCTCGTACTTGAAACTTGACATCAGAGGAGCGCACGTGATGCTGCCAGTACGAGTGCACGGCCCCACGCCATATGCGCATAAGGGTCTGACACAGTGTCTGTGCGGCACGGTGTCTGGAGACAGTGGCTACCGGAACAAGCCGCGGTTTCAGGACGGGAATGACCCAGCAAACCCCGGAGGGTCTCCATTGCAGACCATGTCTATTCTACCGATGCAAGCACCCTCCAGCACAGTGCACTGGTCCACCTCAGGTGGACCATTGAATGGTATTATTGGGCAGCTATTTTGTGCCAAGGGGAGCAATATTCTTGGCCGACACTTTTCGTTGCTTTTAGGGGATTTTGTCTGAAGGAAAAATATTTTTATCAGATAAATCAAATCAGATGAAAAACGAGTTTGGCCGTGATTGGCCAAATGCAAAAGGCTATTGGGCCAGGGAGTGGATATGAGCGAGGGCCGTCAATTACGGAGTTAGCACTGGCCAGTTGGGTTGATGAGGCCCAATTAACACAACAATGGTGGGACGAGGTGCTCGGTTCTTTTTATTTTTCCTGGCCCAACGCGGCACAAGAACAAAACATCCCATCCACCCGGATTGTGGTGTCTGTAATTGTACCAGCAATTTCATTGTAGAGTCGAGTCGGGCCAGCCGTGTGGCAGATGGCGGATGGCAGGTGGCATGGCTTCGGATCTCCCCCTGTCTAGGCAGAGCCATACCAGTTAAGCCTCGTCGTGGTTTGTGCCATGCAGCGAACCAGTTTGGCCCGCCAAATTCACGCCTCGTTGCCCGAGTCGGCTTATCAGATCAATCAATTGGAATTAATCTCGGCACACCCGACATTTTTCGCGCCAACTGTCTTTCGCAGTATATAAATTCGCTCATCCCTGAGCACTTTTTCTTCCTTTTTCGAACTACTTACCATAAGAGATGAGGCTATTATCGTTGTTGTTCTTTGCCTTCCTTGTTAGGTTCATCCATGGTGAAACCCACACTTGGTACTTCGAAACCGGATGGGTTGACGCCAACCCAGATGGGGTGTTCGAGAAGAAAATGATTGGTTTCAATGGCAGTTGGCCATTGCCCACCTTGAGAGTCAAGAAGGGCGACAGAATCAACTTGTACTTAATCAACGGCTTTAATGACAGAAACACCACCTTGCACTTCCACGGCATGTTCCAGAACGGCACTGGCCAGATGGATGGCCCTGAAATGGTTACCCAATGTCCAATTCCTCCTGGCGAGACTTACTTGTACAACTTCACTGTTGCTGACCAGGTCGGTACTTTCTGGTACCACTCGCACACCTCAGGCCAGTATGGTGATGGTATGAGAGGTGCGTTCATCATTGAGGACGATGACTTCCCATATGACTACGACGAAGAGGTGGTGTTGACTCTTAGTGAGCACTACCACAAGAACTCCGACGAATTGACCCCAGCTTTCTTGAGCAGATACAACCCTACTGGTGCGGAGCCAATCCCACAGAACATCTTGTTCAACGAAACCAGAAACAACACCTGGAAGGTCGAGCCCAACAAGACGTATCTCTTGAGAATCGTCAACGTTGGTAGATTCGTCAGTCAGTTCTTGTGGATGGAAGACCACGAGTTCGAAGTGGTCGAAATCGACGGTATCTACGTCGAGAAGAACACTACCGACATGATCTACATCACCACTGCCCAAAGATACACTGCCTTGGTCAGAACCAAGAGTGACACCTCCAAGAACTACGCGTTCATGGCTGCCATCGACGAAACCATGTTGGATGTCATTCCTGGAGACTTGCAGCTCAACGGTACCAACTATATTGTTTACGACGACAACAATGATAAGCCTGAAGCAGTTACTGTCGACTCGTGGGAAGACATCTTGGACGACTTCTACTTGAAGCCTCTTTCCAACACCACTCTTTTCGATGAGCCTGACTTGACTGTCACTGTGGACATTGCCATGGACAACTTGGGTAACGGTGTCAACTATGCTTTCTTCAACAACATCACCTACACTAGACCAGTCGTTCCTACTTTGTTGACTGCCTTGTCTGCTGGTGAATTTGCTACCAACGAATTGGTTTACGGTACCAACACCCACAGTATCGTCTTGCAAGGTGGTGATGTCATTGATCTTGTCTTGAACAACCACGATCCCGGAACCCATCCTTTCCACTTGCACGGTCATACTTTCCAAGTCATTGAAAGAGGTCCTGCATTCCCAGACGACGAGCCAACTGACTGGAACGCTACTGACCATGCTGAATACCCTGAGTACCCTATGGAAAGAGACACTGTCTACGTCAGACCAAGTTCCTACGCCGTTCTCAGATTCAAGGCTGACAACCCAGGTGTTTGGTTCTTCCATTGTCACATTGAATGGCATTTGGACCAAGGTTTGGCTCTTATGTTCATTGAAGACCCAATGGGTATTCAAAACAACCCTGAACAACAATTGACCGAATCCCACAAGAACGCTTGTAACAAGGCTGGTGTTCCATTAGAAGGTAACGCTGTTGCCAACACCAACAACTACCTCGACTTGAAGGGAGAAAACGTCCAACACAAGCCATTACCAACTGGTTTCACCGCCAGAGGTATTGTTGCTTTGGTCTTCTCCTGTATTGCTGCTTTCTTGGGTATGGCCGCCATTGCCTTCTATGGTTTGGCTGACATCCCAGATGTTGAAGCTAGAGTTACCAGAGATTTGAATGTTGAATATGAGGATGATATCGCTGATGATGAAATCATCACTGAAGATCAACCTTTGAGAGGATCTCAGGAAAGTTCTAGAAGCAACAGAAGCAACAGAAGTGGTAAGGTTAGAATCTAATTTAGATCCTAACTAATGCCAAACCATATCCAATAACCATCAGTTTTGATTTTTTTAAACAGGTCATGAAAAATGTGTGTGTGTAGGTACAATATCCTGAATTTATTGTACTACTTGAATTTAACCTCGTTTATTTGAAAAGAAACTGGTAACCCAGAACTAATCCATACTATCTATTTGGTTCTTATTTGTGTTGATGACCCTAATGACTCGGCTAAAACTATGAGAGACTTGGAATTTAATAATGTGGATCTCCCCTAATTCGCAGAACCCATGTCTTCTCATACACTTATAGATACTCCATTCTTTCCCCCTTTATTTTTCTTCTTCAATTGTGTATAAGACTTAATAATAATTTTACCCTTAATTTCTTGAGTAGGAGGACTACAGCCTTTCCTTAATTTAGAGTTTAATAAGCTGTCAAAACAACCAAGACAATTAACGTTATGAGTACTGTCAGACACATTCATAACCATCCGAATATTTCAGACAAAACTTGCTCGGTGAGAGAACAATTGATTCTACAATTGCCTGATTGATTCAAATAATCCACTGGGGTATTTCCATCAAGGATTCTCTAACAGTAGGCAGTTTATCGTAGAGCAGAGTATTGTCTACCCTTTGTGTGACCAATAGAATCAAGTGACGCCGGAATGTTTACCTGAAACTATTGTCTTTCGCCACAGTTTCAGCCTCGTTAACTGAGATTACAGGAGGAACAAAATTCTTAATGACATTTATGTCCGAGCATCTACAAGCTGACGTTTTTTCAAGCAAATCAAATAGCTGGACAACTGTGTGATTGAGAGGAGGGGGAAGGGAGAGTGTCGTAGTCTTTGAACTTGAAGACTCAAAGAATTTAGCCTGCTTGATTATCTTGTGAGAATAAACCGGGAGACTAGGAACCGTAGGAGCTTGCAATAATTTGAGCCGAGGACGCCTCGTAATGGAAATCGTACATAAGCTATATTCTTCCGTTTAGTAATCGAAAAATAAGAAGCTGTTTTAATATTCTTGAATTGGATTCAAGAAGGCAAGAAATCAAAGACTATTGAGGGTACTATTAAAGACAGCTTTCGAATACAAACTTTATTTGAAACATAACAAAATAAAAGCTGTAAACGGTACATAAGTGCTTCAAAAATTATGGACGCTTTGTTTCCTCTGATAACCTATAGCTGAAATTCATAAGCAAATATTAATCTTCAAATACAGAGTTTGGTAGTAAGGATGACTCTATAAAAAATGAGACGACTGATAACGGCCTAGCGGCTAGTACGATGTACTAATTTAGAAGTTTATGCAAGAATCAAAAAATTAGGCATTATTCTGTGTGCCGAGGGGAATCTTTCGAAATCAATATGAATCTAAAAAATGCTTGTAAAGTTTCGGGGACAGTACCGGTCCAGCATCTAACAAGTTATGCCCCACATGGGTCGAATCTCCTACGTGCTTAATCTTTTACCACGCTCCTCGCCCAAATTCCTCGAAATATGCTCTGCCATTTGAGAAGTCTCAAACACTTTTTGCCTGTAGAAGATTCACAAGCCAGCTAAAATTGTAACAGCGCGTTGGCACAGTCTAGCGCGACAAACATTACTATAGTTAGCGAGAATCTTGTCAGATATTTGTGAGAGTACCAAAAATTCCAGTACGAGTCGCAGCGAGCGACTACCTAGCTCTGACAAATACCCACCAATACTACTAACAATTCTCCTGAGAGAGCCTTACTAACCACCTTTACACAGAAATAAATAGTTTCTTACCCATTTAACCTCCATTTTCCTGCTTTGGATTCCCCCTATACCCCCAAACTCAGTTCACTATTCCCGCACGGTGCGGCGCACTGCTGGTGCTAGCCCACCCAGCCCCACCGCACCGCACCTGATATCAACCAACAGTCCAACAGTACTATCCACATCCCACCGTCATGTTTGAGGCCGTCTACATAGCAGACATCAACAATAACTTGGTGTTCGAGTACCTCATAAATCTCAGCTCGCCCAAGTTCAAGTCGTTGACCCCAATTCTTTCCCAGGCCGCCCAGAACCATGACCAGTTACCGTTGATCGAAATCAACCCTGAGTACTTCATCGTGTTTGAGAAGACCAAGAACCTTCTCATCTACGTGCTATGCTCCAATGAGTCCCACTCCAACCCTCTCATGCCGCTTATCTTCATCCAACGGCTCTTAGAGGTCATGAGTGACTACTTTGGCACACCACTAGCGCTTACCAAAATCGACGCAAACAACGACACATTAACTTTGTTGATCAACGAAATGTTGGATGACGGCACTCCCAACACCACTGACTTCAACAAGCTCCGTGAATTGATTCCTTCCAAGAGTTTTTTGTCCCAATTGTTGAGCACCAGCAACGAGCTTGCATCCAGTGCTGCTGCCCACGTCACCAAGAGCCATATGCCCAACCATTCGGGGTCTGGGGCCAAATTGGAGCCCCTCAACACCATCCCATGGCGACGCTCCAACGTCAAGTACACCAACAATGAAATGTACGTGGACATCATCGAGACGGTTAACGTGATCTTAAAGCCAGCCAAACTCGCCAAAAAAACCCAGCTTTACTCCTCCAACAACCACTTCGACTCTGCATTCTACTCGTCATTAAAGGCCTCATCCCAGATGGTGCCTATCTCTGGCCACATACTGGGACAGATCAACTTTATATCTCATCTCACTGGTGTTCCGTTGTTGCAGTTGTTGCTTTCGATAAATGGCTTGGATCTACAGCTTCCCAGCTTCCACAAGTGCATCGAGGTAGAGAGGTGGTTGAGCAGTCCTGGAACCCTTTCCTTCATACCCGCAGATGGCAAGTCTGTGTTGATGAACTACGAAATTGATCTCGATTCTGCCCACCGCGCAAACGACTTGTTAGGGTTGATCAGCGTTGATTACAGGAGTGGTTTGGGTGTATCCAAGAACGAGTTTGAGGTCAAGTTGATTATCGATAACGTCAAGGCCGTATCCAAAATCGAAGACATGAAGGTGGAGATATTCTGCGAAGAAGAGGGGCTGGGTGAGGTTACCAATGTCAAGTCCAACAGAATTACCCACGGCGATTTCACCTACAAAGGCAAGGGCCATTGCGAGTGGAATTTGAGGACGGTGAACACCGGAATACTGCCATTGTTACAAGGTACCATCATCACCTCCAACATGGAGCCAGAAGACAGCAGAGAGTCCACTCCTAATTTGATAGCAGTTACAACTGTAAAACCCATCAGGCCCGAATACGTGAAGTTAACTTTCAACTACAAGGGTTCTGTGCCTAGCGGCTTGAAAGTGGACAGCTTAAAGGTTGTCAGTGCCAAGGGCATGGGCGACACTGTCAAGCCGTACAAGGGGGTCAAGTACATTACTCGAAGCGGAGATTTTGTGATTAGATCTTAACCACGGGGTATAGACGGATGTAGCACCATGAAATTAATACTCTCATGGCCACTTGTTTATAGAACTAGAAGAAGAGTCCAAGAGAAAAGTCCAATTTTGTAATGGAGTTTGTTTTCATACCTGTGTCGGTTTACAGTACGGCTCTGCTACTTTTCCTATTTCAATTACAAATAATATTAAAAGTAAATTGAATATTGAATTAAACAAGTAGTTGACACCCTGATGGATACATCTAAAATGTACATTCATTCTTTAATTGATCATCTACCTTGATAAATGAATAATCTGACCAATTCGGAACTACAACATGATCGAAATCGATACCAAGATTGGATCTCAAACAAATATCTCCATCAATGACACCAATGGGTGTTTCAACAATAAACCACTCGAAACCATGAAGAAGATCATGAACCTCAAAAAAAATAACGAAGCCCACTCAATATGTCCAGAAGATGATTTTCTTTGCCTCAATTTTGCAAAGAATTCCACTCGACGCTCTTCCAGACGATTTGTTTCAACAGATTAATTGAAAAATTGAATGTGCTATTCGTATCGCTCGAAGATCAGAACAAAGTGGATTGAACCGAGTTCTCTCAAAGCTTTTTAGTGCATTCTTACTGTAGTAGAGTTACCAACGAATTGGTGACGGTATCACGAAATCATCTAGCCATGTGCCAGTTCCATGTCTTAAGCCTCCATAAATCCACCAACATTTTACACTCGACCCAGCACAAGCCAATGGTCTTCTACACGCCACTCGGCTGTTATCGTCATTATGTATTGGTCATACTCACCGGTGTCGCCTCTCCCCTAGATGTTAATACTGTAATATCTTCATCTATTGAGTCTTCTTACTCTTTTTCAACTTCTCCTTTTGGGCGTTCTTGATCAAAACATTGCCGATGAAGGATCCGACACCCAAGCCACCGATCAACAACAACAAAATGGGCAACTTGATGGCGTAGTCTCTTGGAAGGAAGAACGAGTTCAACACGTTACTTTCGTCAATGAATGGTAAAACAAACACCCACGCGGTGTAGTAGGCGAACACAGCAGTAGCTACGGCAAGCATCGCAAGACCGATCAATTTATCAAGGGCCTGGGGTTAGTAGGAGCGGGACAAGCCATTGGAGGATACGTACCATTTTTGATGGATGTTATGGTGTTGTGGAGACGTGTTAAAAGTGAGCTTGTAGGTCACGTGTAGGAGCCGGGAATATCGCGCGTGATTAAGTTCACGAGATCATTAAGCACATGATCTGAATCACATGACCTGCATCACATGCCTCCTATTTCACACCTGGCGTCTCCATCCTACTCCCCATGTTTTCCAAAATCAAGAACAGAAAGGCCCCCCTTTCGCTCAACTCGGTCACTAACGCCATCAAGACCCATGGAAGCCAGGACCTCTCGCCAAATGACTTCCAATCCAAAAATCTCGACCTTTCCGTCATCACCCAGTTGGGACTCCCCAAGAACCTGATCCTTGCAACCGCCTATGACCCCGTCCAGTCGCTTCTAGCCATCTCCACCACCAGCAACGAGATCAGAGTGTATGGGCTGCAGAACGTGGAGGTGGTGTTTGAGTTTAAGTCGTCGTCTCCCATCACTCACCTTGCTTTTGTCAAGGGCGTCTATTTGGTGGGAATCTCGTCTAGCTCTGGCAATGTCACTGTACTTTCACTTCACTCCAAGCAGATTCTTCAAACATATCTGGCGTCCTCAGCTATCACTGCCATTGCATCGGATCCGTCGTTGGACTGGTTGGTGTTGGGATTGGCCAATGGTTCGTTGCATTTCTTTGATGTGGACAGGTTAGCACTGGCTCCATTCAGAGTGGACAATTTGCAGAAGAAGGTATTGCCCAAGCAGAAGTTGTCGCCTGTGGTGTCTATCGAATGGCATCCAAGAGATATTGGCAGCTTGTTGGTGACATACTCACATTGCTCGGTGTTGTACTCCATTTCCGGAGGTGATATCACCAACTCCTTCATCTACCAGGTCCCAAAAGGGTCCAGGGGCTACGAGTACTCTCAGTATGTGGCTAATGGCGGTAAGAAGAAGCTTTTCGGCTCTTCGAGCCCAGTTTTGAGTGAGGTCATTGGTGCCCAATTCCACCCAAATGGGCTCCATGTCCTTACTGTTCATCAAGACTCTACATTGGTGTTCTGGGATACCAGTGATGCTACACTTATAGAGGCCAGAAACCTCTTTGATCTCCACTTGCAATTGCCAGGGCCCCCCATAGACCCTCCATTGTTCCAAATATCCAGTGTTAGGTGGGTTTGCGCTGCCAATCCAGAACGCACGCAGTTGGTCATAAGTGGTTCATCGTCTGTAGACGGTTCTGGTAACACTCTTCACGTCATCGACTTTGACCATACCTTGAAATACTCCATGACATCCCATGCAAAACAGGCAGAATTCTACTCCCAGCCTCAAAATGGCCAAAAAATTATTCCAATCACTCTTAACGAAGGCAATGACAATCCAGAGGTGCCTGAGTTCATTGATCTGATTTTACCATTGTCTGTAGGCCCAAATCCTTATTTTGGTGGAAACCATGACCCCAAATACTTGCTCCTCAAGAGTAACTACAGATCGATTTACTTCATCAAGTACGGTTCAAGCGACTTGCCACCAGGTGTCATTCCTACTGCGACTGGTGGTGCCATCAGTAACGATTTAGGTAATCTTATTTTGCCTATGTCCATTGGTTTTGTCCATCCACCCATTCTGTTCTCCAGTCTCAACTCAATCCGGAGGATTGACTGGTTCAGTATTATTACTTCAAGAGCATCCACTGGTGCAAGCTCTGTGAACCAATCCTTGCTCAAAGGTGGTTTTGCCATTGCTCACGTTGGGGATGTCAAGTCCATTGGTGCCAATGATGGTGAGAGAGACATTCTTATTACTGGGCACGAAAATGGTCTTGTGAGATTACAAGACGTTTCAAGAGGTGAAAATGCTAATATGGAAAATATTGTCCAAATCAGTTTGAAAGAGACCTTATTCGACGATGGTAAAAAGCAATCCACTAGAATCGAAGCTGTCTCCTGTTCCTTCGAAAGCAGAGAAATGATCGTGGGATTAGGAAATGGTGATGTTGTCATCTGTAAATATGGTAAGAGAAGAGCACCTGGCCAGGGTCAATCGGGAAATAGCGACTACAGAGACTGTCCATTGCAACATTCAAATGGCAATGCCAAGATCCTTAGTCTCAATGACCGAATTCAGGGAACATTCTCTCAATCTGCAACATTTTTACCAGTTAGCCTTGTTCAAGTTGAAGCTGAAGAAGAAATCTCGTGCTTGAAAATGAGTAACGTGGGATTTGGTGCAATTGCCTACAAATCTGGAAGGTTAGTGGTGTGTGATATCACCAGAGGACCTGCAATCATCCTTAACCTTGACTCCATTTCGAAACACCTCCCGTCCGTGAGTGGACAATGTTACGCCACCACGATGGAATTTTCCATTATGGAATTCGGCCAAGAGGGTTTCTCGTCGATCCTTTTATTTGTTGGAACCAATTGTGGAGGTAATTTGATTATTTTCAAGATTTTGCCTCAGAGCAATGGTGGATTCGAGGTTGTTTTCGCTGACAAAACCCTTGGTTTGAACTACCGCCTGACTTCTGAAGATCCTACTGCCTCTAAGTTGGATGATCTTATTCCAATTTCAGCAAAGGATGGCAGATCTGCTGTGGCGACCCTCGAAACATTCCACAAGCTTGGCCAAGGTATCTTGATTCCAGGCTACTTGATAACCAGCTCTAAGAGAGATTTGAGAGTGTTGAAATTGCCTAAAACTAAATTGTCCCATAAGGTAATCGAAGACGGATGTGTAAGATCTGGGATTGTTGAGTTGGCACTGGGTAAGATCCTTCTTGCCAGCATTGTTAAGACTGGATTTATCAAATTTTGCTCGGTTCCAGCACTCAACGATGTTGCCGAAATCAAGTTTTCTAAGGATCTCTATGTTAAATTGAAGAGTGCACTCGAATCAGAGGTTGCTGAGGGCTCGAAGATATTGCCAAGCGGTAATTTCTTCATTAAAACTAGTTTCACTGAATCCATTCACTTGAGAGCTTGTCAGAAGGAGAGTAGACTTCGGTCATCAAAGGGTCCACTTACCGACCAATTGTTTAATGAGAATGCTATAATACCTCAGCGTCCAACAGCTGGAGCATTGCTGTGGGCCAAGGGACAAACTAAATATACTAGTGTGGAGGATTTGGCATTTTTGATTGGAGGTCCAAACAGAAAGCCTGCTAAGCATGAAGAAAGCAGATTGGCACACAACATCAGCCCCGAGGCTAATCCTCAAGGGGGGTATGCTGAGCTGGGTGGTCAAAACGAACGGGGTTACAAGGAGCCTCAGCGTAAAAATGGACCCCAAGGATACGGCATAGGAAATGCCGGGTTCATGAGATCTTTACAAACTGGTATTGACTCGGTTGAAGAGAGTTTCCATGGCTATGCCAGTAATGTCAGCGAAGCGATGAACGAAGGGCTTGATTCGGGAAAGAAGTCGTTCTATGGAGCGGCCATTAAGAGCAAGTTAGGAATTTAGGTAGAATTAGATGAATTTAAGTCACGAACAAGGCATCTATAACGGGATAATTATTTCTTGGACAAGTCGAACATCTTGTATTCAAGACAGTTTAAAAAAGCTTTGAAACCATTCATAACCGCAAACACAGAAATTCTATGTCATAGAATATCAGTGGGCAGTTTCGTCTTTTATTTGGTGGTTTGGGGTGTATAAAGGCATAGATTTGAAAAACATATACGTATCAAAGTGAGAAGATGGTTGCGCTAACAAGGCTGAATTCAGTAAAAAAATTCTGAACCTTTAAAACTCGATGTATTCAATAAATTCCTAACACTATACTCCATTACCTCGTAGACCTTCTCTACCCCGGAAATAACGATTGCAAAAATGCAGACAAGGCTAACCGATTGAAGTCACGTGACTATAGGTCACGAGAAGACATCGTAAACACGATCCGGCCCAATGTTTACATTCCCCAGAGTCCCTTCCTGCCAGCCCCATGGACAAAGAAAACATACCTACGTCCCCCACCAGGGACCAGCCGCTAAAGCCCATTTCACCTAACAAGCCAGGCAGGCTTAACTTCCTCCAGAATGACAATATTGACGAGCATTTTTCCCAGCTCCACAATGCCCAACACTTGATCCAACAACAATTGTACAACCTCGAAGTCCAGACAAAGCAAACGTCGCTTGATGTGGGTCAGATCAGTGATCGGCTGAAGAATAATAACCAGCATCTCAACAAGTTGCTTCAAAACATCGCCAATTACTCGGAGGAGGTGATCACGGAAGGTAATGCTACCAAGCAGGATATCACCAATATCTTGGAGAAACTCGCCGAGTTCAGCGACGAATTGAAGAAGTGCTCAAGACTGTTGGATAATGTCTCACGTGAAAGCTCCGAATCCGTCAAGCAGAGTCTTCAGGAAGTGTTGCAAGGTGTGAAGTCCTCCAACAATAATGAGGTCTCGCAGCAAGTTCAACAACTACACAGTATGGTCAGCGAACTCAAGAGTAAAGAGCTTGTGCAGGTCAGTGATGAGATCAATCAAATCAAAAAATCAGTGACTTCCAACGAAGATATCACCGATATCAAGAAGGTTCTCACCAGGGTGCTTCAAAAGGACGAATCGCTAGTCCTCGCAAAGCTCAATGAAATCGAGCAACATCTTCCAGAAAGAGACTTGGTCAGACAGATAGTGGATCCGGTCATAGCAGAATTGAAGGCGGTTTCCCTCGATTCGAAGTCTCTTAGGTTGCTAGAGGATATTCTATCGATTTTGAGTAACACAAGAAAGTCGGACCAGGACTCCAAACAATTCCAGACCGATTCCAGCGAACTGTTGGCCCTGATAAAGCAAAGTAATGCTGAATTGGCCACCAAGTTGGCGGAACAAACATCACTAATTGAACAGTTGACAGCTAATATCAAATTACAGCAATCGACTGCCGAATTACAATCTAAATATGATGCTTTGCAAGGAAAGTATGAAGAAATGACCCGTGCCTACACTTCCAGATTTTCTGAGTTCAAGATTCTCCAAGAGCACTTCAAGGAATTGGCCTCTAATACCAACAGAATCAGCGTCACTGATGGAGGGGCCAAGGTGGGACGGTTGAACAAAGTCCGTCAATTACATGCATCGAAAATGGAGGAGATCGGACGGACTGGTGGTTGGAGAGGAGAAGACAAAAGAATTGTCAGTACACCTGTGCACAGAGTGAACGAGGATGAAATGAATAATTCTGATGAAGAATACTGATTGGTCCTGTTTAGATTATAGCGAGGCTGCAATCGGTAAGCTATATTCGGGTGTACACCCAACTACACATAATGAAAGCTCAGGGATTTTCGTGCTTCAACAATAAAAGGTGCTAAATACTGAAACCAACCCTCTATCCTACCCATCAATACGGGGATATTTACATGATCAGAACTATATACATGACGAGTGGACCAGATGCATGAGCTATTCATTAGTGGGATTGGCTGGTAATGCGGTCCTTTCCATCCATATATACCCTCAAAACTTCGGGAATATGGATGCAGTCGGCCTCTGCATCATAGTTTTGTTCGATTAAGGCTATAATCACCCGGGGAACTGCCATACAGGTACCATTCAAGGTCTGTACGTGTTTGATCTTCTCGCCATCGTGGTAACGAATCCCCAATCTTCTCAGCTGGTACTCGCCACAGTTGGAGCTACTCGTCAATTCTCCCCAGTTTCCTCGTCCGGGCATCCAGGCCTCACAATCGTATTTTTTCATGGCAGGAGCCCCCAAATCGGTGGTAGGCATGTTGATCATTTTGGCTTTCAATCCAAGCTCGTGGATGATTTCCACCTGGAGATCCTTGATCTGTTCGAGCTCTTGGGCTGCTTGTTCTGCGGTTCCAGTGAAGTGGAAGAGCTCCACCTTAGTGAACTCATGTACCCGGTACAAGCCTTTGGTATCCTTGCCCCTGGCACCTGCCTCGGCACGGTAGGAACGCGACACTGCCACGTACTTCTTGGGGAACTTGGTGTCTTCAAAGATAGTAGAGGAGTGGAAAGCTCCGAGAGGAATCTCAGCAGTTCCTGTCAATGAAGTATCTTCCCCTTCCAACTTGTAGACCTGCTTTTCGCCGTTGTGATCGTTGGGCTTGAAGCCACAAGCGTCCACTACTTCGGACCGCACGATCGATGGTGGGATCATCATAGTGTAGCCGTTTTTACGTGCCTTGCTGAGAGAATACTGGACCAATGCCTGCTCTAAAAGAGCACCATCGCCAATGAGATAGTACCACGATGACCCTGAGATCCGCGACGCCTGGTTAAAGTCCATGATGCCGAATCTTTCGCCTATTGTCTTGTGGTCGTGGGCAGTTGTAGGAAAGGTTTCGTGGGCAGAACAGTTGATATGCTCCACTACCAGGCCCTCCTGGGCATCCTCTGGAACGCTGGAATCCAATAAGTTGGGCAAGCTATCAGCACGAGCGTAAATCTGCTCGGTAAGCTCCTTGTGCTGGGACTCGAGTGGCTTGAGCTCACTCTTTATGGCTTGGAGTCGGGTCTTGATGGCATCCTTGTCTTCAGCAGCCTTGATGAGTGACCCGAGCTTGGACCTCTCGTGGCGGAGCCCGTTAACCTGTGCTTCGAGAGCAAGCTGGTGACGTCTCTGGGAAATCACGAACTCCAAGTTCTGATGGATGGCAGGAGAAGACTGTCTTCTGGCAATGGAATCACGGTACTGGTCCTGGTTGGAGATGATGGAGTTGATGTCTAGCTGGGCACGCATCAACACGGCCGAGTTCTTCGAGGAACTGGCATAGCGGCGCCATATACGTGTGGAAAGTGTCATGGTGGGTTTTGCTATGGCGGTGGTTCGAGTTGAATATTGAATCAGGTGATGCTAGTCATGTGATATGGAGTGTACATAACTTCCAAGCCTGGCCGGACTGGAAGCCAAATGACCAGCATAACAACGTCTGGTTATTGAGCAGGTCTTGGGTATTGATTACAGAGTAATTTGGACGTCTCTCGGAGTATTGGTTTTCATATTAGGGTATTTGTGGGATACTGTCTTATTTTCCGATTGATATTTACAGCTGTGTGAGTATTAAATTGTTTATTCTAGTCGAGGCAGCGAATGGCCACTCTGTGTAGAATAGGGGAAGTATTGATTAAAAATAGCTGGGCCCTTTAATTCTTTTTAGCTAACCATTTTAGGTATAGCAGAAATTTTATTATTTTTATTCTTTTGACTTAGCCCTACTAAATACCATTAATCCTGTTAAAAAATTCGAGTTTGAGACTCTTTAATCCTTTGAATTTCATCTAGGACATTGTAGTCTAATCCCGTTAATCATATTTTACACTATATATATATTGAGTACGGCTGGTCAGAAAATTCTCCCCGTTTACTCATTTCGTCTTATCCATGCTTATTACCTTCGCATCTACTATCTAAATTACCTGAATTGGTTTCAATGCAAATATTCCTATCCAGATTCATTTCGTCTTCTTTCCATGGCCTATCGTAACATCCAAATTCCATTTGTGCTTCTTCCCATCATATTTTCCTATCCAGATAATTGTAGTGCCTTCTTACAATGGTATCCCCCTTTCTACACTGTCACTACGATACTGTAGTATCCACACATTTCGTCTATGCATCTACTGCCCGTTCAAGTCATATCTAATGTCGTTTATAATTTATACAGGATTAACTAAACATAAAGTTGAGAACCTTCTTTGGAAGCGAGCTGTTCTTGAATCTCTCGGCCTCTTCTTGCTTTTCCAAGTTGAGTACTTCTTCGTCGAAGATGGTTCTGTCGGTGTGGATGTCCATATCTTGGACTCTGATGAACAAGGTCCAGTTTCTAGTATAGATCTTGTGGCCCAAGTAGAAGAAAATCAACACAATGGCACCAAGGTACTGTTGGAAGAAGTTTTCGGCATCTGGCTTGCCGGAACCCACTGGGAATAATGCGATCCAGAATTGGGCAATCAAGATGAGAACGTGCCAGGTCATGGCGTAGATGGAGCCCCAAACACCGGTGGAAGCCACGTACCCCAAGGAGTCGAGCGAGATGTTGTTGTAGCGCAAAGCAGCTCTGAATCTGACGTGACTCATGCAAATACCGAACCAGGTGAAAAGTTGGGACAATCCGGAAATAGCCAACAACCAGTTGAAAACGGTTTCTTGCTTCTTGTAAGCAGCAATGAAACAGAAGCACCCGATGATGGAGCATGCAATCAACGATCTCAATGGTCTTCCGGCCTTGTCGATGTAGTTGAAGTAGGATGGGGCGAAGTTCTGTTCAGCCAATGATTGTAAGGTTCTAGAGGCCGAGTACAACGACGACGAGGCCACAGAAGTCACCGACAAGAGAATGACGGCGTTGATGATGGATGGAACGACGGGCACGCCGTGGAGCTCGGCAGCAAGCACGAAAGGCGAGGCGTGGGAGCCTCCACCGCCAGAGCCCATCAATCTGTCGGACTTGTAAGGAACCAACAAACCCACCATGGTCAAGGAACCCAAAAATAAGAAGAACACTCTCCAGAAGATCAACTTACAGGCAGTGGGAATGGCACGTCTGGGGTTGGACTGCTCGGCAGCAGAGAGAGCCACGAACTCACTCTGGCCCAACGAGAACGCACCCGTCACGAACACGGTACACAAACCCTTGAAGTTGGTGTAGTAACCAGGGTCGTGCCAGTATCTGCCACCAATGAACTCGCCACGAGGGCCACCACCCACGTTGACCACGATGGCCATGATAATGAACCCAGTGATCATCAACAACTTACAGGAACCCAACACGAACTCACCCTCTCCGTAACCCTTGGAGCCGTAGAAGTTGATGAACAACACCACGATGTAGAAGATCAACACCCACACGTCGGGGTTGACCTTGGTGGTCCAGTACTGGATGGTGATGGCAGCGGTGACCAACTCGATGGCAATGACGGACAACCACTGGATGCAGTAGTTCCAGGTGATGGCGAACGCCAACGACTCGTCGACGAACTTACGAGGGTAATTGTTGTAGCCTCCAGAAAGATCACTGTAGTTGACAGCCATCTCACCAGCAGCCTGCAAGGTGGGGTACAAGAACGAGCCGACGATGGCGTACCCTATGATCAAGAAGAGGGGACCTGCGTTATGTAACACCTTTCCGGAACCGACCAACAACCCGGTACCCACACCTGTGACCAAGGCCATGAGGATCAAGTGTCTTTTGCTGATACCTTTCTGGAGCTGTTTACCTGCAGCCTCGGATGCTTCCTGGCGACGGAAGCTGTCGACGAAGCGCTCCCAGCCGGAGGAGGGAGCGTCGTTGGAGAACTGGGCGTCCTCGGACGCTGTGGACGAGAAGTTGCCCTTCACCTCGGAGGAGATGGGCTTGAGCTCGATGTCTTTCATGGTGAAAGCAGATGTGACAAGTGACAGTTAGTGACTGCGTTGACAGGTGACAAGTTAGCTGTAGTGCCTGCGTTAACTGCGTTGACTGCGTTGACAGGTTAGTGACTGTGCTGGAAACTGTGAAGTCTTGTATGAATCTGCCGCCAGATGAGTAAATAAAACCGCGCTTGCTACGGAGATGCATGGATTCATATACTCGGCCAGGACGCAGCGACACACAAAACGCACGCCAGATAAGACAATACGGAGATGGAGGAGTCACGGTGGCCTGGCGAGCAATCTTATCGTGGCAACGCTACGATCTCAAGGCAGTGACGGTGACGAGATGGGCCAGCACCCGTCAAATCGACACTGCCTGTGTCTGTCGTCTTATGGTCTACACCCAGTGTCTTCGTGGACGCTGCGAGGGTCTGCTTCCAGTCCCCGGTCCTGATGATTTGCGCTAGCAGAATAGGCAGGGTGCTCTGCTAGGTTCCAGAAGCCTGGAGGGACGCTGGCGGTACCCGCGAGTGGGGACGCCCACCTTCGTTCCCACACGGCCACCACCACATCCACCACCACCAGCACAACCAGTGGTGCCATGTCCCCGCTCAGGCTCCGGGCCGCCAGATGCCTTGAGGTTGTCCTCCAGTGAAAAATGTGCCTCCGTTTCTTTTGGGACGTTTGCAGCATGCTGCATTGGGTGACACCGGCGGTCATATGCAGTCACCGCGCGCTAGCGCTGTGACGTGTACTGCAGGTGTCACCGAGGGCCCTATACGGCTGAGCTGCCAGGTGGGGAGAAAGCCTATTGTTGGGCTGGTGGACCATGAGGGGGCCTGGTGGGGCCTGGTGGGGCACTCCCCACATCCACTCACACTCCTGCCACCACCACGGCAAGTGGTGCAAAACCTGCCCCGGAGGTTCGTCCCCGCTGTCATTTTCTCGGGAGGGAAAATTTTCACCGGTGGTGCTCATCGCCGTCACGGAAACTTACGGATATGGCGAGTGGGGCGTTGGTGGAACCACTGGATGGTCAGACTTTTTGTGCGTGTGTATATATCTGCCAATGAGAGGAGGCAGCGGCGAAAACTGCCATGGAAGGAGTGCCGAAATCTGTAGTGCCCGAAAACGACGGTAGGCGGCTATGCGGTAGGCGCCTAAATGGTGGCGCCGGCATATGGCGCTCTCGGCATTACGCCTGGTGCGATGCCGGGATGAGTCAGCCATGCCAGCTGAGGGCTTTGGAACAGCCGTCACCAGCGGAGAACCACCCCTTACGGCCCCACACGAACCCCACCGCGATGCAACGGAAAGACAAGGCATTAGCCGGAAGTGTACACGTGATGGTGGGGCACTTTCGGTTGAATAGAGCTTTGTGCACGGGCGAAGTCAGTACTAAGGATGGGCTACTATGTTGTACTATATCTTGTATACTGTTCAGTAGGGTCGAGCCACCGATAAAATGTAGAGGTGAAGTTTTATGTGTGATCTGATCTAAAAAGTAATTTTTAAGTTAATTGTACTGGTTCATTTTCAGGTTAATTTATCGAGGGTATTCGACCTCTGCTTCGGTTTGCCCCATTCCTGATTTGTTCCGCCTGTTATCGTCCGTTATCTGTTTGGGGATCCTCCCTTCATTTTATCGTTATCTCTGAATTCCAACATTCTATTCTCGGTAAGGTTACCCGAAGTTAGATCATTGCTGTGTCGCATTTTGGCATATTTCCAAGCAAATGTCGTGCCTCTAGACAGATACATTACTTTGGAAGTGTTTAAAGACATCAAAGCTGCCCTTCTTTCACCTTCCTAGTTAGTGGGTTGAAATGGGTATAGCGCACCCATGACTTATTATTGTATGCTGTTGGGAAATGTAGAATGAGGCCATTAGAGATACTCGGAGTGAACTGCTCAAATTGGGGGCTTAGCTTCTAGCCGATAGCCAAACCTTATTTTAATTCTTCTATTGTGACTTGCAACGTCATGGAACTATTTCAGAGATAACAGAGTGTTGATCCTTGAACCTAAAATATTCCTAAATTTCTAATTATTCGGAGGTCGATAGACAGGAGCTATAGAAGCATGCATTTGTCCATAAAGAATCGTCCTTCATATCAATTGGCGTAGAAACTCTTCAACAGCACCTGCTTTGATGCTCTTTGGCAAAATATAGATGGTTGAAGCTTGTAAACTTGGTATCTATAATTATAAAGCGAATATCGTCGTCTATTTTCCTAGCATCGAAAGTTGATAAAGAAGAAATTTGAATGAACCATCGCTAGATTAAAGCCATCGATTGGAGAAGCTATTAGGTGTTTGAACGTTGATGTATGGCAACAATGGTAACGGTGAGTCCCACCGACTAAACCTATTATTTGAGTGGAAGATATTGTTGGCATTTAGTAATGATCTCCGGGTTGGAGAAACTATCGTAGTTGCAACGCTATGCACAACACAGCTATCGGTCAATACGTTTTGGTAGTTCGATTTCCGTGTCTGAAGTCAAGTTATGAATTAATTTGATTAATGATTACTTTAATGATTACTCGATTTACATGGCCAAAGATGATAAATGTCATGTTTAAGAATATTATTTACAAGTCAGCTATATGTTATATAGTCAAGGATAAATATCGAAGTGTACATCTCGAGTTCTGGGTGATTTCTAATCACGTCACAACTATCGGAGTGTATCTCTTTAGAAAATATGTATAACTTTCGTTGGACTTTGTCCATTCGTTTTGTCTGCCTGGTGGCATCTATTGGTCTCTATTCTGTAGTGGTATTTGTGATTACCGTGTGTTCTAGAGCATCGCCACTAAGAGAGTGGGAGTGGTGATGGTCAGTAACAATGATAATCTCCTGGGAGTAGATCGTTGAGACTATCGAGGTGGTGGCCAATATGATTATCGACCAAAAGGATGCAATCTGCCACATAACCATGATCATCGCCCCAAAGGACTCCTAGGTTTTCTATGCTATGAGAGAAAATACAATCATCCCAAATTATCCTCCTGTGATGACAATCGCCGTGAATTTCCTGTAGCCATTATCACCACCATTAGATTATCCGATCCTAGCCTAGACTCCCTCCAGTGATCTGTCTCCTGTCACTCTTATCCCCGCTTATCCTTTTGCCCATGACCTATAATCTCCATCGCCCGCGAGTCTCCCCCGGCAAGCTCGGGGTCGCCCAAGGCGTCTCCCAAGCATTCCCACGGATCCCGGGTGCCTCCCCACTTCAAGATGCTGTGGCGGTACCGCTCACCAGCAGCCCTGCTCCAGGGATCGGCCGCAAAAAGGCCCTCCCATACCCGAGCTGCGATCGCTCGGTCCAACAAGTACGAGTAGTACACCGCCCCGTACGAGAACAAGTGGGGAAACTTGCCGTGCCAGGTGGACCACTGGTCAGCAAACACCTCGAGGCGTGCCTCGAGCTTGTGGTACACAGCAGTGGAGTCTGGAGGCCCCTCACGACACATCCACTCCTCGCTGTGCAACGCTTGGTCCAACATGGCCATCTTGGATTGCATGTAGGTTTCACACTCGTCGAGCTCCATGCGCTGGCGGTGGTGCTGGGCCAACAACTGGCTCGACAACCGTGCGCCAGTTTGGTGATGGCGACCGATTTCCACCATCACCCGCGGGTCCTTACTGAACTGCTCCATCAATACAGATGGCAACTCCACGAAGTCGGTGGCACAACGTGTCCCTGACAAGTTGTGAAGCTCGGTACGTCCAAGCATGGAGTGCATGGCGTGGCCCATCTCGTGGAACACGGTATCGACCTGGTCCAAGGTAAGGAGGGTGGGGCGTGAGGCTTCTATTCCCGCGAAGCGGCCAATGGGCTCGTTAGCGCGGTGGAAATTGCACACCAACGAAATGACCGGCAACTGGTAGTCGCCATCCAACTGCACACGCGCCGACATCTGGGAGCGGTTCTCAGTGCCAAGGGCCTCGTTGAGGCGACGCAGGCACACAATAGTGAAGTGCGAAGGGAGCACCTTTGGCAGCCAGAAGTCGAGGTAGAGATACCCTAACTTGGTGTTGGAGCCCACATCGTACACGTTGAGCTTGCGCACTTGGTTGGGGTCCCAGGTCTCACCACGGAGGGTGGGCTCCGGCACGAACTTGACGTTGTAGAGGGCGGTGAACAAGCGACTCAAGCCTGCGACCACCGTACCAATGGAGAAGTAGTCGGCGATGGGTGCAGAGGGGGCCTGGGTTTTGGTGTGGTGCTGGAGGCGTGCGAGGAGGTAGTCACGGTCCCAGGGACGGATGGCGCTGGCGTCGTCGGTAAAACCAGTGGTGGAACTGGTAGTCCCACTGTTGCTAGCAGCACTGGTCTCGCCAGTGGAACTAGCTCCACTGGTACCATCGGTACCAGCTTGGCGCAACCGCGCGAGCTCTCGTGCAACCCCTCCTTCCCGCAACAGCCCCTGGAGCTCACCGAGAAACGCCTTCACATTCTCCGGTGTCCGCGCCATCTTGTGCTCGAGCTGATAGTGCGCAAACGACCGGTACCCCAACATCCGTGCCAAGTGCGCCCGCTGCTCCAAGAACCCATTGAGAGTGGCAATCTGGTCCTCGGACGAGTTGTGCAATGCTATCCAGATTTTCTTACGCACCGCCTCCGCGGGACAGTGCGTCAAAATCGTGTAGGGAATGTGGCCTGCCAACGGCACTTGCACCGTGCCACTCCCACCGCGCTGGCCCGCGCGCCCCTGGTAGCTCAAGATTTCGCTGCGGAGCTGGGCATCGGGAATCTGGGCAAACTCGGCTGCCGTCACCTCACACCAGTACGACTGGAGGTTGTGGAGCTCGTTGTTGAAGTGTGACCCCAAGAGCGAGATCTCCTGAGTGATAGACACAAACCGTGCTCGTGTAGCTGGGTCCATGTGGATTCCCGAGCGCTCGAAGTCCTGCTGCAAATACTCCCCCACCAGCACTTCCTCAGGCGTCAATTTCGCGCGCACCGAGTCGTCCGCCAAAATGTCCCGGAGGTGCTGGTACAACTCCACGTTGGTGTTGAGCTGGTTCATGTACTCAAACATGATCTCGTGGGTCTGCTGGGCAGCGTTTACCCACTTGGAGCTGGGGTGCGCTACCCGGATGAACTCTGCCACGTCGATCACTCGGCACAAGAGGTCGCTGAGCTGGTCCAATTTGCGAATGTAGGTGGCTCTTCCAGCGGCTCCCGCGCTGGCATCTGCCACCATGGCGGCTACCAACGCCTTGGCCTCCTGGAGCGACTGTTTGGAGAACTCCACGAGTCCGTGCGGTGTTGACAAGCTCTCGTTGCGGAAGAGGCCCGTGCGAGGCCCAAAGAGCCCACTGGCGCCGTCGGTGGCCTGTTTGTTGAATGCTTGGAAGTACTTCTGGTCGTCGAACACCCGCCGCAAATGGGTGGAATGAGCGTCCTCTGGCGCCGTGGAGAGCGCTGCCGACCTGACGCCGTGCTTGTGGTGGCGTAATTCGCTGGCCCTGCTGAGAAACGGGTGGCTTCTTCGAAGGGTGGCTGTTAACCTCATGGTTATAGATATCAGTGGATGGATGCCTTGTTGCCTGTATCGATTACGCTATATGTGTGGGTGAATGTGCTAGTCCTCCTTTGGTGATGTTAAAGCTGAATCAGAGTTGGTTTCCGGTCATATGACAGATATTCATCATCTATATTGTCTATCTTTTTATTATCACTCGAAAATTTGCGAAGACTAGGAGTCATGCGATCAGATCCGGTGGGGCAGATAGGAAATGACAGCCCTCCGACGGGCGCACGACTTCTAGACTGCTGGGGCTGGCATGAACAGGTGGGTGATGCTGTAGTGACTAGGACAGGATGTCGTATGGCGTGGATGGCGTGGATGCTCCTTTATCACTAAGGGTGGTAACGAAGAAGGGCTTTGGTAAAAGGCAAAAACGAAGAACTTCAACGTCCTGGGCGATAGCTCGAATGGGAAAGTTCCCAGGCAAGTCCCATAGGGAGTAATTGTGAACGTATTTGTTGAGAAGGGCAGTCTTGAAGTTCTTGTAGTTAGCGTTTTTTGTCCACTCGTGGAGCTATTGTAGATGACTTATTTTGTCCAGAATGGCACCAGGTGGTATGATGAAGAAGCCTTGCAGCAATTGCCCTTGAAATTATTAGAGCAATCGGGTCAACAGCTTCACTGGTATTCTAATTGTAGTATGACTACGTGATTCGAGGACATCCCTGGTAATCAACTGTCGTGTGACTACGCAGTCAATTACCGTTTGATTATTGAAGTTTGAGCGTCCTTCTTGGGAGCCCAATTTTGCAGGATTCTTACCACCCAGGGGTAGTTGTCATACGATATTAATCAACGAACTAACATCTTTTGTCAATACTTCTCTAGTGGCAATTCGAATTCATGAATTAGGACTCACTGGAAAACAGAAGACGATTCCAAAGTGCTCAATGGAAGTTCAACGGGTCCTGCCTCCCGCTCCCATATTTAAGCTGTTGAGAATCCACTTAGTTTCGAATAACCCAAATCTGGTTGGGTCTTTTTGCACCCACATTTATTACCTATAGAAATCTGAATCCATTTTTTGCTACTAAAGTACATTATAATTTCCTCTCTCAGATCCGTTAGGTTCTATGTCACTAGCAGGCAAACTATACTGCAAGGAAAACACAACAATAATTCCAATATTATCACCTCTAGGTGTGGTGAATATGCTGAAATCTGTTTTCATAAATTTCTTAAATGAAGTCTTTCTTCAATTTAGATAAATTATGTTACAAGCAAACCATCACAGAGTGTGAGCACAAATACTTCAACTTGAGCATCCGCTGAATTTTCACTTTAGGTAAGCATGCTTGAGGAGAGTAACGTCAAATTGTTCAAAATTTCCCAAAATTTTTACAATATTTGCCAATTCCATCAATTCGTGTTAAAGCAATACGAACAAAAAGAAGTACACCTAATCTGACCTGAATCTTGATTATCAAACACAATTATCATTATTCTTGATATGCGTTACTTTAATGCAAGGTGCAACAACATGCATGGGATGATGCGAATCGTGCAGCATACATAGTCACAAAAATTGTCTACTATTTAGACCGGTAATAGATATGGTAATTGGCTAGGTGTAAGACATCGGAGCGTACGTGCTGCTCTTCTCCTCGGAAATGTCAACCGTACATGGGAATTTATTGAGTTTTGCACCATCTTCGAATGCAATAATTCATTAGCTGTCCTTGTTTTCTACAAGGTTTCGGTCTACCCAGAATAACCACCAGCCCTAATGAATTCAATTCTTTTAACGAATTTCTAGTACATGATACTGTCACCAGTTAAGGTAACAACTATTTGCCTAGCAATATATCCTAGCCTCTGCCCGAGACACTCAATTTCCAATTTTATGGGCCAATTTTCTGTATTCATACGTGGTCGTTGACGGTTGCGAAAAGCGCACCAAAAAGCAACCGGACGATGCCCAGCAATTCACGCTCCTGGGAAACGCCAGTCCGAATGCTGGGTCCAGAAAATTTCAGCCCAGGCAGGAATACTTTGGCATTACTGGGAAGTATTCCTGGCATGTAATGACACGAATCCGCAATAATTAAATGTATTCAATAACGAATGTACGTACAATAAATGATTGAATAACCGAATGTATTCATAATGTAAAGCCATATTCCAGCATGCCACCCACAAGCCACACACACACCCACTGGCTAGTTGCCACTGGCTCATTATGACTGGCTCATGACACCCACTCTCGGTGTCCTCTCCCAAGTCTCGCAGCCACCCACCGCCCCTATTCGTGCCTGGCCCAAGTGCACTCATCCCCACCATTCAATCCACTTCACCAAACACGCTACTTCTTCCCCCACGCCTCCTCAGCACCATGTACAAACCCTCCAAAGGCGGCTCGCCGCCTGGGGCCTCCAATGCCTCTGCTAGCCAGGCCAAGAGGCGGTCTGCCAACGACTACCAGTTCGGAACTCGCATTGGTGAAGGCTCGTACTCCACCGTGTTCTCAGCGTTGGATGTCCACAACAAACAGACATACGCCATCAAGGTGCTCTCCAAACGGCACATCGTCAAGGAGGACAAGATCAAGTACGTCAACATCGAGAAAACCACGTTGCACCGCTTGGGCCAGCAGCACCCAGGCATTGTCCAGTTGTACTACACGTTCCAAGACGAATCCAGCTTGTTCTTCGTGCTCGACTTCGCCGAGTACGGTGAGCTCCTCTCGATCATCCGCAAGTTCGGCTCGTTGTCGGAGCAGGTGGCCAAATTCTACATGTGCCAGATCGTGGACGCCGTGCGGTTCATCCACAGCAAGGGCGTGATCCACCGTGACTTGAAACCCGAGAACATATTGGTGGGCCATGACTTCAACTTGAAAATCACCGACTTTGGCGCTGCCAAGTTGTTGGGCGGCTCTGACGACAATTCCGGCGAAAACATCGACTACAACGACGTCCACGAGGCTCCCGACAAGGCAGACCGCCAGGGCTCGTTCGTGGGAACTGCCGAGTACGTATCGCCTGAGTTGTTGAAGCACAACGTTTGTGGCTTCGAGTCCGACGTATGGGCCTTGGGGTGTATCTTGTATCAGTTTTTCCACGGTAATCCGCCATTTAAAGGTAATACCGAGTATCTCACGTTCGAGAAAATCATAGCCGTGGACTACTCGTTCCGCACAAAGACGCCTGTGCCAGCAGACGTGGTCCAGCTCGTGGACCAGATCTTGGTAGCAGACCCTTCCCAGAGATTGACCATTTCCCAAATCATGGCTTCACACTGGTTCCACGAGGTACACTGGGACGACCAGAACTACATCTGGGGTCGCAAAGTCCCCAGATTCGAGCCCCATGGCTCGACTCCCGCTGCCACGACATCTTCCTACATGCCTGGCCTCAAAACAGGCTCCAACAGAGATATGAAGCAGTCCAGCTCGTTTCAGCAACTCCATTCCCAGATCCAACTGTCGGACTACAACCTAATACCGTCGTTTGGATCAAAAACTGCATATCAACCAGCAAACAAACTAAAGAAGACCTACATGCCTCCACCCGCATCTCCACAGCAAATGGCTAATCCTTCCAACCAGCCATCGCCTCCCAAAGTGTCTGCCAACCAGTACTCCAATAGATTTCCTGGACCACCTCCACATCAGCTGGGTTTTCCTATGAACGGATCCAAACCAGGGCCGATCCCAGGACCCATGCCAGTTTCACACCCAGGGCCCCCAATGGGCAATGGAGCCAGTTCTAATGGCCACTCGCTTGGACCAGCTTATAATGGAGCCCTGGGAGCCCAGAGAATTAACTCTCCCTACATTCCCTCGTCCCCAAGCCAGAATTTCATAAATGCCTCGTCTCCAGAGTCACCAGGAAGAATTCCTAAGCATACCAATCTTAGATCAAAAACTGCATTCAACAACATAAGCAGTAATGGAAACGACCTGATTTCTGCGCCTCCTAGCATGCCAGCACCACCCAGTTCATCGTCACCAACAATTCCCCCACCTTCGGTGCGCAAACCTTCAGGAAGTGTCCCTACTTACAAACCAACACAGACGTCTGCACAGGTTCAGAGTATAGGTGTCCCTAGTGCCCCACACGCAGCCGCGGCAGCTGCTGCTGCCGGTAAGCAACAGCCTCCGCAACCAAAATCTTCACCTTCATTGAATCAACAAGGCTTCGCCAATAATCGCCTTGTCAAGTCTCCAACATTAACATCAAACCAATTTAAGACTTCCAAGGGCAGTGAAAAAGCTAGCGTGAAATCCAACGAGAAAGTGGACAAAGCCGAGCCCGTAAAACCAGCAAAGCCTTCTTTGGAGAACACCATCAAGTTCAGCGAAATATACAGCCTACTTGAGCCCGAAGAGAAGATCCTCAAGATGGACACAGTCTTCAAGCTGTATTTGAGCAACAGCATAGTGAAACGGTCTCAAGCCGAGCCATTGGATGATTCTGCCATCGACGAATTAATCACTCGGTTCCAGAGAGAGTTGGCCAGGAACACTGTTCCGGTGGTGACAGTAATCACTAATTTTGCCAGGGTATTTTTCATCGACGGTTTGTTGAACGTGATCTTGGTGGACTTGAAGGCCAACCAGGGGAGCGATTACCTGATGTACGATTACGAGTTTGAGAGCATTGCTGTGGACGGGGATGACAATCCCATTGATGAGGAGGTCTACGGCTACCTCATTTTGGAGTTGATCAGAGAGGATGGTGATTTGATATTCTTGAAGAGAATTGCTCCCACGGACAGGCTTTCATTGGGTGACACCGTCAAGGTGTTGGACCGAAGCGAAAACCCCGTCAAGCTTGGCAAGAATTATGGCTGGATCGAGTGCTTATTGATGGCCAAGGAGCTGATCTCCAAGCCAAAGCCCCAGGAGGAGGAAAAGCCATCCAAGGCAAAGAAAAAGGTCAAGAGCACCGCCAAAAAAGTGAAACGAACCGTTTCGACCAAATCGGAAACCACCTCGAATTCTGACAAGAAGAGCTTTGCGCATGCGGCCGCCGCAGCTGCCCATAAATAGGTAGACTCTAGAGTAAACAATGTGAATAGGCAGCCTCAGGGCACAATCGTAGCTCAAAACATATTTATTGACGGTGGATAAAAGTTCATGTATTCAGAATCTACTAGAAAGCAAGAAGATGTATGGGGAAAGGCAAGGACCAGTCAATTGAAGGGAATGCTGTATGGGCCAATGCATTAAATTGTGGCTATGTATTGAGGGAATGGTCGTTGAAAGATGAGAAATAGATTAATAGAACGGGTTCGAATGAATGCTATGCAGAAATAATGTTACCCATTTTGTTGTTGGGGGAGCAAAAAGTCATTTGGAAGCATTATGCTTACGGTTTTCATCTCGAACAGCACGAGCACGTTTAGTTAGTTCCAAACTAGGAAAAGTACGAGATTTTTGACGAAATCAGTTCGAGTACAATTTTGTTGGGAGTAAGGAACTCATTGGTACAAAGCTATTACTTTTCATATTGTCCAGTACGGGGGCAGAAGGGTTATTTAAGTTCCACTCAAAGCAGTATGAGATTTTGGTTGCAACTGTCTGGGAGTACAGGGAGTATTATGCTTGCAATAATTCCAGCTCGAATATACGAAGACGTTATTTGATTTCCACTTGAAAACGAGGGCTGAAGTGTTATCAATTTTCCAACTCGATACGAGGACCCTGATTTATTACCAACTCGTAGAGTTGGGGACCGGAGAGCTACTTAAATTCCAGCGAAAGAACAAAGAAAGTGAGTTTAATTTCCTAGAGTACGAAAATGTTATTTAACAGTAACCTACGGGAACTGAGTGTCATTGTGAAGTGTCATATAATGTCATCTCGAAACAGCGAAGACTGGAGTGCTATTTAATTCGCAGCTTGAAACTGCAAGGACTGGAGTGAATTTCCAACGGAAAATCCGAGTTGAAGGTAGAGTTTTTGGATAGCTATTGTTCCCCATACACACCCAACTGGCTTATTTACTATATACATTGAGCCAGTCGCGGTAGTAGCACCGGTCGCTGAGTGCCTTGGCAGTCTCCTCGCGCACGATGGACTCCACTGACCTCTCGTTACGGACCCACCGTTCCACCTCTTCCACCTGGGAAAACCGGCTTTCGAGCTCTGCGTTACGGTTCTTGACCGCGTAGGGATCGATCCGGAGGTTGTAGGGGTCGGGGTCGTCAGCAGAGGCTGGCTTGGGTTCAGGCATTGGGTGTTTGCCCTCGGCCTGTGCTCTCAATTGGATCGCGTAATCAGAGCAGTACTGGATGATCTGGGCCCGTGCATTCCACTGGGGCAAGATGGTGTTGGTGTAGTACACATCACACGCCTGGTTGCCTTTCAATTCGTTCAAGTGCTCGCGGATGGTGTCGTCCGTGGCTATTCTGGAGAGCCGGAGAAACGCGCGGATGCGCTGGGGCGAGGTACAGTTCTGGGGTGAGAGGAGATGCTCAGGCACCACCGACGGGGCTGGCGTGGTGCTGGTGGCAGCAAAAAACGGAGTGGCAGGCATGGTGGCAAATAGAAGCCACTAGCGGCCGCTATAGATACTCGGTCACGCGACTACTCGCACGTGAGACATACTGTTCCGCCAACGATCCATCTCCATCGAGGCCACCTGTTCATCCCATCCATCCCCAGCATGTCCCAGGAAATCGCGTTCCAGTATGCCTTCGTCATCGCCTTGATCGCGTTCTTGCGCAGACCCGTGCTGGAGTTGGCGGGCGCCGAAGTGCAAGACACGGTCCAGGAGGCCAAATGTCGACAAGAATCCGCCCAGTGGCTCGAAAAGGCGGCACTGGCGGACTTTGCCGGTATCACCAGTGATCCTACAGTCCAGGCTATCGCTAACACGCTCTACAGGCCGGAAGAGGCGCGTTTCGACGCCTCGAGCCAGCCCACCACTGAGGACTTGATTGCCAAGATCGAGCTGGCTTTGGCCAACCCCAGTGAGTGGATTTCCACCGCGTTACCATTGCTGCTGGTGGGTCCTCGATTGTACCACATATTGCATCGCGCAGCAATGGTCGCTGGTGCCAGCACCAGCACCAACTACTACCACGTCCTCACCAACGTGTGCGCAGGGTATGTGGACCAGACTCCGGGGAAAGCTCCAGCTGGCGTGCACGCTCAGGTGTACCAGCTGTTCCGCGACACCTTGGAGGTCCAGGTGGAGTTGCACGCGCTGGGCGACTCCCCAGCGTCCCAGCACACCGTACACAAGCTCAGAGAACAGGGAAACAACCTCATGTCGTCGCAGGCGCATCCCCAGGCCATCCAAATCTACACCGAGGCCATTGGATTGTGCGACCACGGATCCGCTGCCACTCTCAGCCAGCTCTACACCAACCGAGCCATCGCATACATCGCATTGAACTGCTTCCGTGAAGCGATTTGCGACCTTAACCGTGCGCTCCTCCACGAGCGCAGTTTCACGCCAGCCTGGACCCAGTTGGGGTACTGCCACTTGTACATGGGGTCCAGTTTGACGGCGTTGCAGAGCTACTTGATCGCGTTGAAGTGCCTGGCAGGCGAGGTGTTGCCTCAGCACTTCGACCCCCACGCATCCATAGACGAGTACAAGGCCACCAAGATCAGAGCCATCTTGCCTCAGTTCGTTCAGAGATTGTGCCAATCCATTAGTCTCACCGAAAAAAGAGCCTACCAACAGGGAGAGCCTCTGGGCACGATACGGGGGATAGTTAGCGACGTGCGAAGAATATTGGCGGTGTTGCGCTCGCACGCTCTGGAGGCTGACATGGAGTACTTCACCTTCTACCCAAATATCAGAGACACCATGTTCCGAACCATTTCGGAACGTATGAACAGAACCAATCCAGGCATTCTTACCCCAGAGGTCACCCAGAACATGTTGGCGTCGACTGGCACCGAAACCATAGCCATAGCCACCCCTAGAGATATCACCTCGTTGTACCCTGGAAGAAGAGCGGGCGCAGACGATCCTGCGACTGCCCCTGCCACCACTGGGGTAACCACCGAGGAAGCAGTTCCTGTGGCGCCTGCTGCTCCCAGCCGTGACGTTCCCCAGCCTGCCACAAGACCAGAGCGCACGTCTGGAATCAGAGAAATGCTCAACGACTTTGGCGACTTGATGGAAGGTAGAATAGGCAGACTGAGCACGGAGCCTGCAGACCCGGGTGCAGGTGATAGAAACGATTACCCGTTGAGAGACGCTCTCCGAGGCGTTTTGCCTGATGGCTTGACTAATATCATTTCGCAATTCACCGGCGGACAGAACAGAGTATTCGTAAACGGCAGAGAAGTGGGCGACACCAGAAGTGCCCCTGGTGCGGGAGAAACAAGCGAGGCAACAGACGGAAGAGAGGACCAGGACATGGATATCCCCGACCTCGATTAGCGGAAATCCTCTACAGTATCCCCTAGACGAACCGCAACTAGCAGCCAGTCCCGACATCCATTGACTTGTGGCAATAGAAGAAACACAGCGATGACTTAACGTAACAGTATTTGATAATTATAGACGACACCTTTCTCCGAGCTGATCAATACTTTGGACTTGATCTGTGATTAGATCTGTAGAATCTTGTAACAAAATTGATAAGATGATTATTCTTCGCTGATGGTTTTCCTTCTAACCTGATCGGAAATTTTTAGAGTTCCCGAAAGGGAGAATAAGCACGGTATGTTCCCTCTGCAGTCGTTCACCTAGAGTGGAGAAAGAAATGAAAGTAACGCAATGTTTTCTAACAGGTATGAATTATAAAATACTTGATATTATGAAACCACCAGAAAATAATCAAGTGGTACAGAATAAGCTTTTGATTAACCATAAGAGCTTGCAAATAGGTCTTAAATAAATACTGGAAGCAATACCATGCCTTTGAATCAATAGCGGGTTGATCCATCATAAGTGCACATCTGGTCCCGATGCGCAACTACCTTTAAACTACGTATTTCTTTTATAATTACATCAACCTGCCAAGCAAACACCACTGCTATTCTAATCCATATCTGAAAATATTGAAGCAGTGGTCAATAATTAATTAAAATATTGCCTGAACCACTGATTATTTATCTTGGGTAATGCCAGGCACCTCTTCAGGCACAGCCTATTTAGGCCCTACATTGGTCTTCGCTAAATGTATATATTAATAAAACACAGGCAACCTATAGAACAAATGTATGAGCGCGTGGCTGTAGAATGGAATGCAATAGAATAATCAACCGGGTGGTTACTTCTTTTCCTTCTTTTCCTTCTTTTCCTTCTTCTCCTTCTTCTCCTTCTTNTCCTTCTTTTCCTTCTTTTCCTTCTTGTCTTTCTTTTCCTTCTTGGCTGGCTTCTCTTCTTCTTCTTCTTCATCGGAGTCGTCTCTCTTTCTCTTCTTGTCCTTCTTGTCCTTCTTTTCCTTCTTCTTTTCCTTCTTTTCCTTCTTTTCCTTCTTTTCGTCAACCTCTTCGGTTTCGGATTCGTCATCAGAATCGATGGCAGCATCGGCATCGGCGTTGTAAGCACGAGCTTCGGTTATTTCAACCTTTGGTTGGTCTCTGACAACCTTGGAGGTGGTTCTCAAGTCACGGCCTTCTAAAGTGCTCAATCTGGATTCAACCTTGGCTCTGACCTCCAAACCGAAGTCACCACTGTCGTCACGCTCTTCAGCCAACGAGTCGTATCTCAAGGCAACTGCAGCCTTGGCAGCCAACACTCTGGCAATCTTACCCTTGTTCTTACCACTGGCCTGACCGACCAATGAAGCGTGGTACAACAAACCGTACTTTGGTGTGTCGTGCTTGGTCTTCAAGGCTCTGAACAACGCCTTTTCAGCACCCAAGATCTGGATGGTAGAGGCTGGGGCCTTGGCCAACGAGGTCAACGAACCAGCGTGCGAGATCAATCTGGCACCCACCAACTCACCCACCAAGGCAGTCAAGTTTGGAGCAATGGCCTTCATTCTGGAATTTAAGTAGTTCGACAATTTTTCTCTGTAGGCAGCGAACTCAACAATCTGGTCAGCAAGAGCTCTGATGTTCTCCAAGTCGGTAGCGGTGATTTCGGTACCCATGGACACTTCGGCAGCAGACTTGACTCTTTCTTCGTGCTCTTCAGGCAAGATTTCGCTCAAGTCGGTTTCAGCAGCGTTGGATCTGACACCCATGACCAAGATGATTCTGGCGTAGGCAACGGAGTCGACGATAATCTTGGCCAACTCAGGGAAGTGCCAGCCGTACCACTCCTTACATCTCATGGCGTAGGTGTTCAATTCCTTGTCCAAGTCGTCCAACAAGGCGATGGCCTGGACAATCATGGTGTCGACCTTGTCGGCCGAGAACTTCAACTTGTGACGGCCGATGGAGTGGGCCAAACCGAGGGACATTTGCTTGATGGTGGATTCATCCAAGCCTGGCAACAACTCAGGCAAGAACTCCTTGATGGCTCTGTGTAAATCGAGAGAGGCAGCGTCGGAAACAACCGAGAAGTTGAGTCCCAACTTGTTGATGGCATTACCCAACTTGGCCTCGGAAACGATCAAGGTGGCCTTCTTGTCGGACTTGACATCTTCCAACAACTTCTTCAAGTTGTCGGAGACCTTACCCTCGATGATGGCGTTGGCTTCTTCCAAGGCACTGGAGGCAGATTGGAACTTTTCGAATCTGTGAATCTTGAAGGCCTCGGTGACCTTTTCCACGGAGTTCAAGTCATTGATCAAGCTGGAGGACTTGTGGATTTTTTTATCGGAAGACTTTAATAAAGCATAACCTGCAGCAGTTTCCGTTAAGACGTAAGCCATGGTGGATGGTGAAGATGAAGGATAAAGAGATGGTGAAAAATGTGATGAGGTGAGAAATTTTCGGGATCACGGGGGAGCGCTGCACGTGACCGTCCATCGCGATCGTGGAGGCGATGGATGGAGCTGTGATTGGCGGGGAAGGAGAGAAGGGTCTTTTGGAGGGCAAATTGTGCAGTCTAGGTCTTGAACGGCAATAAGGTGCTATGGGAGATCTGGGACCAGTTTGGGCCATTTTTGGGCCGTTGTGGGATGATCCCCACTGTGGTGCTCATCGGGACTATGTGCAGGACATGGCATCGTTGGTACCAGCAGCAGGGCCGAAGAGAGATCGACAATGGCCAATAATGGGCCAAGCCAACACGGGACGAACAGTGATGGCCGGGCATGAATCTACTGGGTGGTGTTTCTCCAGCTACAGTTTTTTCCATCCAATTGTGGCAAAGCCTGTTGTAAAAACCTTTACTGCTGGAACAATAGAGGTTTCCCTAGTAGCACTGGGTGGTTGGCACTGGCACCCTGGTGATAGTGCCGTTAAATGGAGATTTTTCCCGCGACACCCTCGCTATGTCCCGCCCAAATTTGCTGTCACTCTGCGCGCTAGCTCTTCCTGGCTCTCCCTAGCTTTCCCTATATCTCCCCCAGTTCTCCCTAAACCTTTTTCCTGCCCGCCCCCCACGCACCACCATATCTCCAGAGTCTGACGCGTACTCCACCACCAAGATGGATCGCCCACATCCTCTAAAGCGCAACAACGGTCCCTCGGAGTCCATCAAGCCGTCTAGGAAGACTCACAAAACAACCTACTTCTTCGAACCCATCAATAAGCTCACCAATGACCCTCTGAAGCGCACTTCCACCACCGCGTCTTTACCCGCCCAGCACAACCCATCGGTTTCCAGGCCCAAACCACCGCCAGCTGTCGCCACCGTCCCCGATCTCAGCTCAGACGATCGAATCCAGTCATCTGACGACAAACGACCCATTATCCATGAGATTCTTGGCCACCAGAGCTCAGATGACAGCTTTGATGGAATAAGATGGAAGGCCAGCCCCACCAGACCAACCAAAGACAGAATCCCGTCGTCGCCGTTGAAGAACCTCACATCGCAGCCTGCTGGCAGCCGCAAGCATACTGTCTTATCCGAGCCAAACCTCCACAGACAGGCTCTTGACATCGAAACCAACCCAGTGCTCTCCAAGTATGGAAGCGAGTGTCACAACATATTGTCCCAAACCACACCTACTCTCAACAGAACCCACTCGGACATCTCATCCGCCGAAAGCTCCAACAAGCGCCGTCTTCACCAGCGATCTCCTAGTCTTGTGAGGGCCAAATCCAGTGGCCTCGATAGCTTGATTCGCTCGAAAACGAAGCTCCGCAAACGAGAAATCTCGTCTGCCACCAAAAATACCCTTAACAGCTGGATGGACAAGTTTGAGACCAATCTGCTTCCTAAAAACGAGAGTACAGGCGATGAAGAGGATGATTTCTCAGATGATCCCTTTTCGGACGACGATTCAGAGTTATTGGCAGCTTTAGCCACACAATCAGAGGAAACCAGCAAAACAAATAGCATCAGGACGCCACTTGCTGAAGATGACGATCCAATTGACTCTAGCCCAAAGGTGGCGAACTCGCATGTCCCTGAGCCAGTAATTTTGCACCCAAAAGAGTCGGAAGCACTGTCATCACAATTTTCGATCTCAGACGACTCAATACAAGAGTCTACAACGAATCCTCCACAAAACAAAGTTTCTGGCCCAAACCTCGCTTCTGCAGCGGCCAGTGATTCGGAAGATCCCTTCACTGATGATGACTCAGAGCTCATCCAATTATTATCTGTTTCCAATTCCAACAAGCAGAAAACACAGATAGGGTACAAGAGAAACGAATCACTTACTCAAATTGAGCGCGATGCTGTGCATGCAACTTCATTTCAGAAGAGTATACAAAAATTCGATGCATTACAGAACAAAGTCGATTACCAAGAGAAGGAAAACACGGAGGTGCAGCTTTCTTTTGAGAAACCTGATCTTAAAAGATACCAAATCAGAGAAATTCGGGAAAATTACTACGGGGAGAACTCGTCAAAACGCCAGTTAATCATGGATGTGATTGACTCAAGCTTGATTCCTCAAAAGCTTATCGTCCGAGGAGAATACACTGAACTTGAGTACGAATCTGGTGATATAATCCATGTTATTATAACTAATCCACAAGCTCCGAAATTTATTGACGACACAAACAACCTAATAATCTGGAACCCCGACACTTTGATCTCGGCCACAGCAATTTCGCAGCAACTCTCATGCCCAAGAAAGGTAGTTTTGACTAATAGACTCAAATTTCCAGGTGTTTCATCTCTTCCGCTAATTATTGGTGATATTATTCATGGCATATTCCAAGCATGTTTTATCAATAACCGGTATTCCATGAAATTCATGCTCGAGCTTACAGACCAATTCATCCAAGAATATCTCTTGAATATCTTGAGCGTTGGCCCAGAGGTGGAGCATGTAAAGGAGGATATAGTGAAACAATTGCCGTATCTATTGAAATGGTTCCAGACGTACTATCGTCAGCCTCTTTCAAAGAGGAATGAAATCGATTCTGGTTTCAACGACAAGGTCTCTTTCTCAGTAAGTGAGGTATTGTCGATTGAAGAAAACATCTGGTCTCCAATGTATGGGGTAAAGGGAATGGTCGATGCGACATTGGAGGCTAAGTTAAAAAACCAGGGACTAAATGGCTCATTCCTCATCCCGATGGAAATAAAAACGGGAAGAGAGCACATCACCCATCAAGCACAGGCGTCCCTTTATGCATTGCTTTACAAAGATAGATACGAGATGGACGTCAATTCTTTCCTTTTAGTTTACACAAAGGATGGAGTTACAAAGAAATGTGATATATCTAAGCAAGACTTGAAATCCTTGGTCAATCTCAGAAATAGGATCACCAAATATTTCAAGGGATCTACGCGTGAGTTACCACCATTGCTCAAGAGAACAATGTGTGACTTCTGTCCCGTTCAAGAAGCATGCATGACAATTAACAAACTAGACGAAGAAGGCACACCAGAAGACAGTGGAATCCCTCCAGAAATGTACAATCAAATCACTGAACATTTAAATGACAAGCAACACTATAAAGAATTTTACGACTACTGGGACCAATTGCTCACTCAAGAAGAGAGCATCCTGAGAAGGGCATTGAAGTACTTATGGGTACATACAGCCAAGCAGCGCGAAGAGCAACAAGGAATGGCAATTGGTAATTTGGTTATTGTCCAAGTTGATGAACGGCCTTTAGAAGAAAAGTTCTACTACACATTCTCCAGAAAGAATTTAGGAAGTGATTGGATTGGTAGCAAAATCGTCAAGTATGATAGGGTAATAATCAGTGACGAGTCAGGGCATTTTAATTTAGGAGGAGGAACAGTTATATCCATTAGTGGTAACACAATTGTTATTTCTACAGGCAGAAGAGTCCATTCGTCAAATTTGAAATTGAGTCAGCTGGATCTGACTCAAGAGGCTTTGAAGTCGCAACCTGGATACTCAGAACCTCATAAAGATCAGATATACAAAAGTGCATTAAGGAACCAGGTGGACTACACATCCAAGTCTACTTTCAGAATCGACAAGGATGAGTTTTTTGAAGGAATGGGACTCGCAAGGTATAATGTGCTCAACTTGTTCATGAAGAATGGAGATGAAAGACGTCTAAAGCTAATTGTGGATTTAGAAGTTCCAAGGTTTTCCTCAAAATCGCTTTTCTATGAAACAGATCCCCAAAAGTACAACCCTGATCAGATCAAAGCATTTGATAAGGTTCTTACTACTCAAGATTATTCTTTAATCTTAGGCATGCCTGGAACAGGAAAAACCACGGTTATAGCTCAAATTATCAAGTATCTTGTCGAGAATAACAAGACAGTATTTTTGGCATCATATACACATTCGGCCGTGGATAATATCTTAATTAAGTTGAAGACTTATGGGGTTAATTTTCTAAGAATTGGTTATCTTCCCCGAGTTCATCCAGAAATTCAACTGTACGTTCCAGGTTCAAAAATTACAACATACCTGGAATTTTGTGAGACATACTTAACACCTCCCGTTGTTGCTTCAACCTGTTTAGGAATTGGAGATATTGCATTCAACTTGAGAACTAATTTTGACTACTGTATTATCGATGAGGCCTCACAAGTGTCTATGCCTATTAGTCTTGGTCCCTTGAGATTTTGTGAAAAGTTTGTATTGGTAGGTGATCATTTGCAGTTGCCGCCATTGGTGCAGCATCCAAATCCTAAAGTAAGAGCTGGACTCTCCAAGTCCTTGTTCAAGATATTAGCAGAGTCTCATCCAGAGAGTCTCGTCGAACTCACTTACCAGTATCGCATGTGCTACGAGATTATGCAGCTTTCGAATATTTTGGTATATAATAATAGGTTAAAATGTGGGTCCCATGAAGTTGCCACCCAGTGTTTAAAGGTTGCATATCCTTCAAAATTGGATGCTTTCGTTAACAAAAGTCATCACAGTTCTGATGATTTGTGGTTACATAAGGTACTAGATGAGAAGAATAAGGTACTTTTCTTGAATCATGACAACCTTCCTGGCTACGAGCGTAGCATTGGAGAACGGGTCGATAACTTAGTTGAAGCTGAACTCATTCGCCAGATTGTGGAGGCATTAACTGTGAGTGGAGTCCGAGAATCAAGTATTGGAGTCATGTCGTTCAATCGAGCACAATTGCGTTTGTTGCACAAGAAATTGTGGGACAAGAAAGATTTGGAAATTCTTACGGCAGATCAATACCAGGGAAGAGATAAAGACTGCATCATAATTTCGTTGGTTAGATCCAACACAGACAAAAAGGCAGGCGATTTGGTACAGGAATGGAGAAGAATTAATGTAGCCATTACCAGGGCACGATCCAAACTTATTATTTTGGGCTCGAAGTCAACATTATCGTCCGCAGATAGCATCAGGACCTTCATCGAACTCTTGTCAGATAGAAAATGGATCTACAACCTCAAATCGAATGCAGACGTTGTATATACTTTTCCGGAAAAAGGCAGTCAGACCGTTGAACGAAAACCCCAAGACAAAGGTGCTAGATTAATTGGCAATGGAGTCTTGAGAGATATTGTGAACAACATGGCGTGAGTTTCAGGGCCAAATGAGTCTCACGGCCTGGAATATTATAGACTTTTTTAGCAAGATATGATTTAATGATTACAGACTTCAAGAGAAGCACAAACATAGGTACTAATAATCAGTGCAAAGTATTACTCTATTCCATACTGAAAAAAAAGTGGTATATATTGTGTATGTCAACCATGCATTGGGAAGTATCAAGAGCCCATATTAGATAGCAAAGAATCTGAATTCAAAGTCACCGTTTCCAAAATTAAGTTCATACCCGTTGAACCAAAATCTGAAGCCACGTTGAGCATCGTCGCCATTATTCCTCATTCTCCAAAACCTGTACAAGTTTCTCATAAAAAAGAAGACGAAGAACGAAATTGTCAAACCGATAACAAGATAGTCACCTATATCATATTCCTCGTCCCCATCATATTCACCACCTTCGTGGTGGGCAGTTGCCCTGTTATTGGCCCTTTCAGTCGTTATACCTGTTCTCTTATTGCCAGCTGTCTCCAGCTCTTCGCTCCCACTTCCCTTTCCAATATTCTTGAATGCTTTGAACCAGCTATTGGATTCGTTGTCCTTATACGATTTAAATTTATTCTTGTTGAATAAATACTTCAATCTCAACCGAATAAGTGCCCATTGAATTGGAATAAAATGACTAAGCTTTGGATCTTCAAGTGTCTTCTCCTTATACTCCATACTCAAGTCATAGTACCTCTTGGCCATAAAGAAGTCAACGGAGTTATTGAGGGTACCAAGGCCATATTCATACATGTATCCGAGCTTGTATGCTGCATGAGAGGACATAAGCTTGGTGGCCTTGTGATAATATTGAAATGCTTTTTGGTAATCGATATCTAATGCATTTTCTATACCTTCAAGGTATAAGTCACCCAATAAGATCATAGAGTCGATATTCATCTGGGCCGAAGACCTCTCGAGGTACTTAACTGCTGACTTGACCCGCTTGGGATCAAACCACTGTACCTTCAGCTTGGACTTGAGTGGCTGTAGCTGATAAAGCAAATAGGCCGTCGATACTTGGGCATTTTCTAGACCCTGTTCAGCAGCAATTGAGTACCCAATTAAAGCGTTCTGAAAATTTCCAGCTATAAATTCATCAAAAGCAAATCTTAAGTGGGGCAAAAAAAAGCTTTCCAACCGTTCCACAAAAACTTTGTAGTAGTATATGGTTGATTGGCAATCATATCTCTTTTGAGGATCCACCAAACTGGTCAATCCAGACTGAGCGAACTCAGCATAGTGGAACCAAGATTCTATGACACCACTGTAGGCAGATTTACGAATTGCTTCATATATCTTTATCGCATAATCACCCTCAGCTGGGTCTTGATTAGGGCTCAACTCGGTAAGATACTTGGCCAAATTCAAGTTGGCCGTTTGGTAGCCCATCTTTACTGCCTTGATGAAATATTCAATCACTTCAGTCTCATTGATGGGCTTGCCATCCAACCCACTTTGTTTCATGGTACCCAAATCATTGTATGACTGGCCATTTTTATCGACTGCAAGGGAAATTTCATGCAACTTCCTTGCCTTATCCATATCCTTTTCCACCCCATATCCCTTATAGTACATGTGTCCTAACTGGGAGTAGCAGAGGCCCAAGAATCTCTTGTCGATAGAGTCGATATTATGAAACATCCGCTTGCCATAGTTTCTGTCACCCAAAGCGATGCAGTCGTCGAGATACTCAAAAGCCCTTGTTCTGTTAACAGGGAAGAAGTAGCCACCATCATAATGCTTCAACGCATTAAAGTACAAGTTGACGTATTCGTGGTCGTTGTGATCCATGTTGTATTCTTCGAACTTCTTGATATTCAGGGAGTAAAGTCGCACCATAGAATCAATGGAATCGGGAGACTCGCTGAGCTTGGGGCCGTATAGCCCACCATTGAAGTCGGATATTCTGATGTTGAGAGGAATCCTCACCTCTTGCATTTGTTCTTCAATCCGAGCCAAATTAGCCTTTCCAATAGTGGCCAATCTGGAATAGTAGTGAAGAGAAAGCTCGTAGTTCGCTGGTATTCCTATTCCATTGTAGGTTCTGTATGCCAAGGCAAGTATGGAATTGAGGTCCCCGTTTTGCATACCCAAATTGTAGTATAAATTGGCTTTTATTTGGTCAACTTCGACTTCTCCAAAAAGCCCTGACGAGTATATATAGCCTAGCATGAAGTAGGCATGTCCATCCCCCTCAATCGAAACTGCCTTATGGTATAATTCTAGGGATTTTCTGTAGTCAGGGGGTACAGAATAATTTCCGAACATGTGGAAGTCCGCCAAGGTGACTAATGCTGGTGAGTAGTTGAGTTTGATTGCTTCTTCAAGCAATGGAATCACTTTGGATGTGATTATTTCAGGCACAGGCTGAGGTGTAGTTGAAGCAGTATGCTCATAATTCTTAGTAACGTTGCTGTATGGGGGAATTTGAAGCTTCCCATTGGAAATGACGTGCTCTAGAGTACGGTTTGGCTCTCGGGGAGGAACGGTGTCTAGGAGAGAAAGGGCTTCTAGGTACGCTTGATGGGCCCTCTGTTCGCGTGATCTGGGGTCACGTGTGTCGTTATTAGGTGTAGCGTGGCCACTTGGAGGCCATTCTTCAAATGAACTGCTGGATTCGCTGGAGATGACTGTGGATGTGGTTGTTGGGGCGGTACCGTCTGGAACCGCGTTTTCTGCGTTTTGGAGGCTGTTCAGCGTGATGTCCTCAAGGATTGCCTGGTCTTGCTGCACTGCAAGCAGGTGCGCTATCAAGACAGGAAAAAGACACAATACACTCTTTAGCGTCCTCATAACAACATGACAATGCGTGTGGGGGTATATGCTGGTCAATGGGTGGGTGCAATGTTGTAGGATGAAGCTGGAGTGGTGGAGTGAGATTTGATTGTAGGTCGTGTGGACAGTGCGTGGCACGTGATGTCTTGAGGTGATCCCAGTAGCCATTCTGGAGTGCCAGGTATAGGGCCAGATATCAGGCAATCGAGGCAGATGGAGGGTGGTTCTAGAGTTGTGAGCGAATTGACTCTACTTTCGCTTCTCTGTACGTATTTGGTGGGATTTTGTGGGATATACCAGTCCCTTTACTGCTAGCGAGAAATTTCGCCCACTTCCGCGACGCTCTCGCCACGCCTTTGCCGGACTTCGCACTATTCTCCCTAGGCCTCCCACAAACCCACCAGCAAATCCACCCCCAACCCCCTCTTTTTTCGCACTATTCTCGCCAGCTTGTCAACCCAGCCCCCCTAACTTCCCCAGCCACCCTCGCTGCGCGTGGCCTCCCCCAAAATGCCAGATCACAACTCCCAACTACTCCCATAGCGACATACATCTCCATCCATCAATGCTGACGCTTCCGCCTCCCGACGAGGCCATCTTCAGGTCGGCCCCCATGACCCTCGTCCAGTTCTACCTCACCATAGAACTTGCTCGTGATGTTGTCAATGCCTTGGGATGTCTCGGCAATGTCCACTTCCGAGACCTCAACTCCAAACTCACCCCGTTCCAGAGAACATTCATCACCGAATTGCGGTCTGTCGATGCTGCCGAGGCCAAATTGACGTATCTCTACGATGTGATGGTTAAACACAACATCACCAACATCGCCAGCGTGACGCCAGGGTTGCCATTGGCGTCAGCGTCTGAAATGGACGACATCAAGCAGAAGGTGGAGTACTTCCACGAACGCATCCAACACTTGGAGGAGTCGTACACGTCGTTGGACAGCCAGAAGTCCAGTCTTTTGGAGAACAGATACGTGGTGACAGCACTCAACGAGTTCCACGGATCGGAGTTGGTCAACCCGTCTGACGTCTTCGAGATCGGATCCGACGACGACGACGATGACGATGGTGTGGCCTTGTTGAACAACAATAACCACAGCTTGGAGCTCGGCCGTGATCCAGGTACTGCTGAAGCTTTGGAAGCAGGCTTCAATGCCATTCTGGGCGCCATCGAAACCGACAAGATCGCAGTGTTGCGCAAGATCTTGTGGAGAACCCTCCGTGGTAACTTATACTTCCACGACATACCCATCCGGGAGAAATTGACCAAGGAGGGCACCTCTGAACCTGTGGCAAAAAGTGTATTTGTGATATACATCCACGGTGACTTCTTGAGGGCCCGTGTCCGCAAGATCATCCAGTCCTTAGATGGTAAGATCTACGATAATGTCAACGGTGGCCAGCTGCTCAGGTCTGCCACATTGAGTGATTTGAACCAGCAGATCGGGAACCTCGACACAATTGTCGAAACCACTCTGAACCACTTGATAACGGAATTGCGTATCTTCCAAGAGGTCTACCCCGAGTACGCCTTTGCCATCCAGAGGGAAAAATTGATATACCTGACATTGAACAAGTTTGACGAGGACAGCACTAGAAGGTGTTTGGTGGGGGAGGGGTGGATCCCCAAATCAGAATTCGAAAACGTCCGCCAAACATTGAAGCAATTGATCAGAGATAGGACCCACCAAGCTACTCCTTCATCTCAAGAATCAATTGAGCTCAGCAACGAATCTCAAAATCGACCACCCTCTCCTGACAACTTTGATATCACTAGCCTTGACAGTGAAGATTTCGGGTCGCTCATAGCTGTGGTAAATGAATTGTCAACAACTAGAACACCACCAACTTACCACAAAACAAACAAGTTCACAGCTGCATTTCAGTCTATTATTGATGCATACGGTATAGCAACTTACCAGGAAGTCAACCCAGGTCTTGCCACCATCATAACATTTCCATTCATGTTCGCTATTATGTTCGGTGATCTTGGTCATGGGTTAATTGTCTTCTTGATCAGTTTGTATCTCATTAAAAACGAGATCAATTTTGCAGCAATCAGAAACAAAGACGAGATTTTTGAGATGGCTTTCAACGGAAGATACATTATCCTTCTAATGGGATTCTTTTCCATGTATACTGGACTTATCTACAACGATATTTTCTCTAAATCTATGACATTATTCAAGTCTGGTTGGGAATGGGAATTTCCAAAAGACTATGACCCTAAGAATCCAGTCGCCATGGTTGCAAAGAAAATAGTCGGGAAAACATATATCTTTGGCCTTGATTGGGCCTGGCATGGTGCAGAAAATAATTTATTGTTCACCAACTCGTACAAGATGAAATTATCGATTCTTTTGGGATATGTGCATATGAATTATTCCCTTTTTTTCAGTTTGGTCAATTACAGATTCTTTAAGTCCAGGGTTGATATCATTGGTAACTTTATTCCTGGGTTTTTGTTTATGCAAAGTATATTCGGATACTTGTCATTGACCATTTTATACAAATGGACTCAAGACTGGCTTGGCACAGGAAGACAACCCCCAGGGTTGCTTAATATGCTTATCAACATGTTTTTATCTCCAGGATCCGTGGATGAACCACTTTATGCTGGCCAGAAATTCATTCAGGTGGTTTTGGTGTTGATTGCATTGGCTTGTGTCCCTTGGTTGTTGATCTACAAACCATTGACTTTGAAATGGCAAAATGATAGAGCAGTGAAGTTGGGTTACAGTGATCTTCATTCTCTTCACGAGCACTCCTTACAAATTCATGAAGAGGAGCAAGCAATTGCATTGGAAAACGAGCTCAATTATGATCCACCACAAGATCTGGGTGAACTGAATGAAGATTACCGATTTCCAAATGATATTGAACCATTGCATCATAATTCTGCTTCGCATGGAGACGGTCCCGACTTCAATCTTGGCGACATTGTCATCCACCAGGTAATTCACACCATTGAGTTCTGCTTAAATTGTGTTAGTCACACTGCCTCTTATTTGAGGTTGTGGGCGTTGTCATTGGCTCATTCCCAATTGTCCACCGTTCTATGGTCGATGACCATCCAAAATGCCTTCGGTGCTACTGGAAAGTTTGGTATTTTTATGACTGTAATGTTGTTCGGTTTGTGGTTTATTCTCACAATCTGTATTTTGGTATTGATGGAAGGCACATCTGCCATGTTGCATTCGTTGAGACTTCATTGGGTTGAGGCAATGTCCAAGTTCTTTGTGGGAGAAGGATATGCATACGAGCCCTTTAGTTTCAATGAGATCGATATATAGAAATCCGATCTGGTTGTTAGTTGGTTGTAAAAAAAGTTAGATCCATAGGAGAATATAGCAGGAAACTACATAAATTCCTAACCTTAGGCACTCCTAACCAAAAAAGTCTCTGGCATCCAGAGTTTTGAAGAATCATGACCGGGAATTGGAAAGTTCATTAGTTTCTATTAGTTTCTCATACGTGTAATTGGGAAGCCAAGGATTGATTGTGATGCGAGATATCTTCAGAAGTTCATAGATATTAATTTGATTCGGAGTTATAGACTTTTCGGAAAAAGCGACTAGAAAATGCAAATTTAGATAAATGAGTGGTCATAATAATTCGTAAATAAGTATGTGAGAGTCTGATTGTAGTAAAATACTCTAGTAAGAGATATTCGAATTTCTATCTAAGAAAATCGTATCAAGGTATAGTCTGAGTAAAAAGCATAGTATAAATATTGTTCCATTGGGACAACCATTGTGAATTTTATTCGTGATTCATAGTAGTAATGGGGGCCAATTGCAGTGCCAGAAGGTAAATTTGGGGCCATGCACAGAAGTTTTAGTAATTTAAAGCCAGGTTAATAATTATCACCTTCTTGTGTGCTCATTTCTGCACAATGCAAAATGCGTGGTTATGTGCTCCTTCTTAGTTCCCGCGCGGTACCAGCGGATGGAACCCTCGGGATTAATTTCATAGCCTGGCAGTGGCCCGTTTGTGGTACTCAGCCATCCACAAGCCTCCCAAGCACACGGTACTGGAACCGAGCAACACGCCGTTGTAGATTATCAGTCGGGTGTAATCACTGGCTTCGTCGCCCACACCCTTCACTAACAACCCTGCGATGGGCGAGCCGACCATGGTGCCTATGCCCCGCACAAAATACATCAAGCTTGTCATGGACTGGTAGTTGGCCACGCCAAAAATGTCCACCAAGCAGGTAGGCAAGAGACTGATGATGGCTCCTGAAAACACTCCGTACATCACCACGAACGCCACGAAGGTACCCCGAAGCTGTACGATCCAGAGCCCGAAAATGGACCCAGCACTAACCACGCTACAGATGACGATCATGTTGAGGCGTCCAATGCGATCACCACCGAATCCGAGCACCACTTTGAACACCGCGTTGATGCCGTTGTTGAGGCCTATAAAAAGCGCCCCCTGGCTGTGGGAGTATCCAAGAGTCTGAGCATACTTGGACATATAGATCAAGGGAATCACGTAGCCTGCGGACTGCAATAGCGACCCCAGGAGCTGGAGCCATACACGGTATGATCCCATCTGGTGGAGGTTGAAGAGGCGATTGTTCTGGACAAGTGCCATGTCTGGGGCTGGTTTTACCAAAAAACTTGCACCCAAAGTGACTGCGAAATTGGCGAACCCCAACGTGCGGAGACACCAACGCCATCCAAGCAGGGAGAGGAGATGCCTGGTCAAGCTGGCGAGTGCCAAACCCCCGAAGCCGGTGCCGCTGAAGAGCACGCCCATGGCAATGGCTCGGTGGCGGTTGAAGTAGATTGGAGCGCACACCACTGGTGGAAGGTAGACAAGCGAGGCCCCTACCCCGAAGAGTACTCCCTGGGTCAAGATGAACTGGTACAAGTGGGTACAGGAGCCGGCCAACGCCAAACCCAGCGACATGAGCACGGCTCCGGCCACCATGATGGTTCGGGGACGGAAGTGGCTCATAAGTGACTTGTTGAAAATGCCAAACGTGTAGGTGAGCGCATTTCCAATAGTGCCCACGAGAGCCACCTGGGAGTTGGAGCGGGCGTGGAGCGGGCCTTCTAGCGAGGTATAGTAGTCCTGGAATACCCCGTAGGAAAACCCGATGCCAAACACCATGAAATTGCAAAAAAAGCCTGCCACCACCACCGCGAGCCCGTCGTAGGGGTAGTGCCAGGATTCGCCGGGGCCAGAGGCCGAGACTACGGAGGGCGGAGTTGCCAGGGAGGGCAGAGACAAAGGCTCAGGCAGGCGCAGGTGCAAACTTGCCGGCTCAGGATGTACTACTCCGTGTGTCGCTGTGTGAAGGTGGGCTACGTGCGGCTCCTCCACCTTGGAGTTGGAGGATGGTGTCATTGTACAGATGTAATTGTAGTGAAGATTTGAATTTGTATTTATAAGTGCGAGGTGAGTCACTTCCTGGTTGCGGGGTCGCCGGGAAATCCCGGGGTAGAAACCCCATAGTGAAGTAAAGATAATAAAGCCGTTGGGAGGCACACACCCAGAGGCACCTTCCCAGGCGCAGCCTATGTCACCTCTGGCATGGCCATGCGTCGTTGGTTCGGAGATTGCCCCGGCTGTGGAATGTGTGCCCGGCGTACCATTCTGCATTGTCTAATTTTCATTCTGCATTTCTGGAACGCCGACTTGCATCCGGCCTATTGATGAACGGCTCGGGCATCGGCAGGATTCGCCGATGCATATGATGGTACTATAGATCGTACTATGCACTAGTCATCCAACTGGATCCGTTTGCCGGAAGTCAACATACGCTGCACCTCGTCTAAGGTCCACGGCCTCAAGCGGTTGCGCATTTTGTCGTGAAGCTTTTGCTTGATGTACTCCACGTTGGCGTGGGTGCGTGCCGCCTCATCCTCGATGAACTTGATGATCTTGAGCCGGGTGTGTCTGAACTGGCGCTCGGAGCTGCCGTGCACCTTGAGCCACTCGGTCATGGTGATCTCGTGGTCTTTGAGGTCTTTCTCGAGACTCTTGAAATCGTCCCACATCTCGAAGAGCGTGGACGCTTGTCGAGAAAGTCTGCGGTTGAGGATGGACTGGCGTTTGAGTTCGTCAGCCGTCATGAGTGACATGGCCTCCTGTGAGTAGGCAGAATGATGGCCAATGGTGGGCACCACCTGGCGGGTGGTGTGGGTCTGTAGGCGCAGATCGCTGTGAAGATAGTGTCCTTTGTAGGCGTAGCTATGCGAGGGAGGCGGCCCTGGAGGGGGCTGGTGGAGTGTGGGTACCATATGGGGATGCTGCTGAAGCGGGGGGACATGGGTCTGGGTCATTTGTACATGGCGCAGATTGAAGTCGTTGAGCTTACCAAGCAACTCCATGGTGTTGTTGATGCCCTGTCTCAAGTTGGAGGTGCCCACCGTGCTCAAGTGCTCGGTGGTCTCCTGCAAGCTCAGCTGGGCCAACGGAATCATGTTCTTGTTACGGGACGAAATGAGTACCAACAAGCCCGTTGTGGTATTTTGGATTTTTTGCAATAATTCACTTTGCGACTGGAACACCTCGTTCTGCTTGGAAATGTAGTCAGAGAGCTGCGAATAAATAAACTTGTGCTGGTCGTTGTAGTTGCAAACCAACTTCTCGAGGTTGTTGATCTTGTCGTTCTGCTCACTAATTAATTTTTGGAATTGGCCGGGGTCGGAGCTCTCGGAGTTGCTGGATCTGTCCGAAGAAAATGACTGGGGCTTTGAAAAGGAATCAGCTGGTTTGTAGTCTATGGGCAATGTAAATAAAGGACTCTTGTCGAGCACTCCTGTGAAAACCATTTCTTTTGCAAAATTGTTGAATATATCGGTGTTAAAAATCGGATGCTTGGAAAGACAATTATTTGGGTAGAGTCGCTTGATTAATACCATGTCCTGACACATGCTCCTCCTTAATCTGATTAAAACCTTTTTCAACTGCTCATACCCAGGTGAGGTAGTGAATTCCGCCTTTGTAAATGACAAAAATGGGAAAATTAGTTCCATCAACTCTTCTGGTGGTTCAATAGAGTCACGAACTATATTATAATTCTCTATACTGTCGAACCCCGCAACTCTGACCATTGTTTGCATGGGTAAGTGGGTTTTCTGCAACAGAAGCATCCTTTCACAGTCATCGAAGTCCTGAGTACTAAGGAGCTTGTTGAGGTTGATATCCTTAAAAGTGAGTTTTGATAACTGCAATGCACTGATGGCAGATTTGTGTTGCTGGCTGTATGAAATTCCCGAGAGTTTATGGCTTCCCTTTAGCAATTTGATCTCTTCTAACTTGAGGTTGGTGTTTTCTTGCAACTGCAACTCCAATGAGCCGTAGGTATCGGCGACGTGGAACCTGCTAAAGAGATATGCACTCAAAGCAAAATGAGGGCATAACTCCACATACTTGTTCCTGAGTGCACCATGGAAAACGTACGGGTGTTCCAAATTTGAGAGGGAACTGTTATTCTTCGTCCGTATCACGATGGTGTCTAGATTTGAGTCCGCCAAGTCTATGTCTCCAAGTTCGAGTTCTCGTTTCTGAAGGTTTCTGAGGCTGATGGAGTGAGTAAGAGAAAAGTCAAGGATGGTCCGGAGCAGTTTCTGGTGATCCAAGTAGGTGGATTCCTGCTGGAATTCCCAAAGGGGCCTTATCAACCTGAAATAGTCTGTGATGGTGTATTCATTTTGGTCGTTCGACGAATCGTCAGAGTCCGACATGTGATTAAGAATTATGGGTGAAGGGCTCATTGTGGACAAAGGGCTAATGTGATTCTAGATTTGGTACGGGTCTTTTCCCGATAGTATAGCTTTTTCGTAGCGATCTAATTAGGGCTCCTGGGCTTATCGCCAAAGGGCTAAATCGTTGTATCTGCTCGACTTTGGAATGAATATAACCCTAGAGTAGTATGTCTAAGGAGGCAGATATATATTCCGGATCGAAGGACCAAGTTTTATTTCAATACTTTATGGGAGGTAAATTGTTATCAATCGATTGTTGATTATCGGGTCCCGGCTAAACGTGGAGGCAATCTGGAGAGCCTGAAGAACACAATTGGGGATTCTAGGATGCGTTGGGGATTGATTACCACAAATTGTGGATGGTTCTAAAGTCTGATGAGAGGATAATGGAGCTGAAAGGTATTGATTCCAAACTGCGATAGATTTTTAGTTAATCGACTTAAAATACGTCAAGTCGATAGTTCGTGCGGAGTGGGGTAAATTAGTGGAGGTTTTTCTTTGGCATAAGAAGCGTTTGAAAGCTGGAAAGAAGGACAATTGTAGAATGTAAGCAAGAATGCTAACTTCAAAATAGTTGGCTCATAAGGAGTTGATATCCAATACAAAAAAAAAAGAAAACCAGTAGATATCCCCGATTGGGCTTTAGTAACTGAACGAGGCTGCGAACCAAGCTTCGATAAAAGTCCGAAAAAATATCTAACAATAAACTAAAAAAATTTAAATTCTCACACTAACACGTATTCGGAAAATTATTCAAGAATGCCACTATGACTCCAACTAGCCAAGATTATATCCGAGCAATGGGGCTAATCAATATTTTTGCTGCGTGCTGCAAGAGAAAATAGGAAGGCTGAAGCTAGCATGCCTGTGCTGTCTGACGACAGAGTCAGGGAACAAGCTCGCCTGAATGAAGATTGTACAATGTGAGGGGTCCAGTATTGTACCCAATCGTGTATGTGCCTTGTACATGGTATTTTGAAACAGCCCTTTTGCACAAATGTTCCTTGAAGTGGAGTACTTGAATTACGAAGACTGGATTTTGTGGCCCCCGCATGGTTGGATTACTGCTTTATTGGAACAAAATCGCGCTGATACTTCATCACGCAGAATCACAACGTTGGTAGCAACTTTTGAGTTCGTTCGCTTACAACTTGGCCCTACGAGAATCCAGAACTCGGTTTCAGCTTCAGCCGAGTTATATTCGTAAGAGGCATCGAGCCAATTTACCTTTGTTCGATAATAGCAAACACATTACTGTAAAGCAAGCTTTTGGTGTAGGCTTCGGTGGATCAAAATGATAATCAATACTTTGCCGCGTGCAACGCGCGCAATTAGTGTAAGAAAATTTTGGGTAAATTAGAAAGGTGATGATGTCTAGTCGGTGTGTATATAGCCTTGCATAGTCCACTTACCTCCGAAATTTTTTAGCTTGATTTAATTATTTAAAAAGCTTTTCTTTGTTTAACTTCTAAATAACCCCTCGTTTGTTCAAATGGTCACGAGCAGGTGCATATTGCCCAAAGAACTGTGCTCTTCAACTCACAAATATATGCATGGAAGTAACTGCTCCTGGATTTATTGCCGTAAACCATAAATTTCGAGTCAAACTCTTCCACAAGCTTATTTCACAAGTTTATTTCCCAGTTTCGGGTTAGTACCCGAACGTCGCCTGCATTCATAATATATGATTGACGGGTCAAGAATATTTCGAACACCCACAGTTCTTTGACCTATGTCTGGACCCGAGTTCACAGCCCCTACGAGATGACACAAGTCAAAAGCTAGCCCAAAACGGCCTAGCCTCACAATACAGACTCATTTTCGCACAAATGTACTCGGTGCATGGTTCTATCGAATCACCTGTTATTAATATATGCGTGAGAGATGCACTTCAACTGCAGCTGCTGGCATAAAAGAATTAGCACGTCAGTTACGGTGTCTATCGCATAAAGACCACGATGTCCAATTCATCAAAACTGTGTTATGGCTTTTCGTATCGAACCATTTCCCTGATATAAGCTTTGGCTTGGTAGTCGCTCATCCACATTCCAGGGTTTAGTTTCGATTGTCTATGTATGGTTATGGACACCATACCCGTTTTTCGTTCTTTTAGTGGGTCTCCTTACATTACTGCATCACACCGCCCTTCGATCTGCGGTGGGGGCGTGTTGTTCTTGACCACTTGCCGATAATTCCGATCGAACAAATTGGCAAGACACTTGATGGTACATTCTGCGTTTGGGTGGGAAGCTGGGGACTAATTAATATTTTACGTACTAAGTAGGATTGATTACTCTGTCGAAAAAGACACATACATTATAATATTAGACAGTTGACATTACTACCAAACAAGGGGAGGGGGTCTATCAGCATATCAGTGGCGCAGAGCACGGGGCTCTTAATTGTGAATTTGTTGATGACAACGCTCTCTACTTGGTTAGTGTACTGTTCCAAAGCCTCAGCCGCTTATTCTAACGGGTCTATATTCTCAGAATTGGTATATTTAGCCTACGCAAACTTTATAATAGATTGAGAAAAAATAAATAATTAATTTCTAGTCGCTTCCATCGATGCAAGAAGATGCATCATGGCCACTCGAATATGAATTTAGAATTAAAGTTGGAGACTAATGCGTCTCACCTAAAAATACGACTTCTGTTGAATCTAACCTCCTATAGTTTGTATTGTTTTAAACTCAAGGATACCTCGTAATACCATCCCAGGGTGCTCGAGGAGGCGCAATGAACAAATTACGCCCACGGCATTTCCGCTGATAATCGCGCACTCCCCTTCCACTTTATTAATTACCCATCATAGCGACACCGCGCGTGAAGTGTCCTACTTCCTATTGAGGAATTTTCCGTTTCTAATCATCTTCATGTTCAGTTTCGATACCATGCAAAACCATCCCCTTTTGAACGATAAGCTTGCTGAGGTCTGACCGCACGTCAAAGTCCACTGTTCTGGACTGTTGAGACTCGTTGAGCCATTCTCTAGTAACCTTCACTAAATTATCCAAGTTTTTATTGTCTTCAACTCCTGGAATCAATCCATTGATAAGTCTCACTGCCGAGGTAAAACTCAACAAACTCAAACTGCTTGGAGTGGATAAATTAAGATACCTGAGAATCTTTATCGCATGATCTATTTCTTTATTGTTGTGATAGTATAAGGCAAGGGAGGTGGTTGCAATAATAAACTTCTCATCATTCACAAGATTAAGTGAGGTTATGAGTGATTTTTGTGCCTTTAATGATGGAGTTGGTACATTCACATTTTCATTGTTTTCTTTCTCCTCTTTGGAGGTTGTTTCAGTCTGTTCCTCTATTAGTTCTTCTTTTTCTTCTGCTTCATCTTCGGACTCATCCAACTCTGCTTCTTCTTCTGGTTCATACAAGTCAGTATCCATGGATTCTGATAACATACCATTGAAGGTTTTCAACTTTTCGTTAACCTCTCCATACAAGTCCTGAAGAAGTTGTGGTGAATTCTTTGGATCCACAACAGCTCTAAACATTTTGAAGTATCCATAGATACTTGAGCTCTTGAACGAATCCAACAAACAAGCTTCCACCTTGTTGATATCTCTCTCAACTTGAGAACAATCAGAATCCTTAGCAAGATTAGCCAAGTAGTTCAAATTTAACTGGTGAATAATTTCTAAGATTCTCCAATTAATAATTATGTCATAGAGAACCGTCTTCTCGGAATCCACATTAAAGCCCGAAGTAACAGCGCCTGCTAATTCGACGTACTTCAAATGGTTATTGCCGTCAACCAACCCTTCATTAATTTTCTTACCTTGAACCAAATTGCTCAATCTGGACATCAAGTTCTGGGATCCAAACATGGCCAAGCCATCTATGTTGTCCATCAACTTATTCAATTTTTTCAAAGATTCATCGTCACCCTTGTATTCGAGATTCATGATCAAGCTTGCTCTGTATGATAAGTCACGAGTAAGGAACTTGGATAATAATGGGAATCTGTTGATCAATAATTTTCCTGATAAGATTGTCAAAAAGGAGTTTTCAAAGGTTATTTCACTGGCAGTTAACAAAAGGTACTCCTTCAAAATTTGGAACCATACAAAGCTGGTCTTGCGGCCATCCAAGGTTCTCAAAATATTCAGCTTTTCGCTACTCTCTAATACCAATGGTAGTTGGAACCCCATGGTAACCATAAACCAAGTCTTGAGCAAGCCATAGCTTCCCAACAGCTTGGTCTTTTCACTCTTGACATCTAGTTTCAATGAAGAAAATACGATGCTAAAAACACTTCCCAAGATTAGCAAGATTTTGAATGTGCTCCATAGCTGGACCAAAAGAGGCGATGGATGAGTGAGGACGGAAGGTATGAAAGGAAGGGCACTCATACCCTTAAAATCGTTGGAACCGGAAGCACCCCCGGAAAACAACGATGTGGCCATAACAGTAGCCATACCTCCCAAAAGTACCTTATTGCTGGGGTTATATTGGTTCTGGGGTGGTGTTTGCTGGTAGTATTGCTCTTGCAATGCTGGTGCTGGGTGTTGGGGCTGGTAGATCTGCGAGCTTCCGCTGTAGGATTGCTGCACGGGAGTCGCATTGTAGCTTTGCTCTGGGGGGTAGTAACCGAAGCCATGGCCAACGTTGCGGCCAGTGACTGCTGGAACTTGGTTCTGAGGGGTGTACTGTACAGGCTTCGAATCGGCTTCCTGGAGGAGTTTTTGCAACTGGATGTTCTGCTGTCTCAAGAGCTCGTTCTTGCTTTCCAAGTGCTTGATGTACTCGGTGGCTTTGGTCAAAACACTGGCCTTGTTCAATTTGGAAGCAGGAGTCAAGCCCTCGAGGTCGGCCAAGGAGACGTCCTTGGAGCCGGCAGCGATTCTCAACGAGGGCACAGCGTCCCTTAACATCAAAATTTTGGAGTTGATGTTGGTTCTGTACTTCTTTTCAATCACGTTGTGGGAGGTCTTCTCCTTGGCCTTGGGCTTGGTAATTTTCGACTTTTTGCTGGCAATCACGGGCGACTCCATTTTCTCCGACTTGATGGGCTCGGGCGAGGTGTGCACGCTGCTGATGGAGGGCTGATGGGGCGAGATTTCGTTGGAATGGGAGTCCTGTGAGTACGACGTGGTGGACATCGTGGTGGAATGTCCATCAGCGGGCCCTGCCTTGTAGAACTGGTCGGCTCCGAAGTTCTGCTCGTTGAACACGATCTCTTGTGGCGCCTGGCCTGCTGGTCTGTCGATATCTTTCCAGTTGGGGTTGCCGTACTCTTCCTTGATGAGCCCATTGTTGAGCTCTCCCTCCCACATGACGTCCATCACGTTCATTCCTTCCTTGACACCCTCATCGCCACTGACGGACGAGGGCAGGAGATTGCTGAGGGTCCCCGAGATGGAGTCGAGGAAGTTATCGGCAGTGTCGAAGTCAAAGTAGTTGTTTTCGAACTCAGCCATGGTGTTGTGTACGAGATACGCACTAGGTGTGAAGATGAAATTCGGGTTCTAATTTGGGGTTACAAGTATTCACAGCTGAACAATCACCTGGGCATAGTAGGTGGAAATCGCCTGTTTTTATTGTGGTAGATGGCAGTCATGAAGGGGAAGGAAAATCAGGTCATTTTGGCTGTGTGCAGGTGCAGAAATCAGGCTATTTGTTACGTAACCGGAACCCAGGTGGTTACGTAAGCGGGCCGCCCGGAAGAATTGGTGGGATTAGGTTTACTACAAACCTCGGTGGCTGCCGTTGGCCCCTGAAAGCTGGCTCGTGGCCGGCTTTTCGGCTTTGGTGTCTCCTGGCTGTCAATGTATAATTCGGACCTATTTACATATATCCATCCCCTGGCGCTGCGACATGCGCATCTTTCTTGACACACTGCAAGAACATGCACGCACCACAACCCAGTGCTAGACGGCTGGATGGTCAATCGGCACCACTTCTGGTGCCAGACTCGCTGTCATTCCCGAGTGCCGCTCGGGCCCAGCGTTTCCGTGGGCCGAAACTCTAACTGGACGGTTATTGCGCGGTATCCACCCATCAGGTACCACAACCCCCCTAGTGTCACCCTTTGGATTGGAGCCATTATCGTGCGGTTCGCCTTGCGCATTGCCTTGCATTACGTGCATTAGTGCGTGGAGCTCGCACAGTGAAGCCCACTTGTAATTAGAGCAACTTCCAACCCATCTAGGCCCTGGCTGCTCGGTTGGAGGTGCCCTGGTTTGCGCACGATGTAGCCCCATTTTCGTGTGCCCCGCATTGGAGATTCCAAATGCGTTGAAATAGTTTTGCTCAAACTGGCATGAAAAACCCTCAACCCTGTTGAGTATGCCAGTGATGGCATAGATAAATGCCTAACTTGGCTGCGTGATTTGCCAATCTGGTTGTGTAGTTTGAGGCTTGTCCACCTGCGTGGTTTGGTGGTTTGCTAGTCTGAGGCAGTGTTTTCCACACAAATGAAAAGGAAATTCTAATACTCAAGTCAGACATAGTATGCATGAAAAATCTACTGGAATCTGGGCTACCAGTGACGATGGCCATAAAATATGATTTTCCACTTAAATAATCAGTAACGTTAACTGGTTATGCTTGGGGCTTGCACGATTATTCACAAGATTGAACGATTAAAAGTAATCTAGTGATACTGATTAGTCCATTATTAACACCTTCACTACTCCTGATCTGGCGTTATACCCGTTGCTGAAAATGTGCTTGGCCCTGAACGAACGCAATGTGTTGCGTGCTTTGAATCTCTGGTGGACGTTGGCTTCAACATCCTTAAAACTCAGGGAAACCTGAAGTTAATTGTACCTCTTCTTCTTTGTTGTAGACACGAAATCAGTCTCCTCCCACTAAATCGGTGGAAGACCCTCTCTGCACACAGGACACTGCAACTTGTACTTCATCCAGTTCTCCATACACTCTGCATGGAAAATGTGGTGGCACGGTGTGATCACATACTCCTTATTGTTGATTCTCTTTCTGGCTTCCTTGTTATTTCCATCCACAAGGATAGGAAGTTCAAGTTCAGTCATACAGATCGGACAGGTAGTCTTACACTCAAGAATACCCTCATGCTCCTCTTCTGGCTTGATGCTGGCCAACAAATCAGATGCAAATCCACGGGACTCCAAGTCCTTCATTTCAAGAATTGCCTGGTAGTTGAAAGCCTTGGGCAACCACTTCTCGTTGACCCAGAAGCGAGCTCCCAACACGCTTTGAGCATAGAGAAGTGAGATTTGCGCCACAAGCCATACAGTAACCACCAACGCCAAGTATGGATCGTAGTGGTGTCTCAATAGGTTGTTCTTGTAGAGCGATAAGTAGTACACAGGAATCAAGCGAATCACACTGGTACCAATAATGAAGTCCCACCCGAACGACAGTCTTCTGTTCTTCAACGTGTGTCTTAAAAACTGAGGAACCCAGTAGGAGTTGCATGCTACCAATGCCACGTATTCGAAAATCCTGCGGTAGAAAACCGTCCACTCCATGGCACTGACAATGACAAAAAGCGAAAGAAAGGTTAAGATGATCCCACTGGCAAACGTGACGTTGAACAACGATTCTTCGTTCCAATTAAGTGGTTCCACAGTGGGAGCTGGTTGTGGAGGATTCGCTAAAGGAAGTGAACCCGGCACAACAGGTGGACCTTGGGCAGGAGCGGGATTTGTCTGAGCCCCGTCTTCCTGACCTCCTCTCGTGCCACCTCTCAATATCTCCCACCAGCTAGTTCCTCTCTCGTTCACCTGGTTGGCCAATATGCTGACGATGAAGCGGACCTTAAAGATAGCACACATCACAAACAAAATCACTCCCAAGCAGGTGATGATCAAGTAGAGCTCGTTGGAGGTGTTAAAAAACAATATCACGGCCAACAAGGCTTCTTGGACACCCAAAATGGAGACTGTCTTAGAGGATATAACCGAATATTGGCCAGGAGTGCTGATCCGATTGATCTGCTTGATGAACACGTAGAACTGCAACCCGGTAATCACAAGCAATCCAATGAATAAGTTGCCGAATCTCTTGATGGTGGTCTCTCTCTTAAGCCCCACCAACAGCGAATCCTTCTTGTTGGTGATGAACCTTCCACAATCGGGAGAGTAGAGAACGTACTCCTTGATTACTATTTCAGGAATATGGCGAGGGAGAGGTGCCCCTGACGGATTTGCGAGCTCCTCGTCCATGGCACGGAGTTCCTGCTTGGTGAACGAGGTCTTTTCGAGCTGGAAAAAGCCAATGAACTCGCACATCGTGTAGTTATTGAAGATGTATTGGTGCATGTGGTCGAGCGACACATCGAATGGCGATGTCGAGTTCAACAGGTGCAACATGAGCGTCTTGGCCAACTCGAACTTGGTCTCCGACATGGCAAAGTGGGGCAAAGCGTACTTGCCCAAGAATTTGCCGGAATGGCTGGTAGTCAAAATTGACCCTGTGTCTTGAAAATAGATGCCCTGGGTGTCAAAATTGAAATTCTGGATCTCGCCGTGGTCCTTGATATTGACGTGGAGGTCCACAATTACGGCATTGTCGATGGCAGTCGATTCTTCGAGGCCAGTCTCGTACTTGTGGCTCTTGATGGACACGGCCAATTCTCCGTTTCCAGTAATATTTCCTTCTCTTTGGAATCCAATTTTGTCAAAATCGATTTTCTCGGGGGGAGGGTTGTTCTCGGGATCGTTTTCGTACCTCTCCTTGTCTTCCTCGTACTTTTGGCTGGATTTCACACTAAAGTAATCTGCGAGATACCCCGGGAATTGCAAGTGGTACGGCTGGACCAGGTTGTTTTCCTGCTCGAACTGACCGTACGCATTGCCTGAGATGTTCAATAGGTATGCCTTGTGGTCCTCGGGCACTAATAGGTCCAATCCCCTGGCACTGTTTTCCGTTTCTGGTACGAGACCTGCTCCTGCCAGCTCGGCGTCTTGGTGGCCAGAATCCTCTCTGGCTGGCCGTGCTACCACGCTATCGGTGCCCCAGAAGCTCATGACACGCTCGCTGACGATGTCGGGCAACAACGACCACTGTTGCTGTTCTTTCCATGGGTGTGTTGCGTTGTACTCGTGAAACGGCCATTCGGTGGCATTTAAGCCCTGTTTCATGTCTTGGTACGACAAGTGGAAGCCAGTCACATTTCCATATCCCGAGGAGTAATTGGAATTCTGTAGTTCTGTCTGACTGGTGTAGAGCTCCTGACGAAACATATCAAGAACGGCCTGCTCCCAGGCCAAATTGGTTTCGCCATCGTTTTTGGACGATACCGTGAGCAAGAAGAAGACGACGAAGAATAATATGAGCGCCTGGAGGTCCGCCTGCTGCATGGTTGGTGTGGTGGTGGAGTTGTGTAAATGAGATGGTTTATAGGGTGTGAATCCGCCACCGGGATATTATCACGTGCAGTGCATCACGTGATTAGCCTGGGGTTGAAGACCGAAATTATCCTAGTACCGGGACGGTTTGCTGGTGGTGGGCTATGATGCTGGTCTATGATGCATATACAAGGTAAGATCTGTGGTGGTAAACCAATTAGTTAAAGCAATAATTATATTTTCCGTTTTTATCATCACCTGTCATCTTTTATTGGTTATGACAAAGTTCTGTGGATTACTAAAATATACTACTAGGAATCAGAGTTTGATCAAATGAAAGACTAACAAAGAATATTAGGATAATTGAGTGGGATACCACCACTACAAAACGTATCAATTATGATTCTTCCATTAAGTGGACAAATAGAATCCCCATTTAAATCTTCTTTTAATCTAATATTCTTTGTTAGCTTTTTACTAATACGTGAAGTCTGAAATATGCTACTGGTCTATTTAAAAATCATAGATGCTAATTTTGCCTGTTGGACACTCTATCCAATTTTTTTCTTGTCATCTTTTAAAATGGTTCTTTCGCCAAATATCCCCAAGTAGACGGCATGTGATTTGTACGCTCGTCAATAAGTACCTTTTTAAGAAGTAACTCATATTTACATAATATTCTGTCGATCAACGTTTTGAATATTTGCTTAAGTAAATTGCAAACCATCGATGGCTCACCATGATCCGGCAATGTGACTCCAGTTCTTCTCAACAATGCTTTGTTCGTTGAATCCATCCTCACTATGAAAATCGATCAATGCAATCGACTTTTTTATAAGTGGGAAATTGATAAGTTTCCATTCAGGTTAATTAAGGATGAATTTTTATTCTGTAGACATATTTACGGTTTTCTATCTGGAATTACATTTTTATTCAGGTATAAAGGTATGAATCTCATACAGCATATATACTACCAATGTGCCCGTGCACAACAGTATCTATCCTGAGTTTTGATTATGGGAATATGATACATGAGTAGGTTCATATAATTGTCCTGCAACTATACTGTAGCCGGTTACATGAGGATGAGGGCTACCACCGAAGCAGCCACCATGGCAAAGCTCATGGAGGCCGAGGAAGCGGCGTTGGTTTGCTCGACAACAGGAGCAGTGGAGTTGTGGGCCAAAGAGGCAGATGCTGCTGGGGCCTGGACAGATACTTCTTGGGCAAGGCCAGATGCCTTAGGGGCCTGGACGGTTTCGACATTGGCCTTGTTCACGGGATGTGGCACAGTGGTAGTGGTGGCTGTGGTTTGAGTTTGGGTAGCAACTACTTGTTCGGAATAAATAGTGGCACCGGAGGCTGGAGCAGCTGGAGCAGCTGGAGCAGGAGCTGGAGCTGGAGCGGAAGTTTCTGCGTCGCAAACAGCTTCGCAGTCATCGTCATCTTCGTCATCTTCTTCGTCAGTAGTCCAACCATCGCATGCTTCGTCATCATCTTCGTCATCAGAGCAGACACAGGTTGGGTCACATTCAAGAGGACCAGAGCCTGAGCCTGAGCCTGAGCTCCATGGCCAGCCAGCACCAGAACCGGAACCAGAACCAGCACTTGGAGACTTGGTACCGGAACCAGAGCCAGAGGAGCCAGAGGAGCCAGAGGAGCCAGAGGAGCCAGAAGAGCCAGAAGAGCCAGAGTCCCATCCTGGGTTGACTTCTTCACAGTCGTCATCGTTTTCACTGCTGGAACCAGACCAAGAACCGGAACCAGATCCAGAGTTAGATCCAGAGCCGGAGTTAGATCCAGAGCCAGATCCAGAGTTGGATCCAGAACCAGAACCAGAACCAGAACCAGAACCAGAACCGGAGCCAGAAGAACCAGTTGGCACTGGGTAGGTGGTGGTGTAGACAGTGCTGTGGTTGGTGACAGTCTCAGTGACACAGTCCCACTCACCATCGTCCTCATCATCGCCATTGCCAGTAGATGGAGCCTTCTGGGTAGGAGTGCTCACAACGGTGGTGGTGACCACGGAACCGTCCTTGGTAGTAACCACGGTGGTGGTGTGTGGCTGTGGAGTAGTGACGATAGGAGTAGTGGTGGTTTCACAGTCACCATCATCGTCATCGTCGGTGGTGGTAGGCTTGTTTGGACCAGTGGTTGGACGAGTGGTTGGACCAGTAGTAGGACCAGTAGTAGGACCGGTGGTTGGGCCAGTAGGACCAGTGGTAGGCTTGGTTGGGCCAGTGGTTGGGCCAGTTGGTTCCTCGGAACACTCGTCGTCGTCGTCGGAGGTGGTTGGGACAGCAGAGCCGCTTCTGGTTGGAATGGAAGTACCGTTGGTTGGGTAGATTGGGCCAGAAGTAGGCAAGACTGGGCCAGAAGTAGGCACGACTGGACCACTGGTAGGACCAGTTGGTTCGTCAGAACACTCGTCGTCGTCGTCAGAGGTGGTTGGAATAGCAGAGCCACTTCTGGTTGGAGCAGCAGAGCCACTGGTTGGAAGAGTGCCGTTGGTGGGCGAACGCGAAGTAGGGAAGTTTGGACCACTGGTAGGCACCACTGGGCCACTGGTAGGAGCGGTAGGCTCGTCGGAGCACTCATCGTCGTCATCAGAGGAGGATGCTGGGATTCTGGTCGAGGTTATTTGACCCGAGGTCCCATTAACTGGACCCCCAGAGATGGCGCCTCCAGAGGTGGTAGGAGGAGCCCCGGAGGTAGGACTAGCAGTGACGGTTGGTTCGTCGGAACACTCGTCGTCGTCGTCTCCGGTAGCAGTGGTGGAGTTGCCACCTCTCACTGAAGTGAGGGAGCCAATTGGGCCTGTTGGGAGGGAGCCAATTGGGCTTAATGGGCCAGTAGTGGTGTTAGGACCACTGGTGGGGGTGGCAGTAGGGAGGTCGGTCTCTTCACACTCTGAATCGTCATCGGTGGTCGAGTTAGATGGCAAACGGGAGCTGGTGCCAGTGGCGGAGGTATTCAAGCTGCCTGGAGCAGTCACGCTGCCACGAGCAGTGGTGGGAGCAGTAGTAGGAGCAGCGGAACCAGAGGTAGTGGCAACAGGGCCACTGGTGGCAGGGCCACTGGTAGCAGGGGCAGTGCCGCTAGGGAGGTCGGACTCGGTACATTCCTCGTCGTCGTCAATGCTGGAGCTGTTGGCAGCCAAAGCACCCACTCTGAGAGCAGCAGCACTGACTTTAGGGGCGGTGCTGGAGGTGCTGGTGGCGTTTTTGGTACCAAGCAAGGCAGCCAAGAGGCCTGGCTGGGAGCTGGAGCTGGCAGAAGCGCTGGAGCTGGCAGAAGCGCTTGAAGAAGCACTGGAGCTGGCAACCTTGGATGAGCCCAACAAGCTATCAAGGAAGTCTTCAGCAGAGCTGGAGGGCGAGCTGGACGAGCTGGGCGAGCTGGAGCTGGAAACAGCACTAGAGCTGGAGCTAGAGCTCGAGACAGCACTGGAGCTGCTGGAGCTGGAGCTGGAGCTGGAGCTGGATGCGCTTGGTTCTGGTTCGGACGACGAGTCGAACAAGTCGGCGAACAAGCTTCCTGATTGCTGCTTGGCCCTGGTGGAAGAAGCCGAAGACGATGAAGGCAATGAGGAGGATGAGGATGAGGACGACGACGACGATGATGAGGACGACGACGACGACGAAGATGAGGACGATGAGTTGTGGTGTCTGGAGCTGGAGGAGGAGCTCGAAGACAAGTCTGGAATGTCACTCAAGAACGATGGACCGTCGGATGGAGCTGGAGCAGCACCGGTTGGCTGGGGACCAGCTGGGTTGGAGGCTTGAGCTGGAGCAGGTGCTGGAGCAGCAGCTGGAGCTGGAGCAACGGCAGCTGCCTGTGTGGAGCCGAACAAGGAGTCAAGGAACGACCTCTTCTCATTCTCGCTGGCGTTGGCCACGGCCGAGGTGACCAATACAGTGCTGACAACGGTTGTTATTCTCATATTCAATCCGATTGACTTACACTTGCATCAGACTTCAAAGAACAATAAACGAGAGAACAGTGGGGTATTCTTTCAAAAGTAGGTGGCCAAAGGTATGAGGAGTTGACCAGACTGGCGGGCATGGGCCCAAGATATAGTGGGCCTGGACACTTGGGGCCATTTTCACACCCAAATCAGGAAATAGTGTTCTTTCCCAATCGGTTAAATTGTCCTGGTCGGATGCCATCCCAAACAGGCAATTCCTCGAGGGTTTGGAGTTTGGGGTGCGCCCATTGCCCGATGCGGTAATCAAATATCGTTGGGTGCCAATAGTTCTTGACTGCCGTATTGGGGAATTCCTGCACATGTCTGGGTGCTAAAACCCATCTGACACACTCACCGCTGGCACCATTGGATGGTGGTAGTGAGGATGCTGTTGTGAACCATTGCAGTAGAGGACGGTTCAGTGTATTGGTGGCTCTGTTGCACTGTCTTGACTTTCACTCTTTGGCACCTTCTTCCCTCCCTTTGGCTCCTTTCTCCATCTCTTTGGCTCCTTTTTCCACCTTTCCTTCCTCCTCCTGTACCTTCGCGCCTTTGACGAGCTACCCTTTCGGGACAGGTTGCAACCATGGTATTACCCTATATCGCAATGGATGTATGGGGAAGAAAAGTACCCACGAGCTTTGGCCCGTCAATCAAAATACGAAAGGCCATCGCTACACTGACACACTGTTCGGGGTAGTTCCGTCACCTTTAAGGAGGGTATCTCGTATCCAGCCTCGAGGAGCCATCACATTCTCTCGTAATGGTCGCATCACCCTCTCATAACGGATCCTCTCTCAATGGTTCTACTGGCAGCCTGTTGGACACTGCCATCGGTCCGCCAACTGCCCCAATCTGGTATGGCTACATCCATTCGGCTCTTTGGTGGTAAACACTAGGCCCGTTTACAGAAGGTGGAGTTGGCAATTGTCGGTTCCTATTTGGGTATTTCTAGAACCTCGCCATGTGCAGAACATCCCACCCCAGTTCGGGAGTGCCTGTCGCCACACGGGTACGACTAGACCCTGCCATCCATGTTGACGTGGCACAATAGGGGCTGGTCGTCTAGGGATTGTTCCATGTTTCGGATGTCGAATTGGGAAACTAATTATTGTTTGACAATTATAGTAATTGGAACTAAACAGTTAAGCCCCAAACATGGATCGTGGGGTGAAGGCTCATACAGGGGCTGATGTTGGTTCGAAGGGGTGCAGAAACATACTACGATATCTTGAATTGTTTAGTGGTGGACTGAAACATCCATTCTACACAATCTATGGGCTGATATTGGGTTGTTTCTTTCTCTAGCTTATGCTACTAAACCAGTCCTGGCACATACGTAAGGCTATTTCTCCTTTCGGTCTTTCGCTATTTGCGTTCCTGTCCTGGCTATCTCGTATTGGTTCTGTTGCATGTAGCATCTCTCTTCAAGCAGCACACTGTCAGTTCTTCGCTGGACTACATTTGTCACTATTAAAACATGTATTAGGTATACTAGACATCAATCATCTGGAAAGAAGATCGATGTATTCTTCGGGGCTCAATTGCTGAGCTCTTTTGGTCAAGGCTCTTCTGATAGATCTCTTGATGTGCTTCTTGAGGGCTCTCTTCTGTTCTCTCTTGGCCTTGGTGTTGCTGCAACAGCACACCTTACCGGATGGGGCAAACACGGAGTTTCCAGTGCTGACACTGGAAGTACCGGAGGAGGATCCACTGCCGCCGAACAAGCTGTTGACAAATGAGTTCAAGATGTTTCCGAGCAAACCAGAAAGACTGAATCCAGAGCCAGACGATCCAGTGTTGGTGGATGGGCCGAATAAGTCGCTGATGATTTCCTCCAAGAAACTTCCGAAAGAACCACCGGAGGACACGCCTGTGGAGCCGGTAGAAGGACCGAAGAAGGCGGAAATGGCGTCTTCGATAAGACTGCCGAAGTCGAGGTGGGAGAGGTCGCCCTCGAAGCCGTCCAACACAGATCCCAAGACGCTGCCGACAATACCGACGATGTCTCCGAGAAGACTGCCGCTGGAAGAGCCAGAAGAACCGGAAGATGGGGTGGATGGGCCAAACAAGTCGTTGATCAACTCGTCGAAGATGTCTCCAAGAGAAGCACTTGGACCAGAGGGAGTCGACGAGTAGTTGGAGGGTCCGAAAAGGTCGCCAAAGAGGTCGCCAAAGAGGTCTCCGCTGGAGCTGGTATTGGATGGGGTTTTTGTGGTGTTGGATGGGCCGAAGAGGTCACCAAAGAGGTCCCCAAAGAGGTCCCCAGTGGCAGCAGAGCTAGGAGTGGTGGTCTTGTTTGGCGAAGGACCGAAGAGGTCACCAAGAAGGCCTCCCAATCCGTCACCACTGGCAGTAGGAGCAGCAGAGGTGGTAGGAGCAGAAGCAGTAGATGAAGGCGAGTCAGAGCCGAAAAGGTCTCCCAAAAGACCTCCCAAGCCGTCAGAACCACCAGTGCTGGCAGCAGCAGTGGTAGGCTTGGTGGTAGCTCTGGTGCTGGCTGGGGTGGAGACAGCAGCAGAGGCTGGAGCGCTGGAAGCAGCACGAGTGGTGGCGGCTGTGGTAGCGGTGGTGGTAGCGGCAGCAACAGAGCCGGAACCAGAAGAAGCGGCAGCGGCAGCAGCAGCAGGAGCAGATGCAGCAGGGGCAGAGCTGCCCAAAGCAGCGTCAAGGAAGTCGTCCAAGGCAGCTCTCTTCTGGAGACTGTACTTGTCCAACTCGTCTGCAAACAAATCACGTTGCGACTTACTTTGCAACACAGTGCTGAGGATTTCATTGGCAATGCCAGACTGCTTAATGGAATCAAAGAGGGCAGAGAAGTCTGAGTTTTGGGCCACGGACGAGAGCAAGCTGGAGGCAGCGTCCTTGAGGTCGCCGTTGTTCAAGATGGACGAAGACACGTACGACACCAAACCCGAGCTCTCCAAGGCCTGGTACACCTCCGACACGTAGTCGGCGTCTCTGGCAGCAAGAGCACGAGGCACCACGACCTCGACGTCTTGTCTCTTGTTGGTGTCGGAGAGGAACTGCTTGGCGTAGTTCAATGCATTGGGCAACAACTCAGGGTCGTTGACCACGGAGTTGTAGAACTTGGAGGCCAACTCCGAGTTCTTGAGGGCACCAACAACGTCACTGGCAGTGATGTTCAGACTCTTGATGGCATCGCTGATGTTCTCGACTGAAAACGACGACGAGCCAGTCACCTTCTCGATCAACCCATCAAGGTTGGCGCCAGAAAGCAGCTGTATGATCAGCGACAAGTCTCTCTTGTCGGAGTGGGATATTTCGGCGATGGACGAGAGCACGTCCTCTCTCTTGGCGTGGCCAGCAGGGGCAGCGTGGACCACTCCCGAGGAAACGGTAGCGAGTGTTATTATGGATCCGATTCTCATGGTGGCTGCGAAAAGGTGGGTTCAGATTGCAGAGCTGAGGGCAGGAATGGGAAAGAGTTGGACGAGGATGGATGCTAACTAGCTACAAGGGCCCCCTGGGCATTGGCGTGTTTTTAAACTGTTGGTGGAGGAAGAAACCCTCTGGTGAAGCTATCTACATTGGGTAATGGAGATGGTGCAGGATCTCCTAATTAGGCAATGCACTTTAGCTGCCCAATTAGGCAACAATTTGGGACGGTGTGCAGGACAGGCTCCCTGAGCTCTTCCTGTTCTGGATGTTTGGCCTGGCCTCACCAGCATAGAAGCCTGGGTGGGGCAGTCTGCCGTATGCTTGCCTATTTGCGAAACCCTAAACACGGACGCCTTACAACTGGCTAAATCGAATTATTCCTCGCAACCATCTCGATTGGGAGACCCAAAATGTGGGGAGCAGACGGCTGTAGTCCGTCCTGGCGCCCCGCCCAACAATGGCCGAACGTCGCTAGCTGACAGGCTGGTGTTTGCATCAAGATCCAGTGGAGACTAGGAAGAAACAAGGCACGTGAACTGCTACACGTGATGGTGGTGTTCTTCAATCGAGATTCGAATGAAAATTGGCACGTGAGTTGACGCACGTGATTGCTCCCATAAATTCTCACCTCCAACTTTCCACCCACGCCAATGAGACCCACTCTTGTCCGTCTAGTCAGGCCCAGGCGGCCAGAAAGGGCTGCTGCGCCCCTCCTCCCTCCACTCAAGCTCTACCAGGCCATTTTGCGTGCCCACGTCCACAAACTCCCTGCTGAACTCAGGCCACTCGGAGATCAATATGTCAAGGCCGAGTTCAAGGCCCACAAGGACAGCGACAACCCGTTGCACATCGTGGGGTTCTTGACTGAATGGCAAGACTACTTGCGTGCCATCGACGGGGGCTCGTGGATGGACGGCAAGTTGGGAAAACAGGACATCGAAAAGATGTCTCCCGAGCAGGTGGGCCAGTTGTACGAGTTGATGCAAGAAACCAAGCGGATCGGCCAGGAAGAGGTGTGAGAGTGGTTTTTCGGCCATAGATGATCGGTGAGGGAGAGCTGGGGTGATGTTTTGCTACAGAAGCTCTCATATTGATTTTCAGCCAGATTGTTCTCCACAGAAACTCTGATTTCAGATTAATTTAGCCAGGTTAATCTCCGCAGAAATTCTGATGTCATTATGATTATCGTACTCTCGGCTAGGACGAGCTAAGAGAAGTGATCATTGCTCTGGAAAGAATTAATTGATTTCTGTCATTAATAAGAAATTATATCTATGGATCAATCTTATTTCCAGCCACAGATAACTCGTGCAGTTTGGTCGGTCCCTGTGGAAGTCCATATTCTAGTCAATCCCATATTTATTTATTGTTTAAGCTGTGGTCTGTAGCTGAAAGCTGTGAAAGCCGACGAGCTGTACACCTGCATGGACGTCCCAGCAGTCCTACTAACGTCTATATGCTGTGTATTGGTCTATTCATGAATTACAACCCCTTGCCGTAGTTGCCTGAAGTGAAAAAGTCCATGATGGTCTTGACCACGTTCTCCAATGCCTTCAACCATGCCTCCAATTGCTCAGCAACCTTGGCTTGGTCGGCTCCCAACTTCTCGAAGAAGTCCTTTCTGTATGGACAAGCCTTCATGGCCAACTTGAAGATAGGCTTGACCAACATCCCGTGGAACTGGCTCAAGGTCTTGCCATAGGCGTCAGTGAACGTCTTGGTGAGCTCATCTGCCGGACGGTTCACGGTTTCTCTCATGGCTTGTGCTGTGAATTGCAAGCCTCTCGACAACCACAACAATCCTTGCGTGGCAGTCTTGGTCTTGCCTCCAGCCTCAGACAAGATCAAGTCTTGCAAGGTGCCTGCGCCACTTGGGTCTGCCAACAACTTGGTACGGATCTTGTTGATGTTGCCAGTCATGTCCTTTTGGACAACTGCGAAAGCAGACGATCCCAACAAGTCGAAGAGCTTGACGAGGGACTCGGAGGCTTCCAAGAACGCGGCAGTGTCGATCTTGGAGTCGGAGATAGGGACGTCCGCAAAGGACTTTTTCATTTCATCGAAGAATGTGGACATTTTGGTGGTGATAGTGAAGTGTAGATGAATTGTTGATATGGACAAGTGTCGCGTCGTGTCGGTCACGTGAGCACCATGATAATGTTGAGAAAAGAATTTTGTTAATCCAACTGATAAGCATGGGCTGTTTGGTGCTGGCTGGTGGCAGGAGCTGGTGAGACAAAGTGGAGGAGGAAGGGCGTAGCCAGCTGCTTCCAGCAGCATTGGTGCAGCCATGGATGCATGGCTTTCCGGGTGCCATATTACGTAATAAATTACGTAATATCACTGATACCATTCCTGGGTGTTACGTAAACTTCCCCTACCCCTAATCTCAGGCCATGCAACGCCACGCCTCCTACATACTGCACATGACTGGTCGTTACTATTAAAGTCATCTAGTATACCTATTTAATTATTGTACAGCGAACCGGTATATTAGTACTAGCAGGCTACCACTCTAAATCGTCTGCCCACCTCACTCCTCGTTTCTCCTTCTTCTTCTCCTCCTTCTCGTCCACTCCCGACCTGTAGTTATCGAGTTCCTTGGGGTTATAGTACCCTAACCTCCTATGCTCTTGCAAAACGGATTCGCCAGAACCATTGGTCTCTTGGTGCAGGTTCTGGTGGTAGAACTTACTAGGGTACACCTTGATGATTGCCATTTTTTGGGCCTTAGACTTATCATCATTGGTAGGAATCTGGACAATTTCGTTGGCATCTTCGGGCAAAGGGAAATCCTCACAGTTGGATGCATTCAATTCAGTGCCAAACTTGGTCGCATCATTAATCAGTCCCGACAGGGAATCAACAATGAAAATATTAAGTCTTGGGTCGTGGTACTTGATTGAAGGTCTCAAGGTGAACTTGGTTCTATGCTGGGGTATACTGGTTCGTGTGGGTGCTTTGGTATCTCTTTTGACAACGAATTCTTTTCTCTCTATATTGGTGATATTACTCAAGGGCTTGAGAATCGGTATGGAGGTATTTCTCCTTGGGGATCGGAAGAAGATTTTGCTTGATTTCTTGATCGAGTTCATTTGCTTGTTCTTGACTGTTTTCAAGGGGTCGGGGAACGGGGTCAAGTTCTCCTTATTCTCGTTTGACTGAGAAGTACCTTGTTCAAGATAGCTATTCAACAGAATATCCAAGCCATCGGCCTCTTTGGTGAATCTTCCCTTGTAGAAACGAGTTCTCAATTGGTCATCGAGTTCGAACTCTTGGTCCATGCTGCTCATCATCGTATTGATCTTTTGCTCGTATGCGTCTTCGTCTCCCAATGCCCTCTGCTGGCTGTACTTCTTAGATATCCCCATTTCCAACATTCTCTCGATTTTGTTGTTGTTGAGTCTTTTTCCACTGAACCATCCGTCTTCTTCACTTCCGAAGAGATCGAATTGATTCTTGTGAGGGGTCTGGGCTCGCCTCAAGTTGTGGGTAACTTGAAAAAGCTCGTTTGTGGATGCTGTGGACAGGAAAAGCTCGTTGGTGATTGGGTTGGAGGAGTTTGGTGGTAGTATAAGCTTGGAATTGAGCGTAAGGGGGGTGGAGAACGACGCAACGGTCGACGAGGGTGGCATGGGTCGTTTTATTGGGTCCGTATCATTGTTGATGTAATCTATGTTCATTACTTGTGGCCTTTCCTCTTCCACCATTCCTTTCCAGTCGAGACTGTAGTCTGCTTCGTCTAGTATTTGCTGCGGTATTTCGTATGAGCTATCCATTGTGTATGGCTTGGATTGGGTATTATGGACTGGATATGGAATAGTTGCAATAGTTATACTGTGGTTTTCTGTGGATTTTTCACGTTGTCACCACCACTGGAGCTGATTGTGGCAAACTGATGTAGTAAGACCTGGTTGGAAGTGTAATTTGTGTACTCTTGTCGTCAGGCTCTCTCACTAACTATTGGTTCAATTTTTCACCCACTGAAATGGCTTCAATGACTTTTTGACCGAGGACTAGGTGGCTATCAATGAGCTGCGAGCTTGGATGGGGAGTCCTGGCTGTGAAGTTGCTCAGACTGACTCTGACTGTTGAGAAGTGTTACTCGACCTTTTGTTGTCGGATCGGTCTGATTTTTGCACCAGAGATGTTGCAGAAGTGCCAGATTCTCGTCTAGCAAGTGAGTGGGCTGGACTGGTCGATGTACGGCTGTGGCTTGCGGCTTTGCTCCTTGGAGGGTAGTTGGTGGCAAGAAGCGTCTGGTGGGGCCTGAACAAGGTGTAAATTGAAGGCTGTGCTTTCCACAGTTTAGCCTGCCGGTGTAGGGAGTTGCGGTGGGAAATCGACAGATGTGCCGGAGATGGGAGGTGGTTATCTTTGGTTGTTTATGTCGCCAGGATGTTTACAAAGAACCCGTTTGGGAAGGGAGCGGATGTCGCGCGACATCCGCGGTTGACGGGTCATGTGACCAGTCACGTGATATGTACTACCTCAGCACCATCGGTACTGTTCGGTTGCCACCACCATGAATTTGCAGGAGTTATTCTACAAAAAGCTCCTCGAGTCGCATGGCTTCCACAACTGGGTCCGCAAGATCCACGCTCGCATCAACAGGATCCCGTACGTGCCGATTCAGGGCCACCACCAGCACTCCAGCGAGTACGTTCCCACGATGTTCCACAAGGTGAATGCGTTCAGGGTGCTCTTTCAGCGGGAATTTGCACGTTCTGTTGGATTCAGACGGTGATTTCGTTGGTTGGATGTGAATTTTAGGTGTTGGAAGTATTTTTATGGTATGAGATGAGATGAGACGATGTTTTGCAAGAGTATGAAGTCTGTGTACGACAAGCCCACGCAAGCTGAGTCGGATGACTCTCCAACGGGACAGCATGGCCAGCTTGGGAAGAGGTGAGGGTTTCACTAGCCATGCCAACAGGTCTTGTGAGCTGAAGCAAAAGAGACACTTTTCCATTCAGCTCAGTCCTGACAGACTACGACATCTAAGAACAATTGGCTGTCATGTCTGGCACGTTGCTCTTTCGTGGACAATCTTGGCTGGGTCCGGTTGGTTATGAAATATGACAGTTCTGCTGCGTAAATGATATTTCTTGCGTTGAACCACCGGTGACTATTCCTCAGAGAATGCCTCTTTATGGTGCTCTCTGCCCCATCGAGAAAGTCTGACTCGATTGGGTGTGTTTTCAGCGAAATGTGGACTGGCTGTGTGGAATCAGTTAACTGGGCCGGACCCAAAAGTGATGCAATCGAGTGTGATTACTGGCCTTTAAGTGCGTACTTCTTACTTGCTGGAGTCGGATTGGCCCAGGCTTGTTCGAAGAGCTAACTGAGTCTAGCTGATTGTATACTTATTTAATTATTAATAATTATAATATCATTGTTAATATTTTGTAATTCCTGCGACGAAGGAAGGTTTCTTATTAGTGTAGCTACTGAGTCTCATCATAAATTGGGCTATAGGGTCATATCTCATTTATCCTTCTACATACCATGGCTGTTCCTTGGTCGTACTTATTCAAATACCACTTCTAAGGTTGGTAACCATTCATTGACTTCTCGCTGCATTGTAATAGCTGAATCGAGACTGGTGGATCTACTCGTGGGTTTTTCCCTTAATTGAGTAGCGTATTGAAATAACATGGATCTTCTATCTAATCTACGACATAATTCATTGAGGAGATAAGTAATTCCATTATTAGATATTCCAAGTATATCATCGGTCGTGGCAGTGTTGCCCTACCAGTTTATTGCCGAAAGGATTATTACAATGGAAGTGCTATCATTTCCAATAAATTCACGGCTGTGAGATTATTGCCACAGGCACAATTTCACAAATAAATACCATTTGGAAAGATCCCAAAGCTTGCCTTGTCGTGGCGACTCTGCAATGTAAACGCAGCAAATGCACTCATTCCATATTCGACCTCGTCGAACTGATCGTCCTCCTTGTTTTTCCACGGAGAAACGAGTAACGTTTCTGCGAATAATACACCATTTTCAATGGCGATCGGTGCCAGGTCAATCATGAAGAATGTCAGAAGCCATGCGGAGATTCTATTGAAACGGGTCTAGCTGAAGTAATTAAAGACTCCAATGGATAAGAAACTGGAGGCTGTATTGCCCCAATTAGAGACCCGAGGCTGTTCCGAGACACTCCATTTATCAGAAACCGGAGGCTTTTTCGAGACCCCTTTGCTCCAATTCATACACTCTCGCTGTAGCCTGTACAACAATCGTGGCATCACTGAAATCCCCCTGCAACTGAAGGCCTTATGACCACCATTACTATTATTGCAGGCCAGAACTACCATCACCATTATTTCACGGCTCAGTGAGCACTATTATCATCGATTGTGCCACAGTGACACTATTATGAACCACTCTTTTCTTTGTGCCAACCCTGGCACATCACCGGAACGCTGCCAACGACTCCACAGGCGTCTCGTACACAAACTCCTCGAGCTCTTCCCTGGCGATGCCCCGTGAACTCTGCTGGAACCGCAGCTCGTAGATGGATCGGTACACAGCGTCCACAAACAGGTCGACCTCGCTGAGATGGACGTCCTCGTCGACTCGGAACTCGAACTGATCGCCTTCGTCGCCGTTCAAGTCCACCCACGTGATGGCTCGGACCCCGTTGGAACGTTCCTGGTACTGGATCGCCAATTCTTGCACGATGGGAAACGTCCATTCGTCCTTAGACGCCGAGGAGTCGTTGATGGATCTGGGCGTGTCGTGGTCCTCGAAGTCGGCGTCGTCGTCAGACTCGCCGTCCAGCGATCCGTCAGCATCAGCCTCGCCCTCCTGGAACACTCGTGTGATGCAGAGCTGGTAGTAGTAAGGACTGGTTGTCTGACGGATGGAGGCGTAGGCGTCGTTGTAGAGGCATTCCAACTCGCCTTTGGGCAGGCGAGGCAGTCGTGTGAGGAAGAGCTTTCCTGACGGGAGCAGAGCTACTTCGTCTGTGGCCAGCGTGCCTATGAGCTTTTTGATGAAGTTCATGGAGTGGTGTGGTGATAAGCAACAAATGGCAGCGACATCGCTAGATGTCACGCGAGTGCGACATGGATCTTAGTGGGAGAGAAGGGAAGGGAAGGGTAGGAAGGGACAGAAATGGAGGGTCGGAAGACAAGAACGGGTGTAGGGCACATCTGGGGTGACTTGTGGGTGACTTTTGTGGTGCACTACAGTGGTGGTACCGCCAATCAGTGGCCCAAAGCGATAAGCCTGCCACAGGGTCCGCAAATCGTGCGACATTGGTTTGGGGGTCCGTGAGCCACAGGAATTTGCGATAAGTCTGGGTGTAGACACTGCCAGTGGGTTTGCCAGCACCGCTAGAGTGGCATGTGCGTGGTCAACACACGGTGGGGGCTTTATTGGTGGTTGGGCCGGATTATAGCTACTGACGGCCTGATGGTGCTAGTCTAGTCATAATGTGTCTGTATCTATATGCAGCTCGCGTGGGGGCACCTGTCATCCTGATTTGTCAATGGCTCCACACAGACGGATATTGAAGCGTAAGCGTGGCACACGACGTAGTGGATGATATACTAGGAAGGATTTGTAAGGAATTTGTAATTAGCGATTATTTAATGACTTTTGGTGTAGGTATAGCAGAGAAAAGGATGTGGAATACTGGAGTAGGGCAACTGAGTAGAGAGGGGGTGTGGAATACTGGAGTTCTATTCAAGTAGAGTGTAGATGTCCTGAATAATGGCGTGTGGATAATTGGGTGCTAATTAATGGACTCGTGTGAATAAATGTAAGAGAAAAAGAGCCATCTTAGGAATCTAGTGTATACACAAAAAATTCATGAAGAATGGCTAATTTACAACTAATACAAGAGTTAGTTAGGCAGAAGCTTTCAAGACGTGACCCACAGGTCTAGGGGCATAATTTTTAAGCAAGTGCTCCACTACTGGTGATGACTATTAAAATTATAGCGGCATTAGCTAAAACGCAGTTACGGTATAGATACCCCAGGAGTAGTAATGTATCGAGAATTATGCTCTGATTAATGATCGTAACTAGAAATACTTTTAAGGGCTGATCTATCACTGATGAAACAATATTTCAATGAAATCCCACTATCAGATGGTAATCTTCGAAGAACTCACCATGACTGATCGATACTTTAGCAGTGCCCAACAAATCTATCAGCTGGTGACTTTATTGGGAATACTCCATCTATCAGACTGGATTTAGGCTCCAATAACTGATTCATCTTTGGTGATACTAATGCTCCAAGTCAACTAATCTCACTAGTGATATTACTAATAAAAAAAATCACTACCTGATCTCTACTGGTACTACTAATATTTCAAAAATACCCAATAACAGATCAACTGTATTGCAGCTCCTTCTAGGAATACCTCCATCTTATCTCCTCATTACTAATCTCATCATTCTTTCACTCTCTTTCCAAATCTCGGAGCCATATCTCGGAGTCCGCAACCGCGCATCTCATGATTGAGCATATAGATTCTTATCACCTATCTCTTCAACACACTCCTCCTCCTCCTTCTACTCCTCGCCATGTCACACAAGACAGACACCCTGGAGACTCGAATCAGGCCCTCTGTCAGCCACGGCTCCACGTCGTCGCTCGAGTCCATCGCATCGCACCAACCCCAGCAGCTCCACCAGCCCATCCGCGGATCCTCGTCCTCGTTGGAGTCCAGCGACGACAAGGCAGTCCATCCCATCGGCCTCAGCGATGATCTCCCTGCAAGAAGGGCGTCTGTGTCCACTGCTGGCCAGTCATTCCAGTCGCTTCGCACCACGTCCATCGACTCTGGACGGCTAAGCAGAATCGCCTCTGCGTACTCTGTCCACGACATCTACGGCCAGTTGGACGACGCCAACATCGCCCTCCGTCGTACGGCGTCCAGGACCACCATCCTCACCACGTTGTCCCAGCGGGTGCAGCTGGAGCTCGACCGTCAGGAGTCCCGCCAGACCCACTACTTGCGCAAGGACCAAACTGGCAGCCAACAGGGTCCAAAGGATGAAACGGGTGAAAAGGATCAAGAGGGTCAAAATGACCAATACCAAACCAACCAGGACGCCTGGGACACGCCCCTTTACTCCCAAATTCCCGACGTCTCAGTCCCCACCAAGGACTACGGTGCCGAGTTTGCTGACGCCGACCCCGAACTCGTCACCTGGGACGGTCCAGACGATCCAGACGACCCTCGCAACTGGTCCTTCAGCAGCAAGGTGGTGGTCACACTCGTGGTGTCGGTGTACACGTTGGTGTCACCCATGTCATCGTCCATGCTTTCGCCAGCCATTGGCAACATCGCGAGCGATATTGGCATGACATCCACAGTGGCCACCCTCAGCATCTCCATCATGGTGCTCTCGTGGGCGTTGGGCCCTTTGTTGATCGCCCCTCTCTCAGAAAGCGACTACGTGGGCCGTAGGCCTGTGCTTAACGTGTCGATCTGGGTCAACTTTGCATTCAACCTCGGGTGTGGTTTCGTCAAAACCCCAGCCCAGCTCTGTGTGCTACGGTTTCTTGGTGGCTTGGGTGGCTGTGCGCCCATGAACGTCGGAGCCGGGGCTTTGGCCGATATCTGGAGCGATGAACACCGTTTGGTGGCGTTGGCAGCGTACTCCATTGCTCCTACGCTTGGACCTGTGCTTGCGCCAGTGATTTCCAGCTTCATTGTGCAGAACAAGTCGTGGCACTGGGTATTCTACGTGTTGGGCATCTTCAACGGCTTCGTGGCTGTGGTAGGCACCATCTTCCTCAGGGAAACGTACCTGCCCAAGCTTCTCAGGCTCAAGTGCCAGAAGCTCCGCAAAATCACCAAAAACGACCATCTCCACACCATCTTCGAGATCGCGGATGGCGAGACTACCTGGGGTAAAATCTCGGTGCAGATCAGCAGGCCTATCAAGCTCCTAGTCACCCATCCCATGGTGCTTGGCTTGGGGGTGTTCATGGCCTTCGTGTACGGATTCATGTACTTGATGATCGTGACGTTTCCCGACGTGTTCCGCGGCAGGTACGGCTTTGGTGTGGGCATCGCTGGCCTCATGTATCTTCCAATGGGTATCGGCTATATCGTGGGCACCGTGTTCTGGACCTACGCCATCCAGAAGATCTACGTCCGCATGGCGAACAACAACGGAGGTGTCGCTAAACCCGAGTACAGACTTCCGTGCTTGTGCTTTTCGGGGTTGGGCATTCCCGTGGGACTCATCTGGTACGGATGGTCGGCCAGAAGCAGCTCCACTGGATCATGCCCAGCATCGGCTCGGCCATTTTCTCGTTTTCGTTCATTGCCGTATTCCAGACTATCCAGAACTACCTCATCGACATGAACAACCGTTTCGCAGCCAGCTCGATTGCTGCGGCTGCAGTGTTCAGGCTGTGTTTTGGGTTTGCGTTCCCATTGTTTGCCAAGCAGATGTACGTGCGGTTGGACTATGGGTGGGGCAACACCATGTGTGGTCTTATTGCGTTGGTTCTTGGTCTCCCGTTTCCCGTGCTCTGTTTGGTGTATGGAGAGCGGATCCGCCAGTGGGCTAACTTACGCATGGACCGCGAACAGGCCCAGAGGGACGCCAGGAACTTGGAGCGGTTGCAGCGGATGCAGGTGCTGGGATAGTCTTGGAAGAGGGTGTATACAACGATATTCATCAATACAGACAACAACAACACTGACAATGATACAGACAATAATACAAACAATACTACAGACAATAATACAGACATTCATGATAATTGATGCAAAATTAAGATACAGACAATCCGATAAATACGTGATTCAGTCAAATAATATACAAATAACCCACCAAAAATTCACGTATAGGCAGTTATAAATTCATGTATAGATAAATCACTATACAGGTAACTAGGATACAGAAAGCTCAAGACTTCTAGATTCGGGGAAGCGGTAGCATCTGAAAAGTAACAGTTCTAGCTAATCTTCAAATCAACTAGTTGAGGACTGGTGTGGAAAGAGACTAGCAGTCATACTAATGTTAAAATAGATACTATATCTTATATGTATTTTAAAGGATTTACAAATATAGTAGACATCCCAAACCTGTTGAAATTTGTTGTCCTTTGTGATATTGAATAAGGAGAATCAATGTGGAGGTACAGGCAAATCTATCCAATAATCGAGCAACTGTCTGAGGTGCGGGTGCAAAGTAGATGTAACGAGATGGAATATTCGCGAATAAGTGTGACAAACCTCACAATAATCGAGAATAACCAAATAAAAGCGAATCGTAAGTTCAACCAATGAGAAGAGTGAGATTATAATTACAAATAGCTACAAAGTAAACGTATTGTACACGGCGACTAAGAAACCTTAGTGGAGAAGGGTTGCTATGCCCCATGGTGCAACGGTTTTGAGAACTTTTATTTTCATCTTTTGAAAGCAAGAATCGACGATTGTTTCGCTGGATCGATCCATAGAGCTCCAGGACTGACGGGGGTCATATACTCCATCAGTAGGGATATTTTCTTCAAGGAGAGAAAATCGACAAATAAAATTGTGGAGTGTCAAGAAATATTCTATTTCATTAGTGCAGGAGCATAACTACTTTGAAATGCAGCAACTTTATGGTTCGGGAAAGAAATTAATGGGGTACGATAAAACGTATACTTTTTTTCCGTCACTAAAGCAGGATGGGCATGTATACTCAGGTATAAATAGCCCATAATAAGCAGAATGGGGCGAATTAACTTCAGAAAAAGGATGGGTACCAATAACAGCAGAAACAATAATTAAGTCAGTAGAATTAACTAATTTAAAGCAGGTTAGCAATATAAAAGGTGACCTAATGTACTAGGTGAAAAGAATACAAATAAAC